CGCCACCCCGCCACCCCGCCACCCCGAGTTTCTGTACCTCGTTTTGGTCATTGTTTCTACAACCTAATGCCCAAGCTTTCCTTTATTTAGGCACAGCCAATCCCTTACCAAGTAAGAGAGTACGGAAAGAGGATAAACTTTTGAGACATTATTAGACAAAAAAACACGTCGTAGACACACTTTCTGCATCTCGTCGAGGCCTAGAACTCTGAGGACCGCCAGTTACTCGATCTCCAGACTCACAGTGGCAACCCTAATGATGTTGCTCACAAGAAGCCAGGAATACGAGAGTGCTTAAAGGATCTTGTTCATGATGTAATGAAACGAGAACCTAACCACATCTGACAAAATTGAGCGATTCTAATATACCAATGTTTTAAATAATACAGACTAATAATTATGGTTTTTGCCAGACGACACCATCAGAACCTTGTCACATCAGTTGGCAACCTTCGTACTGGCATGTTAAGACCAATACCTGCAAAATTGCACCAGCAAAGTTATTTAGGTCAAAGTTAAGTAATGACACCATTGATGACGGACTTGTACACTGATACAAATTTGGTTATTCGGTTGTCCCACCCTATCAGGTTGCCATTGAACACGCTTGTCAGAGTACTATGTCTCAATGTAATGATTCTGGCAAGTCTCCATCTCAACTGATCGTTCCAAATCCGGGCTTGTAAATTTCCGAGGTGTCAATTGAGTCGAGAGCTTGTTGGTTTCTTGTTTCGTTCCCACCCACCAGACTCCGCTCAAAAGGTATCTTTTACGCAATCTCAGCTTCTTGGCTTGCAGCAAGAAGTCTTGTTGCAAGAAGAAGCTCTTCTTCCGATATAAAGCCACACTTTACAGGTATATATATGCTACATACGACGTGAAGTCACACCTCACGGGTATATATATGCCACATACAGAAGGAGGATTGACTCTCTTCAGTTTTGCAATGGCCCCGACAAAGAAGCTTATTTTCCGATCAACCTTAACCCAGGCATTTTTGGTGGGCTTTTTGTCATTCACGCAGCCAGGCATTTATGCTGCAATTGCAAATATGGGAGCTGGAGGCCAGGCTACCACCAGGACGTGGAATATATCGACGGTCATTCTGAACGCAATGGCGGTCGTGCTAGCACCCATATCTGCACTTTTTGCCAATAGGTTTGGACTAAAGCCAACGTTACTCATTGGATGCATAGGACACACGATCTACTCCGCATCGTTGTACTACAACACCAAGACCGGAAACCAGGCGTTCATTTTGGCAGCATCTGCTCTCCTGGGGATTTCTGGGGCTGCTTTTGGATGTCTGAAGGAGCCATTGTGATGAGCTACCCGGAGAAGTCACGAAAGGGGCTTTTCATTGGGATATGGCAGATGCTGAACAAATTTGGAGGAGTGATATCCGGTGCAGTCGTGTTTGCCATAAACTACAGTGGGACGAAAAAGGGCCAAGTGAGCCTGAACACATACATCGCTCTCATCTCGATCCAGTGCACTGGTCCATTTTTTGCGCTGCTGCTATCGCCACCAGAGAAGGTGATCAGAAAAGATAATACCTGTGTCGAGACAAACGTGGTCAAGGATAGTCTCAGGAAAATGTGCAAAAGATACCTAGGCCTGTTGAGAAGAAAGGAGATTACGCTTCTGCTCCCCATCCTCGTAGGTAACACATGGTACAAAACATGGCAGAGCAACTTTATGACACATAACTTTTCGGTCCGCGCAAGAGCGTTGAACGTTCTTCTCACCGCCCTGATTGGGGGCGCCGTGGACCTAGTTGGAGGCGCCTTTCTCGACTGCGAAAAAATATCTGTTGGTTTGCGGGCCAGAATATCCTGGTTTTTCATCGTGTTTTTCGAGTCGGGCTTTTATATCTGGGGCTTCATTGTGCAGAGACACTTGGCTGATAGCACGAGCACCCTTGATTGGGCGACAGGGAGGTACTACTACGACGCTTATGTGCCAATGCAGGTTTTCAAAATACCGACCGAGTTTGTTTTCAATTGGGTGTTCTGGGTGGTAAGCGTGCAAGAGTTTAGCTCCAAGGAGAATGCTTATATTTCCGGTCTCATCAGAGCCGTTGAGTCGTTTGGTTCGATGCTGTCTTTCCTGGTGGGAGTCGCAAATGGAAATGACATGGTGAACTTGTCAGTGGCGGCAGCTGTGTTTTGGGCTGCTGTCCCAAGCGTAACATATCTGGTTCTTAGAGTTCTGAAGATCACGCATACTAACCCTGAAAGCGTTGTTGTCCAAAAGAAGAAGAGTGGCGACCTAGTTGAAATTACAGAAGAAATTGAGTAAGAAAACTCTGCGGCTGTCTGACATGTAAGAAAGCTCGGCACTGGATAAATCCGCTGCTAGACACAAGCAATTCCGTTTCTGCGTAATGTTCGATACACCATGTAAATATTGCTTTCAGAGCTGGGCTTTATTTGAACCCTTAACACTTGAATTCTCTTTTTTTGGTTCCCAAATGTCTACCAAAATATCTAAAAGCAGTGGTTGTCGAGAATTACGGTACAATCCTCACTGTTAGAGAGGTTCCAGTTCCGGCAGTGACTCTGGCTAGGTGCTGGTACATTTTGAAGCTAAGGTTCTGGGCACCTAGCCGACGCACCCACTACAGATCAGCGGTCGCAGTAGGTCCTAGTCTTTGTTGTGCTACGTGCCCGAGTTTGTTTTGCCTGTGCTTGCTTGCTTGTCACTTCTGTGCTATTACCATCTGTTAGTTGCGTCAGGTGTGTCCTGTTTTCACTTTTAGCTGTTTTTAGTTTGCACACGTTCAGTACTGACTCGTAGCTCTGGTATTTGTGGTGTCTCTTGCTGACTGCTGCGGGTGAACATCCAACCCCAGAGTCTCTTCTAAAGCGGAAGATTCCAGCTTCCCAGCCTCCCTGCCTTGTCATTATCACAAAGCTCACCCAAAGAACAGCGTTCTTCCTCGACTGCAACTAGGGGCTTACTTGCTTCTTATACGCCATGTACTTTACTCTAGCATGGTCATAATTATGATATGACCGTAAGCTCAAGATTTTGCCTAAAGCCATTTGTTGTGACGCATTCGTTGACTCATCATATGCCTTCCTCTGGAACTTTGTTCTAACGAATACAAGCCGCCCGGTCATCTGCACCAGTAGAGAGGGAACTTATAAGGTGAAGGGTTACAACTAGATAGATGAAAAAAAAGAATTGGATGCTTTCCTAAAGGCGCTCATTACTGCAGAGTTTGTGCGCATCCACTGACTTAGAACTCTATCAGGAGAAGAGTGAGATTTATTTTTCCACCTGCAATATGCGAATAGATTTTTTATTCCCCTAGATTCATGTAAAGGCGAATGATATGATGAGGGGCATTTCTTGGGTATTTCTTTCATCACTGCTGATTAGCGACAGCTACAAACATATCTGAAGTAAATCATTCCTCTTTCGCGCTTACTATACTTGAATGAGAAATCGATACCACCATCTGCCAATTCTTGCCAAATGGTTTTAGATAGCCTATGATCTCAAATAAGTGCCCTTTTGCTCCTACAACAATGTTTACAACGTCATATCTCCCATTTTTTCCGTTTCATCTGCACTACTGGATACGTTGTCCAGCCATTGCATTGTCTGGAGTGCACATTCGCTGGTGTCGCTTGCCAAATTGGAATGATATATCGCTATCATGTGGGGCACAAGAAGGGGAGATTCGTATAGGTCACGCATTGGCACTCTATGGCTATGGTATGGAGCTGTGGAGCGGCTATAAAGTGCCATACGAGTCAAACTGTTGTTTAATTGTGTATGATCCGCTTTGCAATGCCCCGCTTCGACTGATCTTTGATCATTGGCTGATATAAAGGGAGACGTATCCTTTGGGTGTCCAAACTTTCTCCAATTATGACCAACCTAACTTCTACAGAAGACTCACCGACGTTTATCGGTTTGAAGGGTAAAACTCTTCAAAATATTGTCAGTGTAATGGCCTCTGTTGGATTTCTGCTCTTTGGTTACGATCAAGGAGTTATGGGCTCCCTTTTGACATTGGACTCATTTAAAAACACATTTCCCTCAATCGACACTTCTCGTCATAGTGATGCAGCCACAATGCAAGGCTTTACAATAGCCGTGTATGAGATTGGTTGTCTATTCGGTGCACTGTCTACAATGGGCTACGGCGACAAAATTGGTAGGAGAAAATGTATCTTTACAGGATGTGCAATTATGATTGTGGGAGCAATATTGCAGTGTTCTGCTTTTACAGTCGCACATCTAATAGTCGGCAGGATCGTTACAGGAGTTGGAAACGGGATCAACACGAGTACCATCCCTATGTGGCAGGCAGAATGTTCTAGGCCTGAAGGCAGAGGTAGACTAGTGATGATATCTGGAGCTCTTATAACAGGAGGAATTGCATTCTCCTACTGGGTTGACTTTGGCTTCTATTTCACCTCTGGGCCAATCTCATGGCGTTTCCCAATTGCATTCCAACTAGTCTTTCCAATACTTATCATGCCATTTATACTGAGATTTCCAGAATCTCCCAGGTGGCTCGTCAAAAAATCACGGTTAGAAGACGCACGTTTGGTCTTTGCAGCATTAGATGGAACTCCAGTTGACCACCCAGAGGTTAAAGCCCAGTTGCACGATGTCCAGAAATCTCTGGATGAAGAACACATTGCTGGAGCCGAGTCTTTCGATCTCAAGAGGCTGTTTTCTCAAGGAGAGCATCGTGATTTCCATCGGCTTATGCTTGGCTTATGGGCACAGATCTTCCAGCAGATATCCGGAATCAATCTCATTGTGTATTACGCTGGTACCATATTTGAGAACTACATTGGAATGAGTGCATTGAACTCGCGTATTCTTGCTGCCTGTAATGGCACGGCTTTTTTCCTTGCTGCCTGGATCGCGTTTTTATTTATTGACAATATTGGTCGTCGGAATTTGATGCTTTTTGGCCTAGTGGGCCAAACTCTCTCAATGTCAATGCTGACAGTCACCACTTGGGAGTCGGAAAACAAGAATAATAATGGTGCTGCCATAGGAGCTGCCGTTCTTCTGTTTGTCTATAATACATTCTTTGGTATCGGGTGGTTAGGAATGGGTTGGCTCTATCCCGCAGAGATTCCACCGTTGAGTATCAGGGCTCCTTCAAATGCAATATCTACAGCTGGAAACTGGTCGTTCAACTTTCTGGTGGTCATGATTACACCAGTGGCATTTGAGAACATCAAGAGCTTCACTTATTTGATTTTTGCAGTTTTGAATCTGCTAATGATCCCAGCTGTTTATTACTTGTTTCCTGAAACTGCTGGGAGGTCTTTAGAGGACTTGGATGACATATTTGCTCAATGTGATCCTTGGAAGCCGTGGACAGTTGTCGAAATTGCCAGGACACATCCTAGATCAGAAGTTAAAGTGGTGACCGCAGATTCTTTGCTGGATCAAGGCAAAGCGGAGGCAGAGATGTACGAGGACTCAGATGAGATTTCCTAAATATCAACTTATAACACATATTTAAAAGCGGGATTAGTTTTGTCAGTGAGATCTCCGAAAGAGAGGAGCGTATCATCATCCACTTGCTCAAGTAATTTGATGTCCTTCTTTTTGTTTCTGAAGTAGTAGATAACATAGAGGATCAAAGGGACAATGGCAGAAATAACGTAAGTACCCACCATGGTCCGCTTAGCTGTCATATAAACTGGCGCTTCAGAACCAATGAAGGCTTGTGGACCAATGATATTACCGGTGGAAAACCCGATCAGGAACAAGGTGTTTGCTGTGATCTTCTTCGTGTGACCAGCAACATTCGAAGAGACCACAGAACTCATACATGCCCAACTAGCGGTAGTCAGGTATGTCAGAAAGAAGCCGGCCAGCTGTGCCCCTTTGGAAGGTGCAAAGGCTAATAAACATAGGCCAGTGAACACCAGGGAGTTGATGCAGAAGCAAACTAGTAATCTGCTCTTTATGAGATAGAAATTGACATACGCAAATGCTAGTGGGAAAATGATATCAATCCCACTTCCGACAATATTCAGAAGCAGAGACTGCCCAGTCGAAAACCCGAACCCGGTACTCAGCAGAATGGAGCTGAAGTTGCCGATAGAACCATTTGGAATACCGTATCCAAACATGTAGAAGAAGAACAGATAGGTGGTGACGTCAAACGCAGCCTCTTTCAGCTGAGATAGCTTAAATTGCTGGTTACCAAATCCGGTTCTGTTGCCTCTGATTCTCTCAACCACATATTTCTTTTCTTCATCGTTGAGAAACCAAGCCTTGACGGGAATGTCTGGAATATGGATGATGGACACAATGCCAAAAAATATAGTAATCACACCCGTGACGATATATAGGTACCTCCATGGGGACGTCGAGAATTCGTTTTTGTGGGTATAGAAGCCATATGCGATCAGAGACCCAAGCATTGTGCCAAAACCTTGAAACCCAAGCCAATAACCGCAACGTCTGTACTGCTCATCTTTCTTATACCACTGACTGGTCATAATCATGTATGCTGGATCCATGAATGATTCACAGACGCCAAGAAGAGTCCTGCAAAGGAGAAAAGTTGAGCTTGAGTGAGTGGCACCGTGACAGCAGATCACGACACCCCATGCTAGGACTGCGCATCCCAGTGTCTTAGACAAAGGAAACCTTTGAAGCAGCATACTTGCGGGATAGCAAAAACCCAAGTAACCCAAGTAGAAACTGCTACCGACCCACGAGTATGTTCGCGAACTCATCTTGAGGTCTGTCCTGAGGCCAGTAATAGAGGCATATGAATTCGTAGATTTATCCATCAGCTGACAGGACATAAGAATGCACATCATGGGCAAGATGTACCAGTCGATCTTCCTCACAACTTTCTTCTCAAACTCTGGGTCTAAAACAACTCCGCCTGTCTCTAACGCATATCCAAATCCTTGGTCAACATCCTGCAGCTCTTCCGGAGAGAGAACTGTGGTCACGACTAGATTCTTAGACGAATCGACAGCTTTCTCTGAGACCATGGTAAAGAACAATTAAATGAAGAGATGGAGACTAATAAGCTTTCATAGCCACCAAATTTATCTGATTTCAAGCTTATCATTTCCCAGCGATATCTTATCTCGCATATCCGCTCTAGTTTGTTGGCGGAAACTTTCCAGATTTGGCAAGCCAAGTCACCTGATATAGATTTTCGGAGAATTGACCAGATTGGGTAATGCGATATTGTATATATTCTACAGCATAGAGGTGCGAGCATTTGCAAGAAATACATACCGGTAATGGTTGAAAAAGACTCTCCAATCGTAATTGTTGGCGCAGGTGTGTTTGGCCTATCCAATGCTCTCCATCTCGCCAGCAGTGGATACAAAAACATCACCGTGTTTGATAGACTAGACTTCGACGACAACGCTTACACTTTGCTTAAAGGAGCCGATACAGCCTCGGCAGACATTAACAAGGTGTTCAGGGCTCAGTACGCCGAAAAAAAACACTACCAGGACCTTGCGTTCCAGGCGTTCGAAATCTGGCAGAAGTGGAATAACGAGATCAAGTTTATCCCTCCTGAAGAGGCGAAGAAGTATACCGATCTTCAACTTCTCGATTTGTGCGGAATGTTGAGGCTTGATGATATCGTTGGCTGGGAGGAAAAAGCCAGCAGAGCAAATTTTGAAAAGGAAGGTATTGCTCCTCTTAGATACGACGTCAACGATCCTGTAGATGTGAAGAGAGCCAATGCTGCAGGATTTGGGTCAAAGGTGAAATTTGCCCATGACCTAAAGGAAAAAATCCCAAATCTGCAGGGTGCTCTGGATGCCACATCTGGCGTGTTGTATGCCTCGAGGGCTTGTCAGTACGCCAAGTATTTGTGCTCCCAGCTAGGCGTTAAATTTGTCTTTGGAGAGAAAGCTGGTACTTTCAAGGAATACATCTACAAGGACCACGAGAAAACCGTTCATGGTGGAATTATCACTCAAGACGGAAAAAAACACTATGCTGACTTGACGGTCATTAATTGCGGTCCATGGTCTACTTTGCTAGTTCCAGAACTTGACGGCATGAACGAGGCTGCTTCAGGTAACGTCATCATCTTCAAAATTCCAGAGGATCGAATTGATCTCAAGGCCAAATATAATAGCAAGGTGTTCCCAATGGTGGGCTGGAAAACCGGTCATTCGAGAGAAAAAGAGTATATGGGTGGCATGTTTATGTTCCCAATGATGGAGCCAGAAGGATACATGAAGATGATTGTTAGACAGACCAAGTACACTAACCCTGTTAAGTTGGAAAACGGCAGAGTTGTGTCAATCCCGAAAACCTCCAATAGCAGCCCTCCAACGAAAATGCTTACGCGTCACATCATCCGCCAAGTTGACGAATGGCTCAAGCTGTTTTTCCCTGACTTGTATGAGGCAAAGTTGGAGTATGAAAGCAGACTGCTCTGGTATACGGATACCATAGACAACGACTACATCTATGATTTTGTCCCAGGGAAAAAGGGGCTTTTTGTTGCCTGTGGAGGATCAGGGCACGCATTCAAGATGCTGCCTGTTCTGGGACAGTTCTTGGTTGACAAAGTCGAAGGGCGCGAAAACTTCTACACCAAACTGTTCAAATGGAGATCGCTTTCGGGACTTGAAAAGGACCCTAACGGATTGAGGGAAGGTTTGGCCACAAAGAGAAACTACAATCAGCAAGAGCTTTCCACGGAGACAGATCTTAGATTTGGAGACTCTTTTTCAAGGACACCAAAACTTTAGATAACTTTTATATAATTTGCAAATCTCAACCTTTGAATTTGTCATAGCCAGTCAGCACAAACCTATATCTAACATCTCCTGCGTGACATCTCTCAAGAGCTTCTTTGATACCGCTTTCGGAAACTGGCAGAAGCTCAGTCCAGGCAGCAAGCTTTTTCTCTGCAGCAAGCTTTAGCATGTCCAGCATTTGCGGTCTGTTTCCTAAATGAGAGGAGCCAAAGAACACTCCCCCGTTCATAAAGGGCATCGCACTGACAGTAAATGGTTCCTCAGGCAGCCCAACAGAGATCATTTTCCCATGAACTTTCAGACAAGACAGATACCCAGCCAGATCAAAGTTCTGAGCTGAATTGCCGCAAGAAACAATGAGGTCGAGTTTTCTCGCATACTTCTCTGCCCAGTCCTTTTCCTCATAGGTTGCAATATAGTAATCGCTTCCCAACTTCTTGGCATCTTCTGCTTTCTTACTGGTACGCGAAAATGTGTACACCTCGGCTCCCAGCGCCTTGGCAAACATAATCGCAAAATGACCCAGCCCGCCAATTCCAATGATTCCTACCTTCTTTCCCGGCCCGCATCCATTCTCAACCAAAGGAGCATACGTCGTGATGCCCGCACAAAGCATAGGTGCTGCGTCTTCCGTCTTGAGACCATCTGGAATTGGGAAAACAAAGTACTCATGGGCGCGAATGTGTGACGAGTAGCCACCATATGTCACGGTTCCGTCGGCATATAAGGAATTGTAAGTGCTTACTCTCTTCCGGCAATAGTTCTCGTGATCTTCGTTACACGTCTCGCAATCGAGACAAGAGTATATTTGAGCACCCACACCAACCCGGTCACCAACCTTGACGGTGCTCACTTTATCTCCCACCTTTACAACTTCTCCAATAATTTCATGACCGGGAATGACTGGCAGCATAGGCTGGCTCCAACCGCCCTTGACTGTATGAACATCTGACCCACAAACTCCGCAAGCTAGAATTCTAATGTCGACATCATAGGCCTCAAACGGTTTAGGCTTGAAATCAATCTTGGACACTGTAGACCACTTCGAAGTGTCCGTGACAGCGAATCCTTCAAACGTCTCCGGATACATAAATTCTTGGTAATTATTATTCCACGTATTGATAATAATATAGCTATCTTCTTCCTGTGAAAATTCGTACCGAATCAGGAAATTGCCGAATGCGGAGTAGCTTCGGAGTTCGCAGATCTAAAATTTTTTAAAGTGTTATTGTTACAAAGAATTTCCTAGCAGGATTCTTAATGCAGTGTCTTGTTCAGACTTTTCCGCGGTGTTTGGTGTTCTCCACGTTAATATTGCCCACATGGGATATTAGCTTTTATTTAGGTCGAGGACCCGGGATGCTAACTCTAGGTAATTGAACATCGGCAGCCTCGATTGAATGAAAAACTGAAGTTTCTTCATATGCAATTTCATTGCTTCCTCCTCCTGCTGTTGTTGGGAGGCCATCAACTCCAAGAGTAAGAAAAAGCTCGAAATAGTAGCAAAGTTAAGTCTGGCCCAGGAATACCAGAAAGAATCAAAATGATATGGCCGGAGCCGCCCCAGTATATCCAAAATTTCTGCACACAGCAAAATGCTTCGTCGTTTAGCCTCTTTTGATATCGATTGATATTCGCGGTCGTCATTCTTAGTACTCGATCCTTGCTGCTCACATAACAATATTCGATGGAGCACTGATTTATATATTGTCGCCTTGGCAGTCACACTGGCTATCACTACTGCAGCAGTAGGGGATTCAGGGTACCTACTGTTCTCCAATTCTAGATAGTTAGAATGTTCGGATTCAAAATTTGAAATTGTTTCCAATTGAAGACCTGCTTTTTTGTACGCTGCTTCCAGAGAAGTGTGCTCATCAGATTCGCAAGCAATATCGTCTATGTGCTGTGTCAATTCTGCCATCAGACAGAAGCATTTGTTCCTGTGGCGTGCTTCTTCGTTGTTCTCGGATAGAGGTTCATTTTCAAAGTCGGATTCAGTGAGCAGGCAAACATCCCAGTCGGCTTTGGAGATATGACTTCTGCGCCCAAGAGAAAACGAAAACCACTTTTCCTGAATATACAGTGTCCACCAGAGACGCCTTCGGATTCCCTTTTCCCGGAGGGAAATGTTCCACTGTGAGCAGTCAAGGTTAATCCCCATGGACTGTGCAAAAGTGTACGCTACACTCAGGATTGCCAGCTCAAATGTCCCATCAATGCCAGGCCCCTTCTGATATAATTTTTGCGACAAGAGCAGGCTGGATTGCAGAGCTGCGAGAGATGGGTGAGAGACTTTGGATAGTATTGACTGTGTGACTTGACTAACGACCAAATCCACGTTAGGACGCTCCATAAGAGTCAGTTTTGGATCTTTTTGCCAGATATCAGTTGCCAGAACTAGAGCTGTCAAAAGCAGAAAGCAGGATGAGTTCTGGTTGATAAGCCTCTGAAGAATTGTTGGAGATACCACAGGAAAATGTGTATTCACGTGTTTCAAAAACAGCTCAAATAGAGTGGATCTGTGATAATGAATCCTCTTTATTTCTAGTTCAGTATTGTTTGATTCACTTCTTGTTCCTTCTTCTATGATTATCTGCATCTTCGGTTGGCAAGAAGTCTCAAGCATCTTAAGATGCAGCTGTTCAGAATGTGAACCAGGCAGGGTTGCATTTCTATAAAGCAAAAATGGATCCATGTAGCCATCACCATATAGATACGCGAATTCAATTTTACATTCATCGCTTTCAACTTCATCCTCATTTTGAGCCCTCATTGCGGTGTTTGGCGTTTGTATAAGCACGGCACTAGAGTTCTTGCCGATGGTCGTGAGATCGTCGTTCCTTTCCGCACTCTCAACTGAAATATCGGGTGCATCTTTATCTAGACTTTGAGTTGGGGAAATTCCGGATAAGGAAGTGGAAAAATAAGTGTAGCTTGACAGTTCGGGAGCGTTGGAAGAGAATTCTCTTGAGGAACTCAAATCAGCAATTTGGTCTTCTGTTTGATTGCCTACTCCTAGGCCTTCAGAGTCCAACAAATAGACTCTCTCTGTAACCGCTGGTGTTTGTTTCGCCTTATGTCTATTGATTGGGGGCACCTTGTCCGTGAACTCACAGCTCACGTTCTTCCGTGCACACAGCTGACAGGGTCCATGCTGTTCAATAATACATCTTGACCTGCGTTTACGACATCTGTCACAAGGCCTAATTTTTCTCGATTTGTACGGTCTCAGATCTGATCCCATTTTCTTCCCACTTTTACCTACTTTTTCAAATCATACTTTTTTCTAATCAAACAACCTTATATCCTTAAAGCTTGCATTTAGCTGCCTTGACTAGTTCTACAACTTTCTGACCAGCACCCCAGCTCATCTCGTAGCCGGATCCGCCAAAACCATAACAGTGGACGAGCTCAGTGCCGTCGACCACTTCTCTTTCGATTCTCACACCTCCGTGTCTTGCAGGTCTGAATCCAACGTTGATGCGTTTGATCTGGAATTCTCCGTCGATCAGAAGTTCCGGAAACCTTTTTTTGCCGTTAGCAATCAGCTTTTCGGTGTCTGCACTTCTAACCTGTGGATACAGATCTCCGACCTGTTTTGTACCTCCCAAGATCACACCCCCGTCCAATGGACGAGGAATGACAAAGCAAAAAGAACCATCTTCTAGTTGATAGGTCACCGTTTCACGGTTGTAAGGGCAGTCCTTTGGGCTTTTCACCAATAGCGTTTGGCCTCTGATCGGATAGGTGGCTGGATCATAACCCCCATAATACGTTAAACCTCGTCCTGAACAGTTCACAATGGTGGCACCTGGAAACAACTCCGCAACTTGTTTTAGAGAACCAAGGCTTTCTTGCACGAATTTCACATTGTAGTACATGTCCAGTCTACGCTCTAGGAACTGGATGTACATTGGAGAATTCATGCACCACGCATCATACGTGGCGCCAAACTTGACTCCCTTAGGCAGGGCCGACTTCGGGAGAACCGTGAAGTTTTCAATGCCTTCGGCATATCCTGCGCTGATATTTTCGTAGAGCGGATCGTGACGTTCTATAAAATCTGTTCCTGGCATGAAGCGGATCGAGCTTTCAGGGAAGTCTGCAGCGAGCTCCTTAAAAGCCTCATATGTCGATCTGGTAAGCTTGGAGTCTCTGTACTCTTCTGGTGTCTTGGCCGGAAATGGTCTAAAATGAGCACCTGCCCATGGGGAAGTATACTGCGAGTCTGCTATCGAGGTCGAAGGCAGGTGCTTAGCAACAACCGTGACGTTGTAACCCTCTTCGGCCAACTGGTAGGCACAAGTCAGGCCAACAACACCAGCACCAACAACCACTATTGGTTTAGTCATGATGAGAAGCGAGATTAGATAAGATCTAGTTTTTTTTTCCTCTATTTATTTTAGTCCGACTGCGGGCAATCGTACGAGAAAAGCGGGCAACTTTCCGCACTGAAAAGATCAAGTGATTTTACCTTGCCCGAACCGACTTAGAAACACAAATTCTCGTTCCTTTACCTTTCCATGGCACATCCATCTCTGTTCAGCGTGAGTCATTGTGCATCCCGTAAAGCTTTTCAGACAAGTTTTGGTATGTCTGGAATCAAAAAAGTCAAATGGTGGCTCCAAAAGGGTGCATGAAAAATTACTTCTCCAAAATCTACAAGATGGACTGAAACATCGTATTAACACCGTTTCAGCCTTGCTAGCCCTGGATAGAATGTTCCTGTGCAAAGTTACCTAATTTCCTAAATATACCCAGAAGCCAACGCTGAAAGGTGATATACCGGAGTCCACCAGACATTGAAATGTTCGTTGCGTACCGAATGGTTCTTAGAGTGAGAGAAGACTAAATGACCTACCATAGCAGCGACTAAGTCACTCCGTGCAAAAGATACCAGAGCATGCTCGTTGATTATGTTTAGATAAGCGGGACATCAAATTACTGTTATTGCACCAAAACGGCAAACGCCCGACAATAATTATCGGGCTGGGGTACTCATCAGACAATTTTGCTGAGAACAAGGAAGCAGGAAACGTGTGCTTGAATAAAGGCAAAAGCTCAGAGTCAACCACATGGAACCAACACCAGAAGTTCGATCCACAGTCGTATTGGCCATAAAATAAGCTGGTTCTTAGTTTCGCTCATATTAGTGAATGGAACTAATTTCGGTACACCTTAACTTCACATCCTCGACCAAGACGACTTTAAGCGTGTTGAATTATCAGGTTACATAATCATCCATTTAACGGAAATGTGGTCTTCCCCTCCCCTGAATGAAATCCCAAAGATCAGCAATTAGTTGTTTATCAGATGTAAAACCATGTCTAACTTGTAAGATCAAATTTGCACTACAAGAGTACTACTCAGCGGCCGTCTGCCTTTTAAAACCTAGCACAGCTCTGTGGATATTGGTTCGCTATAGCAGGATCTCAGAACATATGAATAGCCTACTTGCAAGCTGCGAATCACGCACTATTGAGGATTAAGCATGAACCTTCATTGCCGAGATACCATCATGGGGCCTTCAAAGGAATGACCTAGGATTATCCGTCTTACTGATGACCGATAGACACCCAATCGTTGTCATAAACTGCTTGTGGCAGGCTCGCTTTGTGCGTTTGACATCTCTATATATCGTCTTCGTCTATGCTATTCTTTTCGAGTACAGAATGCTTCTCTCAACGACTGTTGATTAGGTCCTTCTGAGAAGCTGTCTCTGTGAGTGCAGTAATGTAAGGTACTCCAAAGACACGCAACTCAGGCAAGTATGAAGAACATGACCTGGTTGCCAGTGTAGTACACCGGCAGATTACCAAATCAAACGCGAACTGTAGAGCAATGACTCACAAATGCAGCATTCAAAACAGACCTCGTGGACCTACCTGGACCATTTGCAAACAGAATATAAGATTCTGTGAGTGCGAGACAAAAGAGCTTTCAAGTTCTGGAGCGAGCGCTTGTTAACTCAACGGAAGCTACCTTTGGCAAATTGTTGACCTAACGGAGTTTACCGCAGCCTGCGAGATAGCACGGACTGAGTTTGAAGCTGGTGCAGGTGAAACGCACATCGATCAGTTTGACAACTCATCTTGGCCCTTTACGGATGTTTGGAGTGACAAAAGCTGAGTGGCAACCAGTTTGTGACGGGAAGAGCCTGACCCTTCTGGTGAATCATCCTTTTCGCAGTGAAATGGCAATCCTAATGGTCACCATAACTGTTTTAAGAACAGATGAGACGTCACATCGTATCCCGCTATTTCTGCTGGGGAATTCCAGTTGAGTGGGGTGACGAGCTGGTTCAAAATAGGTACCCCTAACCGGGAAGAGTAGTATTGCAGTCACCAGATTTCGCGTGGGTTTGTTTCTCTAGGGCAACATTATGGACGCCAAGAGTTGCTAAAGGGTGGAGGCCCGTATTGCGCGGGATAACTTTCTACGCGCAAGAGCTGGTGGGTCACGCAAAATGGAACCTTTTTGATTTCCGTTTACTTTAGCGAATTTCAAGTTTGTTTTCTAATGCGTGATCCAAACTATGTACGTAGAAGCACTTATCTTCTCCGCGAGGGATGAGCGTGCAACCACAACAATAGCACGATCTACGAAGACGGTGCTTTCAAATTATCGGAGTGACTGTTTCTGCATTCTATGACTCTTGTCAATTCCTGGCCTCGGCTGGGGCCGGCCATTGCGGCTATAATCCTTCTTTAAGTCATGATCCTGATCGTGCGGCTAAGGAGGGCGCTCAAATGGCAAAATTTGGCGGGCTGAAATTGCCGAAATAAAGGGGAGCATGAGCCGCACAACCGATTTGGCAGAGGTACTTAGCGGCGCCTACCCCAACAGACAGATCTTTGACATCCATAGTATGTTGAATAAGCAGGCTTTCGTTCACGCGGGGAAGAACAATGTGCGCAGTCCCGCACAGAGCAGACTTAACAATAGATCTTGTCCACCCCGCAAATTGTTGTTCCCACTAATGACGTCATTCTAATATTGTCAGAGTCACCGTGCACATATCGCTACCAAACTGCAAATTGCTTTAAAAGATACATCGATGCTCCCGCGTGAATAAATAGACAATGGCTCCCACACAACAGAGGGAACCAAACGTTCAGCCATGAAGTCGTACTACGAGCTACTGGGGCCTGGAAGACCCACCAGAACCGTGCTGACACTCACCTGTTTATTTTCCTTCATCCTGTATGGATTCGAACAAGGTGCCCTCGCCAACATCCAAAATCACCCCGTGTTTCAAAGCCAATTTGGCCATCCTTCGGGTAACTACTTGGGGATCATTGTGTCTGTGTACAACCTCGGAAGTTTCTTTGGCTGCATTGTCAACTTCTTTATTGGTGACAAACTGGGAAGAAGAAAAACAGTCTGGGTCGGTTTCACCCTTGTTATCATCGGAATCACCTTGCAGACAAGCAGTTACAGTGTTGTGCAGCTATTTTTTGGACGCTTCATTTCTGGCCTAGGAACTGGAATGGAGACTAGTACGGTGCCCATGTTCCAGGCTGAGGTTGCAGGGGCCCACAATCGTGGTGGTCTCGTTGCAGCAGAGCCTCAGGGCGTGGCCCTGGGTATCACTATCTCGTACTGGATCGGATACGGCTGCAGCAAAAGGCACGACCAGACATCGTGGAGACTGCCAGTTGGCATCCAGATGCTGTTTGCCGTGTTGGCCTGGTTCATGTTGTTCCTGTGTCCTGAGTCGCCTAGATGGCTGATGAAAAAAGGACGTGTCGAGGACGCCAGAAACTGTCTTGCGCGTATCAACAACGTGCCGAAAGACGATCCACTCGTGAACAAGTGTATCGACGACATCCTGTACCTTCAAGAGGTTGAAGGGGAGGGAGAGAAGATCAGCTGGCGAGACATTGCCCGCGGCAGGGACGCCATGCACGCTAGATACAGACTCTTCCTGTGTGTTATGGTGCAATTCTGGAATCAGTATGGAGGTGTGAATCTTGTGGTGTATTACGTGCCGTTGGTGCTTGAGACTAACGTTGGAATGAACACTAACATGTCGACCATTCTTGGAGGCTGCATCATGGTGACTTTCTTTGTGTTTGGATTCATCCCGACTCTGTGGCTCGACAGAATTGGACGGCGATTTGCTCTTATTGGTGGCTCTCTGGGACAGATGCTCTCTATGATGATGATCACTATCCTGCTTAGAGTTGGAAGCAAGAGCACTTCTGCCGCTGCGGTTGCCTTCTTCTTCACATACATGGCCTTCTTTGGTACCGCCATGAACTGCGTGCCATGGGTGTACGTCTCTGAGGTTTTGCCTCTGCAGCTCAGATCCAAGGGCAACGCCATTGGAATCTCGTCAAACTGGATCAGTAATTTTGTGATTGCCATGATCACTCCTATTGTGACCAAAAACCTGGGCTGGAAAACCTACATCATCTTCACGTTAACAAACGGTGCCGCTGCAGTGATGTTCTATCTATTCTGTCCAGAAACCGGTAACAGGACGCTGGAAGATATCGAGGCCATTTTCCTGAACCACAACACGCTGTTTTACGGAATCAGTCACTTCGACAGACCATTGGCCGACCTCGACGAAAAGCCTGAAATCTCGCACATCGAGAGCGCCAGCAAGCTCCTCGAAAGCAGTTGATGAACTAGTATGTACATTGCGCAGCCTTATATCAGATATGTCATATTTTACAGAGACCTTTTGAAGTTTTAAGTTGTATGGCCCGGCTTTGGGAGGACATCCTACACAATTTGCGTGAAAGCTCGATGGCCCGACTGCAGCCTCGCAGAGCACTGAAAATTGATCACCGTCAAACCAAAGAGCCCTGTAGTTTTTGATCATTGAACGGGTGCCACTCAGAAAAGCTGATTGATGGTAGCATGGTATGTCGTCGATCTAGCTCTTTTCTGGATGAAGTGATCTTCCAGCTAGCAAAGTGGACACTCTGGACACCGTCGTGGCAATGCAGCAGCTATCCAAACGTTTGCGCTGGACAGGTTTGGCTGGTGTAGCACATTGGAAGAGCTCACCAGGCCAAAATATTATTCGCCCAGATGTGCAGTCGCGTCGCCAGACGACGATATAGTCAATACAGTCCTGAATGCTTGAATCTCTCACTACTTCTATACTGATTTCCTTATACTCAGACGGCAACGATTTCGTGGACAGTCTGGGCAGCCTTCACGACCTCCTCGTCCAGCCATCTTCTGCCCGTCAGCTGCAGGGAGATTGGCGCACCCTTGAAATCTTCAGCGTTGTCATACAGACCGTACTCGTAGGCCTCTAGCTCACTTCTCGGCTTATAGGATCTATCTGGGATATCTAAAGCCGGGTCGCACTTGAGTCCCGTAGGGAACACGACGTTTGGGAAGTCCAGCACATTCCACAGGCTGGTGTAGCCCCAGTAGTGAATTTTTTCTGGCTTGGTCGCAACGGAAACGTACGTTGGCGACAGAATAAAGTCCACGCCGAGTTCAACCATTTTGTCCTGGTACTCAATCCGATACTTGTCGCGGATACCCTGGCCAATATGCTCCTCTGCAGCAGACAATCCTTCGTCTCCACAGCCAAACGAGAGAGCGATCTTGGATAGTTCGCATAGAGGCTCGCCAGATGCAGCCAGACCGTCCTTCTGTCCTTTGTTGCCGTCGGCATTGTAAAAAGAGCCACATATTTCGGCCAGCTCAAGCACTCCAAAGGGGTCCCATTCAACCACCTTGACACCTGCCGCCTTCAATCTCTCGGCTGCGTGCTTAAGTCCCCGAATAATTGGAGGCGTAGGCTTGACAACTCCGTCGTCATACATAATAGCCACCCTCAAATCTTTGGCAGCAGGAACAGGAACATCTCTCCACGGCAACGGGACGATCGTCGCATCTCTCTGCCACGGCTTCGCATCCAACGAGGCTTTCATAAAGAGATCAATGTCCTGCGCGCTCCGGGCCAGAGGCCCTAGAACGCAAACGACAGCCTCGCCCACTCCGGTGCCGCAGATAGTCACGTTTTTCATGGACAATCTTTTCTGAGTTGGTCGGAGACCAAACACCCCGCAGAAAGCAGCAGGACACCGGATGGAGCCGCCAATGTCAGAGCCCAGACCAAACACAGATCCGCGCATGGCAACAAGGGCACCCTCGCCGGAACTGGACCCGCCAGTGGTCAGAGCCGTGTTGCTAGGATTTCTGCACAGCCCGGTAATGTTGTTGTTGGAGCAGAGATGCATTAATGTCTGGGGCTCGGTAGTCCGGATGTAGAAGACTGCGCCGGCCTCAAGAAGAACCTCCACGGTCAGACACCAGTTTTCTGTGACGTTTTCAATTTTAGAGACACAGGCGCCGTGAGTGACCTTTCCTTTGTAATTGTAGTGCTCTTTGAGAGACACCGGGAGGCCGTGCAGGGGGCCCACGGTCTGGCCAGTCTTCTTGTAGTAAGCGTCCAGCTCCTCTGCTCTTTTGAGCCCCTCGTCCAAGAACAGCTCCATCGCGCAGTTGGTGAGCTGGTGGGCCGCGGTAGCCGTCTTGGCATAGGCCTTGAAAACTTCGACGGCCGTCAACTCGCCGGACGCAATCTGCTTGACGAGTTCGTAGCCGGGAGTATTGACTACTTCTAGTTCCTCCTTTGTGAGTACCTTTTCTGGGATGCTTGTGACGTCTACCCCTGTCTCTTGGGGAATCAAGTTATCGGCCAGCTTGTATTCCTCAAGAATTCCAGCTTGCAGCTTTGCTCTATACGCCTCAATTTTAGGAATGAAGGTAGCGTAGAGCTCTTTATTTTCAGTGTTATTAGTGAAGGGGCCAAACATGTCTAAATCCAGTTTGACGTTGGTGCTTATATAAATTGGAATCAAGCGTGCAAGCCGAGGTAATTGCCTAATAGGGAAATAGATTTAGCTCTACCTGTTTTTCTGATAAGCAAAAATCATTAATGCATTATCTTACATGCCTCTTTGAGCAACACGCTGGCTAGCAGAAATAGTGCCTTGATTGGCCGTGGAGATAACTAGATTGTCGTAAAAGGGAATCTTCTCGGCTTGCTGTGAAGTAGATATGGATACGGATGGATATATTTGTGAGCGTTTACTTGGGTAGATCCAATCAATTCGCATACTCTAGTATTAGGCATTTCCTGTTTTTCAGACTCGAAAGTAGCAAGTAATTGGGAAAGCCGTCTGTGAGTTGAGAGTGATCTCCATGGATTAATGCCCCGGTTTTCTATCTGCTGGAATTTTACAGTTTAGTTTTTTCTGGCTCTAAGGTTTACATGCTATTGAAGCAAGAGATAAGCACATGGGCCTCTACTCGTTTTGTTTTGGCAGATTCTGATCTATCTACTGCCAGCCATAATTTGTCTGGTCTTCACCAATTGCAGGCTAGTCAGCTGTCTGGAAGATCAAAATAGCCAAGCACGGAGTGACTCGGAAGCCAGGGACAGGTTCTCCGTGTGTAAACCACTACAAAGTAGGACGGTACAGCTCTCATTTTGAGAGCCAATGTGGCTACGAAAACACATATATCCAGACCGATATTTTGTCTTAAGCAAAAGAATCAGAAGTACTCTACCTTTTGCAATGGACTACCAGTCTAGTTACTATAATGCTTGCCAGTGCTGAAACCTGATGTATACTCACAACGCTCTTATTTCAATCTGTTTTTGGGCTGTAATAGTTGTTGGATATTACTAACAGGCTCTGAAAAACATTCATTCCCCCAGGCCCCAAATTATAAAACTAGTTCGCTTAAATAAATAATTTATCAAAATTAGTTTTATCAAGTAAGGCCTGCCAACCCAGACCCTCATCCCAAGTCCGGTTTAAAAATTCAATGATGCTGTCAAAACACGAGTTCTTGATTGCACAGCCAAAATTGTGCAGCCGCCAAAGCATATAATCACGCTGGCTTTTTTCCACAATGGCCGTGCCAATGATAGAGAATGGCCATGTCAGGATTCCTGATATGCTTGAATGGAAGCTCAGCTGCTCCAGGTCACTGATAAAATTGCTTATGCGGCGCTGGATATCACTCTCGGTCTCCAAAGTCTCAGGATAGAGTAGTTTGTAAAGAAGAATGTACGCTCCTTGGGCCACTATGCGCGCAGCATGACAGCTATCCAAGAGCCGTTTGCAGACATGTTTGGGCTGATTGAACCGCACGTCAGGGGGTAGGACAGGAGGAACAAAGTACTTGGCCAGCCGAAATAATGCGATAGCCTGATGTCGCATACTTTCGTCGAACGGATAGTGCAGCTGCAACCATCCGGCTTTTGAAGCCAACTCAAACGCTGGAAGCGCGGCTCCCATAACCGGGTTATTCATCCAGGGAGCAGGGCACCTGTAAAGCTGCTGGTCCAGTAGCGGCTGCAGCTCATCAAAAACCTCAAAGGGTGAGTCCAGCAAAAACTGAGATTTCTGGTCCAAAACTAGTCCAATAACAGAGTAATTGTATGCAAAGCTCTCCACCAAGGTGCGCTCAATCGGTGTGAGAAGCCAGGTCTGCTCAGATATGACAGACCGTATGTCTTCAGGAAGGCCCTCTAAGTGTTTCGAGTTTGCCAGCTTTGTTTTTGGCCAGTTGCGGATGAGTTGGAAAGCTATTTTCAGAAAAAGTACCGTGCGATGACCGTCGAGACCGTAGAACTTTTCCCTCAGCGCAAGCGACAAAAGAGCGACAACTAGCCACTTGTTGTCACTATCGAAAGAGACGCAGGTTACGACTTGCTGGAATTGGCCCATAACTTTTGCCATTCTGGATTCGGCCAGCTCACGCATGTCCTTGCGGCTGGCTGCCAAAAAAGCTGCCCCGCAGGCGTAAAAAACATCCAAAAGCCACGGGTTTGCTGCGCCATGAGGAATGAAAACCGCTCCCGGTTGCAGTCTTTCGTGCGTGAGCTGGGTCGACACCGCAACCATGAAACCATTGACGAAAGCGTCATAAATGTATGCGTCTTTCGGGGAGATAAGCCCTGGAAAACCGTAAACAAAACCAAGCAGAGCACTTTGTGAGCACAAGCTCGCGACGTACTTGCGGAAAATGGCGTCGTCGAGCTGGTCCTGGCGACTTGCGCGTTCTACGGGCTTGACGGAGACTTTTTCACTTTCTGTGCGTTTGACACTTTGTGTGTCCCTTTTCCGGCGCTTGTTCCCATACACGAATACGAAAGTGCTCGTCTGCTTCTTCTGGAGCTGGAACTCGTTCAGCGATGACTTCGGCACCACTCCTTCTGCCCAGACACAGACATACGAATTCCGGACGCATTGAGCGCACTCCGGCGGGGTTTCGGAGCACTTCACCTTGCGTTTGCGACCTGAAGGTTAGAATAAAGGTCCTCATACTTACAGCACACGCACCCATGTGTACTTTTTGATCTCTTATTTTTCATTTAGTTGTGAATAAATAGCCGCATCATCTTTTCGTAATCTTGATAAGCAATAAAAAATATTCATGCGATATTTTGATGCACGACCACAACTGCTTTGACACTTCCTCGTCATATCATCTTTTTCTCGTAAGCTGGAGCGAGATTGGGCCAACTCCATGGCCTTCCGTGCTATCTTACAAGGCCCACGCCTAAGCCTCAATGGCGCTTCCTGGCTTGGACGACGTGTCTGGAGCGTTCGGAGCAGACCGCATTTCAGACCGACTGGCAACACAACGTTTGGAAATGCCCGAATATGCCAGACAATCGGTAACTCCGGTACTGGTACTTTTCTAGCTTAGGGGCAACAGAAAAATACGCTGGAGAAAGAGCAAAGTTATAGTCTATACATTTTCGAAGAAAGCGTTTGTGGTAATCTTCTCTGATCTAGCCAAAAAGCTACTTTTCCAAAACTAGTAGTGGCTTATCCGCCTTTCCAACTCTCGATGAACTCTTGGTGAGTGCAAAGTGTGCCTTAACTGAAGCCAAAATGTCGACTTTCTGACCTTTCTTACTTTCAGCATGGTATATGCAATGAACAGCGGTGACGAGCTCTTTGACACCAAATCAGCTCCACTCAACTGCCTTTGATCCCACGGCCTTGGGTTTGTCTGCTGCATGCTTGATATCTTTAAGAATTGTTGGGCCGACTTGATAACTTCATCGATGTTTATAACGGCTATTCTAATATCTTTCAGAACAGGAGCAACATCTCTCTCCACGACGGAGCAATAATGGAAAGATCCGTTTTCCGGGGCTTGGTTCTAGTTAAGACCTCCATAAAAGGGTTTAGGCCATCTACGTACAAGGCGAATGAACCAAAAACAAGAAGAACTACCTTCCCGACTCCTAAGTCATTTGCTGTGCAATGTGCATCCTGATTCGTTCTGTGTGTGTCCGTAACCAAATACCCTGCAGAAAGCTATTGAAGCTCTGTAGGCCTACAGTTGTCTGATTTAATACCGATGGCAGGGCCTTGGATGACCACAATGGCTTCTTAGCCGGAACCGGACTCGCCAGGGGCCAGCAGGTATTTTGAGGGTTGCAGCATCATCTGGTGATGTTGCACAAATGCGCCAGTCTCTGGGACTCTGGTGCAGACATGGCACACTGCTCCTGCTCCAAACACGATATTGATCAGTGAGCATCACTATTGCCAGAGAATCCCGATTATAGGGACCGTGGCACCGTGAGTAACCCTGCCCTTATATTGCAGTGATCTGTCAGCGAGACTGGCACAACAACGGAACGTACCAACCGTCTTATCGATACGTACGTAGTACTTCAATGGTTCCCGGGCCCCTTGAATCCCTGCTCCAGGAACACATTTGTTGCACAATTGGTAGCTTGGTAGCCTAGTGAGCGAGAGTGGCAGTCTTGGCGAAGTTCTCAAATGCCTGCACGGCTGACATGCCCACAATGGGCAGCTCGTCTGGTGTAGCTACTTTTTCGGCGACGCTACGTCGCTGCCCTTAACGTGCATTAGTGCGTCCTTGGAATGTCTAGTTGTCCAGAACACGAGCCACGAGCCTGGTGTGGTACACCTAGAATTTGTGCTTGGATGTCTCAAAAAGAGACGTTCTTCGGTGTTGGTGGCATACTTTCCCTAGTAGGCGGGCAGGAAATCTGTCATGAGAAAAATAAATCAGGTTTATTTCATTTTTGCTGCACAATTCCGAGGACTTCTTCCTGTTTGGGAAATGCATTTCTTATCTTCTGCAAAGTGCACTGCCAGATGGCATCCATTCGGTATATCCAGATAAGCAATAGTGGTGATTCAGATAAGCAGCAACGCACTATAAAGAGTCTCCAGTTCCGGCAGTTGTTGAATCAGCTTAGAGATGCACACAGAAATCGATTTCTCTGCTGTTCCCGGCACCTCCCATTTGGTCGACCTCGACCACACCAGGGAGACTGTCGAAACGGAGTCGGGCATTGTGCTGATCCCAACTCCATCGGACGACCCTAACGACCCACTTAACTGGTCTCGTGGCCGCAAATGGCTAGCCATCTTCTGTACCGTCGTGTACATCTTCGGTGGAAGTGTTCCTGGCTGCTGCATATACTCGATTTTGACAGATATCGCTGAGGATCCAAATGTCCACGTGACGGTTGGGCAGCTCAACGAGGGTACCGGATATATGTTTCTGTTTCTGGGGATCGGCAACCTGCTGATGATGCCTCTGGCACAACAATACGGAAAAAGACCGGTTTACTTGATCTCGCTGCTCGGAAACATCATGTTTAACCTGTGGCAGCCATACACGCACTCGAACGGCGAATGGATTGCTTCGCGCATTCTGAACGGGTTTTTCTTTGCTCCTGTCGAATCGCTGCCGGAAATCACCGTTGGCGACTTGTTCTTCGAGCACGAAAGAGCAACGTACATGGGTGTCTACAGTGTTGCGCTCTTTGGCTCGAATTACATGGCGCCTATGCTCTCTGGGTTCGTCAGAGACGGGCTTGGGTGGAAGTGGGCGATCTGGATCGCCTGCATCTTTGGCGCCGTGTGCTGGTTCTTCTTGCTGTTTTTCATGGAGGAGACCAACTACACCAGAAGACTGAGAGTGAGAAAAGACGACGACGGAAACATCGTTGCCACCATCACGAGCCGCGGCGAGCAGAAGACCGACGAGAAGAACCCAGATTCGATGCTGGTCGTCACAAGCAACGAGCTTGGCAACCAGGCGGCGCTCATCGACGAGGAAATCACGTATCCGCCGCCAAAGACGTTCTGGCAGAAACTGTCCCTCACCAGTGGAGCTCGCAAGGAAAACCATCTGCTGGACGAGTTCAAAGCCATTGCTCTCATGGCGCAGTTTCCTGGAGTTCTCTACGCCGGCTTCCTCTACGGCTCCTCGCTCTTCTGGTACTCTGTGCTTAACGGCACCGAGGCTCTGGTTCTGGGCAGCGAGCCTTACAATTTCTCGTCCTCTATGTGCGGACTCGCTTACCTGTCGCCTGTGATCTTCTGTCTCGTGATATATCCATTTGCTGGCTGGTCCACCGACTGGGTGAAGATCAAGATTGCCAAACGGCACAAGGGCCTTTCGGAGGCCGAGGACCGTTTCTGGGTGCTGCCAGTTTACATGATTCTCGGCCCAACAGCGCTGATTATATGGGGCGTGGGAGCAGCCAAGGGCGTGCACTGGTTTGGCGTCGTGTTTGGGCTTGGCCTCATGGCCGGTCTCTGCACGATCGGCTGTGTGTCCGCTGTGACGTACATTTTGGACTCGTACGAGCACATGAGCGCTCCGGCGATCACCGTGGCGATTCTGATCAGAAACACCATGAATTTCGCGATGGACTACGGAATCACGCCGTTCTACACCAACGTCGGCGTCCAGAACTGTTTTGTCGCCTCGGCGTTCATCTGCTTCTTCTGCATCGGCACTTTCATCGTGATGATCTTCACCGGCCGGTACTGGAGAAACAAAACCAAGACCCGCTACTGGAAGATTGTGCAGGAGTACAGGGCCAAGGGCCTTATAAGTTAATTAAATTACGCACCTAGTCTCGAGAACCAAACTTCTTGTCGTAGTCGGTCAGAACAAACCGGAATCTGACATCGTGGGAACGCGCTCTCTCGAGCGCCAGCTTGATGTTCTCCTCAGAGATAGGCAGACACTCGGTCCAGGCCTTGAGACCCTTGTCTGCCGCCAGTTTCATCATGCTCAGGATCTGTTGTCTGTTGCCCAGATGGGTGGAACTGAAAGAGATGGCAGACTGGCTTAGGGCAGGCAATTTCATCTCCAGCGGGTCCTCGGGCCTGCCAACAAACACAAACTTACCCTTGACTCTGAGACAGCCCAGGTAGCCGTCGAGATCAAAGTTCTCGACCGAGCTCGACGAGCAAATTATCAGGTCAAATTTCCGCCGGTGTTCGGATGGCCACTCGGAGTCCTCGCGCGTAGCAACAAATTCGGACGCACCCAGTTTCTTGGCATCCTCTGCTTTCTTGCTACTCCGAGAAAACGCACAAACCTCTGCACCAAGAGCTTTGGCAAACATGATAGCAAAGTGGCCCAGTCCGCCGATTCCAACGACGCCCACCTTCTTGCCCGGGCCGCAGCCGTTGTCGACAAGCGGCGCGTACGTGGTGGTGCCTGCGCAAAGCATCGGCGCAACCTCCTCGGTCTTCAAAGAGTCGGGAATTGGGAACACGAAGTACTCATGTGCTCGAATATGCGACGAGTAGCCTCCCCACGACTTGGAGCCGTCTGGGTAGTTTGAATTGTACGTATCGACCATATGGGGACAGTAGTTCTCCAGGTTGGCTTTACAGGCGTCGCACTTCAGACAGGACCAAATCTGGGCACCGACTCCCACACGCTGCCCCTTTTTGACGGTGGTCACCTTGTCCCCGACTCTGACGGCTTCTCCAATAACCTCGTGGCCAGCAATGATGGGCAGGTCAGGCTGTCCCCATCCTCCGGAAACCGTGTGCACATCAGAACCGCAGATGCCGCATGCGTGGATGAGGATGTCGACGTCGTACTCGCCGAACGGTTTTGGCTTATATTCGATCTTGGACACAGTGGACCAATTCTTGGTGTCTGTCACAGCAAATCCTTCAAAAGAGTCTGGATACATTCTGAGGTAGCAAATATAAATAGGAAGTAGCAACTTAGATAGGGCTGATGCAGCTGCGCTAAATTTTAGGAACTAGCCAGATTCCGGGGTTTTCAGATGCAAGTTCGATTTGTACCCCCACTTAAAGAAGTCTCGCGGCTTGGCATAGAGATAGTTAGAGGAGTCGTGCTCTTGGCCATCCGGTAGACCTTGGAACGAAACTTGTGGGTAGATCACCACATCCTCGACCTGCGAGGGTGCCTGAATCTGTGTAAACGTTTTGTACGAGAACCGTTGCGATTTCGGCACCTCGGGTCCGACGATGGGGCTCTGCAATGTTTTCGCGACAGAGACATGAACAGCGTTAGGAATACTGTTCAGGTAGTCCATGAGAGTGTCTGTGAAGATCGACGGCCCTGTGAGCGAGACGCTAGGCTCTCCCGTCGAGTCGGATTTGTGGAAAGCTGCTTCCCAGTCAATCTTCTTCAGTTTCTTGGTCTGTTGCAACGCAGTGTGCGATATACGGGTAATCAGCTTTGCTAGAAATGGATGCCCAGACCTGGCCTGAAACACGCTGGTGGAGAACGTCAGCCGTCTATTCAGATGCTGATCATAGTCTGGCTCGTTTGAATCGCCCAGAATCCCAACGTAGAGGCGTCCGTACATCATCCGTGGATGGTACCACTCGTTAATCGGCTTCTGAAGCTCGACGTAAGTGTCCACGTAAGTTCCCCCAAACAGATATATCAACAGATACTTGAGGAACTCGTACCTGTGGCGAGGATGGGGCAGTCCTTTGTATGCTTGCCACACCTCAGGAACGCTAGTTATGAGCATTTCCTCCACCAAAGCTTCCGCCTGGCTTACTTCAAGGACACTGTGCACATACGATGGGTTTTCTGAGCTCCATTTATGCACCATTTCGCTCACCTCTTGGGGCATATCGCCTGTCTGAGACTCAAAACCCCAGAGTTGGAAAATGTTATTCTCGGGGTCGGCGTCTTCAAACGGGAACATAGCCAGCAGTTTCGTTTCGATCGGGGATGAACTGTCCACGGGCTTGGTGCTGGTCCGAGAGCTTGTTTCAGGTAGGCTAGGGGAGCTGAAAACAAGCTTCATCGTGCTGTATGCGGTTTGCAAAGCCACCTCGAAAAAAAGGAAAACGGCTATGCTGATGAACCAGACATATTTGCCTCTGGCGAGTTTTCGCTTGAGAAGCTGGTCGCTATTGATGCCAGACGAGACGAATGAGGGCATTTATGATTTAGAACTGGACTCGTGAGCTATATATAGTGGACAACTATTTTCTCCGTAACCCAGGCTGCTCGAACACTTTACGGAAACCGGAAACCAATGAAGAACTGTTTTCTTGAGGCTCAACCGTTTCTTCCAACGGTTTCCAATCGTACTGGCCGTCTTGCTGCAGTCAGGCGTTCGGGCATCTACGAACAACCGTACAGCCAATCAGCGAAGAAGGTACCTACGTTTATCCTTATGGCGGCGACAAGGACGAGTCGCAAGTATGCGTTCCCGAACTGTGTCATCCAATCGAATTAAAAAAGATTAAAGAGCCACGTGCAGACCGGAAAAACAAGAAAAAAAATGGCGCAAAGCAGATCGCTGAGAGAAGGTACGCGGAAATCAGTTCATCATAATAGGTTTGACTATATTTCTCTATTCACTCCACCTCCGAAAACCACGACCGGGCAAAATGGTGTGTCAAGTAGCAGTACTCCTCGACAGACTCGTCGAAGTCACTGGTGCAGCGGAACCCTGATTTGGGCAGAATACACACGTCGTTGTTGAATATAACAGGGGCCTTCAGTCCGGAAAAGCCACGCCAGTTAATTTTGTCGCTTGTACCAGGGCCATACAACTCTTCGTTGGCATTGTGCCTGTTGAATTCAATCTCTAGAAGCTCCCTGTTTTCGGCTTCGTTCATGTATCTGTAAATTCCGTCTGAGAAGACGCCTGGCCCGGTCCAGTCAATAACCGACAGACGATTACAAGCCTTGGTTTCGCTATCATCGCTGTACATGTTGAGGTTTCCGCTGTACATGACCGTGAAGTGCATCCGCACGACGTGCGCGATCACCATGGCAAGCACTGGATGGAACCTGTCGCTGGTGAAAGCCCAGTTCTCAAATTGCAATCGTCTGCTCGTCAAGCTTGGCCACGACTCGTCGTTCACGTCATGCTCCACAGAGCCCACAAACCTGATGTCGTAGTCAACTAGGTTGTGATACCACTTGCTGATAGGCCTGTCGCAAGTGGTGTCGAGGTCTGCCCAGACCCCGCCTTCCAAGAACAACATCAAATACCGCGAAAAATCAGATTGCAGAATCATCAACGGCATGGTGTCCATGGCCTCCCAGACTTCGGGCACCGTGTGCTCGAAGGCACTTTTCACGGCCCTCTTCAGGTCCTCGCCGGAGAGCATTCTGTACTCGTGGTGTGGATTCTTCTCTCGCCACGTTTGCCTGTACTCGGGATATGGAATAGTGCTCTCGTTCAGCTCGCCAGGTGTAATCCACATCTGGAAAATCTTTCTAGGGATTCCTCCGGGACTCTTCGTGTAGGGGAACTTATCCGTAAGGCGTCTGTAGGTGGTCATCACATCCCACGGGTTAGCTCCCACATAGTCGGGGTTGGCTTTGTACTTTGGCGACGCTTCAAATTGCAGTCGGTAGAGATATGTCTGGGAGAGCTCTTGCGACTCTGGAACATTGGTCAGGTATAATTTAGTTGCAAGCGAGCTTAAAAGAGCGGTCAGGCACAGCAGCAGCGCAAATAGCACATTACGCTTCCTGAGCGTTGGTCTGTGAACGGTGCTTTCCATGTTGATAAGATTTTCAACTCACGCAGATTCAACTTCGTAAACAAATACCGGAAATGGCTCGTGCGACCATACTGTGTTTCCGGTAGTCCAGTCCCTCCAGTGCCTTTTTTGCTAGGCCATCAGAAACAAGATTAGCCATTGGCCCTGACATGATTGCCTATCCTTTTAGCAGGAGAAGATGCAAGCCCAAGTGGGCCTTGCAGTTCAAGGCCTACTTCATTTTTGTGCCCTGTCTGCTGGGTTAATGCAGCAAGACCGTTCGTTGGCTGCTGAAAAATTGCGCCTCGAACGGGAAAAAATGTAGGTGTGAGGTGTGCCTCATCGCTGCGATCGACACCGCACAAACTGCATGACACTAGCTCATGCCGCTTATGCCTCACCGCTGTCCGCAAAAAAAAGATCATAAAATTCAAACCCTCGTCGGAGACCAAGTATCGGAACTGCCTAATAGGGAATATTGATAAGAAATGGAGGTGAAGAAAAAAAGATAACCAAACATGGTACCAGAGTCTGTGTGTATTGTTGGAGCAGGAGTGTTCGGCATTTCTACGGCCATTGCTTTAGGGAAGCGGTGTCCCGAGACCAAGGTCACCGTGGTCGACCGGTTAGAGCCGCCAGTTACAGACGGCACCAGCGTCGATACCACGAGGTGTATCAGGGTCGACTACAAAGATCCCGTTTACGCCGAGCTGGCGCGCGAGTCAATGGATATTATCACTAATGATCCCGACGTGTCGCCATTCTTCCACCAATGTGGCATGTCGTTCGTCTACGACGGCGGAAACGACAAATGGGCAGATATCTGGATTAATGGTAAGATAGCTGCGGAGAAGGCCAACGAGGGAAATCCTGGCAAAATGCGGTACTATGACTCGCCGCAGGCGGTGTACAAGAGCATTCATGGCGTTGACTCCGAGCCATTTGTCGAAAATCCCCGCTGGAATAAAGGATACACCAATTATCTGAACGGCTTTATCGACGCTGAGAAAAGCATGAAAGCGTACTACGAGCGCGCCAAGACGTTCGACAATGTGAAATTTGTATTCAAAGAAGTGGACTCTCTCATGTATGATCCAGGCTCGCGCAAGGCAGAGGGCGTCAAGTTCGTGGACGGGTCAACAGTTGCAGCTGATCTCGTCATTGTGGCAGCTGGGGCCTGGAGTTGCAAGTTGGTCAATCTCGATGGGATCTGCAAATCCTCGGCAATTGAAGTCGCCTGGTACAAGCTGACCAAGGAGGAGGAGGAACAATGGGGCAAAATGGCCATCACGACGAACCTGTCCACGGGAATAAACCTTTTTCCGCCGTACAACGGCGAGATCAAATGTCTGAGACGGTCTCCAGGGTATAAAAACACTTTGCTGGTGCCAAATCCTGACCCAACAAAGCAGGAGCCCGTGCAGATCTCCTATCCGCGGACTATCGTCGACCATCCGACCGACTGGATCCCGCAGGACGCCGAAAACGCGCTCCGCGACAACCTGGCAGAGATCATGCCGGTGCTGGCCCAGAGACCGTTTGATCGCACCAAACTGTGCTGGCTCACACAGACTCCGTCGGCGAATTTCGTCATTGACTACCATCCGGAGTTGGAGGGTGTTCTTCTAGCCACAGGCGGCTCTGCGCACGCGTGGAAATTTGTTCCTATTTTGGGTGACAAGGTGGTGGACTACATGGAGGGAAAGCTGGACCCGACTTTGAAGGAGATGTGGTCGTTTGCAGAAAAGTTGCAGACCACGAGCGACAACGGCTCTGCGCCGCGGATGGACGGCGAGCCTCAAGAGCTCCGTGAGGTGGTTAGAGAATGTCCAAATTAAATAAATATTCAAATTAATTTTTATTTGATTTTGTAGCACATAAGCTCTAATCTTGATGCGATTCTGTGAGAGGTTTTTCCGCAAATGTACAGCAGCCTGAAAAGTACGACCTCGTTTATCTTGCTGAAACACAGTCTAGTCAGCGGGCAGCTGTGGAAAACATGGTCTAAGTCCTGTACCCGCCATTGATACTGACCTCATGGAGTAGAAATGCGTCGATCGGTGTGCTCAGAGAAATCGAGGCGAAACTACGTACTCTCGAGAGAAAACCGCGCAGAGTTTGACATCGCTGAATAAAATTGCTTATTTGAAGAACTTGTCGTAGCCGGTCAGAACAGCCCTGAACCTGATGTCACCACTGTCTACCTTCATCCAGGCCTTTTTCACATTGTCCTCAGAGATGTCAAAAGTTTCAATCATAGGCTTGATGTCGTGGTCAGCAGCTACCTGGAGCATGTACTCAATCTCCTTGGGCGAGCCAATAGCAGAACCACCAATATGGACACAGTTCGTAAGGTAAAATACTGGAATCAGCTCAAGCTTGACACCGTTAGGAGGCAGAGTGATGAACGTGAGCCGGCCGTCTGGTCTGAGCATTGAGATCACTTTGGCCAGAGACTCAGGTTCGAAGTCAGAACCAGTGCTGACAATCAGGTCCAGAGTGTCGTAGTTCTTGGCCTCAAATCCTTCTTCGCTAGTGGCGATGTAGTGGTCGGCCCCAAGCCTCTTAGCCAGCTCCTTCTTGCTGGTTCCTCTCGAAATCACAGTCACCTCTGCCCCCAAAGCTTTGGCAAACATAAGGGTCATGTGACCGATGCCCCCCAATCCGTAAATACCAACTCTTGTGCCTTTCTTCACTCCATAGGAAATGAGTGGACGGAAACCAGTAATACCGCCACACATCAGAGGGGCGGCGTACTCAGTTTCCAACTTTTCTGGAATGTGGATCACAAATTTGCTGTTTACTCTGATGTGAGAAGCATACCCCCCTTGGACCGGGGTACCGTCCTCATAAGAGCCCAGGTACAAATTCTTTATATCTCTGCAGCAGTTTTCATGGTCGTGCTCACATCTCCAACATTTTCCACAGCTGTCGCACTCTGGACCCACACCTACTCTGTCACCAATTTTATACTTGGAGCTATCAACACCTTCGCCAATAGCGACGATCACGCCGATAATCTCATGACCAAAGGCCATTGGAAGTGGCAAGTCGCCCCACTTGCCCTTACTGGCGTGAAGATCAGATCCACATATACCACAGGCAAGAATCTTGATGTCCACATCTTGAGGTCTGCCTTTGTGGGGCTTGTAAGTAAATTGCTGGACTTCTGGCCAGTCTTTCAGGCTTTTAACAATTCCTATTGCTTTGATATCCTGGACGGCCGACATTCTATTTGGTACTCGAGGGTTTGCCTTGCAGACTTATATAAACGTCAAGGCCCCGGGATTACATAGGACTTAACTACGACACCGGATTTAGCTCGGAAATTATGACAATTGTTTTTCGCCAAAAAAAAATATTGTTTGAACTGTTTTGTCAGTCAAATCAATAAGCATCACCCGGATCGGCGACATTGGGCATTTCAGATGACCAAGGTTTCTCGCTTACGGGTGAAATCGTCTCAACTCCGAAATTAGACCATATTCTTCGCGAGATTTTTCAGGACAAGACTAGGACTTTGTGCCAGTTTGTTTTGCAAGTGCTCCATAATCGGTCTGGCGTCGATAGGTGGGGCCATGATGTCCTGGGGCGTCCTCCGCGAAAGATTGAGAAGCACCTTGGCCATATCTGTCGAACCTGAACCTTTGAAATGATTCCATATCACCATAACGGCCGTGTAAAGACACCAATCATAGTGGAAGCTGCCGTCGGCTTGCCAGTAATCCAAGTTCAAATACCCCTCGATGATCATCTGTGAGGCATGCCATACCGCTGTTCTGATATCTGCAAAGGTATGGTTTGCTATTGATAGCAGTTTCTTAGGCGATGCGAGGTTAGCCGAAAGTAGCAAATGTGCGTGCCGGTACAGTGCTCCGACGGAAGTTGTGTACTGCATGAAAACTGGATCGCTTCTGACAGGCTCGTTCATGGAACTCTGCCACCGGCTAAAGTCGTCGTTCCAGTTCTCGAGGGCCGTCAGAATCTGCAATTTCCAGCTGTTATCGCTAAAGCCAGGACTCAGTTTTTGGCGGTCCAATAGAACACTCAGTATTCCATGCAGCATAATCTGTTTCTGATGACCATCGGTACGTGTAAGATCACACTTGGAATTCAAACACCCCTGTAGCGCCGCAGGGAAACTCACCGGTTTTGAGCGGCGTCTCACATTTTGCCATTCGTAAGCGGACGCCATCCACAGTTGGAGCGAACAGGGCATGTTACAACGGAGCTCGTAAGCCGACATTGTGCTTCCGCAACCAAAGAGCACGCTCTTCTCAACGTTTAGTCGCAGAGCAAGGAATGTAGCCCTTGTTCGACTCTCACTTACGACCCATTCGTGCCAGCTTCCTGGCTCAGGCGTCTGCTCAAAGTATCCAGTCTGACGCATGATGTGAGTAAGCACACCAGCAAAGGCAAGAGCATGCTCGTGCTGCATCTTGTCGCCCAAAAAGAGTTTCACAAATTGGCACACAATCAAGGCTTGGATCAGCTGAAGATTGCCGCCCAGAAGCCCCGGGAGCTCGAAGAGCCGTTTCTCGAGCATCGCAACCACTTTATTAACCACATCATACTCTCTGCAGCATCCTTCCAAAACAAGGCTTGCCAACAAGTAAATACTTTCTGTACTGAAACTCTGCACGTGAACCAAGGGATAGGTAAGATTAAAGCCAGAGAAGAAGTTCTCCAGTGACCTCTGCACGGAAGGTGTGTCTAACATTCCGCAGGAATTAACACTCTCCAGAACGACTTTCTCTGTCTCACATAATCCTCGGACAAACCGCTGGACACGCTCCACTGTTGGCTGGTCCATAGTGGGCATCGAGCAGTCCACCCTGGAGTACTCGAAATTGTACTTGTTCCACACAGCACTAGACTTGTGACTCAGCTTGAGCAGTTCCGGCTCCAGAGTAGCCTCGAAATTATGGCTCTCGGAGAAGACGTCGCTGCCGTTTTTCGAGAACAGCCGGGTGTCTGTCGAGTCCGGCGAGCTGCCACTGTCTTCTCCTTTAACGCGTTTTGTGTATCCCTCTTGAGGACTCCAAAATTTCCGTCTTGTCGCGAGCTCCCCGAGACCCTCTCCGCCGGCCTCAATATCTTTTTCCTTGTGTCTTTTCATATGACGATCTAAAAATTAGTACACTCAAGCATCTACATACTCAAGCAATCTGAGCGGCGAAACGGCGCACCACAGCGTGGACAAACATGTTTGGTGTCGCTGTGGTTCACCATGTGCCGTTTCAGATGGTCTTTGCGCTTGAAGGCCTTCGAACACTGATTGCAAGCAAACATTGTGTGGGAAAAAAGGGGTTTTACGCAAAGTGGGAACTAACTGTTTTTCGGGACGCTTAGCTAAGCGGGCCCCGGATGGTGCACCCTGACACCCGAATCTACAACAAGCACCAGCATCTCCATTATACAGGTGGCTCTGCGAAAAAGGGCAGCTCGTCAGCTCACTGCCACATACTGGGCCTCAGCTCGTCGCCCATCTGCGAATATACCTGCTGCGCCGACGCAAACGGCCCCATGCCAGCCAGTCCTTGTTCCTTGATGTCCTTCAACGGGTCCGGAAGCATGTCGCGAATATCCCGGCCCTGGGCGTCCACAAACTTGTCTCTGTCCTCGCTCATCTCCACCTCTCTCGTGGAGATCTTGTTCATAAGCTTGAGAAAGTTGGAATTCTGGAATTTGTCGCTTGTTTGTTTCGAAATGTCTGCCGGTGGCTGCGACATCGTCAGGAAGACAGACCGCGCCAGCTGGGCAAACTTAACCTTATCGTCCTCGTTCTGCGGCTTGACCTGCTCGGCCTGCTGCTCGTTCATCGCCTCGTCGCGCAACTCGTGTTCCAGCTCGTCGAAGGCAGCGTCCACGGCTGAAAAGTCCTGCTGGACGGTCGTAGCAGAGACGACCTGCGGTGCGAGCGACGTGGCAACCTGCGGCGGCCCCGTGCGCATTCGGAAGGCCGGGGCGTACGCATCGGCCGCCTCCCGCTGCTGCTGCTGCTGCTGGCTCTGCGAAAAATCGTATCGCCACTGCGTGGAGTGCACAGACTGGTTTTGCACATGCTGAAAAGTCTGGGCCTCTGGCGTGTCGTGGAGGTTCATGTCGCGAAAGTGGTCGACCCATTGGTTCTGCTCTATAGTGGCAGGCGGTACCGCAGCCTGGAACGACGGCTGGAACGAAGGGGTTTGTTGTTGGAAAGCGCGGTACTCAGACTCCAGTTGTTGATCCACCGTCTGGTGGGGCGGAGTCAGCAGACGCTGGCTGTCGCTATTCGCTCTCAGCTGGCTCGTGAGCGAGTTGTCCACATTTGCTCGTTGTGTGAACTTGTTGAGCGCGTTGTTTGCCCCGCAGGAATCCCCAAAGGCGTTGCTGAAGCTCATGGTGGTGAGTATTTGTGGAGAGATATTTTTTTTGGGACGATGGATTTAATTGCTGCTTTTGGAAGCTGCGTCGATCGACGCAGCTTATCCGTACTTGTACTCGACAAGGGCGTCGACGCGGTGGTTGGTGGTGCTGAAACTGCGGAACTTGACGCTCTCAGTTGCACCCGTGATCTCATGCGTGCGCGAGTCCCCCCACTCTTCAGGAACGCGACAGTTCGGGTCGGCGTAGACAAGGACGTTGAACGTGCACTCGTCCTCGAGCTCGGGCAAAAACGTCACCGACGCGGTGATCTGGCGAATAATTGCCTGGATCTCCCGCTGGATCTGTTCGTTGGTTTTGCCTTCCGTCTGCTCGGTGTCGGGCTTCTGAATTTCCAGGTTGAACTGCCATTTCTCGAGCGTCTCGCCCGTTTCCTTCGACACAATCGCCACGACCAGCCGCGAGATCGAGCCTCCGTAGACCCACCTGTGCAGCTGTTTCATGACCTGCTTCACGTACGACTGCAGTTCGTCGTCTGTGGGAACAAGCATGTTGAGCCCGTATTTTCTCACGGTCTGGAAGTCCTCCGGCGGATAGATCCCGCGCTGGTACAGGATGCTATGGATGCTATATTCGAAAAAGTCTGACACAATTCGTGACGATCCTTTCAGGGCGAGCTTGGAGCGGGCGGGCACTGAATCTGACATAAAATAAATAAATAAATAAATTTATTTATTTTCTTGTCTCATGGTAAGTGTCGTTAACACGTCTGCTAACCGTAGCATGGAGTAAAGCGAACAAGGCTTACCAAGGACACACGCCTGCAGAAGATCAAGAAGGATGCGGTGCGGATTGCAAGGTACCGGGCGCTCACTGACCGCGTGCTGGACAATAAGCAGAACCGTGTGTACAACGGCAAAACGCTAGCCCAGACAGAAGAGCTACTAGATATTAATCCGGAACTATACACTGTATGGAACTATAGGAGAGACATTCTATTAGAGCGGTTTAAAACATGCGATTCGGATGCAATTCATGACATAATAAAGAACGAGCTGGCATTGAGCGTGGAACATTTGAGACGGTTCCCCAAATGCTACTGGATATGGAACCACCGCAAATGGTGTCTGGAGTACGACCCCCTGACCAATTGGGACGCTGAGATGGCGATGATTGACACTTTTCTAAAGGCAGACTCGCGGAATTACCACGTGTGGCAATATCGACGGTACGTGGTGGACCGCATGAAACTGGGGCAAACGAGCCAAGAGCAACTGGACACAGATCTGCAAGAATTCAATTACACAACAAAAATGATCAACAGAGACATCTCGAACTATTCTGCGCTGCACAACCGGTCCCGGCTGGTGAAGATGCTCTTCGAAAACTCCCCCGAGTCTGCAACAGTGTTCCATACGAAAAATAAATACGAGTTCCTTGTCCAGGAGCTCCAGATGGTGAAAACGGCATTCTATACTGATCCCGACGACTCGTCCGTGTGGATATATCTCAAATGGCTGCTTGGTGACTACTTTATTGGTAGCATCAGCACGGAGCAGGCCCGTCAGGTGGTGGAGACTGCGATCGCCGACATCAACGAGCTGAACCAGCTTGAGCTCGAGGACAACGGCGTTGACAACCAATGGTGCTTGAAATCACTCGTCTTCCTTGAACAGCAGCTCGCGAAAGCCACGGGCGTGCAATCGGGTCGCAAAAACGCTATTCTGAAAAAACTCATCGAGCAAGATCCTATGCGTATTAAGAGATATGAAAACTCCATGGATTGATTATTTGTCAAAAGGTCTTTCCGGTTTGTGTTTGCGGTTCGGGTTGTAGCTATGCTGGTAGTGTTTTTTGAAGACCTTTCGAGGGGCAGCACGGTTATTACTTTGGTAGGTGGAGCTGGGGTGGGGACGAGGAGAGTGGTTGTCTGGCGCTCCATGGGTAGGAGGCACTCTGTAGTTCTTCGCAGCAGGCTGTCGCGGAGCCTGTCTGGGCGCCGCAGCCTTCTGCTGGGTGTACCTCTCCTTTTCGCTTGCGTACTGGCTCACCTCGTCCAAATACTTTTTTTTGCTGTACAGAAATCTGACCGAGCCGGTCTTGCCCACATCGTAGTCGCGCAATTTGAAAAAAAGGTCCTCGTCCAGGTTCCGAGGCGGCTGGGAGCCATTGGGTCTGTCGTCCTGGTGCAGACCAATTTTGATGTTGAGAATCACGTCATTTATAATGTGTTTGCTGTCGGTTCTCAGTTTCAGCTGTTCAAGCGCGTCTCTCATGAATGAGGTCTCGTAACTGTCCAGGTAGTATTCCAAAAACTCGTTCACCGCGTTGTTGACCTCGTCCTTGCGTGCGTGGACAGCAACCTCGCGCTCATTGAGCAGACGCTCAACTTTTCTTTCCAGATTGAGTTCGTTCCAGATAAGCAAGCTGGTGCGCAGAACGACGATTGCGTTGAAGTTCGAGGGCCATTGCAGCGGCAATTCCGTCGCATACAAGTCATTCAGCATCGACCAGCTCAGAAAACAGACCTCTTTGGGGATTCTGAAGTACTTGGCGTATTTGATTAGCAGCTCCTCAATGAGGAAATAGCGGAAATCGAAAGCCTCGAATTCCATAAACTTCTTTTCCATGCTCAGAAGCCGTTTCCGGTGCTCATCCTGCTCCTGCGGAGTAGCCACGATACCTCGTAATTTGTATGCCTCCGAAATAACCAGAGAGAGTTTCTTGATGTAATCGTTTTGTTTGAGCGAAATGAAGAGGGCGGTGATGCCCACGTCGAAGTGCGCGCTGCCGTACTTGGCAAAGCTGTTGAACATGTAGAACCGCTGGTAGTAGTAGAAACAGCCTTGAAGAATTTTAGTGGGGAATTGGAGTACCTTGATGAGTTTGCAGAGAAACTGGAAAACCTCTCTTTTCTTGACTTTGTACGCTCTGGCCAGGCTGTCATCCATCAGGCTGTTTTTGAAAAGATGGGTTATCTCTTCCTTGCTCAAGTAAGGCTTGGAGAGCTGTATCACCCCGACAAAATCGCCAGAGGCGTCAGGAGAGAGAGACATGCTAAAGAGCGAGAATTGATTATTTGGGACTAAGTTTTTTCGAACACAATTTTTGGTCTAACGTGTGGTGCGAGGTGTACAAGTAAATATCCGACCCGGGGTGCATGATCGGTAGCCTTTCCCCGCTATTTTCTATTGCGGCTAGATACCCGATTTCGCCGCTCTTAACGACCCTCCACGGGGCTATCCCACATATCCAACAATTTAAATTGTCGCATGTCGCAGCTTCCCAGCATACCTGCTTACATTTTTAGATTTTCCCTGTGAAAAATGCCCACCGTCTTTGATGAAGTCTCCAAGCACACGCTCATCTCTATCGACACCATGTCCCAGGAGGACAAGGAGTTCTTGATGAGAAAGTACAACATAGACTTCCTGAATGCCACCAGTAACCAAGCTATCTGCTTTGCCAACTGGCAGCTTCACCAGGAGGTTGTTTACGAGGCCATCAAATTAGTGAACGCGAAATTCGGCGACTCTGTCCCGCGATCTGCTTCTGCGTCCAACTTCAAAGAGTACATCCAGACGATCAAGTACTACAGCACTGCCATCAGTGGCAGAAACCAACTGAAGGGCCTCAAGGGCTGTGTTCTGTCTCAAGTAACCCCTGAACATATGTATGACGAAGAAGCCACCTACACTGGCGTCAAGAAACTGATTGAGGCCTACGAGGATGTGGGAGTCGACCGTTCCAAGGTCATTGTCAAGCTCGGTACCTCTTATGAGACCATGCAGGCCGCTAAGAGGCTGTCCAGCGAGGACAAGATCCAGATCTTGGGAACGATGGTTCACTCCTTGGAACAGGCAGTTCTTGCCGCTGAGGCTGACTGTGTTGCCATTTCGCCGTACGTGGACGATCTGAGCTACAATATTGACCCAGCATCGTACAAAGACGAGTCATTGGACAAGCACTACGGCTACAATCTCGCCGTTGCTATCCACAAGTACTACAGAGCTTACAACATCAAGACCGTCAACTGTGTTGCTGCCCAAATTGGCATTACGCCAACTCTGGCTCTGGCTGGTGTTGACGAGATGACTCTGCCGCCACCGACCTTGAACAAGATTCTCAACTCGCCGCTTCCGGCCGATTACAAGGGTCCCGTTCTGAAGCAGACGTACACTGCTGCAGAAGCTGGTGCAAAGTTGTCCTTTATCAACGACAAGGAGAAGTTCTACTCGCTTCTGAATAGCAACGCCACAGCATTGAAGCGTATCAACAGCGCCAGAGATGTTTTTGTTACCTTCGACGCCAAGGGCAGCCAATTGATTGAGACAGTTCTGAGCGAGCTGAAATTAATCTAGGTGATCTGTATAGAGCTAAAAAAAACGATCGACCCGTCGATATATTTTTAATTCTTATTTTCATTTCTTCAGTGGCAAACCGACAAAATGGTGAGTATGAGCACCTCCACGCTAGCTAACAAAACAGGGACAAGACGCATCGATGCCTAGCGGCAAGAAGAAGGACCAGGACAAGAAGAAGGAGAAGCCTAAGTACGAGCCTCCTGTCCAGACCAAGACTTTTGGAAGAAAGAAACGCAAGGGACCAGACAACATCGCCAAGTTACCCTCTGTGCTGCCGAACACACGCTGCAAGCTCAAATTGCTCAAACTCGAGCGGATCAAGGACCACCTGCTGCTTGAGGAAGAGTTTGTCACCAACCAGGAGATTTTGCAGCCGACGGAACAGAAACAAGCAGAAGAGAGAGAAAAGATCGACGACATCAGAGGAACGCCAATGTCGATTGGGACGCTTGAGGAGATCATTGACGACGACCACGCCATTGTGTCGTCTTCCAGCGGTCCCGAGTACTACGTGTCGATCCTGTCGTTTGTGGACAAGGGACTTTTAGAGCCCGGATGTCAAGTGCTTTTGCATCACAAGACTGTCTCTATTGTGGGAGTCTTGCAAGATGAGACAGATCCTGTCGTGAACGTGATGAAGATGGACAAATCGCCGACCGAGTCGTATGCAGACATTGGAGGATTAGAATCGCAGATCCAGGAGATCAAGGAGGCCGTCGAGCTGCCTCTGACGCATCCGGAGTTGTACGAGGAAATGGGTATCAAGCCGCCAAAGGGTGTGATATTGTACGGTGCGCCGGGTACAGGAAAAACGTTGCTAGCCAAGGCAGTGGCGAACCAGACGAGTGCGTCGTTCCTCAGAATTGTTGGTTCCGAGCTGATCCAGAAGTACCTGGGAGACGGTCCACGGATGTGCAGACAGCTGTTCAAGGTGGCGAGCGAGAACGCTCCTTCTATTGTGTTTATCGACGAGATTGACGCGATTGGCTCGAAGAGATACGAGTCCTCGTCGGGAGGCGAGAGAGAGGTCCAGCGTACGATGCTGGAGCTATTGAACCAGCTGGACGGGTTCGACGACCGAGGCGACGTCAAGGTGATCATGGCTACCAACAAGATCGAGAGTCTGGACCCTGCGCTTATCAGACCGGGCAGAATCGACCGGAAGATCCTGTTTGAGAATCCGGACCCTGCTACAAAGAAGAAGATTCTGACCATCCACACCTCCAAGATGAACATCGCGCCGGATGTAGACCTAGACACATTGATCAACACCAAAGAAGACTTCTCGGGTGCAGACATCAAAGCCATCTGTACCGAGGCCGGATTGCTGGCTCTGCGTGAGAGACGGATGCAGGTGATTGCCGAGGACTTCAAGCAGGCCAAGGAGCGCGTTTTGAAGAACAAGATCGAGGAGAACCTCGAAGGCTTGTATTTGTAGCTTAATTATAGCAAGCTCAGAAATTCTTGTAGGGTCTTGGCTGACGCGCACGACTATTTTTATTTCTTCCACCTCTTGGTTCTCTTTTACCACCCGATAATCTCAGGAACAACCGACAATCTGGCCGCATAGACATAATTGCTGCTGTTTTTACGTTAAGTTGGTAGTTGAGGATTGATCTGGCATGTCTAAGCCCTCCCCGTCGGCCAAGGACGTGGTGAAATACTTGAAAAGAAGATCTGGTGACCTTTTGCATTTGCACAGCGACAGCGGCATGAAAACCGTGGAAGAACACCTCGACGCGAAGTCGGGGCCCTGCAATAGACTCTCGTTTGACGTTGGTGTCTGCGAAAATCGGAACTCAAAGTATAGACCCAGCATGGAGGACGTTCACACGTATGTGGCGAACTTTGCTGAGAGGCTGGATTGGGGGTATTTTGCGGTGTTTGACGGCCACGCGGGCAAGAATGCCGCTAGGTGGTGCGGGTCGAACCTGCACAACATCCTTGTGGAGAAGATAATGGATGACGACAACGTGGACCTGCGCGAGAACCTGAACAGCAGTTTTCTGGAGGCCGACGTGCAGATGGAGCGCGAAATCCAAGGCTCCAGCGGGTGCACTGCCGCGGTGGCGGTGCTGCGATGGGAGGAGGAGATTGACGATTCTGCGAGCGAGGACGAGGTCGACCCAAAGACGACGCCCTTCGACTTCGTGCCGACCAGGAAACACAAAAGAATGCTCTACACGGCCAACGTGGGGGACTCGCGGATCGTGCTGTGTCGCGGGGGGCGCGCCGTGCGGCTCTCGTACGACCACAAGTCCTCCGACAAGCTGGAGCAGCAGCGGATCGTCAACAGCGGCGGGATAATGCTCAAGAACCGCGTCAACGGCGTCCTGGCAGTGACGCGCTCGCTCGGCGACGTCTACCTGAAAAGTCTGGTGATAGGAGCGCCTTTTACGACATGCACAGAGCTAACCGACCAGGACGACTTTTTGATACTAGCGTGCGACGGACTGTGGGACGTGTGCTCGGACCAGGACGCCGTGGACCTGATCAAGGACGAGATGGACCCGTACAAGGCGAGCGACACCCTGTGCAAGCTGGCCATCAGCAAGATGAGCACCGACAACGTGACGGCCATGGTGGTGCGGTTCGACACCAGGGTTTTTGCGTATACCGAGCCGCACCGCCGCGCAGCAGAGTGATTTTCGCCGATGCTCGCGCCTGAGATAATTTCGCGTAGAAAAAATTCATGAATAAATGAACGGCCTTCTGCACCCTGTCCTGTGGAATTGCAAATAATGGAGCGTTTCACGGTTCAGCTAGCCAACGTCCACTGCGACGAGTGCTCTATCAGCATCCACCGCGCTCTCAAAGAAGTCTTTGATGTAACCGAGTTCAACAGAATCGTGTGCCATGACAGAACGGCTGACAAGACAAGGCCCCCCGTTGTTGTGTTTCTGAGCGACGGCGAGCTGGTCATTGTTGGCCCGGGCGCCGACCTTGCTGCGAACGAGGCCCGTGTGCTGCGCAAGCTCGAGAGTTGCGGCTTTGATGTCATTTCTTGGGACATCTCGAACGACCAGTCCAGGCCCTCGTGGACGGAGCCGGCGAATCTGGTTTTGCTCAAGGCAAAACGGATATTTGCCACCGGCACGCGCCAAAAACACCACCGCGATCACTGCAAGAAGTGTCGCGAGGAGTACGAGAAGCATGGGGGCCCCGAGCTGCTGCAACGGCTCAAACGCAGAACACACTCGGATTCAGAGGACAGCACCGTTGTGGACGTGGAGGTGAAGACCGAGCCGCTAAAGGAGTACCGTGCTCTGCTCAGCGTCCAGGGAATGACGTGTGCGTCGTGCGCCGGGGACGTCGAGGCTGCCATTGGCCGGTGTCTGGAGAGCCTTAGTGTGCCGCTTACACAGAACGACAAGCCTGTCTTCAGTGTGTCGCTGATCGATGGCGTGTGCACTGTGCTGCTGCCGGAGCGTCAGTATGTGAACCACGTGATCAACGCCTTGCGCGAGGCCGGCTTCGAGTGCAGCCTGCTGGAGATGCTACCGGTCGAGCGGTCGCAGAAATACGAGGTGGTGACGCTAATTGGCGGGATGACGTGCAGCGCGTGCGCGCAGACGATCAGCCAGGCGGTCGACGAGAGCTGTCCGTTTGTGCTGGAGCGCAACATCAACATCGTCAGCAAGCAGGGCCTATTTATTCTGGAGTCGGCGAGCGACGCAGACTTGCAGCGGCTGCGGCAGTGCGTGGAGGACGTTGGGTACGACTTTGAGGTGCTGAGCGTGCGAGAGATCAGCCACGCCGCCACCAAGACCCGCTCACGCACCGTCAACCTCAAAGTCAGCGGCATGTACTGCGAGCACTGTCCGGAGATCATCAACAACAAGCTGAACGAGTACGGCGACGTGGTCGTGGTCAATGACCCGATCAGCCTGAGCCACCCGTACATCAAGTTCACGTACGTGCCGAGCCCGCCGCAGCTGACGATCCGCAAGATTGTGGGCGAGATCAACGCGCTGAGCGACAAGTTCCAGCTCGAGATCGTGCGCGTGGCGTCCGTGGAGGAGCACCTCACGCAGCTGGCGCGGCAGGAGCTGCGGCGCATCGTGCGCAAGCTTGCGCTGTCGACGGTCGTGGCGGTGCCGACGTTTGTGTTTGGCATCGTGGGCATGTCGCTGCTGCCAAAACACAACGCCTTTCGGATGTGGCTGATGCAGCCCCTGTGGCGCGGCAACGTCTCTCGAGTGGTGTGGATCCTCTTCGTTCTGGCCACGCCGGTGTACTTCTTCGGCGCCAGCATGTTCCATGTCAAGGCGCTGCGCGAGGTGCGCGCGCTGTGGAAGCGCAGCGTGCCCTGGAGCCGGCGGCTGCTGCGTTTCGGGTCCATGAACCTGCTCATGTCTCTGGGCACGACCGTGGCCTATATCGCCAGCATCGCGATGCTGGCGCTGTCTGCGCGCGCGCCACGGGGCAGCAACGGGTTCACAACGACGTATTTCGACTCGGTTGTCTTTCTGACGTTTTTCCTGAGCATTGGCAAGCTGCTCGAGAGTTGGTCTAAGAGCAAGACGGCCAACGCTGTCAGCCAGCTGAGCGGCTTCAAGGCCACTGAGGCGACGCTTGTGGAGGACGGCGTCGAGCGCGAAATCGGTGTTGACTACCTCGAGCTCGGCGACACCATCGCAATAAAGCCTGGCGACTCTCCGCCCGTCGACAGCATCATCGTGGACGGCGAGGCCGATTTCGACGAGAGCATGCTATCGGGCGAGTCGCATGCGATCCACCACGTCAAAGGCGATCAGATCTTTGCCGGCACCGTGAGCCAGGGCCCGGGGACCGTGCGTGCGCAGATCTCTGCTCTGCAGGGCAACTCGCTGCTGGACCAGATTGTCGACATTGTGCGCAACGGCCAGCTCAACAAGTCGCCGATCGAAAAGCTTGCCGACAAACTCACCAGCTATTTCGTTCCTGTCGTGTGTCTAGTCTCGCTCATCGTCTGGATCGTTTGGCTCGTTCTTGGATACACCGTCCTGCCAAAAAGCTATCTGGACGTCGACGTGGGCGGCTGGGTGGTCTGGTCGCTGCAGTTTTCGATTGCTGTGTTTGTCATCGCGTGTCCGTGCGGTCTGGGGCTTGCTGCGCCGACAGCCCTGTTTGTCGGGTCCGGACTGGCCGCCAAGAACGGCATCTTGGTCCGCGGCGGCGGCGCATCGTTCCAGCAGGCAGCCAACGTCGAAGTGGTCTGTTTTGATAAGACCGGAACGCTCACCAAGGCAGACATCGAGGTCACCGACCACCACGTCGCTGGAGACTTTGCGCTCGCTGTCCAGCTTGCCAGAGACCTCGAGCTTGGGTCAAAACACCCACTAGCGGCCGCCGTGCGCAACTTTGCGGTGGAAACCGCGAGCAGCAAGGGATTCGAGCTGGGAACCACGCTGGTCCCAAAGGTCGAGGAAGAGAGCGGGCGCGGCGTGTTTGGCGACTACGAAGACAAGCGTGCGCTTCTGGGCAACGAGAAGATGATGGCCGAGCACGGCGTGCCTTTCACAGACGAGGAAATGCGGCTTCTGGAGGAGTGGAAACGGCAGGGCAAGAGCGTCGTTTGCGTGGCTGTTGACAGACAGCTGCTGCTGCTGCTTGCGGCCCGCGACGAGGTGCGGCCGGAGGCGAAGGACGTCATCGCCGACCTGGGCCGGCGCGGCGTCGACGTGTACATGATCAGCGGCGACAACCACGTCACCGCCGAGGCAATTGCCCGCGAGGTCGGCATAGCTGCGGATCACGTGATCGCGAACGTGCTACCGCAGGGCAAGTCCGACAAGATCAAGTGGTTGCAACAGACGTACCACAGTGTGCCGAACAAGCCCACAAAGCCGGCGGTGGTGGCTATGGTCGGCGACGGCATCAACGACGCGCCTGCGCTGGCGACGGCGGACATTGGCGTTGCCATGGGCTCGGGGTCGGATCTGGCCCTGAGCTCCTGCGATTTTGTCCTCTTGTCGCAGAAACAGCCGCTCAAACAGCTGCAGATCCTGCTCCAGCTGTCGCGCAAGGTGATCAACCGTGTGAAATTCAACTTTGGCTGGGCATTGGTCTACAATGTTATTGGAATCCCTATCGCTGCGGGAGTTATTTATCCGTACCATAACTCGCGTCTGAGCCCGACGTGGTCGAGTCTGGCGATGGCCTGCTCGAGCGTGAGTGTGCTGTTCAGCAGTCTGGCGCTCAGATGGGAAAGCCGGTTCTGGGGATGGCGTTCGGAATGATTACGAAAGTTTAATGACTGTGATTACGATCTGGAATTTATTAAATAGTGTGTAGAAATGTCTCTTTCTTTTTTCGATTTTTTTTTTGGGCTGTGTGCTCGCGGACAGGCCCAGACACGAAAAAAGATCGAAGTACGTGAATACGACTATCGGGCTACCTGGCCAGCCTGCTGTGTTTAGATGCCGTAGACCACACCATGGCCTCTGCGACAGAAGAAACCTGCCGTGATCCGTTGGGAGCCAACCCCGGACGCTCATCGGCTGTAGACATCCCATATCCGAATTTACAAATTCGCAAAATTCCATTGGCCCGTGGTTTCTCCTCCGTAAGTTCTCCGATTGACCTGATTATGTAAAACCCCAAGAAAAAAAGTCCTCACGAAAAACTAACCTTGTTAATTTACCATGCTTTCCCTGAAATCGCGCATCGCTGGACGCCGGTTGTTCTCGTCGTCGAGATCGACTGCTCAGGTGATCACCAAGTACAATAATCTCAATGGTAAGACGGCTTCCTCTGCTATGGCCAAGGAGTATCACATCATCGATCACGAATACGACGCCGTGGTGATTGGTGCCGGTGGTGCCGGTCTTCGTGCAGCCTTCGGTCTCGTCCAGGAGGGCTTCAAGGTTGCCTGTATCTCGAAGCTTTTCCCAACGAGATCGCACACCGTCGCTGCCCAAGGTGGCATCAACGCTGCCCTGGGAAACATGCACCCTGACGAATGGAGATGGCACATGTACGACACGGTGAAAGGTTCTGACTGGCTGGGAGACCAGGACGCCATCCACTACATGACTAGAGAGGCTCCGGACTCGATTATCGAGCTCGAACACTACGGTCTGCCATTCTCCAGAAACAAGGAGGGAAAGATCTATCAGAGAGCTTTTGGTGGTCAATCCAAGGAATACGGTAAGGGAGGACAGGCTTACAGAACCTGTGCCGTTGCAGACAGAACCGGCCATGCGCTGCTGCACACATTGTACGGTCAATCGCTCAGATATGACACCCATTACTTCATCGAATTCTTTGCCATGGACCTGTTGATGCACGACGGAAGATGTGTGGGATGCATTGCTTACAACGAGGAGGACGGTACGTTGCACAGATTCAAGGCCAACAATACAGTCATTGCCACTGGTGGATACGGTAGAGCCTACTTCTCCTGTACCTCTGCTCACACCTGTACTGGTGACGGATACGCCATGGTCAGCAGAGCTGGCTTGCCATTGGAGGATCTGGAGTTCGTGCAGTTCCACCCATCCGGTATCTACGGTTCTGGATGTCTGATCACCGAGGGTGCCAGAGGCGAGGGTGGATTCCTGGTGAACAGCGAGGGTGAGAGATTCATGGAAAGATACGCTCCAACTGCCAAGGATCTTGCTTCCAGAGACGTTGTCTCCAGAGCCATCACCATGGAAATCAACGCCGGAAGAGGTGTTGGTCCTCACAAGGACCACATGTTCCTTCAACTGTCCCACCTGCCTCCATCCGTGCTGAAAGAGAGACTCCCAGGTATTTCTGAGACTGCCCACATTTTCGCTGGTGTTGATGTCACCAAGGAGCCAATTCCAATTTTGCCAACTGTGCACTACAACATGGGTGGCATTCCAACCAAGTACACCGGAGAAGTTCTGACCCAGAACGAGAAGGGTGAGGACGTTGTTGTTCCAGGTCTGTTCGCATGTGGTGAGGCTGCCTGTGCCTCTGTGCACGGAGCCAACCGTTTGGGAGCCAACTCCTTGTTGGACCTGGTCGTCTTCGGAAGAGCCGTTTCGCACACCATCAGAGATAACTTCAGCCCTGGAGCACCATTGCCAGAGATTCCAGATGATATTGGCCACGAGTCCGTTGCCAATCTTGATAGGCTAAGAAATGCTGATGGAGATGTCACCACTGCTGAATTGAGACTCGAGATGCAAAAGAGCATGCAAAAGCACGTCGCCGTGTTCAGAGAGCAAAAGACTCTGGACGAGGGTGTCAAGCAAATGAGCAAGATTGACGCCAAGTTTGACAGAATCAAGACCACCGACAGATCGATGATCTGGAACTCGGACCTGGTCGAAACGTTGGAACTCCAGAACCTGCTCACTTGTGCTAGACAGACTGCCACTGCAGCTGCAGCAAGAAAGGAGAGTAGAGGTGCTCACGCCAGAGATGACTACCCAGAAAGAGATGACGAGAACTGGCGTAAACACACTCTTTCATGGCAGAAGGGTCATGGAAAGGACGTTAAGCTTGGATACAGAGCTGTGATTGCCACAACTCTTGATGAAGCTGAATGTAAGCCAGTTCCTCCAGCGAAGAGAGTTTATTAGGTATTTATTATAAAGAATATGTCATTCCAAAATGTATTCGTGGAAATTGATCTTGCTTAAATAATCCAGCATGAAAAAAAAATCAGAAAATTGAATTGTTTCCATGTTTCAACTCTCTGTGCTTTCTGATCTCATCCGAATATCGCCGCATTTGTTCCACCTTCCGATCGAGGAGGCAGTCCAGAATGAGCTGAACATCAAATACGCTAATAAAGTAATCCACAAACTTGGATTGGTCGTCGCAGTTTGGGACCTTCTACAGGTGGACGACGGTCTACTCAAACCTGGAGACGGTGCGGTGTTCATCAATGTGCGATTCCGCGTTGTTATCTTCAAACCAGTGGTGGGCGAAGTTCTCACCGGCTGGATCGAAAGCTGCAGCGACGAGGGAATAAAAGTCAACATGAATTTCTTTAACGACATTTTCATTCCAAAAAATTACATGTTTGAAGGCTCGTACTACTCCGCCGATGATAACGCATGGATCTGGCAAATGGATGAGGAGACAAAACTGTACCTAGACATCAATGAGAAAATCAATTTCCGCATCGAAAAAGAGGTCTTCAATGACGTGCGACCAAAGGGACCAGACAACTCGCTCACTTCTCTAACCGCAGATGACCAAACCAACGGACTCGACGCCGAAGACCGCAAGGTGCCACCTTACGCGCTAATAGCCAGCTGCCAGACTGATGGCATGGGCTGTGTCAGCTGGTGGGAGTGATGGTCATTTTTCACGATTAATTGTATTGCATGTATCTCGATGTCGAACTGAACTTCATGTTTCCCTTAATGACCTTCTCAACAGCTTGTAGGAAATCTTTTTCAGTAGCAACCTTTCTTCTAGAACGAATTGCGAACATACCAGCCTCCGTACACACCGACCGCAGCTCAGCTCCGGTAGCGTTTGGACAGAGTCTGGAAATCAGCTCCCAACGGATGTCACGCTCACAGGACATCGATTTGGAATGGATACGGAAAATATTGGCACGGCCTTCAAGGTCAGGCAGCGAGAACTCAACCTTTCTATCGATTCTCCCCGGTCTCAACAACGCAGGGTCCAACGTGTTCGGTCTATTAGTGGCAAACATCACCTTTATGTTTCCTCTAGGGTCGAATCCGTCTAGCTGTGTAATCAACTCTAACATGGTTCTTTGGACTTCGTTATCTCCGCCGGCACCATCGTCAAACCTGGCTCCTCCAATGGCATCAACTTCATCGAAAAAAATAATGCATGCTTTCTTTGTTCTGGCCATCTCAAACAGTTCTCTCACCATTCTTGCACCTTCACCGACATACTTTTGAACAAGTTCAGATCCAATGACTCTGATGAATGTGGCATCTGTTCTGTTTGCCACAGCACGGGCACAGAGTGTTTTCCCCGTCCCTGGCGGGCCGTAGAGCAAAATACCTTTTGGGGGGTCAATTCCCAGCTTGACAAACCTCTCAGGAGACAACAACGGAAGCTCCACGACTTCTCTGAGCTTTTCAATTTGTTCTTTACAGCCTCCAACGTCGCTGTACGTAACGTCCGGCTTCTCTTCCACTGTCATCATCGTCACACTAGGGTCAATTCTAGGAGGAAGAGGCAATTGAATCTCGTACTTTGTCCTGTCCACACCAACTCTCATTCCTTCCTCAATGTCTGTTGGCGAAACTCTTTCACCAAGACCAACCACAAACTTGGCAATCTGTTTGATGTTTATCACGTATTTGGTTTTTCCGTCGGCCTCCTCCTCTGCAGAAGGCTCAATCATCTTTGTGCACCTTGCGACTTGCAAGGGCTGTTCTTCGCTCATTCTTTTGCGGTCCGCGGCCACGTCCCATAAGTTGGGGCTTGCAAGCCCGGTGTCAGATTCCTCAACGCCGATTTTTTCCTTGATGCGTGTCTCCAACTCCTTGAGGTCCTTTTCTATCTCACGGATCGACTGACTGTATGGGGCGGCACCGTAGGTCTTTAGCACCTGGATATCACCTTCGCTCAATGGCGTGATTTTCTCCTCTTTCTTCTCCTCTTCGGGATCGTCCACGGGCTTTTTGTACTTTTCCCAGTCTTCTTTGGCGGCCATGCTTGGTTTAAACTTGTTAGTTTTTTGCCATCGAAATTATTTACTTTATTTTTCTAAACACCTTTACACCTCAAAACACCTTGAGCAGCAGCTGTGCTCCCTTGTTGGAGTCGCCCTGGTTCTTGATCAGCTTGTCCATCTTCTTCAGTTTCCTAGGGAATGAGTGCTTCTTGGCATCCTTCAAACATTCAAACAGAGCAACAAGAACAAAACAACCCTGGTTGTCGTTAATCCACGCTTTGAGAACGTCTTCATTTTCTCCGTTTGCAAACACTCTCTCGGCAAAGATAGATGCGAATTCCTTGCCAATGCCGATACCATCCACCACGTCAACTTTCTTCTCCTTGCTGTTCCATCTTCCACCCTGAATGAGAGTCTTCACCAGTCTAGGAGTGAATGGTTTATTCAGCAGATGCTCTTCGTCAAGCTCCTGCTTCATCTCAGTGATTATTATGTCCAGTGCTTGCTGTCTATATTCCTGTGCCTCCTCAGGAAACTCGTTGTTCAGAATAAGCTCCAGAACAAACTGAGCACCCAAATTCTCGCCCAAGATTACCGGCTTGTGCAAAAATGTCTCGTAGAAAATAGGAAGGAAGTTCTTGAGCAACTCCTTACGACGCTGGTCCTGTGGCTTCTTGGACGTCTCAGTGGCCATTTCTGTGTACTTCTCAACGTCTTTGAGGACCAGCGGTGAGAAATAAGAACGGTCCAGTCCGTTGAGCAAATACACAAACGGTCTTCTAGAGAACTTGCCAACCATGATCTTGTCAAAGCTGTCTTTCAAAGCGCCCGAAAACGTTCTGTTAACGAGAACCGTATCGTCAACGGTCATGAAAATCATCTGCAGCACAAACTGACCGTGCTCGTTCGTGGCCAATGCTTCGGCATGGTTTTTCAGGCCTTTCAAGATGGCCTTTCTCTCCTTGGCATTAGCCCTAGAAACCAGAGTGCAAGCGACCTCGCAACCTTCAGGAGTATGCACCAGCTCGGCCACCTGGTCCTGCAACAGCTCAATAAAAGCGCGCACTTCCTCGTTCTCGAATATCTGCACATACTCGCGCATAACGGCATGCAGAATCTGGAACCCGGTGGATCCTTTCTCCACGGAGCCACGGATGGTTGTCATGAGATTGTTGGCAATCAGGGCTCTTTTCTCAGCGGACTCAGCGCACACCTCCTTGATGGTACGCGTGTCGTTCGGGTCACGGAAAACAGCATACTCCGAGCCCCAGAACTCCCGGATCATTTGAGACTTTTGTTTCGAGGTAGCGTATAGCACATATAGGTCCTCCACAACATAGGCACCTTCTCTATGACGAATCAGTTTGCGGAGCTTTCCATGGAGCTCAGACAGAATAAGCTCTCTCGAGTCCTTGGAGCCGTAGTGCAGCAACTTTATCAACAAGTACTTTCCGTAAGCAGAGGTAGCAAGGTTGTAGAAATTGCCTTTAAGAGCTCTTGTAATGATCTCACGGCGCTCTTTTGAACAGTATTTCACAAGCGTCTGAACCACACGCGAGGCATCGTGTTTCAAAACAAGATCGCCAATCACATCCTTGGATAGTTCCCATGTCTCGTCGCAGAGCTTATCGCGGACTTCTTTTGGCATTGGAGGATTTTTCACCCTCAATTTCTCCCAAAGGCGTTTGATGTTCTCTACTTGAGTACCTGACTTGCGTTTGAGTTTTCTCTCCGACAAAAGCTTTTTCTGTTCCTGTCTGGATGGTCTATTAGCGTCGCCGTTTTCTTTATTGTTGGTAGATTCACTTGCTTCATCTTCCTGTTCGTCGTAATCGTTGGAGTCCAGATCGTCCAACTGATCTTCAGACTCATCCTCGGAATGCTCTGGATCGATCTTGGCCTTCTTCGTCTTGACAGCCGTCTCCTCTGCAACTCTCTTCTTTACCATGCTGATTCAAGTTTATTTTTTCAGATTAAAAATTTTTTTTTCCTACGGCTGTGCTAGGAATTTTTCAATAAATTGCACAGTCTGGGGATTAGTATATTCTCTTACCTCCTTTGCAGAGGCGTCTGCGGTCTCTGAGAACTGGCTGTTGATCTGCAGCAGTTCACGGTATTTGTGGGTCTCAAGATCCTCTAGAAGTTTGCGTTGGCGATCACGCTCTCTATGCAATGCAGTGATTAGCTCCTCCGGGATATCCAATCCAGCTGACTCTATGTCTTTCCGGTAAAGCTCGACTGTTCTAAGTATGCTAATGTATTCGGGATCATAGAAAAAATCCAGTCCCGCAAGTTTCGACGGCACGTTGAGCTGAGCAAGACGGAAAACCTCCATGAACTTGCGCCGCGGTAAACATTTGTCCAGCGCAAGGAATCTTGTAGGGAGATCATCCGTTTCCTCGGACGCATCGTTGAGCTCGAGGTCGATCTCCTCCTTGTTTATTTTCTCGTCTTCCCGGCTGCTTTTCCATGGAACAGTGGCTTCAAATTTAACGTGCAGGTGTGCGCTGAACCAGTGACTAGGTCGCAAATGGCGTAGGAGACTCATCAAGGGAGGCGACCCCAGCTGGTGTTTCTCCATGTCGCTTCTGAAAAACGGTTTGCACCGCAAAAGCTGGTCTTTTCTGCCGTACTCATATATTCCTTCGGGCCAGTCATGTGACACCATGATCGTTTCGTTCGAAGGTTTTAAAAGCTGGAGCGCCGTCACCTCGGTCTTTCTATAGTGGTACACGGACCTGATCGTAGACCTATCGTAAGGAAGTGTTTCTCTGCGCGGTTTGAAAAAGTTCGTCTCGTTGTAAATCCCCGATATGCCTGCTATTCGCAGACCCTTGTACCATATGACTCCGTAACGCCCCAGATAATATATGTTTGGGGCGACAAAGCCACCATAGCGCAGTTCCGAAAGATAGTTTGAAGCCTCGTGGTTGCCCCCAACGAAGATGGTCATCACAGGCGCGCGTCGGCGGCCAGTGTAGTAATCCTGAAAATCGCCCATTTGTCGATATTTCTGGGGAACTGCAAGACACTCCAGGTCTGCGCGGTTCCGCACGCTCTGAAAATCTCCACAGATTATCAGAAGATCGACTGGCTTCGGTAGGGCCTTATATATTGCATTCAGCTGCCCGTGACAGCACCCTTCGACGGCCACGGTGAGCATGTATTTATATATTAAATAGATTTTATTTTTTCTTGCCAAAAAATGACATTAGTGAAACCTGCTTCTTCGTGTTCGCCTTGTCGGTATTTTTCGAGATTGTGTGTCCTTTTTTTGCGGGAGGATGCGTGGCGGACCGCTTCGCCGGCTGCTGTTTGGTGGTCACCAAATATCCCTCTTCGTCGTAGACTGGTTCTGGCGGAGCGGCGTTTTCTTCAACCTTCTCTGTAGCAGGCTCCGATTTCTGTTTGTCGGCTGGTTTGTCAGCCCTTTTCGCCGGCTTCTGCTGGTCGGCAATCTCTGTTTCTGCAGGATTGACAACGTCCAAAGGCTCGTCGTTTGGTTCTTCCTCAGAGTAATCCATATCGTCGTCGCTGTTTTCGAATAGCTGAGTGAGCTTCGCCTTGACTTCGTTCTTGGTCTTCTTCTTCGGCGGCTCTGTGGACTCTTTTGGCCAATCAAGAGCTCGTTTCGCCTGATTCTTCGTCTCTGGAGCCTTCTTCCTTGAGGTATATAGCGAGCCCAGCCTGCTGGTGCTAATATCTTTGGCCGCTGGTCTGGCTTCCTGCGGCTTCGCTTCCGTCTTGAGAGGTTCGCTCATGGCATTGCGCTGGGAGGGCCGGGCCACCTCACGTTCCTGCTTCTTTGCAACTTTCTGTGCTGTGCCGGTCTGGATCACGCCCCATCTGGTACAATTCTCCGGCGTATACTCTTTCTCTATTGTCGTGTTGATTGCAACCACGGTGTCCAGCGCCACTTTTCCCATATTGAGACTGTAGATCGAAACAGAGTCAACCTTCTCGAGCTCTGCCTTGCCAATTTCGATGTCCTGCCCAGAAACAATCTTCACATAGCGCGTATTGCCAGCACGGCCAGTTACCGTGTAGTAGCTGCTCAAGTCTGGCTTTTCGTGTTTGAATTGGTCGTAAAACTCCTGAAGCACCTGTTTGGCCTTACTCGAGGACAGATCCTTCCATCGCGCAAGATACTTGTAAGTTATGGGTTTTCTCTCCACAAACAAGTGTGTGTTGATCTCATCGAACATGGCGTACGCGTGTGGAAAAATACAATATAAAAATTACTTCAAAATTCTACCGTCCCATGGTTGAACTAGACTGGAACAATATTCCCAAGGATCTTTGTCCGGTTTGCAAGACCGACAAGTATCTCTCGCCCACCCTACAGTTCAAAATCAATCCAGAATGCTATCACAAGATATGCGACTCGTGCGTGGACCGCATATTCTCGCTTGGGCCGTCGCCATGTCCATACCCGAACTGTGGCAAAATACTGCGAAAAAACAAGTTCAAGACACAGATCTTCGACGACGTAGATGTTGAGCGCGAGTGCGATGTGCGGAAGAGGGTGGTGGCGGTGTTCAATAAGACCCAGGAGGACTTCAAAACGCTGGACGAGTACAATGCGTACCTTGAGGAAATAGAGGATTACGTCTACAAGCTGGTCAACAAGATCGACGTTGAGCAGACTGAGCAAAAGCTGAAGGAGTATCAGCAGGCGCACAAACACGACATCGAGATGAGCAACAACCAGCGCGATCAGGAATACGAGAAATTCCTCAAACTTCAGAACTTGGAGAAACGGTACAAGGCAGAGAAAAATAAAATCAATAGAGAGATCATCAAGGAGGAGCAGAATCTCAAGAACCTGGGCAAGCTGGAGGTCATTAACCAGCTCCAGACGGCGTCGGGCGAAAAGGACGCAGATAAGATCATCGCCAACGTGCGCGACTCGATGATCAGCAAGACCAGTAATTACAAGGAGCAGCTCGACGAGCTTGAAAAATGGTACCATGAGCAGCGAGAAAAAATCATCAATGGCCTGGACGAGATCAAAGAGGAAGAGAAGCCCAAGGTGCCCTTCACGCCTTTCAACGGCGACCGTGTGGTATCTCCTCCGTACGAGTACGGGGAGTACAAGGACCCGTTTTTGCTCAAGCTCGTGGAAGATGTACAGTACAAGGCTGGGGGGTACAAGATCGACTTCTACTTCCACAAGTCGCTCAATGACGCTTTTACCGGCCTCCGTTGCATAATAGAAGAGGAAAAAGAGACAGTGGATCAGGTTATGGGGTAAATAGTTCTATAATTAGTTCGCACTGGTTCTTGCTCCCGAGCCGGCCTTAATCAGCTCCAGCGTTTCCTCGGACACGTCCACGTCTGGAAGAGCGATTTCGCCCTTGCGTGGAGGTGGCAGAAATCCGATCTTCACCAGATAACTCACGTACTTCGCCAGCACGTCCATCGTGACACCAGCACCGGCAGAACGGTCCTCGCCCGTGATTTTAGCATCGGCAACCAGGCTCTCCACAGCGTTTTGGTCGCACAGTTCTGGGGCCTTGGTGTCCTGAGGCAAGTTATCGAGGACAAAGTGCAGCAGCGGATACAGAGCGTTGTCTCTTCCTTCGTCAACCACGTACCGCTCCAGCGACTTGGTCCACTGCAAATAGTCGGCGCGCTGGACGTCGTAGCCAAACTTCTGCAACGCTCCGAGCATCTCGTTAAATCTGATACGCGGATGCCCGGTCACGTGAACGACGGGAAGCGTAGCCGCAGACGGCGGATGCAAAGCGGCAGCCACGACAACGCGCGCAACGTGGTCCACAGGAACGGTGTTGACGCTGTTGGAGATATCTGGGTACTCGCCGACCTCGACACAGCCCTTGAGCATTCTTAGCAGAAAATCGTCCGTGTTGGCAGCACCGGTCTGGGAGAAGCCCTGGACATAGCCTGGTCTGATGACCGCACCTCTGAGTCCCTTCTCGCCGGCCTTCCTGATGATATATTCCGCAGCCCATTTGGACTGGCCGTATCCCGTGCCGAGTCCCTTCGCTGCTCCCATCAGGTCGTCGTCCTCTGGAATGCCGCTCTTTCCTTCGTCCACAAGCTTGTCTGAAAGCGAAACGTAGTGAGGAACGTCGATCGTGGACGTCGACGACACAAACGTGAACACCTTTGGTTTGCCCTCCGCACACAGGTCCATTACATTGAGTGTGGAAACGACATTGGCGTCGCGGAGCTTGGAATACGGGTACACCCAGTGGACGAGCGCTCCGTTGTGAATTATCACGTCTATGCTGGAGACAAGCTGCTTCCACTGCTCCTCGTTGCCAAAGCGAGGCTTGCCGAGGTCGCCCAGAACCACCTTGATGTTCTGTGTCCAGCTGTCGTTCCAGATGCCGTATGTTTTTCCGGTCTTGACGAGCCGCTGAATAGCAGCCGTCTCGTCCTTGGCACGAACGTGAGCCCAGACCGTGATATTCAGGTTTCTGCTCAGCAGATCGCGCAGGATGAACGATCCCAGGAAGCCAGTGCACCCGGTCACAAAAACGTTAAGAGACTGCGAGAAGTCGAGAGCGTGTCTCGTAGGATAGCTCTTCAGGCTCTGAGACAGTCTCTTTGCGTCCTCGTAGTAGTCCACTGTCTCATCCTTCGAGTCCGGAACGGCGTTGTTCTTGCCGTCGGCCAGCTCGAAACCGTCGTCCTTCTTGAGACCATCAATTTCCGCAGCGAACGCAGCAAGCGTAGGATGCTTGAAAATGGCTCCAAGCGGGATGTCGACGGCAAGCTGTTTTCTCAACTCAAAGATCATCCGCGTAGCCAGGATCGAGTGTCCACCCAGGTCGAAGAACGAGTCGTCCGGCTGCACGGTGGCCGGCTTGTTAGGCAGCACCGAGAGCCACACGTCTCTGATTTTGGCCTCTGTCTCGGTGAACTCCACTTCGGCCACGTCCTTCGACGACAGCTGAGCAACAGCAGCCAGCTGTGCCGTGTCGGGGAACGGCAGCTTCGGCTTGTCGACCTTGCCGTTTGGGTTCAGCGGCAGCTTCGCCATTGGCACCACCAGCGACGGGATAGCATAGTTGGCCAGTCTCTTCTTCAGGTGCGCCTTCAGATCCTTAATCAGCTCGCGGTAGACCACCAGGCCCTTGACAATAGGATCGTCCAGGTCGTCGACGTCCTGCGACGCGCTCTTGAACTTCTCGAGCTCCGGCGACGCTCTAGGAACAATGTACGACACCAGCGTCGGCTCCTCATTTTTGTCTCTTCTGACGAGAGTCACGTTCTGTCTCACGAGCGGATGCTGCGAGATGTGCGTGTCGATTTCGCCGAGCTCGATTCTAAAGCCTCTAATCTTCACCTGGTCGTCCGCACGGCCGCAGCATTCGCAGTTGCCGTCCGGCAGGTATCTTCCCAGATCGCCCGTCCGATACAGTCTGTCTCTAGGCCCAAACCAGACCTCTCTCCAAGGCTCCCCCCGGTCGAGCTCCCGGTCCTTGGCAATGAACCTGTCCGGCGAAGTGTACCAGTTGGTGACGAACTTCTGCTTGTTGAGCTCGTCGTTGTTCCTGTAGCCTTCGGCCAGACCAGCAGCACGGACGTATATCTCGCCAACCTCGCCAACACCGCAGGTCTGTGTTCTGTCGTTCCTGTTCACCACCAACAGCTGCACGTTCAGCATACCCTTGCCGGCAGGCATCACGTCCTTCTGGTTGGCCAGGAACAGCGAGTCCTGCTCTCTGGACGGGACCTCAAAGTACGACACCGCACGCTGGGTCTCGGTGGTGCCGTACATGTTGACAATAGCACAGTTTCTGGCCAGGGTCTGCAGCCGCAGACAGTCGCGCTTGGTGAGAATGTCGCCGACGAAAAACGCGTGGTGCAAAGTAGGGAACTCGGCAACGGCCTGCGCGGTCAGCAGCTGGCCCATTGCTGGTGTGAGGTGTGTCACGGTAGCACCGTGCCTCGACATCCACTCGGCCAGCTTACCTGGCGTTCCGATGTCGTCTGCAGTCGGCACCAGCAGCGTGGCGCCCAGAAACAGCGGCGTGAACATGTCTCTCTGGATCGGGTCGTGCGCAATGCCCGACAGCATTGTGAACCTGTCTTTTTCGCTGAGATGGAAAGTTTCAGCCATCCACGGGAAATAGTATGCCAGCGAGAAGTGTCTTCCCAGAACGCCCTTTGGAATGCCTTCGGAGCCCGAGGTGAACGACAGGGTGGGGTTTGAGTCCGGCCCGACAACGACGCCCGTTCTTTGGGACTTGTACTGCTGGTAGTCCCTGAGGACGTCTGGCTGGCCGCCGACGACAGTGCCGTCGTCCAGAATCTCCAAGGCTGGAATACGGGTGACCACCTTGAGCTGTTTCTCGATGTAGTCCTCCACGAGCTCGGAGATCTCGCCGGCTTTCTTGATTCCAATGATCCCCTGAGGATTGGCGACCTGCAAATAGATAGTCTGTCTGGCTGGCGGATACGCAGGGTCTATCACAGAAAAGGTGGCGCCGGCCTTGAGCACGCCCATGACGGCCACCATCAGATCGACGCCTCTGTACGCGTAGATCATCACGACGTCGCCTCGTTTGATGCCCGTTTTCACCAGATAGTGCCCGACCACATTGGAGGCTTCGTGGATCTGTCTGTACGTGAACACACGGTCTTGGGCTCCAGGCTGCAAAAACGACGCCGTCTCCACCACACACGTTCTCTCCGGGTGTTTATCCGCGTTGTCACTGAAAATGTCCTGGATGGCGCCTCTGTAGTTGCTCCAGTCAAGGTCGACGGTCGGATCTGGAAGCACCGACTTCTGCGACTCTGTCACCAGGCTGACCTTCGAGATGGCCGTTTCCGGGTGCACAGACACGCTCTGCAAGAACTGGTTGAACTGGTCGCCCATGATCTCAATTCTGCGCTGCGAGTACAGAAGGGAGTTGTAGTAAAAGCTCAGAGACAAATCTTCTCCGGATTTGTGCACAAACACGGCAATGTCTCTCACAGAGCCCGGAACCGACGTCGACAGCTGTTCGCTTCCGTGGGAATGTTGGAAAGAAAGGGTAAACAGCGCCGGGGGGGACTCTAGCTCCTTGGATTTCTGGAAGTAAGCAGCGATGTCTTCAAGTGGTACAAGATTCTTCGTCCCGATATCGTAGGTCTCTGCAACCTGGCGAGAAAACTCTTTGAACGAGGCAGCCGGATCGACAGAAACCCTGACAATGAAGGCCTCCCCGGCGGGCGTGTTTGTGGCGACAACAATGTCGTCGTCGCCGGTAAGTCTGTACACCAAAACCATCCAAGTAGCCAAGAGGTCCTGGAACGAGGCGGCAGTTTTCAGGGGCACAGACAGCCTGGACTCCACGATCTTGCCGGTGGTGGGTCTGTTGAAATCGAGCGGCACAACATTGAGCGTTGGAGTGTCGAGCTTGGTCGTCCAGTACTCCATGACTTTTTGATGAAAAAACGGTGGATGAATTTTAACGCATGAATTCGCTCTGCCATAGGAAAACGCGGGCGGAAAAACACATCCAAAAAGAATTACCAGAGAACATCGGTGGACTAATTGCCATGTCGCAGCGGAAATTGCAACAGTAAGTGGCCGACACCGCGCCGAACTAACCAATTAGAGAAATAGACAGAGTGTTCAAGAAGGTGAAGGAAGGGCTCGAGGAGTTTGACTTCATCTACGACAAGCTCCAGAGCTGCGACCAACAGTCGCAGAAGGAGAAGTTGGAGAACGATCTGAAGAAGGAGATCAAGAAGCTGCAACGACACAGAGAGCAGATCAAGACGTGGATGTCTGGGAACGAGGTGAAGGATAAAAAGCAGCTCATAGAGCACCGCCGACTCATAGAGCACGAGATGGAGAGATTCAAGGAGGTGGAGAAAATCATGAAGACCAAGGCGTTTTCCAACGAGGCTCTCGCGTCCACAGATGTCGCGCTGGACCCGAGACAGCGCGAGAAGCTGGAGTGTGCCGAGTTCATCCAATCAATGATCGAGGAGCTCGACCGCCAGGACGAGAGCATCGAGGCCCAGATCGACCAGATCACGAGCTCGCTCAAGAAGAAGAAGTCCGACGCCTCCAAGCAGTCGCAGATCGACGCGCTCAGCGAGCAGCTCGAGCGCCACAAGTGGCACGTGGGGAAACTGGAGACGATTTTGCGGCTGCTCGAGAACGACAACCTCGAGGTCGACCAGATCAACGACATCAAAGAGGACATTGAATACTACGTGCATTCGAACCAAGAGAGCTCTTTTGTCGAGGACGACACGTTCTACGACGAGCTTGGCCTTGACGAGCTCGAAGAAGGGTTCCGTGTTGTTCATGCCGGCCACGACGACGAGGACGAAGACGACCGCGACGAGAAGGAGTCCAAACCTACCACCCGAAAGTCCAGCACTAGCACGCAGAGCATGCTTCCGACGGCGTCGTCCACTAGCCAGGGCCCTGCGGCCGAGAATTTGCACCACGTTGCACCTCCAGCTGCCGCCGCAGCTCCAGCTAGTCGGATACCGTCTGCCAGCCACCAACTACCACAGCTGTCCCAGAACAGCCAGACAAGCTCTCCTCTCGTGCGGGCTGCTAACCTGACCCCCGCGGCGTCTAGCTCGACGACGCCAAAGCTCAAATACGCCTCCGTAGTGAGCACAGGACTGCCGGCGGCAGACAAGGGCCGGGCCTCTCCATCGGTCTCTACGGGACTGCCTCGTCCAGCCGACAGCACCAGGGAAAGCACCGCTTCTCCACAGCAATTCTCCTTTCTCGACGCCTCCAATTACACACACCTGCCTGACGGGATAAGAGACTACGTTAGCTGTCTGGAGGCAGCTAAGACGCGCCACGAAACTGCTGACAAAGGCAGTCTGGACACCATCTTCCCGCAGCTTGAGTCGTCGCTGCTCAATTGTCCCGACTCGTACGACTCCGACAAGCCTCGCAACTACCAGCCAACCAACCAATTCACCACCCAAACATGTTTTCCGCAGGAGCCGGCCGTGGAAATCACGGGCTCGACCAAGCTCTTGCAGAAGCTAAAGATCGACACTTTGGCCTACTGCTTCTACTACCACAACGTCAAATACAAGTCCCCGTTCACAACAATCAACAATCTCAATAGCCCGGGCGACGATTATCTCCAGTACATTGCTGCCAAGGAGTTCATCCGTCGTGGATGGAAATATCACAAAGAACTGAAGACATGGTTCTTCAAAGACGGCGACGGGTGGAAGATGTTCGATTACAAGGATTCCTGGTCGGTGAAAAGCCAGCCGGGATTCAGCTTCGACCCCCAGCAGGAGCAGACTCTGTAATATATCAGATGTACCATTATTCTATTAGTCTATTCAAGAGCACTCTCTTTTGAGAAAAACCTCACTGAAATGCTTACACTGTCTGTAGCACTCCTCAAAGCCGTCGCGGCCGCCGTAGTACGGGTCGTCCACAACTCTTTCCAACTTTGGGTCCTCCTTCCAGTCGCCAAAAAGACACACCTTGGCCTTGCTGCCCGAAGGACGCTTATGCTCAAGCGAGCGAAGGTTGTAGTTGTCCATACAGAGAATGTAATCAAACTCGTTAAAGTGCTGCGATTTAATTTGCTGGGCACGATGGTTGATAGGAACGTTGTGCGCTTGACATGTAGCCACGGTTCTCTGGTCCGGAGTTTCTCCGACGTGATAAGAGTGCGTGCCAAAGGAGTCTACCTTGGTGACGACTGAACTGAGCCCTTTCTGCTCTACGAGCTGCGAGAAAACAGCCTCCGCCATAGGCGAGCGACAACTGCTGGTTAGTTGGCCAGATAAGGGTACTTACATGTTTCCTGTGCAAACGAAGGCCACTTTCATGTAAAGCTAAATTAGTTAAAATTACTCGTCGATCGACGCGTCGTATTTATTGCAATTTGCTCAGCAGAGCATTGAGATCTACATTGACAGGAATCTCCTGGCGTTTGGCAGACGGCTTTTCGGCGTCTTCTGGAGCGGGCCGTTTGCTTTCGGCTGCAAAGCTGGAAATGAAATCCGAAGGAGTCTCGTAGGTAGGAACGTCGTCGTCCTGCGCTTCGTCTCCATTGCCGTAGCTGGGAGCCTCGTCCCCGTTGCTGTAGCCAGGCACGTCCTCGTCGTCCTCGTCGCCCTTATATGTGGGCAGCTCTTCGTCGTCGTCATCGTTATTGAGAGTGCTTTCGATCTCTGTCTTGCGCTGTTGGGCAGAGTTTTTCATCGATTCCAATTTTTCTAGTTTCGTCTTATCGAGGTTTATCCAGTCTCGCTGGACCTGAATGAGAGACTGCAGGCTATCAATGAGTTTTTCCCTCAGCTCTGTCTGATTTTTTATGCTTGTTTCCAGAGCCTCGCTGCCCTTCACAAGCCCTTCCAGCTGGCCGACCAGGATATGCGGTTCAGGGAGATTTTCTGCCTTTAAGGTGCTTTGGTACGTTTCCGAGAGACTGGCAAATTTCGTGCTAGTGGCAGAGGATATCTGTCTCAGATGGTCATACTGAAGAGCCGCCTCGATCAGTTCTGAAGGACATTTTTGATACGCCGCAGGCTCCGTCTGATGAGTTTTGTGCTGCGCGAGGGTCTGTGCTGGCTGCTCTCCTACTAGGCTCATTAGTTTATTCACGTAATCGCTCGGATAAATATTTCTGTCTTTCCAGACCTGCAAAACTTTGAGGAACTTGGGTCTGTCCGCGCCTGGGTTGATCTGTTGAAGCACTTGTGGGAGCACTTTTTTGAATCCTTCGGTGAAACCAGCGTTTCTAGGGTCTTTACGGCTCAATTGGACGATGTCGTTGGCCAGGTAGAATAAAGTCAATTTGTTAGGCTGAGACGTGATTTCCTTGACCCACAAATCCACAATGGTAGGCGCCTCCCTGTAGTGGAACATAATCCATTGCGACGTCGTCTGGATGCTCTGCTGCGTGGGAACCAGCGCTGCAAGCTTAACTTTGGCACGATCCACGGAAAAGCTCATAAAGAAATGCTGAATATTTTTTCGGTTCTGAGCCCTAAAATATATTAGGACGCAGTAGCAAGCAGGTGGTGTTCTTCGGGAAGTGAGGACATGGAAGAAATGAGGTGTAGAGGAGTCGCGACGGATGCTTTGTGAAGTTTTCTGATGCTGGCTCCAACATCAAGTGGCTTGATGACAGTTCCCACTCGCCAACAATTTTACAGCTCTCGAGAGGCACATGGGTCCAGCAGCCCGGGAATGCATGACATAGGCGGACTCGGCAGTGGTATTGAGCTGCAGAATCCCACCTCTGCTATCTCCTATCCCGCCTACGACTCATCTGCAGCCCATCTGTGTCTCCAACTGCTTTGCCAACCATGCTACCAGAAGTTCGTCTACACCTGTGCACCGGAGTACATCTAAATAATCTCTTGCTGGCTTTGAACAACACACAGAAAACAAGAGCTACAACCATGGCTGACAAGTTCCCCGAATTAGAAGGCGTTGACAGCACCGATGTGGGCAACAGCGGAGACTTTTTGAAGCGCGAAAAGGAACTTCTTGGCAACGAATTCGCAACGGAGCAGGACAAGATCGCAGAGGATGACGACGATTTCGAAGAGTTCAAGAGCCAGTTCCCTGAGGTGTCAACAAATGCCAATGACGTTGCCCCTGTGGCAGAGAGTGAAGAAGAACCAAAAGAGGCCATCTTTGAGGAGCCAGTGACCAACAAGTTTGCAAATCTGAACTTGGAAGAGAGCATCCACATCCAAGAGTGGCGAAAGGCCAGAGAGCTGGAGATCGCCAAGAGAGATGAACTGGCCGCAAAGAAACTGGAGGAGATCAAGAAGGAGGCCGAAAAGGCCATTGACGATTTCTACGAGAACTACAACAACAAAAAGGAGGAAGCCGTGGAGGCCACCCGCAGAGAGGAGGTCGAATTTTTGGAGAAGAGGGACAGTTTTCTTGAGCGGGGAACGGTTTGGGACCGTGTGGTGGAGCTTCTGAGCCTGACCAAGAATTCGAACGCCTCGGATCTCGCGGGCTACAGAGACAAGTCCAAGTTCAGAGACTTACTCATGTCGTTGAAAGGCAAGGAGGACGTTCCAGGGGCGGCCGGATATTAGTTACGTACATATTAGAAGTATCTATATGTGAGATGGTATATTTTGACCTAATTCTAGCCATGCTAGCCTCTTGTGTCGGCTTTAAAGCCCGCATCGCGATTACCTAACAGCGGCGAATACGGGAAAAAATTGATAGAATTATTCGTTTTCCCCATGAATAACCAGGGGTTTGTACCTAATTCCAGGCCACCGATAGGTGCGTCTGCCGGCGCTAACCAGATCACACAGCAGGACCGCGTCCAGTTTGTGAACTTCATCGTTGCGTCTATCGCCAAAATACAGGGCTCGAATTTTTCACTCCAGAGAACAAAGCCTGTCGCAGAAGAGTACGAGAAGTTTGCGTTCAACAACTCGTCCACCAAGAGGGAATATGTTGACTATTTGAAAAGCAAGATCGCCAGCATCAACCAGTCTCGCCAGAACGTCATGCAGAAGCAGCAACAACAGCAACAGCAGACCCAACAGTCTCAGCAGCCACAACAACCGCAGCCCCAGATGGCCCGGCCCACCTCACAACCGCAGAAAATCGACATTCAGAACATTCCCATTCCGCCATCGCTACTTGCGAAGCTGCCACCACTTTTCCCGCAGGGTTATAACACTTGGGCCATGATTATGCCTTTTTTCAGGCAGAAGCAGATGTCGCCGCATGACATGCAACTGATCAAGGAAGTGTATACCATGCACACGCAATTGATTCGTGCGAAACAGCAGCAGGAGTTTTCGCAGATGCACAATGCCATGCCGGGTCCCCAGGCCAACCAGGGCATTTCTGCCGCCAAACAGAACGCTCCCAACCCGCAGCAGGTTCTGATGTTGCAAAGACAACAGCAGATGAAGCAGTCTATGATGCAACAGCAGCAGCCTATGGTCGCGCCGCAACAGCCCCAGCAGCAGCACCAACAACCGCAACAACCACAACAGGCTCAACAGCCGTCTGGCATGCGTCCGGCTATAACTCCAGAACAGCTAGAAAGCTACAAAAACCAAGCATTGCAAGTGATCAAAAACCTTCAGGCTTCCAACAAGCTGCCTCCCAACCTAACGCCTGAGCAAGAGAACACATACGTCAAGAGGTATCTCTACCATCTGCTCAACAACGCGAGACAGCAGCCTAAGGTCCCTGTTACTCAAAATGGCATGCCGGTTCAAAGCCAGGTGGTGCCGCAAAGCCGGCCACAGCAGAATATTCCGATCAACAAGCAGCAGATTCCGATTCAGCAGCAGCAAAATATGATGATGCAGATGCAACAAAACCATATGAAGGTGGCGTCTCAGGGCCAGTTTAATCCGATGTCTGCCCAATCGCAACCTGCACTGCAGACGATGCCTCAAGGCCAGCCTCAGCAACTTCCAACGAATCAGAACCAGAACGGCCGCACGGGCCAAAGTGGGCAGCAATTTGGAAACCACATGCCAGGCCAGCCTCTAGCTCAGCGTCAGAAACCGGCAATGCAGCCCGGAAATACTGGTCCTCGTTTATTTACGGGCGTGCAAGCCACGGATGATGACTGGAGACGGCTCAAGGCTATCTACCAGGAAGTGGCAGCCACGCCTATTAATCTCAAAGACCTGACGGACGAGATTTCTGAGCAAGAGAAACAGCAGATCATCAAGACGATGAAGCAGTGTCAGCAGCTTGTACTTATATCGGAGACAATTATCATTCCTAATTTTTACATGATGACCAAGAGTTATGAGGGTACAAAAAAATTGATGTACAGCCAACTGATGATCAAACAGGTACTAGAACGACTAAAGAATGGCGGACGCTTCTATGCTAATTATGATTTGCTCACCAAGGTGCAAACGCAAATCACTAGATTCCTTGCGTATGTGAAGGAGCAAAACTCCAAAATGCTTAAGGGACAACAGCAGCAGCACTCTGTTCCCGTCCAAAACTCCATCCTACAGCCAGGAATGGTGCCTCCTCAGAATCGGTATATGATGCAACAACAACCTGGAATGAACGTGTCCACCTCTGCTTCACCTGTTATGCAGCGTGTCAGTACACCGCAGCAGCAGTTTATGCAGCATCCATCGATGAGCATGAACACCGGCGCAGTTCCCCAGCAGTTCCAGCAACTTTCTGAGCAACGACAGATGCCTATGATGGGGCAGAGTGCTGTTACTGGAAAGATTCCAGCACACTTTATGCCTGGGCCTCCCGGGGGCATGATGCCTAGCCAACAGCCGACGTCCGCCCCTGTTGTGACGGACGCCAAGAAGCAGCCTGTTCGGAAGAAGCCTGCTAAGCCTGTGGCCACTTCTGCTCCCACGCCGAAAGATAAGACCATTCCTCTTACTCAACCAGGCGCTGTTCCTGCGTCGCTAGGTTTGAGCTCAGCTCCGTCCAGCTCTGCCGCAAACGGGGCTCTGTCTTCTGAGGTGCAATCGATAATGAAGGAGGCTACAGAGATGATCGCGAAGGAGGAGTCCAAGCTGCATGCGATTGACCAGCAAAGAAACAGACGTCGTGAGCTAGCAGGCGTAGATCCTGCGCGTTATGTGCTTGCCGTTCTTGCCGATACGCTCAACTTGCCAGAGGAGGAGAGCAAGATTTTTGAAATGGCCAAGTCGTCGTCGTTGAAGAGCCGGACTCTGGGCAGCAATGCGGCACAGGGTAACAAGGTGCTTACTCCTTCTGCCATTTTGACGACACCTCTTCCATTCAACGTGAAGACGCCAACTTCGTTCAAGTACTACGGCTCTGCCATTACTCCGGCTGGCTACAAGGGTGGACATTGGCAGGGCAAAGTGAACGCCATTGTGATTGCTGGGGTTTTCAGAGAGGTTGTCTCGGTGGTTCCCAAAGAAAGGCGCGAGAGTAGTCGCAACAATCTGGGCACCGGGCTTCTCAGCGACCTGAGCTCTTCCGTCTATCCTACGCCTCCAGACGAGGAGACACAAGGCAAGCGGAAAATCGAGGAAGTTGAGACTGAGAGAAAAAAGACGAAGGTTGGCAACGGCGCAAACGATCAGGACGACCTGGATGATCTGTGGAACTTCGACGGGTGGTGAAAAAAAAAAGAAAGATCTGATTTAGTAGATTTGCGATTTCTTTTTTAGAGGTTTTCGCGAGGCAATAATTATTTAGTGAAAATTATCTGATTTGCATAGATAAGAGCAATCCAGATGGAGGACGGAGGGTTTATTAGGGAGCCAGAGACCAGAAAGTCGTCGCGAGCGGGCACTAGAGACCGTCGGATACGAGTTAATGGCACTTCTGGCAGAGGGCGGCGGAGCACGCGAGCCAGAAATTTGAAGATAGAGTCTGGCTCAAGCGACGACGATGGCGATGAGGATTTTGTTCCCGACGACAACGACGAGGACGAGGAGTTTGTGTTTGATGTCAAGGACGAGGAAGAGGCTGCGGAAGTGCCCGAGCCTGTAAGGAGCGAGGAAAACGACGAGGAGATCATTGTGATCCAGGGAACGAGTGCCACCAACGGCGAGGGTGACCAGAATCAAGTCGACAGCGATACCCCGTTGGCCCAGGTACCCAAGAAGCGGAAGCGGGCGCCTGCAGGGTCAAAGCCGAAAAAGAAGAAGAATGACGGGCCCAAGCTCACTGCTCACCAACGACGGACCATGAAGCTGTACGAGTTCAACCCGGACGTGGCAGACACGTTCCCGCAGCTTTCCCTGCTGAGTCGACGACCTGTTGAGAAGGCTGAGCATCCGGAGGGCATGACCATCACGCTGCTTCCGTTCCAGCTCGAAGGTCTGGCTTGGATGATCAAGCAAGAGGAAGGCGATTACCATGGAGGCATTCTTGCTGACGAGATGGGTATGGGTAAGACAATCCAGATGATCTCGTTGATGATGCACGATCGCAGCAAGCGTCCCACGTTGGTTGTTGCGCCGACTGTGGCCCTAATCCAGTGGAAAACGGAGATCGAGAACCATGCTGGTGGCGCTCTGAAGGTCGGGCTTTTCCACGGACAGAGCCGCGCAAAGTCGCTGGACGAGCTAGAGGAGTACGATGTTGTGATGACCACATACGCGGTGCTTGAGTCGTGCTACCGGAAGCACAAGTACGGCGTGAAGCGGAACGGCAGACTGGTCAAGGAGAAGAGCCTGCTGCACTCGAAACACTTCTACCGAGTCATTCTGGACGAGGCCCACAACATCAAAGATCGCCAGAGCTCGACGGCGCGCGCGGCCAACAATCTGAGGTGCGACAAACGATGGTGTCTTTCGGGTACGCCGCTGCAGAACAGGATTGGTGAGCTGTACTCTTTGATCCGGTTTTTGGACATTGCCCCGTTCTGCGAGTATTTCTGTACCAAGTGTCCATGCCGCTCCAAAGAGTGGGTCTTCCCCGACAACAGAAACTGCTACTTTTGCGGCCACCACGGCATGCTCCACATGAACTTCTTCAACCACTTCATGCTGAAAAACATCCAAAAATATGGTCTGCAGCAGGAGGGCGAGGAGTCTTTTGAGCGCATTCAGCTGCTTCTTCGCCAGATCATGCTGAGAAGAACGAAGGTCGAGCGGGCCGACGACCTGGGCCTGCCTCCGAAAATTGTCGAGATTCGACGCGACTATTTCAACCCGGAAGAGAAGGACCTGTACCAGTCGCTGTACTCAGACTCGAAACGGCAGTTCAACGACTACGTTGCGCAGGGTGTGGTTTTGAACAACTACGCCAACATTTTCACCCTAATCACGCGGATGAGACAGCTTGCGGATCATCCAGACCTGGTTCTCAAGCGGTTCAAGAAAGCACCCAAGGATCTCGTCAACAGCGGCGCCATTGTCTGTCAGCTGTGTGACGACGAAGCAGAGGAGCCGATCGAGTCCAAGTGCCACCACAGGTTCTGCCGGATCTGTATCACAGAGTACGTGGAGTCGTTCAACGGCGACAACAAGCGTCTCGAGTGTCCGGTGTGCCACATCGGGCTGAGTATCGATCTGGAGGCACCAGCGCTGGAGATGAACCAGGAGGTGGTCGAGAAGGGTTCTATTGTGAACAGAATCGACATGGGGGGAGAGTGGAAGTCTTCCACCAAAATCGAAGCCTTGATGGAAGAGCTGTACAAGTCTCGGTCCGACAGACAGACGGTCAAGAGTATTGTCTTTTCGCAATTCACGTCCATGTTGGACCTGGTGGAGTGGCGGCTGAAAAGGGCAGGATTTTCCATTGCGAAATTGCAGGGCTCCATGACCCCGGTCCAGCGTGACTCTGTCATCCAGCACTTTATGACCAACCCGTCGGTGGAGGTGTTTTTGGTCTCGTTGAAGGCCGGCGGAGTGGCTTTGAATCTCGTCGAGGCCAGTCAAGTGTTTATTCTGGACAGCTGGTGGAACCCTGCTTTGGACACCGGTCAGGCCGCAGACAGAATCCACCGGATTGGACAGCACCGGCCTATCAGAATTGTGAAGCTGGTCATCGAGGACAGCATTGAGTCGCGGATCATTGAGCTGCAGCAGAAGAAAGCAGACATGGTCAAGGCGACGCTGGATCAGGACCAGAACGCAGCCAGCAGGCTTTCCGCTGCCGACATGCAGTTTTTGTTCAATAACTAACCCGCTTTGTATATAACGATATCGTTCCATGCTACCAAAGTCGTGGCATATCAGAAAAAAATCAAGATATTTTTCAGCCTGACTCACATCTCACCGTAGTTTTTATCAATGGTTTCTCCAATCCTTGTGAGCGTTGCTCAGGCAGGGGACGTTTTGAGTGTGCCATTTGTCAGCGAAGTCCTCGTTTCGCTTAAGACGGTTGCTGCCGTGCAGGAAATCACTGCATTGGCTAAAGCGTACTTGGGCCAGATCTATGTCGACTGGGCACTAGGCTCTGCAACTGATGATAACGAGATAGACGTTGTTCTAGCTCTTTTGAACAACGGCGTGTCTGGTCTTTTTGTCACTGCTGCTGTTGCAGAACACATCAGAAGCCGTGTTCCCAACGCCAGACTGGTCATCAAGGATGGGAAAGATTCTGCCGAGAACATCTGCGTTTTCGGCGAGACACAGGTGAAAATCGGAAAAAGAAGAGTGTTTGGTTATTTCGACCAACCGCTCCAGCAGATCGCCAGGGGCTACACTGCTGTCATTGATCTCAGCCAGCTAACGAGGGAGTACGAGAACCCAGGCACCAAGACGCCGTTTGTGGAGTGCTACGTCGCTGCCATGAACACCGACAGACCAGATGGTTTGTACACGACTCTTGTCACTGACAACAGGAACCAGGCTCTGGGCCTGGTGTACTCGTCGAAGAAGTCCATTGCCGAGGCGATCAAGACCGGCACCGGCGTTTACCAGTCCCGAAAGCACGGCTTGTGGTACAAAGGCCAGACGTCGGGAGCCACGCAAAAACTGCTCCAGCTGGAGCTCGACTGCGACAGCGACTGTCTCAAGTTTGTTGTGGAGCAGGCCGGTGCGGGTTTCTGCCACCTTGACACGGCCTCCTGTTTTGGTTCGTCCAAAGGACTGGCAGCTCTGGAGGCCACTCTGTGGGACCGCAAGACGACTGCTCCTGAAGGCTCGTACACGAAGAGACTGTTTGAGGACGAGAAGCTGCTGAATGCCAAAATTAGAGAAGAGGCCGACGAGCTGGTGGAGGCCACCTCGAAGGACGAGATTGCGTGGGAGGCGGCCGACCTGGTCTACTTTGCGCTTGCCAGATGTGTGAAGTACGGTGTTTCGCTTGCGGACATTGAGCGAAATCTGGACATCAAGGCCCTTAAGGTGACGAGACGCAAGGGTGACGCAAAGCCAAAGTACGTTGAGCAGGAAGCTCCAGAAAAGCCAAAAGAGCCAAAAGAGCCAAAGCAGTCCGAGAAGCCTGTGAACGGAGACGGCCGCATCGTGATGAGCCGTGTGGATGCCACCACTGCCTCGAAGGAGGATATCGAAAAATGTCTGCAGAGACCGATCCAGAAGTCAGCAGATATCATGAACCTGGTGACGCCGATCGTAGAAAAGGTGAAGCTGGAAGGGGACGCTGCCCTAGTGGAGCTCACGGCCAAGTTCGACAGGGTGCAACTCAGCTCTCCGGTGCTGAACGCTCCGTTCCCAGCAGAGATGATGCACATCAGCGAGGACGTGCGCAAGGCCATTGACATCTCCTTTGCCAACATCAAGACCTTCCACGAGGCCCAGAACCAGGTAGAGACTCTGCGTGTGGAAACGTGTCCCGGCGTTGTGTGCTCGCGGTTTGCGCGTCCGATCGAGCGTGTTGGCTGCTACATCCCCGGCGGAACCGCCGTGCTGCCGTCCACGTCGCTTATGCTGTCTGTGCCTGCTCTCGTCGCCGGCTGCAAAGACATAGTGTTTGCGTCTCCTCCAGGAAAGGACGGCCGTCTGACGCCGGAGGTGGTGTATGTGGCGCACAAGGTGGGTGCCAAGTGCATTGTGCTTGCCGGAGGAGCGCAGGCGGTCGCGGCAATGGCGTACGGTACCGAGTCGGTGCCTAAGTGCGACAAGATCATGGGTCCCGGAAACCAGTTTGTGACGGCAGCCAAGATGCTCGTTTCCAACGACTCCAACGCCATGTGTGCCATTGACATGCCTGCCGGGCCGTCCGAGGTGCTGGTGGTCGCGGACAAGTACGCCGACCCCGACTTTGTGGCCTCAGACCTGCTTTCGCAGGCAGAGCACGGCGTCGACTCGCAGGTGATTCTGATCGCCGTGGACATGACGTCTGCCGAGATCGATAGGATCGACGAGGCCGTCCACCGCCAGGCGCTGCAGCTGCCGCGTGTGGAAATTGTGCGCCAGTGCATCGCCCACTCCACTACGATCATTGTGAAAAGCTACGACGCGGCGTTGGAGATGAGCAACAGATACGCTCCGGAGCACCTTATTTTGCAGATCCAGGACGCCGAGAAATGGGTCGACAAGGTCGACAACGCCGGCTCTGTGTTTGTGGGCGCCTACTCGCCGGAAAGCTGCGGCGACTACTCCTCTGGAACCAATCACACGCTGCCGACCTATGGCTACGCTAGAATGTACTCGGGAGTCAACACCACGACGTTCCAGAAGTTCATCACGTCGCAGGTGGTCACCAAGGAGGGCCTCAAGAGCATTGGGAAGGCCGTGATGGACCTGGCTGCCGTCGAGGGTCTCGATGCGCACCGCAACGCCGTCAAAATTAGAATGGAAAAACTTGGCTACATATAGCGTGACAATTATCACTAATAAATAAAGTAAAGCCACGACCGAAAGAAATAAGTGCAATTAATTTTTACCATGCTGACTGCTGTCCACCTGCTTGCTTATTCGTATGTTTTCGGAGCCACGTCGTTCCACTCGTTCGTGTCCTCGGTCAGGGCGTTCAAGGTGCTGCCCCGCAAGGAGTTTGGCCTCCTGCAGTCCAAGCTGTTCCCTATCCATTTCCTGACGCAGTCGATCGGGCCTGTGGTGGTCGGTCTCTCTGCCCCATACACGGTCCCGACTGCCGGGATTGTCTTGCTGGCCGCCTCGTCGCTCTCGGGCCTCACCAATTACTTGTGGCTGCTGCCGGTGTGCAACCGTCTGAAGACTGAACGGGGTGCGCTCGAGGACCTGCCGGAGAGCGAGAGAACTCCCGAAATCAACGAGCAGATTGCAGCTTTGACTAAGGAGTTTGGCAAGTACCATGGAATCAGCCTCGTGTTCAACACCCTGAGTGTCCTTACGCTTGCTGCGTACTCCTACGTGTTCAGCACGCAATTCCTCGTCAGAACCCTTAAATAGCTGTTTCGCGCGTCCTTCAGAACACCGATGGAAATATGAGTGCCCCCACCTGTTTCGGAGAACGTTCTGTAGCCAGCAGGTCGTAGCTGAGCACTGCGCTCTTGGTGTCGCCTACTTCCAGCATGATCCCCAACTCGGCGAAGTGTTTTCTGGTTTCTGGGCCCAGCATTCGACTGCTGCCCCCAAGACCCAGCACGAACAGTTCGGGCTTTGGGTAGAGCGCTTCCAGCAATGTAAAAAGCTCCGTTGTCGTCAGGTCTAATGGGCCTTTTTTGCTGATAGAACTCGTGTTCAGCTCGAGTATCTGGTTATCCAGCAACAATGCAGCAACAAGAGTGCCTTGCTTGTTGGGTGATCGCACAACCTTCATGTTGGAAAAGATGATCGAGTCCTTAGAGATCATTTCGATGTTGTTCTCAGGGACTGCAGAAGAGCCCAAAACGTCCAGGTTGGCGAGGTTGCTGCCCACATTGGCTGGCCCGAACGAAGACCGCGCTCTCGCAGAGCTTCTTTGCAGATGCAGTGCCAGAGTCCTCCCGGTAGCCACGTTCATGATTATCAGATATTCCCCTCTATTTCGCGTTACCCGACTTTTAAACTATCTGAGCTGAAAATTCTTGATTTTTAAAACAATCCACCTCCATGGCCGGAATCAGCATATTCCAGCAGGTGTCTAAGGCCAGAAACGGCGTGGGCGCCTTTGTCCATCCATGCCGTAAAATTATCATCACCTATTGCAACTTCGGTGGCTCGTCGAAAGGCACCAGAGACTTCCTCAGATTGAGACTCAAAACGTTTGCCCAGCAATATCCACAAATCCATTTCCATATATTGCACAAACCAGGATTCCACCCCGTGCTCCGAGCACAGTACACAGACGGGCTGGAAAAACAGATATGCGTCCGCAAGTGGAACGTTGACGTTGTCGAAAACAAGCTGAAGCTGCTTATCAACTCCAGCGGAAGAAAACTGTCCAAGCCTAAAGAGTTCGTCAAGTCACTCAACAAGTCGGTCAGAGGTATTTGGTCTCCATTCCATGTGGACCCATCGCAAAGATACAAAGTTTGATGTACATAGTAATATATTAGAACATGACATTTTCGTACGGACATTCGACACTCTCGTGGCCCTCGCGCTCGCATAGCCCACACCATTTGGGCCGCCCTGCCGCAGGATCGTTGTGCACGGCAGGCGTGGCAATCAGTTCTCCGTCCTTCACGAGATGCTCGGACACAGTGCTTGTTTTTTTCTCGTTCTGCTCTTTCAAGAGGGAATACTTGGCTTGTAGCTCATTAAGCTCGTTCTCAAGCCTTTCGAACTTCTCCTCGGCGGAGTCTTTTGAGGATACAAGCTGTGATTTCTCTCTGATGAGCGCCTGGTGGTCTTTCTGCAGCTCGTTGTACGCTTTCCTCAGATCCGCCAAAGCTTTGGCCGTCTCTTCTTTCTCCTGCTTCAAGCTATTAGCCTCTTCCCTTGCCTTGTCAAGCTCCTTTCGCACCTCTGCGTTCTCCTGCTTCAAAGCTGCCTGTTCGGCCTCTAGAGTTCGATATCTTGTGTCCATCTCATCGTATTTCCTCTTGAGATTATCATAGTCACCACTTTCGAGTTGTACGTCTTTTTTCGATTCCAACTCGCGCAGACGCTGTAGATATATCTCCTCATTTTCTGTTGCCTGTTGCTCTAGCGTCTCCACAGCCGCGATCAATTCCTTAATCTGGGTATCGGTATTAGTCTTGAATCTCTCGAACCTCGCATCTTTCATCTTGAGCTCATTCTGGTTTTCGGTGAGAATGGCCTCAAATGTGTCCACTGTTGTTTGCAGCTCCTCCAAAATGCGATTTCGTTCTTGTAACTGCTGCTTGTATAGCCTATTCTGCTCCGTAAGCTCATTGATCCTTTGATCATGATCGTCGGTATCTTTATTCGGGGAGTTCAGCACAGAAGCCTGTGACACAGGCCTCAATGGAGAGGCATTCACCTGGACCAGTTTATGGTACGGTAAGAATAGACCGCTTTTGGGAATCTTGGTCTTAAAATAAAAGATACCATCCACATCCCCAGAGTTCTTGCCTTTGCTGACGCTCTCGCCAATAAGTTCAACGCCAGCAAACGTGCCGCTCTTATTACGTACCCTCCCCACGTATCTAACGTACGCTTCGCCTCCTCCAGGTATGACAACTCGATGACCCACCTGTATTGACATGTACCGTAAACAAATAAAACAGACCGGGTGCAAAGATGTATTTTTTTACAGCTATACAATCAGGCTTCAGTTGCGGAAGCACTGTAGTACTTTTCTGCAATTTCCTTCTCAACCAAATGGGTCCCATTAAGCTGATTACCGATTGTCAACCATCCAGGCCGAGTATTGTGCTGCCGTCCAAAAATCTCTAGCTTCCTCGTTCCAGGCCCCACCATGCGCTCGACCATTCCGTATATTTCATCCGGCTTCCTGGAGGTCTCCCTAGTGGAAGAAATCAAAATTTGTGGATCTATGCATTTGTTGATCCACTTTGGATTTCCCTTGAGACCCACGAGAAGGTGCTCTTTTGAGTGATTGAGCCAATGACCGGTTCTTCCTGTACTAATGGTTCTCACCAGCTGGTTTGTTTTCACCCATGTGATCTGATTGACCACTTGGTATCCCCATTTTTTCAGAAAGTCTCGACCGGTCTCAATGGTTCTTCCTGTCACCCAAAGGAGAAATAGGCCTTCTTTCTGTAGTTTGTCCATCCGAATTTGAAGCAGATCTGAGTCTGTCAAGCTGGAGTAATTGAGGTTCATATGGATGGTCCAGCTTGGGTCTGCAATGATAAGAGCAAAATCATCCCCCAAAATACTGAAGTCCAGCTTCGTGACGTCGCAGTTGATCCACTGAGCTGGCGTTTCCGGTCTCGTGGCTGGAGAAATGGCCTCGCCCCTGGTGAAGTCCGAGATCTGCATCGACTTGCTGATGTTCTTATTGTGCTGAGCAGTCTTTTTCGACGAGCTGTCATCCTGAGGCATCAGTTGCCCGTAATGAACGTACCGACATGACGACATTTTGTGACAAGTGTCTAGGTATGAGCAGTCTCCCAGTTTGGTGTCGGTCTGGGACTGGATGATGGGGATGAAATGGATTTTTTGGTTCACGCATTTTGCTAGCTCGGTGTATGTGTCGCTGGACCCGGTCTCCAGCTTGAGTCGATCATTGAGCTTTGTCAAATTGAGTTTACAGTAATTGGTTGCCCTGTCAAACGACGTTAGAGGGATCAAGAGCTGCGCATGTCTGGGGTCGTCGCAGCAGTCAAAAAACGGCTTAATCGGAGTTCTCAGCTTGGCTCTCTCCTTTGCCAAAATATGCGATCCTGCTGGAACAGAAAGCAGCAGAGTCAGCTGATCCAATCTTTTGGATCTCGACGTCGTTGTATACACGTCTTCGATGTCGAGGGGACTCAATCCTGCGTACAGGTCACTCAAGGCTCTTTTTGACTTGGCAAGTGGACGGTCCACGAGTTCCATCAACAAGTCTAGTTTCTCTTCGTTGTCCCTAGGAACCTCTCTCTGTGCTGCCCACCTGAGTCTTGACAATTGTAGGGGAGGTGTTTTTGGTGGCTCAACAGGCGAATTTGACGACACTTTCAGTTGCCTGTATATCAAATTCAAAGCCAGTCGATCCATGTGAGTGATCTTACTGAAGCATTTGAAGGGATCCTCATATGTCAGCGACAATGCGTTTGCAGGCAGGCAGGTGAAGGCGTTGTGGATGCATATCTCGTCCAGCTTCTGGAGACATTTGACGAATTGCAACCACGACACTTTATCCTTGCCTTTCACCTGACAAGATGCAATAAAACAGAAGTATATCTCCGCGATGGATCCTCCGACCGGAGGCTCTATGAGGAGATAATTCCAATCGATCAGGAATTTGAGCACCTCGTTTGTTTTCTTGTCCATCTCGACAGTTTTCCTTCAAGAGTCGGGCCCTTCTTTATAAAAATAGGGATTGATTTATTTTTCAACACGACTGTCAAAACTGACGGGTAAGATATAGCTCACACCATCACCACCGATTATCAAAAGGCCGCATATACCCCATAAGCTGGCACTTATCAAGGGCCCTGTTGTCTACCCGATCAGCGTCTGCATTACAGACTTTTTCACATCAGCAGAACATGAAATCTGCGACATATATATTCCAACGCATCCTGTAATTGGATAGCTGAGGTATGATTTTTCCGACAGTTGCAGTTCTGGTGTATGTTATAGGCTATGCTACCGCCGTGGCAGGATCACAGTCCCTGTCAAGCAGTAGGCGGACGCTGTACAGGGAGTACAAGAGCCAACTGGATGCCTCACTGGAGAAACTGCCTTCAGGAAATACACTTGACGACGAGGAGCTATACGATAACTATATAAAGCAGTCTGCTGGCTATTGTCAAGTCTCGTACTGCCTGAATGACGAAGGAGGGCTCGCTGAGCTCAAGGACAATCAGTTTATCTTTCCAGATCAGTTGGTCCCTTACACCCCGATTGATTACAAGGAAAAATTCGTGGATAGCACGGGAAACACAAATATCAGATACAATCTTACAAAGCTTTTTGACAACGTGGAGGAATCTGGCAGAATTATCACCCATGGTGGGGGTGAAGGTTATATGCTGCTTGACCATAAGTTGCGTACGATCAATATCGTATTCCGAGGCACTCGGCAATTCTCACAATGGTATACTAACCTCCATTTCAAGCCTGGCAGATACCGGCCTGTTATGAATAGTTCTGCATATTGGGACCAGATCAGTTATAGCCGAAAGAAAGTGCTTCAGGAGAATATGGTACGAAATATGGAGCACCACAATTACTTTGATTGTTCGCTCTCTTACGCCCACGCAGGATTCACCTTTGTTGCCCGCGGAATGGCCCTGCAGGTTCATAATGAGCTTTTCAAGTGGTTGCAAGAATTTCCTGATTACAGAGTGCTGGTCACAGGACATTCCATGGGAGGAGCTCTAGCTCAGATGACCTCTTTGGATTTGCATATCCTTGGAATAGACAACTTCATGGTTAGCTTCAACGCTCCCTCAGTGTTCTCTCACACATTGGCAGCTGCCTACAACAGTCTGGTGGACCAGTCTTCCAATTCTGCAGCTCTACGAGTTTACCACTTCTACGACCTTGTTCCGCGCATTCTCCCGTACTCAATGTATAGGCATGTCGGTGTTCCGATTGTCACGTTCAAACGCGAGTTGCCGCATGCCTATACAGACTTCCGTGTTAGTGCTAACAGCAGATTGTATGGTAGCAGCCAGGAATTGGAGCTGGCAGATGTCAACGAAACCTCATCTTTTCTCGCCCAAGGTATCAAAGATTACTTGAAGGAGCTCTGGCGTCGCAGGCCAGAAGTACTTGACCCCTTTTATCACCGACACCTGGTGGTGTTTTTCGCTGCCTGTAACGAATGCTGAGTAAATAGTTTCGCATACAAAACACACCTCACACCGAGATCTGATGTTTACAAAATAAAACCATAACAAAACTGTGAGCATCAAAACAACACGAACGCTGCAGCACTCAACGGGTCTTTCTCTTACCACAAGTGTACTATTAGCATTTTTGAATCTATCTGTGGGATAAGTTTCTGTTATACACTTGAACAGCACGCGTTTCCAGGTCTCCCGATCCAACTGATCATGGCAGATGTTTCGGGGATGTTCTCGGCCCCGTTGACAAACGAGAACTATGAGTTATGGATTCGCATGGCCACCGACAACGTACGTATGATTTTTGACGCGTCTCCGCTAACGTTTAGAAAATTAACTCGACGAACAGCTGGAACTTTGCGCTCATTGACTATTTCCACGAGCTCTCTCTTTTCAAAGATGGCGACAGCATAAATTTCCAAAAAGCATCCACCACTCTTGACGGCTGTGTCAAGATCTACGCCTCAAGAATTGACTCAGCGGCGTCTGAAACAGGAAAACTGTTGTCTGGCTTGACATCCAACAATTTGGAAGGCATCGATGAGGAGGAAGACGAGAACAATGAGCAAGAAGGAGGCACAACAAAACCAAAATCGAAAAAGCATCGTGCCGAGTCGACACTGGCGAAGAAGTTCCAGACGATAAAACTGAAAGAAGTTGAGAAAGAATTGTTTGTGGACCCGATCTTTAAGAAAGCATTATCTGATTTCGATGAAGGAGGAGCGAAGAGTCTTTTAACGAACATGCTCAAAATCAACACCGAAGGACGAGTTGTTTTTGACACTAGTGAGAAGTCCAACGAACTGATAATGAACAAGAGCGATCATGAAGAAGACGTCCCCCAGCATATTCGATCAAACATCAATATCTCAAAACTAGCCCGCTTTTTTCCTGACACAACCGCAGAAACAAAAGTGTGTCCTTCCCTCGAGCAGTTAGAGCGTATAACTAAAGAGGGGGCAAGTGCTGCGGAGCTTCTTGAGCAAATTGGGCAGCTTGAGTTTCCTGAAGAGCAACCGGTGTTCCAAGAAGACGATAATCTCGATTTTGGAGGAGGTGATTTCCTCGACAATGACGATGATGACGATGACGATGACGGCAATGGCCCGGAAAGGTCTCACAGAAATCAATACTCTTTGTTTATTGATGGTGTCAACGACAGCGATCGCTCAGGACCAAATGTCACACTGACAAGGTTATTTGACGAGAACCCAACTCCGCAATTTGACGATGATGGTGATGAAGAAGGTGGAAGAAGTATGGCCGAATATTTCGATACAATTTCACGACAGAACTGGCGAGGCCCCGAACACTGGAAGATTGCCATGGTGAAGCAAGCGCATCAGAAGAGCTCGAGTCCTGAAATTCCTCCAGCTCAAGCTGAAAACGTGGCTGGCGACGACGGAAAGGAGGACTTCGTTCAGAAAGTCACTTCCAAGCGTAAGGCTGTCTTTACTTTGAACTTCATGAACGATGACGATGATCTGGACGATAAAGAGCTTTTTGCGGCGCCTGCAAATGCTTCCAGACTTCTCATCCCAGAGAAAGACAGGATTCCGCATCCTACGGCCAACAAGCTGCCGGAAGACTTGCAGTTCACCACAAAGCGACTAATCTGTTTGAACATCAAGCCAACTCAGAAAATAAACACAATTCTCACAAGGAAGAAGAAGAGAGTTGCACAACGATTAGGATACGATGACGAGAGAATAGCTGATGAGAATTTCTTTGCCGATACGTATAAAGAGCAGGGTGATGGCTCAAATGCTGAGGGGCAAGGTTTCGACGACACTTTCTTCAATGCAGACTACAATGACCATCCTGACGATGATGATGATGATGAGGGAGACATCCCTGATTTGCCAACAAGCTCGCAGCCTTTGTTTTCGCAATCTCAGAAACGGCCTGGAGCGTTAGGATATGCTAGGGTTGCTAAGAAAGTGAACGTGAAGTTACTCAAAGACAATCTGTGGGACTCTTTGGAGGCTGAAACGCGCAAAGCCAAAAGAGATTCTTCAGTCTTAGAAGACAACAAAGAAAATGGGCCCCCAGAGGAAGACAACAGTACACAGCGAAGCGAGAAAGACGAGAACACGCTCAGGTTCACCAAAGTTGTCAGCAAGTTGTCGAGTAAGTACTCGCCAGAAGAGAAGTCCGAACTGTCCACTAGTTTCTGTTTCATATGTCTACTGCACCTTGCCAACGAAAACAACTTTACCATCGAAAATACTCCAGACTACACGGATTTGTTGATTAAAAGATGAGGATATATTCCTGATTAATAATAAATATAATCACCATTCCTGGGCCTCCACTCCATACTTGGATTTTTTGGTACCTTTCACAGGAACAATGAGCTTGGATCCGCCTTCCAAGAAGGAGAACACTTTTCTTCTCTTCTCCTCGAATGCAGTGATGAACTTCTCTTTCTCCAAGGTGATGCCGATATCGTCCAAACCGTTCACCAGGCAGTGCTTTCTGAAGTCCTCAATATCGAACTTCTCCACAAGAATTTCCTTGTTAGGTCCCAAAATTTGCTGGTTAGGCAAGTCAATAGTGATCTCCTTCTTTTCCACAGCAAACGGGTAAATCTTCTCTTTTATCACGTCTTGAGGTATTCTGATAGGTAAGAGACCGTTCTTGAACGAGTTGTTGTAGAAAATGTCACCGAACGATGGGGCGATGATCGATCTGATGCCAAAGTCCTTGAGAGCCCATGGCGCGTGTTCTCTGGAAGAACCGCATCCGAAATTGTCTCCTGTCACACAAAGGATTTGAGCCTTGGTGTATGGCTCCACGTTGAGCACAAAGTCGGTCGGCACGTCGTTTCCATTTTCGTCCTTAACAAATCTGGACTCGTAGAACAACCCTGCTCTCAAACCGGTTCTCTTGATTGTCTTCAAGAACTGCTTAGGAATGATGGCATCGGTGTCAACATTCGCTCTGTCAAGAGGAGCAGCGATCGAAGTCAGGGTGAGGAACTTCTGCATACCGATAGCCTTTGCCGGCGGCTCTTCCTTGGTGTCGACAGTCTTCTTTGTCACGTGATCAGAAGGAGGCACATCGTTGATCTGGTCGTCGATGGCCTCGTCTTCGGACTCTCCTGGGGCAAGAGGCTCTTTTTCGTGTTCGTAAACGGCATTCTGAAGCGCAGCGCTCTCGTCCTCGGAGTCGAGCTTGATTATCGGCTGTGCAGGGTCCTCGTTGTACACAAAGTTTCTGATATCTGTGAATTTACCGGTGATACCAGCAGCTGCAGCCATCGCTGGGGACATTAAGTGCGTTCTGGACAAAGCACCTTGTCTTCCAACAAAGTTTCTGTTGGATGTGGAGGCACATCTTTCGTATGGCGACAAAATGTCTGGGTTCATACCAAGACACATGGAACAACCAGCTTCTCTCCAGACAAATCCAGCTGCCTCGAAGATCTTGTCAAGCCCTTCGCTCTCGGCTTGTTTTTTCACCAGTCCGGACCCCGGCACCACCATTGCCATTTTCACGTTGTCGGCCTTCTTGTGGCCTCTCACCACCTTGGCAGCGGCTCTCAGGTCCTCGATACGCGAGTTCGTACAGGAGCCGATAAACACCTTGTCGACCGTGATGTCCTGCAACGGAGTGTTAGGCTCAAGACCCATGTATTTAAGTGCAGCCTCAACGCCCTTTTTGGTGATTGGGTCGGTGAAATTTGCCGGGTCTGGCACCTTGCCTGTGATTGGAAGTGCGTCCTGAGGAGAGTTACCCCACGTGATCGTCGGCACAATGTCAGAGGCCTTGATTTTGATGTCGTAGTCGAACTTTGCGCCCTCGTCTGTCTTGAGAGATTTCCAGTATCTCACCGCTTTCTCCCATTCTTCACCCTTTGGAGCCAATGGACGGCCCTTGATGTAGTTGAAAGTGGTCTCGTCGGGCTGGATCATACCAGCTCTCGCACCGGCCTCGATGGCCATGTTGCAGATCGACATTCTAGCCTCCATGGACAGGTCTCGGATACTTTCACCAGCAAACTCGATCACGCAACCAGTACCTCCAGCGGTACCGATCACACCAATCACATGAAGAACCAAGTCCTTCGAAGTGACGCCTGGCGAAAGCTTGCCCTCGATGGTGATTCGCATATTCTTCGACTTAGCCTGGATCAGGGTCTGGGTAGCTAAAACGTGCTCCACCTCCGAGGTACCAATGCCAAAGGCCAGGGCACCGAAGGCACCGTGAGTCGAGGTATGCGAGTCACCGCAGACAACCGTGGTACCGGGAAGAGTGAAACCCTGTTCAGGACCAACAACGTGGACGATACCTTGTCTGGAATCGGTCATTCCAAAGTATGTCAAGCCGAAGTCTCTGACGTTGTCTTCAAGAGTCTGCACCTGCACCCTGGAGTCATCCTGTTTGATGAAAGTGTCAAGGCTCTTGAAGTTCTTTCTGGAGTCAGTTGGGATGTTGTGGTCGACGGTGGCAAGAGTGCAATCTGGTCTTCTGACGGTTCTGCCTGCTGTCTTGAGGCCCTCGAAGGCCTGAGGACTAGTCACCTCATGGATCAAGTGTCTGTCAATATAGATCAGGTACGAGCCGGAATCGTCTTTGTGGACGATGTGGTCCTCAAACACCTTGTCGTAAAGGGTTTTGGGGGTCGATGTGTTGGTATCCGAAGGCATAATTTTACAGGAATTAAGATACGAAGAGTTTTTATACTCCCCTGCTGAGTCACGCCGGCTCCGGACACTGTGCATATTGCTGCCGGTACCGGCCCGTTGATTTTTTTAATTTTTCGGCCCAATCGCAGCACGAGAATTTGTCAGAAGTGCGTCTGTTATCTACTTACTTCTTCTAGCTAGATACAGCGCAGTGCCTGCCAAAATTGAGCCCACGGCGCCCCATTCGGCCCATCTGAGGATCTGCTCCTGCTTCTGGCTGAATCTGACAGCGTCCGCGTAGCTGATGTCCGATCTGAAGGACACCATAGTGTAGAGGGGAATCCAGTGCTGCGGCATTAATCTGCCCAAAACTCCGTCCAGCTTCTTTCTAAACAGATAGATGGAAGAGGTCACGTCGCTCGACATCTCGTGGTAGTTTCTCAGCGCGAGTTTCAGGATCGCCTTAAGGTCTTCGGCCCTGGATTCCGAGTAGGCGTCGAAGGCGGTGTGTCGATCATGTCTATGTTTTTCAAGCAGCTCCAGCAGAATCCGCACATCTTCAAACCCGCAGTTCATTCCTTGGCCGTAGAAGGGCACCATTGAATGAGCTGCGTCGCCAATAATAATACACTTATCCTCGAAGTTGTATTTGCTGCAATTCAATTGCATCAGCGCGCCCCGCGGATACGTGGTGAAACACTCGATTATCTTATCGAGGCCGATCAGCGGAATAGCATCCTTGAAGTTCTTCTTAAAGAAAAACTCAATGGTCTTGGGCGAGTCGAGCGACTCCACCAACTTCCAGGGACCGAAAAACGTAGACGTGAACGACCCATCCTGGTTGGCCAGGGCAATCAGCATGAACGTCTTGCGTGGCCAGATATGCAGTCTATTCGGGTCGATCCGGAAGCTTCCATCTGGGCCTGGAGGAATGTACATTTCCAAGTAGCACATGTCGATATATTCCTGACTGTAGTTCATCCTAATCAGCTTCTGCAGACTCTGTCTGACCACGGAGTAGGTGCCGTCCGCACCCACCACGAAGTCTCTGTGGTCTCTTCGAGGCTCGCCAGCGTGGACATAGTTGATGGTCACACCGCCATTCACTTGCACGCTAGTGACCTTGGCCTCGAAAATCAGCTCGATTTTGAACTTTGCCGTTGCATTGAACCGCTCAATCTCCTCAATCAGGTTCTGGTTGAGTTTCTTGCGGTCAATGGAGTTTATGGCCTCACCGAAGAGTCCGTACAGCTGAGATTCCTGGTTTCCGTCCAGATCGTGAATCATCCGGCCGTGCATGGGAATGATTCCCTCTAGAACCCGCTCGGCCATTTCCTCGTCCACATATCTCAGGGCCCGGAAACCTCGCTCACTAACGGCCAGATTGATTGACCGCAGACTTGTCTCCTGGGCGGTTCTCGGGTCCGAGCGACGATCATAAAGCGTGACGGTGTATCCCTGTTTGGCAAGACCCAGTGCTACCAACGCGCCAACCAGCCCAGCTCCAATAACCCCCACAGACGCTTGAGATTCCACCATTAATTGTCAGATAATTGTGAAACCACTTTTATTTTAAATTACACTGCCTGAATCGTTTATTTCTACTATATATACACCCTCTAGTTTCTTAAAACATCTCTCAAATAGCCCGACAGCTTACCGGCGCCGGTCTCCAAGGCATCCTTGATGGCAGCAATGTCCTCGCCAATGTACTTCTCTGCGAACTCGGTCAGTCTCTGCTCGATGTCGTCACCATCAAACGAGGTCGATCTTTGATGGTTTGCGCCTTCAGGCTCGCCGTAGTATTGGGAAGACGAAATCGAGGTGGCTCCGTTGTATGCTTGCAACTTCGTTCTGGCCTCCTGCGCTTTCGCCTCATCGTAGGAGCCCACCCCGTAAAATTGATCCGAGGATATTGCCTTTTGGTTTCCGAATCTGGCAGCAACCTCGCCGGAGTACTCCACATCTTTGTACTTTTTCTGGGTGGCTTCGGGAGCAGGGGCGGCGTTCACCATACCAAAACCAAGCCTTGCAAAAGACTGCGTGACATTTTCTGTTGACGCCGTGGTTGGCTTCGGCGTGGCAAGGGAGCCGGTGCTAGCGGACGGTTTTCTGGTAGTGGTCTCTGCCACGGGCTCGGCCTCCTGAGGATCGTAGCCCAATGATTTAGCCTGCTCTTCTTCCTGCTGTGCTTTCTTCTCGAAATCGTCAAAGTCGATGTCTGCCGACACTTTCTTGACGCCCAACTTGGCCTTGCTTCTATTGGCAGAAGAGCCTCCAAGGATGTTCTTCTTGGCACCCAGTCCAGTTTTCTGGACCTGTCTTGGCTTGGATCCAAGCAATGAAGGGGCAGGCTTGTCGGCTGCAGGTTTGTTGGAGGGGGTGATTGGTCTCGAACCCAGGGGCGAAGGGGTGGAGGATGATTTCTCCCATTTACTGAAGAAATTGTTGGAATCGGAGTCGGCGCTGTCCTCAGCCTCAGGTTCGGTAGCTCCGCCTTCCCACTCTAGCACATTTGGGTGGTTTCTGGCATCGAGTTCTGCCTTTTTCTCCAGTTTCTCTTTGTAGTTTTGCGCGATCTGAGATGAGTATTTTTCCTGGGGAGTCTTATTTAGATATGCTGATCCGCCATTCTTGATTAAGAAATCCTTGAAATTGTTGTTACCGCCACACTTCATCAAACGCAACTGCTTGTCTGTCCATTTAGTGTCCAGCACCGATGATTTCACAAACGATATATGCACTCCTAGACTTCTGTGGTTTGCGCTACATTGTAGACAAATAAATATTCCGAAGGGAATCGAGGTCCATGTTGGGTTCTTCGTTGCACAGTCGAAGCACTGTTTATTTGCAGGGTGCTTCTGAAGCTTGGCAAAAATGGCCTTGATCTCCTCTTTACTTGCAAAATCGGACATGGATAGGTACAAATAATTTCGACGTGTCGAATTGTTTCTTCTTTTGTCGCGGGTTAGGTGCCCTGAAATTTTTAGCCGAATATCGAGGTAGAGCGGAAAAGCAGTACAGCATGGCCGTTTCAGTCTGCATAGCGAGACGGTACTGTGCTTCCAGTGGACTTGTACTGAAAAGTCTGTTCTCTCCAAATTTTCTTGCAAATCAAACTTGGTAGTTGGTTGCAACCTTTTGTCAGCGATTACCCGTTGTAGATTTAGTATCTATCCATATTAAATTTCTTAATAATCACCATCAAACTTGAGAGCACTGCTTATTGTATTCCAGCTCTTTTCGAGTCCATGCTCAGCCCATCAGCAATGGACAGGACGCCTTTTAGGTCCTAAACTTTCTTTCTGTTTCAGCCTCACCATCGCTTCACGGCTGTGCAAGAAATTCAGGGTCCAAAAAAATCCTAAATTGAAAAACAAGCACAGATTCATGTCTACCGAGTCATTGGGAAGATCTGTGTCAGCGCAGACTGCCCCCGCAATGGGTACTCTGAAAAGTAATGACTCTGTGGCTGATCATGAGGATAGCAGGAGAAGATACTCAGCGTCTGGACGGAAGCACGTGAAGAGAACCGTTACGACGCCCGGCCGTTTCCAGACTGAAATCAAGATAGACGAACGGTTGATCAAGAAATACCCCACCGTGAAGTCCGAAGCCAGCTGGTTCTACAGGTTTGTTGCCTTCATGAAGGAGATCAAGCACGTCGTGTTTGACGACACACTTGACTTCATTGATGGTTGCTACGCCCAGTTTTGGAAGTGGTCTGTAATGGTGTGGATTATGCAAAAATACGACGCAAACAAAGACAGACGGTACCTCGGAACTCTGTTGCAAGTAATCAAGTTGCTTTTGAACACGAGAACGGTCGTCTTTCTTCCTCTGTTCCCTGTCGGAATCGTGCTCTATGCCAAGAAATCCGACATTGGCGCAGTTGTCACGCTGGTGCTGGCCCTGATGTATTTTGCTAAGATCCTGTCCAACGTTACCGAGCACGCAGAACACCACGTGGGTCCAGCCTTGGGCGCGCTGTTGAATGCCACCTTCGGAAACCTTGTGGAGCTGATCATTTCCGGAACGACTGTGTCGAAAGACGACGCCACGTTGACCATCACTTCGCTCGTGGGATCGATCATCTCAAACAACCTGCTTGTAATTGGCTCGTGTTTCTTCTTTGGCGGCTTGGAGGGCATGCAATTTGCTACCTCTGCAGTGAAGGGAATAGCCAACCACATGTTTTTCTTGGCCTGCATCACCCTCATACTATCTATGATGTCTGTGATTTCGGTGATTGACCCGGAAAAGAGCATCCAGTTCAAGATGAATACATCTCAGATTGGTGCGGCATTCATTTTCCTTGGGTACGCCACTTACCTGGTGGTTTCCACCAACGAAGAATTCAAGTCGATGAAGAAAATAAAAATGAAAAGCAAGCAGGAAAAAGAAGCTCTGGAAGCCCAGCCATTGGACACCGATTCAGACCTGGACAGCGACTCGGAAAGTGACTCTGAATCTGATGGTGAAGACGAGATCTTCCCTCTCAGCGTCTGCTTCATCGCTCTGCTCGTTTCGGTAGCAGGCCTGGGCCCCACGTCGAACTTTTTCGTGGAGTCTCTGAAGACGCTTACAGACGATAAACCAATTTCCAAGGTGTTTATTGGTATGGTGATTCTCCCCTTGGCAGGCTCGCTTCCTGAACACATCTCGTCCTTAATCAGCGCCCACCATAACAATATGGCGCTGTCGGTGTCGCTGGCAATAGGCTCCTCGAACCAGGTGCTGGGCATGGTTCTCCCAATAATCCAGTTCATCTCCTCCCACTACCCCTCGACCGGCTTTTCGCTCTACATCGAGCCCTACGTGGCTGCGTACATCTTCTGCAGCTCTGTGGTGTGCATTTTGTCCCTGGTCCACGGACTTATCTACGGCGTGAACGTGCTACATGGAGTTTTGCTGCTTGCTACGTACGGATGCATTGTCTACTTGACGTTTGCACAGAGTTAATTGGTAAGGTCATTATACATTAATCGAGGTCCTCCTCATCATTATTGGTCAAGAACACCTTTTTCCCGTAGTGCTGATTTTTTGCTGTGATGATCAGCCAGTTCCAGAAGTCTCCTATAATCCTGCTCCAGGTGTAAAGACTCCATGGAAGCCACGTGAAGTACACAATGGTCCACGCCTCCACCGGCTCGTAGCCTGGCGTGTAGATGACTTTGTAAACCAGCTCCAATGACTCCAGCACGTTCCTGTTGCCCCAGAAACTGTATACCAGCATATAGTACGCCAGAACGGCCAGCAGCTGCACAGCAAGCACGCTGAAATAGCCAGGACTCCTGAACATGAACTCGTGCCACGTCTGGACGAGCGCACCTCCAGCACAAGTGTAGGCATGGACCACAGAGGCCAAAAAGAGAGACACGCTGTACACAGGTGTCTTCTCGGACATCCAAGCAGCGCACAGAGGTCCGATTTCGAAGACACGTGACCGAAACGTTGACAGGGCCGTAGCACAGGCGACAGCTGGCAACACCGTCGCCAGCGTGCACACGGAAGGTGTCAGGGCAAGAGCAGCAAACTTTCTGGAGGTCGGGAGCACGTGGAAGCGCACGAATCGGACAACGGAATGAAGTCCTTTTTTCATGTAGGTGACAAGACTCTGCTGCTCTTCGCTGGCCTTGTAGTCAACAAAGTAGACGAAGCAGCGCACTGCTGCAGCCAATGCGACAAAGCCAACAAAGAGCTCGTTTGCGTCCAGAGTTTCTGCGTCGTGATGGAACAGTAACTTATGAAGTATGGTGTCCTTCACCGGCATCAAAACCAGCTTGGCAGACAACAGAGTTGCTCCAAAAACCAGAGCTCCGAGCAGCAATGAGTACGCCCACAAACAGCCCAAAAGTATAAAGATACGCGGCTTGAAGTTAGGAGGCCGGTAGACGATTGTATACGAGGTGATTGAAACCAGCTCCTCGTCTCCGTAGGGGTAGTTTTTCGCCTCAGTCCCATCCTCGTCCTCGGGAATGGGGGCTAACGGCACGTCATTTTTGGTCACGGGAACAAAAAGTTTTCTGATGAAGGAACGAGAGACGTTGTCGTCGTCAGGGGCACGAACGAAGGTTCCGTCAGGGACAAAGCAGCAGGTTGCTTCTGGGTGTTCTTGGAAGTACGCTGCGGTCTCCATTTCCGGAACTGGCGAATTATAGTCCGGCTTGTGGCCCAGGAAACGGTACAACATAGACCTGTACACGACGCGGCCGCGTTCCTCGGGCACATCAGCTCCCAAAATGAACGACGAAAGTCTTAGCAGCGAGCACGCCTGTCTGAACGCCATTTGCCAGTATGCGAGGAAAAGTCTTGCAAACGACGGTTGCATCGCGATGGACCTGACCAAAGGAGGGACGATCGACCAAAGTCCGGAAATTGTGTATCGAATAGGGAACAGCTTGTAAGGAGCAAGGTACTTGAGTCCCCAGGTGACTGCCGCAAACTCCACGGCAATATAGATTGTATAAACGAGCCCCGAAAGCGCGATTCTGGAGATCTGCAACCCAAACGGCTTCATCAAGGCGTCGTGGATGAGCCGGACGTTTGGGTCGTCAGGAGACCGGATGAAAAACAGAACGCCCTTCCTGAGGATATCGCTGCGTGCCATGCTGACAAAGGACGCAAACACGTACATGAAATACGTTCCAAGGCCAAGAACAAGAACGGCGCTCTTGTATGGCGAATTGAGGTCGAACATGGCGAAGAAGCTGTTCTCTGTCAGGATGGGAGCGAGCACAAAGTCCAGTTGCAATCCACAGAAGAAAGGGAAGATCAGCAGCTCAATGCAGAAAATGGAGAGCACCTTCAAAGTGCAAACCACTTCTAGTAGCGCGATATAGATGGCCCGGTATCCACGGGAAAGAGGGTTCACAGGGGAGCATCCGGATTCAAGCAGGCGCATGACCGCGGCGATTATGGAACCAATCGTGAAATAGCCCGCAGCCAAAACCAGCGTCCTCTCGAGCAATTCTGCTTCGGGAGTCCAGTTGACGATATTAAAATAGACATGCTGAAGCGATGAGAAGTCAACGGAAGGCAAATAGGTGAGAGAAATGCTGTACTGAAATGTAAATTTGATGCCAGCCATTTGGGCTATGTGCAACGCCAGCCTGTAGGACAGCGCAACAACGGAGTGGAGCAGGGTAAGAGAGATCATTCCCAGCAACGACGGAAGGAAGTAAAACACACCCAGCACCACAATGACCATGAGCTCGAGGAACCATGCCACCTTGATGAGAAACAGCGGAGTAAGCGAGAATTCTACAAAAACGTTCTCGCCGCCTCCGAGCTGCTGTCTGCGCTGCTCCTCCTGCCACTCTTGCATTTGCTGGATGCGCTGCTCCTCCCTATGGTTTCTGGCTCGGTCGATACGGAGCTGTCTGAGTAACTCGACGCGAGCAAGCCGTTCGGCTTCGTCGTTCTCGTCGACTCCTTCGTCCAGCTCGTCCAGCTCGTCCTGCACGGCAGGATCAGGGGCACGCGGAAAACGTACTTCGGGCCGTCTAGGGACCTCATTTCTTGGCTGCTGGAGCATCTGGAGGATCTTTTGCGCTGTGAACTCGGGCCCAATGTTGTGCTCGACGATCTTGGAAAATCCTTCGTCCTTGGTCACCCACTCGTGAACGGCAACCGTGACAATGATCAAGGTGGCCCCAAATATCAGGATGCGCAGGCCCTTGAAGTAAGAGGTGAACAAAAGCGTCTTGAGACTCGTCGAAGTGAGCCAGCCTTTTGGATCCGGAGCTTGTTTGCCGAAAAGTGTAGACTCCCGTATCGTTTGGTGGGGCATATAGCAGCCCAGCAGATATGTGTACAGGCGAGCTAGAAACGATGTGGAGATCGGTAGTTGCAGCAGGACGAATACCACGCCGATCACAACGACGAGCGCATAGTACAGAACAATCTGGCAGACCGTCTGAAGCGTGTGCAGGATTATGTAAAATGGTGGTCGTTCTGGGGTGTCGGAATCATAAATTGTCTGGAAGGCGTACTTTGTATGGCAAATATCGCACGTCTGCTTGTGCGAGTGTTCAAGCCACGACATCAAACAATCCTGATGTATATACTTGATCGACCCGCGGCACTTACACGGGTGGAACAGCGGGTCTTCGGGAGTTCCTTCACACCTGCAGATTCGACACGTTTGTTCTTCCATGAGGAAAAATGTGATTAGAAATATTTTAGAGCGAAACAGGATATGTATAAAAAAAAAAATATATATGTATATATATGGCTTTATCTAGTAAGAAGAGTCGGCGTCATGGCTGCCGGCACGAGTGCTGTTCATGCCGAGTGCCTCAATGGCGGCCTCCTGCGCTATGTCGTTGATCAGCTGCTCTGTGTCTTCTTCGCCTGCCTCTTCGTAGACTTGCTTCGAGTTGCGGAAATCGAGCATTAATGGACGGATGCACGCCACGCCGGTGTCAGTCCGGAAGTGTCTGCGGAGCGCGTCCGGACGCGCAAACTTCCGGTTACACCCCCAGGTGGTTTTCCCGTCGCTCAAAAGGCCTCCACATTTGAGCTTGTCGTTTTCGTGCAGTTTCTCGTGTCGACGTCTGTCGTGCGACCTGGCGAACGGTTTGGAGCAGTACTTGCAAGGGAACGGCTTCTCGTTAGAATGCGTCTTCTGATGCGATTTCAGGTTGTACGGCTTGGGGAACACTTTACCGCATATCCGGCATGGGTAAACTGCTCCCGACTTGGACGTTTTCGTGGACGCGGCTGTTTTGCGGTCGCTGAGTGCTGGCATACATGTCTGCGGCACGGCCAGAGGCGATACGCGGGGCGAAAGCTGACCCCTCTGCTGTGGCAACTGGTAAAACATATCGCCCGGCTTGCCGTATTGGCTCGGCGTTCCAGCTGACTGTGTATTGTAGTAAAGGGGCGGTGAGAGGCCGATACAGTCCACCGGATCAGACAGGATGAATTCCTCGTGCTCGTACAAGTAGGAGGGAAGTACCGAGGATGGCTGCTGCTGGGTTTCGGGTGGAGTCTCTATGGAGAGTATAGGCAGCTTGTTGTACTGGTTTTGCGGAAAGCGAGCATTTACGTGACTCGTCGACATCTGTTGCATATCAGACAATCCTGGAGGAGTAGATGCCATTCCGAACTTCAACATGAAGAGCAGTGCCGATTTTTGGGGCTCTCGAAGATATCCTAGATTTATATAAACAGATAGATAGTTGTAGGTGGAGATTTGCAAGATAGCTCGATTTTTATTGTCATGCGGCCCGGATGCATCATGCAAACTGAGTCGTAATAATTTGGTTCTGGAATAAACCACCGTGCGCGAAGGGGCTAGAGTGTTGACAGGGCCGGAAGAGCCAACGGGGCACGCGGGTTCCGGCCTTGAAACGTCAAATGTGCTTTTTTAAGACCAAGCTGACACGGTCGGCTCGGTCTTTCAAAGTTGCGCACGCAATATGACATCTCGTGTCTGCACTCAGCCAACATTTTGTCTTGGCAAGCATATATGCAATTCCTCGGCGTTTGCCAGCCAATAGAAAAGTTTGCAGGTTCCGGAAAGGGAATACCGGCTCGGAAGGAGTGAGAACAATGCCAAAACTCCCGACAACACCCTCGCCAGAGCAAATTACACCAAAACGTGCATGCTCGCTGATGTACCTCGTAGACAAAGAGAATGGGCGCAAACATCACGCTTTGGTGGCTAAGTCGGCGTTCAAGTATTTGCTCGGGTTTCCCAAACAGGCAGGAAACTAAACTCGCTAAACTAAAAATAGTCCGTAAAACCGGTTCTCATTCACCGGGAAACCGAGACCAACATACAGCCCCAGCCCACTGCAACATCTCGACGCGCACCAGTGCCTGTGACGTAGTTATAGGTGTTTCTCCTTTATTTATACATCTAATTCCCGTAAGTTTGTTTAGGGAATGGGAAAGAAGGTCCAATCTCCTGGATCGACAGCTTAGCCAGCCAGTGCCCCATGTCAACAGACGTAGCAAGATCCTTGTTCCGGACCAAGCCGGCAACAAAACCGGCAGCAAAAGCGTCACCCGCTCCGTTCGTGTCGGTCACTTTCGAGGCCTCCAACGCGTGCACAGGGTACTCCCTCACGGCAAAGTCGCCGTTCTCGTAAACAACCACCAAGGTGGGGTCGGTTCCCTGCGTGAAAACAACAGTGCGCGGTCTCTTGCCATTGACTTTGGCCGATTTGGCTACTGTCTTGGCAACAGAAACAAGATCAGAGGCGTCAAAACCGTTTGCTTCGGCAAATGCAGCCGCCTCCGACTCGTTGCAGATGACGTAATCAACGTACGGCAGAACGCGCTCCAATGGCTCTTTGAAGAACTGAGGAATGAACGGAGCAGAGAAGTTGAGCACAAACGGCTTGTTCTCCTCAGCAGCGTGCTTTCCAAGCAGCTCGATGGCATCTGGAGAGACAGTCAGGTGGAACCCACCAACGTAGAAAATCTTTGCATTTTTCACATGCTCCCAATTTTCTGGCTTCTCCAGATGCGACGGCTTGAAATGGTTGGCAGCGCCCAGATCGGTGACGAGCGATCTGTTGGTACCATTGATCAAGGCGGCACATTTGCCGGTGGCAATCTCGTCTTGCACCATGTAGGCGGTGGCGAGGCCAACAGATTTGTTGGCCTCGATGAGCTTGTCGGCATACTTGTCCTTTCCAACCGAGCCAAAGTAGAGCACAGAGTTGGCTGGCAAAATGTACTGGGCGCCTCTGGCGGTGTTCTGAGCGGCACCGCCAGCGATCAAACGCACATCAGGACGGGCAAGGGCCTCGTCGAAGATTGGCATGTGCTTCTCCTCGGCCAAGATAGCGTCATTCTCCTTGAGGCCGTAGTTGTCAAGGTACGCTTTGTCAACATTCACCTGCAAATCGAGCAGCGGGTTTCCCAAACAAACAAGATCGAAGGCCATCGTAACACAGAAAGTTTTTCTTCGGCACGTTCTGAAATCCTTGGTGTACTTTTTTTTGTATTTTTTACATCAGCACCGATTTCACATTTTATTTGTTGGGCCAAACACGTTCGAACTCATGCTCTATATTGACCAGGACCCATTGCTTAAATACAACCCGTACCTGGAGTCGGCAACGACGCCATTTCAAAAACACTGGCATGAAATCGTAGCCAGCGCTTTGTTCTACCATGCAATCACCATGGCCGCTCCGCTGGTAAACACCGCGATCTTCGGGGAGCACTACACCAGCATCACCAATAAAAAACGCAAACTGAACTTTGACATCCACATCACTGCGTTCGTGCAGTCAATCGTGTCAATTGCCCTGTGCATCCCGATGTTCTTCCATCCATACTTTAGATCCGACCCGGTGTTTGGATCCTACGACTTTGCCGGACTGACCGCCGCGCTCACCTGCGGCTATTTTATCTGGGACCTGCTGTACTGCTGCTTGTTCCACTTCGACATGTTTGGCCTGCCGTACCTGTTCCACGCAGGTGCAGCGCTTACCGTGTTCGGTACGACCTTCAAAGGGTTCTGTCAGCCGACAATTCCTTCGTTCCTGATCTTCGAGGCTAGCACGCCCTTTGTCAACGTGTACTGGTTTGCATCGAGACTGCCAAAGGGGGCGGTCAACGAGAAACTGTTTATTGTGAACGGCATCCTGCTAATCGTCTCGTTCTTCTCGTGCCGGATCGTTTGGGGCATCTACGCTGCCTTCCGGACTTTTGACATCTGCTTCAAAGTGCGTGACCAGCTACCGTCCGGCATCCTGCCCGTCACTATAGTGCTGAACGTCGGCCTCAATATGCTCAACATCCACTGGTTCTCCAAGATGGTGCTTCTAGCATACAAGCAATTTGCAGGCTCGGGGCGGAAACAGGAGTAGCTGGACCCACCCATAATACCCACCACACCCGTGCACCATCTACCCCACAAAACATCGCGCAAGTGGTGCTGGAATTTTCCAGAAATTGCCTTAGTATGGAGAAGGTACCAGCAACCGTCAGTTGACAGCAGAGTTTCCATATGTTTCCATCGGATGTAGCATTTTTTGTGTATATAAAGCGGGTCTCGTACCAGGCATTTTTCCTCAGTATTAAATCAAGATGTCCAAAGCAGTCGGAATTGATTTAGGAACAACGTATTCTTGCGTGGCCCACTTTGTCAACGACAGAGTCGAGATCATTGCCAATGATCAGGGTAACAGAACCACGCCTTCGTTCGTGGCCTTCACCGATACTGAGCGGTTGATCGGTGATGCTGCCAAGAACCAAGCTGCGATGAACCCAGCCAACACAGTCTTCGATGCCAAGAGACTGATTGGTAGGAAGTTTGATGATCCAGAAGTGCAGAACGATATAAAGCACTTCCCGTTCAAGGTCGTCGAGAAGGGTGGCAAGCCACACATCCAGGTCGAGTTCAAGGGTGAAACCAAGGTGTTCACTCCAGAGGAAATCTCGTCTATGGTGCTAACCAAGATGAAGGAGACCGCTGAGTCGTACATGGGCACCAAGGTGAGCGACGCTGTCATCACTGTTCCTGCCTATTTCAACGACTCGCAAAGACAAGCAACCAAGGACGCCGGTCTGATTGCCGGTTTGAACGTGCTCAGAATCATCAACGAGCCAACCGCCGCTGCCATCGCCTACGGTCTCGATAAGAAGGAGCAAGGTAAGGGCGAGCAAAATATCTTGATTTTCGATCTTGGAGGTGGTACCTTCGATGTCTCGCTGCTGTCCATTGACGAGGGTATCTTTGAGGTCAAGGCTACCGCTGGTGATACTCACTTGGGTGGTGAGGACTTCGATAACAGACTGGTCAACCACTTCGCCAACGAGTTCAAGAGAAAGTACAAGAAGGATCTAACGAGCAACCAAAGAGCTCTGAGGAGACTGAGAACTGCCTGCGAGAGAGCCAAGAGAACTCTTTCGTCCTCCGCGCAGACGTCTGTCGAGATCGACTCGCTGTACGAGGGTATTGACTTCTACACCTCGATCACCAGAGCCAGATTCGAGGAGCTGTGTCAGGACCTGTTTAGATCCACTTTGGACCCAGTTGAGAAGGTCATGAGAGACGCCAAGCTCGACAAGTCGCAGGTTGCCGAGATCGTGTTGGTTGGTGGTTCGACAAGAATTCCAAAGATCCAGAAGCTCGTCTCTGACTTCTTCAACGGTAAGGAGCCAAACAAGTCCATCAACCCAGATGAGGCCGTTGCCTACGGTGCAGCTGTGCAGGCCGCCATTTTGACCGGTGACACTTCTTCCAAGACCCAAGACTTGCTTCTTTTGGATGTTGCTCCGCTGTCTCTCGGTATTGAGACCGCTGGTGGTGTGATGACGAAGCTGATTCCAAGAAACACCACCATTCCAACCAAAAAGTCTGAGATCTTCTCGACCTACTCGGACAACCAGCCAGGTGTGCTCATCCAAGTGTACGAGGGTGAAAGAGCCAAGACCAAGGACAACAACTTGCTTGGTAAGTTCGAGCTCTCTGGCATTCCACCAGCCCCAAGAGGTGTTCCTCAAATTGAGGTCACCTTCGATATCGACGCCAACGGTATTTTGAACGTGTCCGCTGTCGAGAAGGGTACCGGAAAGTCGCAGAAGATTACCATTACCAACGACAAGGGCAGACTCTCCAAGGAGGAGATTGATAGAATGGTTGCCGAGGCCGAGAAGTTCAAAGAAGAGGACGAAAGAGAGGCTGCTAGAATTGCTGCTAAGAACGGTCTGGAGTCCTATGCTTACTCCTTGAAGCAGACTGCTTCCGAGAAACAGTTCGAAGAGAAAGTGGACGCTTCCAAGAGAGAGTCTCTCAACAAGGCCATTGAGGAGACGATCTCGTGGCTTGACAACAACCAGTCCGCCACTACCGACGAGTACGAGGACAAGCGGAAGGAGCTTGAAGGTATTGCTAACGACGCTTTGAAGGACTTGTACGCAGCCGGCGGTGCTCCTGGTGGCGCAGCTCCAGGCGGCTTCCCAGGTGCTGGCGGAGCTGCTCCGGGCGCTGACCAGGGTCCTTCTGTCGAAGAGGTGGACTGAACGATTCATGACGAAGTTGGTTAATAATGGAGGTTAGATGGTTTTTATAGGAAAATTTAATGGAATTATTATATGTGCTACTCGACTTCCTCGACTGTGGCCCGCTTGGTGGCCACTTTTGTATGTTTTTCCGACTGCGACGAAACAGCTGGTGGCTGTTTTTGTTCTGATGCGGTCTTGCTTTTTTTCTTCTTTCCCTTCCCTTTAGGGTCTTCCCATGCGTAGAGCGGCACGAAACTGTCAAAGAACCCGCAATCGTCAAAGAGACGCGGGAAGAGCCAGAATTGCGAAGGAAGAAACACGAGTGTGAACACGTAGATGATTAGTCGGACAATGGCGAGCGCAAAGAACAAACCGATCAGGCCCAACAGGCCCGTACTTAGGTACCAGACACCTATTCTCATCCAGAATGGCCACAATGGGAACAGGATCACGGTGAAAATAGCCACAAGGCCCAGCAGAGAGTACACCACAAGGTACGGGTTTGGGGGTGTGAAATTCCACACAAAGTATTCGTCTGGCTGCAAGACAGCCTTCGTAGTCGACTCGAGACACGGAACGCCCTTTTCGACCTTGGCCTTCTTTTGTTTTGCTTCCTGTGTCTTCAGCTTCTTGACCGGCTGGATGAGCTGGTTCTGGATCATCAAAATGAACAATCGCTGTGCCTGTGCGTTGTCAGCAACAACAGGAAGTGAGGGCTGTTTGGCCTGTTGTTTCTTGTACTCATCGCTCAGCAATGCCCTTATGCATCTCTTGTACCTGAAGAAATCCTGTTTTTCCTTTGTGTTAATGTTGAAGCCCTGTCTCTGTTTCAGAATCTTGTGATGGCGCAGATACGTAGCCACAGTGACCGCCACGGGGTCCTTCACAGCCGGAGGAGTCAGCTTCTGCGTGTCGGATGGCCCTTGGAGTTGATTCATTGACGACGAGTTTTTTTTAATTTAGCGATGTGTTTGAGCAAATCTCGAGATTGAGCGCCGCACGACCAGACTTACGGTAGCTCTCGAACAGTGTCCGGCAGACCATGTAGGACAGAGATTATGCGAGGGACCATCTACTGAGTGTCTGTATCGACCTGCCCTGTCGTTCGGTGGCTGGCAGCGCACCGAAAAATTTCTATGGCAGCGTCGCAGGGTATGCACGTATTAGTCATGCTGGTGCTATAAGTGCGCTTCTGGCCAAATAATTAGTTATCGATTATTTAGCATGGCGAAGCTTAACGTTGCAATTGTCGGTACTGGTATTTTTGCCACCAACGCCCATCTGCCTACCCTTCAGAGGTCCGAGTATTTCACTCCTTACTCGTGTTTTAACCGGACCAAGGCGAAGGCAGAGGAGTTTGCCAAGAAGGACCCCAGCATTCAAAAGGTGTACAACAGCCTCGAGGACGTTTTCGAGGACCCGGAAGTCGACCTAGTGGACGCATTGCTGCCTGCCCAGTTTACTATTGACGCATTGAAGCTGGCAGTCAAGCACAAGAAGAACATTGCGCTGGAGAAACCGTTGGCCGCGAATATGGAGCAGGCCAAGGAGTTTGTCAAAATTGCCAGTGAGAACCCCAATGTTACCGTGTTCATCTTAGAACACTGGTCCTATTACAAGGCCATCCAGGAGCTCAAACAGGCTGTTTCCAAAATCGGAAAAGCGTACTCTTTTACCTACCATTCGACCGGACCTTTCAACTTTGACAATGCTTATCTGTCCACGTCCTGGAGACAGAAGCCAGAACACATTGGCGGATTTCTTTCTGATGGTGGTGTGCACCAGCTCGCTCTTCTGACCGGCGTGCTCGGCGAGGTGAAGACGGTTTCTGCTCGCACGAGACAGATCCGCGAGCAGAGCGGCACCGACGACATTGCGTACGCACTCTTGGAGACCGAAGGCGGCCAGATCGGCACATTTACATACGGATCGGCGTTCGGCAATACCGACAAGAGCTGTTTCTTCGAGATTCTGGGCGACAACGGATCCGTTCACTTCGACTTCAGTCCGGGCAGAGACAGAGCGATCATCCTCAAGACTGGCGGACTCACTGCGGACACTCCGAAAAGCACCGAGACAATAACCATCCAGGACGAGTTCCTGAGCACAGACAGAGAGTTTGAGGTTTTAGGCGAGGCGCTCACCACAAAGGACAAGTCCAAGATCATCACGACTCCAGAGGTGTGTTTCCACCATCTGAGCATTGTGGATGCCATCCTGAGAAGCAGCAAAAATAATGGTTCGCCGGTAGAGGTTATTAAGCCCTAATTAGTGACTATGTATTAATTCACTGGTACCACTTCCATCTCATGAACTGTAGAACAGCGCAACTCACAATACTGACGCCCAACATCAGGACCAGCATCATGTTGGAGTACTCGTACAGTCTCGCTGCGTCGGCTGGCCAGCCCGAGTACAATGCGTAGGTGGCAGTGACAGAGCCGAGGTTTCCAAGACCAGACACCAGCGCAGCCGCCACCGCCGTGCCGACGTCTCCGTAAACAGGCAGCATGATCTCGGACGACATGGTCATGGTGATCGGCACAGTTGGTCCAAGACCAAAGCCGGCAATGAGCATGCCGGCATATCTGTGCCAGAACCCGTGGGCATAGGTTGTGACAATCATCCCCACGATGATGATCAGGGTGCTTGCGCTGAAGAGAATCGGCCTAGAGCTCTTGAACTTGTCCGCGAACGGTGTCACCAGCAAAATGCCTCCAAGATCGAAAAGCCAGATTGGAGCATACAGCAGCGAAACATTGATACCAGATAAGTTTGGGTTCAAGGCACTGATGAGGGTGGTACCGAACACAGCAAGGCCAAATCCGGTACCAACAACCCCAAAGTACATGATGACCAGCGGCCAAGTTCGCAGATCGGTGATGACCCTGACCACGTCCTTCCAGCCCCAGGTCAGCTTGGTGTACCGCGCCTTCATGTCCTGTTCGTGGAGACGGCAGTTTTCGCCGGTCAGAGGCTGAGGCGAGCGGAAGAAGACAGCCACCTTCTCCGGCAGAAAAGACTTCCTGCGGCCGGCCAGGTGCGCCGGTCTATCAGGAAGCCACCAGATTAAGGTGAAGCCAACAAAAATGGTAATGGACCCGTAGACGATGAAAAGCCACTTCCAGCCCTCCATGTTTCTCGTCATATCCATCTTCTGGAACCCGGCGGCAACCAGACCAGCGGCAGAAGCGCTCAGCTGGGCAGCAGTGAAATAGTAGCCAATTCTGCGCGCTGTGCGGTGTTCTGGGTACCACAGAGAAATGTAGTATGTCATACCAGGCCACACGCCTGCTCCTGCCACACCGGAGAAGAAACGGATAGCAATCAGGCCCTCTGCGTTCTTCAAAGCGGCGTAACACGTGTAGAGCAAACCAACACTAACGACCATTCTGCTGAGCCAGACTTGAGGAGACATTTTGGTCATGGCCAGGTTCATTGGGAGATCAAACAGGATAAAACCCACGTATTCCAGCGCAGAGGCAACAGACGTGTCGTGAGCCGACAAATGGAGAGTTTGCTTGAGCGAGTGCCCAGCCTCAAAATTCATAGTCAGGGTGTTTCCGTATGCAGATCCTCCAAAAGAGGTGAGGAAGTAGAGACACCACAGGGCAGGGATGATCCGGAAGTCCAGATGCCGGTAGACCCGGTCCAGCCTCTTGTCATCGACAGGGGTGAGGTCCTCGACTTGCTGCGAAGCCTCGGTTTTGGTGCTCGATTCGACGTCCATATTGCTATACCATTTTAATTTTTCAGCCGGGCTATTATATTGATAAAAAAATCGTCTAAGTCATTAATTTTTCGTGCAGAATGAATCACTGGAGTCATTTGCACAGCCGGGCTCCCGTGCATGCGACGGTGCAAAATTCAGCCAAGATTTGGCCTACCTGTCTGGTTTAGGAAATCGTATCTAGGACCTTGTGATTGAATCGCTGCTCCATTGTTCGCTGAGATTGTTTGTGGTCACCTCCACCGCCTGTTGAGGCCCCGCGTCGCACAATCGTATCAGTCATACTTTTGTTGAACATTCTAGCAGATGAAATATAGCTCAACAAGCATCGGATGATGTGATTGGCGAGCATCCATAGGCAGACGTCCAGGCTCCCGCTTCTGTTGGAGAATATGGCGTCGAAGCACGCGTTCGGCCACTGCCAAGTTAAACCCAACATAATTATGCTGGAGGACCTGAACTACCGAAATTAGAGCTCACAAGGTCAAGAAAACCCATAATGCGTTTCCCGAAATTCTTTTGAAGCATCTTGCGACCACTGCCTCTACTCTCCTATCGCAAAGTATACGCTATACTACGTGCACCAGAGCAGGCGCAATTGGCAGTACAGAAGGCGCTACTTTAGACCACTAAGGCGTCCAAAAAGGGTCCCTCATTGCCTGTGTTGTCGCTTTACCGTTCAATTCCATTGATGATCGATTATCACTCCCTAGATCAGCTTCCAATCTCTCATTAAAATATCCAGTGCACGACCATTATTTTCTTTAACAAACTTTTTCATCGACCCCAATAGTACCATGTGGAAACAGATAATTGCCAGACCACAATCTACTCTTGCGCCCGTCTCGCTTTCGTTGCCACACAAGCCTCTGGCACCTACCACTATTTCAAGACTCACCAAGGTTTTCCCCAAAATCGAACAAGTTAACCACGACAACTTGTACGGAAAACCATTCAAGAACGCCTACTATATTTCAAGAACTCACAAAGGAAACATACCCGTTTACAGAACGTACAAAAGTCAGGCCGTTGTCACCGAAGTGCGAAGAATCGACGGAAGCCTGACCAGGTTCAGGGACGACGTTCAGAAGCTTTTCCCCGAAAAACCAAAAAGCGATTTCACCTGCCTCATGAGTAGCATGACGCTGCGGATCAAAGGCGATGTCTCCAAACCTCTGAAAAAGTACCTGAGCGAAGCATTCTAGTGTATATAGGCCTGAACGTACGTAAACCTACTTGCTGTGTTTGTGCTTACGTAATCATGAAACTAGGTTAGCATAACACGAAGGGGAACAAAACACTAAAATAGATTATTGTTCACATCTTTTTAGCAGTAATACAGATCCGCGGTCTCATATTGGCAGAGACGGCTGTGTTCATCAATCAATGTCGTCTGCACAATCGGCTAACTCGGCATCTCCAGCTAGTGTCGAGCGTCTCCATGACCGGTTCAACCAGAAGAGTGCCGTTACCGGAGAAGGAAAGCATCAGGATGTCGGTCCAGAGGCGTTCTCCGGCAAGGAAAACGGGCACGACCAGAGCCAACCTCCACAAGATGAAGAGTACCGCAATGCAACTGAATGCTGGAGGGACGAAGATTCACGAGCAGTGCCTACGCCTACTGCTAGAAGGACCGGTAGACTTTCGCTTTTCTCGTTCAAGGGAACACACAATGAACCAGCTGCAGAGCAAGCGAACGAGGAAAAAGAACCATTTCAGAAGAAGATCCTGAAAGGGATTAAACGAGCGACGACACGAGGGGACCCAGTGAGAAACTCCACTGCCTATGGGCAGATAGACCATTCTCACGAACTTGAGTACAAGAGTCATATGAAAACCAGATGGTTGATAGACGCAAACATTTTAGGATACACAGATGCTTTTATCATTGCCACGTATTTCATGTCTGATGAGCGCGGCACAAGAAGAGTGCCCCTCTTACTTCAAATGCTTAGCCTGACGCTTACTGACGTGAGTACTAATGTGCATACAAAAAAACGAAAATTTAGAATAGACCTTGATTACGCAGTGGGGAGTCAGTATTTGAGATGGTCTTTGGAGAAGACTTCCAGAGATTTGGCAGTCTTGCACAACAGATTGAGACTCATGATTTTGCAAGAAAATGTGCTACAGAAAGGCCACAAGGAGATCGAGCTTCCAAAATTCCCTAAATATAAAAATCAAACCACATACTCAAAGCTAAAGCAAGGGGTCAATAGAGAGGAAACCAACGCCTCATCAATAATGTTGCCCAACGATGAAACCCCGACCGCTTATTATCGCGCGAACTCTTCGCAATCTAGTGACGATGGTGAAAACACCAGCATGTTCTCCGTTCGCTCAAGCCTAAGAAGGCATGGCTTTTTCAAGCGTAAGCCCAACGATATTCTCACTAACGAGCATTTCAGGGACGCTATGCAAGATTATCTCGATAACTTGATTCGTGCGTTCAACTTGCGCCCTCAAGCAAACCGTATATTTCAATTTTTTGAACTGTCGCCAATTGGAATGCTCTTATCCTACGAGACAGGACGCAAGCGCAAAGAGGGCTATTTACTGATCAAGACGACGGCGAAAGCTCAAGGGTGGAGGGTCGGGCATTTGAAAGCCAGAGAATTGAAGGCCATGGTTGAGCGTCACATTGCGAAATGGTTCATACTGGGTCACAGTTATATCATGTATGTTGCAGACATAAATTCCACCACTCCGCTGGATGTTTTTCTCATTGACAGCAGCTTCAAGTTTACTCTTTCAGGGTTTGGGGATGCTCCTGTCACATTGCACAACTTATCAGAGTTTGTGAAACAACAGCTCAAAGCCGAGGAGGAGGAGGAGGACGATGACGAAGATGGATATGTGGAAGATCCTGCACCGATGCACAAATCTTATCTGTCGCTAACGCTCGAAAATTCAGAGAGGAAGTTGAGTGTCATGGGCAAGTCCGCGAATCAGATGAAGAGATGGTGTGTTGCCATCCATGAAACGGCAAAGGAGACCATTTGGTCCAGGAAACACCGGTTTGAGAGCTTTGCGCCTGTCCGTGATAAAGTGTTTGCAAAATGGTTTGTGGATGCTAGAGACTACATGTGGGCTGTTTCCGCAGCGATAGAAATGGCAAAAGATGTGATCTATATTCACGACTGGTGGCTTTCCCCAGAATTATATCTTAGGCGTCCTGCAAACGGTAACCAGGAATGGAGACTGGACAGACTACTCAAACGGAAAGCAGAAGAGGGTATCAAAATCTTCGTTATCGTGTACAGAAATGTTGCGAACACCGTCCAGACAGACTCCCTTTGGACTAAACACTCGCTACTGGATCTTCATCCAAATGTCTATGTTCTGAGGTCTCCTAATCAGCTTATGCAGAATGTCTACTTCTGGGCTCATCACGAAAAATTGGTTATCATTGATCATACTGTATGCTTTGTTGGAGGAATCGACCTTTGCTATGGTAGATACGATACTCCAGATCATTCGGTAGTCGACGATGCTCCATGTGCATTTGATCCTATCCCTCCGAATAGTGCAAGTTCGACTGGAAACGCTTTTAGCTATCAGATTTATCCCGGAAAAGATTACTCAAACCCACGAATTTGCGACTTTTTTGAGCTCAACCAGCCTTTTGAGGACATGATTGACAGGCAATCAGTCCCTCGCATGCCATGGCATGATGTCCATATGATGACCTGTGGCCATATTGCAAGAGACCTATCAAGACATTTTGTCCAGCGCTGGAACTTTTTATTACGCCAGAAACGCCCATCAAGACTTACACCATTGCTCTTGCCTCCAAGGGACTTCACTGATCAAGAGATTGAAGAGCTAGGACTTACTGGTACTTGTGAGGTCCAGGTTTTGCGTTCATCGTGTTCCTGGTCCCTAGGACTCCAGGAGCCCGAGCAAAGTATCCACAACGCATATCTGAGACTCATAGAGACGAGTGAGCATTTCATTTACATCGAGAATCAATTTTTTGTTAGCAGCCATGAACATGATGGCGTGGTGATTAAAAACAAGATTGGCGATGCACTAGTTGAGAGGATTATCCGCGCACATGCAAATAAGGAGTCTTGGAAGGCAGTAATAGTTATACCTCTGATGCCTGGCTTCAAGAGTCAGGTTGATAGCAAAGAAGCATCGTCGATCAGAGTCATCATGCAGTGCCAGTATATGTCTATCTCCATGGGCGAGACGTCCATTTTTGCTAGACTGAGAAGGGCTGGTATTAGACCTGAGGACTATATCCAGTTTTATTCATTGAGAAAATGGGGATACATCGGAAGAAGGAAGTCTCTAACCACAGAGCAATTGTATGTTCATGCAAAGACAATGGTTGTGGACGACCGCATTGCAATAATTGGGTCTGCAAATATAAACGAGAGATCGATGAGAGGCACTAGAGACTCGGAAATCTGCACGATTGTTCGTGACAAAGAAATGATCGACACTTTTATGGATGGGAAACCATATAGGGCTGCCAAGTTTGCCCACACTTTACGAATGAGGCAAATGAGGGAGCATCTGGGTGTTGATGTCGATCTATTAGAGCTTGTGGAACGAAGATTCTCTCAGATAGAGAAGTTTGCATGTACCCCCCAAGGTCTCACCAGTGTCACATCTAAAGCAGGAGATCAGAAATTGTCGGCAATGGTTGAACTCGCAGCTCGGTACGTCTTAGATCTACCTGACGGAACACCTCGCTTCAAATCGGGATCAACTGCTAGCAAGACTGGTGGTGCAGAGCTCACCAAAAAGCTCACAGATTCATTCCGCAACGACTATGACGATGCCCTCTCGGATAACTTGGATCAAATTCCATATGTGTTTTCGTTCAACCATAGAGCAGGTGAAGAGAATCCTGGCATTAGAGAGAAAAAAGCATTTTCAAGCGATTCGCGAGTTACAGATAAAGCGCATAGAAGTGAAGTGAAAGGGTATGGGCCAGACAAGTATCAATCAGCGACGCACGTGAACTCTAAGTCGAAGAATACCAAGCTTCTTGCAGAATGGGCAAGCTCGTCTTCTTCTGACACTCATCAGACTCTCCCATGCATTGAAGACGTATTAGAATTCATCACTAACGACGATAAAAACTTGCCGATAGACGTCCTTAACCATCAAAGATGGGACATGCTAAAAAGGCTGCATTATCTACAGAAGCTTCTCAACAAACGCAAGCGAGAGTCTGAGAATGCATCGGCCAGCAACAAGGAAGATGTCGGAAACTTCTCCTCGGGAACAGAGAACGGATATCCTGAAAGCTCACTCGTGAAGTTGCCTCGGTTTCCAACCACTTCGCTTTCAGACGCTGATGTTGAAGATTTGAGTGCAAACTTTCTACCTAGAGTTTCACAAGTTTTTGTGGACCCCTATTCTTTTGAGGATCCTCTGGATATTGACTTCTACGAAGGCCTATGGATGCCGCAAGCTTTGCGCAATACGATGATCTACCAGATGGTCTTCCATGTTCAGCCTGACGACACTGTTCAAACATGGAGTGATTATAAGATGTTCCAGGAACTGAAGGAGTCGTTCCTTTTGCACCAGAGGGCCAGTCACGGAGGCGCAACTGCGGCCGATGGAGAGCATGGAGGCACAGAATTATTATCTGAGGAGCTGAGCCCGGAGACGGCGAACGATAGCCACGGATCGAACGAGAGTCTGACAAGCTCGACAGGCATCCAGACCCAACCACCGTTGAGCTCCGACACAGATGAGGCTCAGATGGACAGTTTGCGGTATGCGATCCGTCGGTCAAAGATCGCAGAGCTCGAAAGATACAGTCGTCCTGGAGTATCCAACAGTTACAACAGATCCAAAATCAATTCGTTGATGGGGGTTCCTTCGGTGTACGACTACGAGTCTGCCGAGAAGCTGCTGAAGCTTATCACGGGCCATTTGGTTATCTTCCCTACCAAGTGGCTTCAGAAGGAGGTCGAGTCGTCGAATTGGTTTTACACGGCGGATAAGCTTCCTCCGGTACAAATTTATAATTGACGTAATCTTGTAAGGCATTGCTAGATTAGAGAAAAAAACGGGAAGTATGTCGAGCGGCACACTACTGATAAGATAAAAGAATTGCCTTTTCAAAGATTAGGAGGTCAGGGTTTTTTCCACTATGGAGAGTTTAGTGGACAGTCAGCGGCCCGGAGAAAAGCGCGGCCGGCAGTACCAGGTGCCAAAAAGATATGAGTTCCAAAAAAGTATACCAACAAGCCGCGATTCCTCCGCGCATACGTCTATTTTCAAGCCAAATTTTACGCTCAACAAACTTCGGCGCGAGCACTCGACGCAGTCGCTGCAGACTTCGCTCAAGCGAGCACAGTCTCCGTTTTTTGGCTCCAAGAATGACCATGTGGCGGAATTGAAACGCCATAGCTTATCGGCTGCCTCTGGAGGCGGCCCGGGGTACAGAAATCACATAATCAACGCGTATAATGATTCGAAGGTGTTTGAGACTGTTGCACCAAGACGAACGTCATCCGTCAATTACATTCTTGACACACGGTCAAATCAAGATGCACAAAGCATGCCACCTGCTCCCGAAGAGACAGGGAAGAAAAGCATACTGATCAACAGACCGTCGCCTAATGAGGCACCCTCGTTCAATTCGTCAATTTCAAAGATCAATTACTATCAGAGCGATTTTCAGGGGCCCCAGTATATAGAGCAATTGAAAGGACGAGACTTGAGAGAGGCTAGCTCCAGGGAAACCAAGCACGGGCCAAGTTCCACAGATAATACTACAAAATCGGAGCAGAAAGGAGACACCACTGATGACGAGACGCATTCAGAGTCCCAGAGTAGCGTGCAGGACAATAACGATACAGTCAACCCGTACTTGGATCCTCTCGAGTCACAAGCGATAGGGATGACCGAGTTTTCCACGCCCACGCAAACAGCCCCCATGCGAACGCAGCAACGCCAGTTGGCCATCAAGGACCTGATGCAGCACCATAGCCTTGCAGGAAGTGCTTGGTTTGAGTTGGGACCTAAGGACGCTCGTAAAATTGAGGAGTCCACAGAATCTTCGGAGCTGATCAACCAAAATGTTTGGGCGAACGTCAGTATTGATGAAAGAAATAAGTACGAGCACATTTCCAACGATCTTCGGAAGCTGGCATTGTACAACAAGAAGCCAATGATGGATTGCATAGGACGGTATTTTGAGTTGCACAAGCAAACACATATCAGTACAAAAGTGCGATCTCGGGCGCTACCACCGCCAAAGGACGTTTCATACCTTGATTCTAGCGGACATTTCCAACGCGGGGTGGGAAGAGAGTTGGCAGAGGAGTTATGGAACTCAGCAAAGAGCAATTTTAAATTCTTCGATACATAGACTCATCCTATCCGTACTGTGAATGTTAGAGAAAGGTTCAGCTATGCTTTCTTACCTTTTTTGGATGACCGAATCAACACGCTACCAATAAATGCGCCGACCAATGTGACACCAATGCATAGCAACAAAACAGGGATTTTAATAGCATATTCTCTTGGTAGAAACAAGTTCTGTAGAAAGTTGTCTGGCTCTAGGAATGGAAGCACAAACGTCCAAACAGTGTAATAAACAAAAATTAGGGTAGCTGCCAGAAGCATTGAAAGTCCAACAGGCTTATCGAAAGACAGGATTGTTAGCGATAACGCACTCAGTACTTACCATTAGGTTTGTCAATGTGTTGGTTTTTTATTGATTTGATTTACTTGCCAGGTCTAAGGTGGGATTTTCTATTTTATTTAGATATTATTTCGTCGTAGCAAAGGTGTGGATCGTAAACAAACGATGTGGTGGCATCCAGAGGTATCATAGAAACCGGTTTCCATGTATACTTCTCTACCTCCACTATCTCAGTTTTCCCCAAAGAAGATGTATCGTATGTGCGGCCAACAACTAGCTGTTTGTCCGTGTTGGCTATTGGTAATTTGTGCTTAAAAACAAGCTCTTGAAGGTTCTCGACTATAGCGAATTTGCTAGGGAACTCATCCAGACCGATTTCAACAAACTCATGGATTTTGATGTAAACTGCAGATCCGTGTTTGTATCGGGGTTGTATCTTGGCATACGTCTTGCTTCCACCAATTTTGAATTCCTCTCCATCTAATATAGCAGTGCCATAAGTAGTTATGCGGATACTATCCAGAACGCTCTCGTCTTTCTTTATCGACTGCAAGTGTAGATTGCGTAACTTTCTGACGCACAAGATCCGTTTTTCAATCTTAGACTGCAATTTTCGATGTCCATCCTTGTGCTTATCAAATTTCCATTTCCCAGGAACCTTCCAGTGATCTTGTTCAACATCATACTTGAATTCTGAGAACCATAGACAATCGTGGATGCTTTTCATCAGCAGACGTCCACCAACGGAAGTAACTGTCTTGCTTTTGAGATTCCTCACCCAAGGAAGCGACATATCTTTGGCCATGCAATGGGTGTTTGCAATAGTTTTGGCACTCCAAAGAGTATCACAAGCGCTGAGAAGCATATGGCATGGCACGGACTGAAGTTTCTTCAAGCTTTGATATTTGGTGCAAAGATTCTTGAGTTTATCGAGAAGCTGTTTGATGAAATTCCTGAACTCTTCTATATGATCAGTCAAATCATCACAGGAGTAAACTTCAAGGTAGCCATTAAGCTCCACCAAAAGCATGGTAGCTTCTGACGTTGCATCATTGTTCTGTGCCTTGAGACAAGTGACAGAGTATATTGCATAGAATAATTTATGACCGATCTGCCAGCTTGAACTTTTGACCTGCAGAGCGCTGCTTTTTTTCAGCAGACTGTGAACTGAGTTCTGTTGAGTTAGCGAGAGGTTCTTCATTATAGACTGTTTCAATCTGCCAAGCTCTTGCGTGAAGCTGGGGTTATCCTTTGCGAAAAAGATTTGATGGATCCCTTTTGCGTAAACAGTCTCGTAAAGGAAAGCTTTCAAATCCGCGGGAAATGATCCTGGAACCGTCACGCCAGGAATTTCAGCAAGTGTAGTTATTGCGTTATTTATTCCCCATGACCTCGTGTCAGGTCCTTTAATGGCACTAATCATCGACGCTGTGGTAGCAAGGTTTGCACCAAGAATTGATGATACGGTGCATTTGCAAACACCAATTTCATCTTCCGACAGACGGACTCTTAGACCCTCGTGATACAGTTGATGCAGGTCCTCTATCAAAGGAGCAAGAAAATACTGCACCTTATTTTTTGAGTGCTCAGATGGATATGCAAGACATACATTTATCGATTCCTCACGTGACCGGAGTTGTTTGTATAGATTATCGAAGGATATGGAAACAATATCATAGTCGACATTAGTCACTGTATATTTTTGCTCAACCATAAGCGTGAGCTGCAGGTTGTATTCCTTTTCATTGTGTTCCGATGACAAATCGATCTGAGCCCTCGAGAATGGGTTAGACATAATTGAGCCGATCAAGGGTCTAACAGAATTGTAAATCACATAGGAGCCGTTGTCTCTCTCGGAGTTGCAGCAAGGGCACCTATGGTGGTCAGCATACTCTTTTGTGAACGCAATGCAACGTTTCGGACAGATTGCAACTTTGTAGCTGGATTTTTGTGAACTGTTCCAGACTCGCTGGCTGGTCGCGCAGATTGCCCTTATCTCAATATTGTGGGACCCTGATTTCGCATTGACTTTGGAGTACAGCTGGTCGAAGTTATCATATGTCATCATTCCCGTCTGAGTGTAGAAGAAGAGTTCTCTTCTGACGAGATCTGACAGATCGCTTCTTTCAACTACCTTATCAAGCAACTCATTCATATTTGTGTAGTCGGTGCTAAGAGAACTGTCAAAGTTGCTGCCAGTGCTTCCCGGCCTGGAGTCCTCTTCCTGCTGATTCAGGAAGCTGAAATCAAAATCACCGCTGGTCTCACACTCCACCAAAGTGACATCTTCAGACTGAGGACGCGTCTGACTGATACGGAGATTGTTATTTAAAAAAAGGGTGCTCTGGGATCTGTAGTCCTTGTTTTGGGCCTTGCCTGCAAAAACGGTGTTAGGATCAACTTCTTTCAAGACGGGCCTTGACATTGCGATGTGCCAGATTTAGGAAGGTATCATGGCTTTATGACGGATTTTGTAAGATACGCGGTTGATCTTACAGCACCCGCTCTTGCAAGATTCTGAAACAAATAAAAGGGGGAAGTAGGATCTGTGGATGGAAAAATACTGTGCCACACATAGTCCATGGAAAATTTCCATGTGGCGCATGGTGAGGCGAACCGGACGGACTATAAATTGTAGTGAAAATCTCCGCCAATCACTTAAATCGATATTGTTAAATAGCAAAGTCTACTAAACAATTCAATTGATCCAAACAAGTGCCATGTCGTTTGCCAGAGTCCCAGTCAGATCTGCATTGAACGTTTCCAGAAACTCCGGCATCGCGAAGATGTCCATTGGCGGCCTCAGAACCAAGGTCAGCCTGCCAGACTTGAAATGGGATTTTGGAGCATTGGAGCCATACATTTCTGGCCAGATCAATGAGTTGCACTACACGAAGCACCACCAGACCTACGTCAATGGCTACAACACTGCAGTTGAGCAACATGCTGAGGCCAAGGCCGCTGGCGATGTCAAGAAGACCTACGAGTTGCAGCAGCATATTAAATTCCACGGTGGAGGATACCTGAACCACTGCCTTTTTTGGGACAACCTTGCTCCAGCTAAGCAGGGTGGTGGTGAATTGCCATCGCCTGACTCTGAGTTCTACAAGAAGGTTGTTGAGCAATACGGCTCTTTCGACAACTTGATTGCTCTGACCAACGCTAAGTTGGCCGGAATCCAGGGTTCCGGATGGGCATTCATTGTCAAGAACAGCGAAAACGGCGCCGTGGAAGTTATCCAGACCTACAACCAGGATACTGCTGCCGGCCCATACAAACCATTAGTCGCCATCGACGCCTGGGAGCATGCCTACTACTTGCAGTACAAGAACGTCAAGGCAGACTATTTCAAGGCCATCTGGAACGTTATCAACTGGGACGAAGCTTCCAAGAGATACTCAGCTGCTTAAATAATGCTATGGTGAATATGAATGAATATATTCCGATTTTCTTTATCAGAGAACTGCACCAAAACCAAATGTAACTTTTATCGAGGTGATGTAGTAATTTTCAAAGTTGTTGCGCACCAACTCCTCGTCCCCAATTGGGACACCTTTGAAGCTAACAGCCATTTCTGTCTCGCCAGCTCCTTCATTGAAGGTCAAGTCCAATTCCGTGTAATGACCTTCCTTCCAGTCCCGTAGCCTCCAGAGCATTTTAATTTTCTTGCCTTCTTGCAATTCTAGAATTTTACCCTGGATGTTGCCACCAAAGAGCTGGAACTCGGTGCCCTCTTTTGGTTCTATCTGTGGAGCAGAGCGAGTCCAGGCTGCAACTCTTTCAGGAACCAAAAGAGTGAGATATAGTTGCTCTGCCGAGGTGTTGAAGGTGGTCGAGAAATTAAGGTCGGACGTGTTGTATTTTGGCACGCGAGACGAGTCTGGGGACAAAGCCGCGGCAGTTGTGCTGGCACTTTGAGAAGAACCTCCCTTGTTGAAGGTCGTGCTTTCCTTCACAACAGTCTTGGTCAACGTCTTTTCTTGGTTAGCAGCAGTGTAAGTGGAGTTCACTTGAGACCTGTCCACTTGGATATCAGAGGCATTCTCACTGATCAGGTCATGAGTAAAGGTAGAGAGCTTCTTTCTGAGCTCTTCCACAAGATTTGAGCGAATTAGCGAGCGAATGGAATCCTCCTCGCCGGAGCCCGTAGGCTTGTCAAAGGTGATATCAAATTGGAAATCATCGTGTTCGGTATCGTAGGCAAGCTCCGGAACACTGATAGTGCCCTTCGATTTTTCCGAGTTGTCACTTTCGAAAGAAAGCTCCAGCTTCAGGTCGTATATGGAGAAAATCTTGCCCTTGCGCTGGCACACCTCCACGTCTCCTTCGAGTTTTTTCAGCCCCACGACAGTCACTTTAGGTGAAGAGCCCGCAGAGGTACCTACGAGCTTCCTCTTGCACCATTGAGCAGCCCAGTCAATGCAATTCTTGTCGACCCAGTGCCAATTGTTAGGGTTTTGAACGGCCATACTAAAAGAAAAATCGAGAATAATTTACGGCTGGATCAAATATTTTTTAAGCCCTAAACCCCCAGACGCGCACACAGCCGGGAAATGCATCTAATTAACGAATAAATTGAGTATATTTATATGAACAAATAAAAGTAAACTCTCAGTGCATCTTATTCATCATTATCCGTCGACGAATCAGCCAGCAGTACACTCAGTCATCCAGAGCCAGGTTCACATGGATGGCTTTGTGGGTGGTGTAAAGATCAAGGGCATAAGTGCCCAGCTCCCTTCCGATACCGCTCATTTTAACACCACCGAACGGAACATGTATGTCGGAGTCACCGTTCGAGTTGATAAACACCATACCAGCCTGAAGCTTGTTGGCCACCTTGTGAGCCTTGGTGATGTTGTTGGTGAACAGAGCAGCCGCAAGACCATAAGTGGTGTTGTTGGCTCTCTTGATTACCTCTGCAGTGTCCTTGAACTTCGTGATGGCAACGACAGGACCAAAGATCTCCTCTTTGCAAATAGTCATGTCATCTGTACAGTCAGCAAAGATAAATGGGTCGCAAAAGTACCCCTCTCCTTCGTGGAACTTTCCAGTTAGAAGCTTGGCTCCCTCTTTTTGGCCGATCTCAACATACTTCTTCACCTTTTCGTACTGCATGGATGACACGAGAGGGCCGATAGTGCAGCCTTCATCGAACGGTTGGCTGACCTTGGAGTTATCCTTGGTGAACTTCACAAACTTCTCGACAAACTCATCATAGATAGACTCCTCGATAAAGAATCTGGACGTGGACGTGCAAACTTCGCCCTTGTTGTAAAATATGCCGGTGAATCCCCATTCCACAGCCTTGTCCAGGTCGGAATCTGCAAACACGATGTAAGGAGATTTGCCTCCGCACTCCAAAGTCACGTTTTTGAGGTTGGACTTGGCAGCAGCCTCCATGATCTTCTGACCCGTGGCAGTCGACCCAGTGAAGGCAACCTTGCTGATATCTGGGTGGGAGGCCAAGTGGTTTCCGGCGTCTTTGCCGTATCCAGAGACAATATTCACAACACCTTTCGGAAGACCAGCCTCCAAAACGATTTTACCCAGGTGTAAGGCTGACAGCGGAGTGATCTCCGAACTTTTCAGCACCACAGTGTTGCCAGTAGCGAGTGCAGGAGCAATTTTCCATGCCATCATCATGAACGGGAAGTTCCATGGAATGATAGAGGCCACTGCTCCCAAGGGAGTTGGGTCGGTAAAGCACATCTTATTTTTCCCAAGAACTTCAGCACCAATGAACTGGCCGTGAATCTTGTCAGCGAAGCCAGCGTAGTATTTAAACACCTCGTACGCCTCAACGAGATCACCAGCCAGGGCCTCGCCTTCATATGGCTTACCGTTGTCGTAGGACTCAATGGAGGCCAGTAGCTCGGCATCCCTCTTGATGATCTCCGCAATCTTGTAGATGTAGTCACCTCTCTCTGAGCCCGTGAGGCCAGTCCAGGACTCGTTCTCGAAGGCCTCCACCGCGGCTGCAACAGCTGCATCGACGTCCTTCTCCTTAGCAGCGTAAACGGAGGTGATTTTCTTGCCCGTGGAAGGATCGATGGCGTCGATGGTCGAATCGGTTTTGACCCATTCGTTGTTTATGAACAGACCCAATGGCTGCTCAATGGTTTTGCCGTTTGGTGTGGTGATCTTCTCGAATAGAGACATTTGTATGGTAAAAATATTAGTGGACGCTGGCCCTTATATACGGCTCAGATAACAACTTCTACATTAGGAATCTTTCCCGGTAATTATTCTTTTATCTTGGCGGATATGGATACGGCAGGGCGCGTCGCTTAGGAAAAGTTTTCAGTTTTCGGTGCACGGGTGCCCAACTAAGGGGTGTGGCTTCAAGGGTGCTGGTGATAAAACGAGTTGCGCCTGAGAAACTGTCGAGCAAATAGGTCCGAGGCAGGCATCTGCGATCCACAAAGTGGCTTCTGCGGAAACCACTTGAGACTCCATTAGTAGTCCACTTCGTTTGAGGGGAAAGAATTATCCTCGTGTGTCCGGCGTTTGGCAGTGGCTATGCCATATATAAAGACTGACTTTTTTTATTAAACCAGAGGCTCAGTTGTTTAGATAAAGCGCTGGTGCCCTCCAACAATAGCCAATGACTTCATATGTTATTGTTTTTGCAAGAGCAACTTCGAAGGCGTCTGAGTAGAGTGGATGAAACGGCTAATGCTCTTTTTGGGGAAATGTGATCTATTGTCATACTCCGAGCCCCCTTCCAAGGCCCGTTTTATTACTTAAAATCAGGGCACCAAAGACGTAGGTGGTTTTGATTTCAGGAGCGATAAATAGTTTTTAAGTTTGCTGCAGCTGAAATTTCTTATGCATTTCTCTATCCTCCTCTTGTTGACCCTGGCGAAAGCCTGGTCGCCCACTAACTCTTATGCCCCGGGGGAGGTCGATTGTCCATCGTATCTAAACGAATCGGACTACAACACAGATGACAGAAGAGGATTTATTCGTGCTGCCAACAGCATAAGCAAGGAGGAGCAAGATTGGCTCGCAGGCAGAGAGAACATTACAAACGACAACCTCAGATGGTTTCTGAGCCTTGCCAACATGACGGATTTCAATATCGACGACTTCATGGACGAACTTGCCGAAAAAAGCCGGAGCAACGACACTATCCTGGCTACCCCTAGAATCGGACTCGCTTTCAGCGGAGGAGGCTACCGTGCGATGCTGGGCGCGGCCGGCCAAATTTCCGGTCTCGATAACCGTACCCACGGCTGCTACGAGCACGGATTGCCTATTCTGTCGGCTGTTACTTACATCGCAGGCCTTTCGGGCGGTTCCTGGTTCTTATCTACTCTGGCCTTCAACAATTGGACCTCCGCTCAGGACATTCTAGACCAAACTGGACAGGACAACGCCACCTGGGACCTTACAGACTCGATCCTGTCTGGTGGTGGTTTCTTCCATGCGTTTGGATACTGGGATAGTATCAGTGACGATGTTCAGGCCAAAGAGGATGCAGGCTTCGATATCACCCTGACAGATCCCTGGGGAAGAGCATTGTCTCACCAGTTCTTCCCCACCCTCGAAGACTACGGTGCCTCGATGACCTTCAGCTCTTTAAGAGATTTCCCGGTGTTCAAGAATCACGAGATGCCGTTCCCAATTGTCGTCGCCGATGGCAGAGCCCCGGGTACTGAAATTATCAGTTCAAACTCCACTGTCTTTGAGATCACGCCATTTGAGATAGGCTCCTGGGATCCTTCTCTTTACACTTTTGCGGACCTCAAGTATATCGGAACGAACGTCACGAACGGAAAGCCCGTCAACTCCTGCATTGGCGGATTCGACAACACGGGCTATATATTTGGAACGTCTTCGTCGCTTTTCAACGAGGTTCTGCTGAGGTTAAATGACAGCTCGACGACCAGCTTCCTGTCCTCCTTGCTCGAGGACTTTTTGGACCACATCGGATTCGACGAGAACGACATCGCCGTCTATAAACCGAACCCATTCTATAATTCTGAGTGGGCAGCTCTGGACTCGATTGTCAGCTCTGAGACGTTGGACCTAGTTGACGGTGGCGAGGATAACCAAAACATTCCACTTTATCCACTATTGCAACCAGAAAGACAAGTCGATGCCATTTTTGCACTCGATAACTCTTACGACACAGATAGCCATTGGCCTAACGGAACATCGCTCGTGTACACCTATGAGCGCCAATTCGGATCGCAGGGTAACCATACGGCATTCCCCTACGTTCCTGACCAGGCAACGTTTTTGAACAAGAACTTGACGGCCAAGCCGGCGTTCTTTGGCTGCTATGCCTCGAACTTGACTGATCTCATGGACGAGCTAGAAACGGACTATGTTCCACCATTGGTCATCTACATTGCCAACAGACCTTACTCCTACGACACCAACACGTCTACCTACAAGATGTCCTACACGGACGACGAAAAAATAGGTTTCTTCCAGAACGGCTTTGAAGTGACCACCAGAAAGAACCTCACCATCGACGAGGAATTCCGCGCATGTATTGGATGTGCAGTTCTGCAGCGCTCCAGAGAAAGGCTCGGCTACTCCGTGGGGGACCAATGTAAAAGATGTTTTGATACCTACTGTTGGGACGGTAGCCTTGACACCAATGAGAACACTATCGGCGTCAACTTCACCTCCAGTGGTCTCACTTCCCAATCGGACAACACAAACGCTACGAGCGGCTCCGTGCGACTAGGTGCCGATTACTTTACTGCCAAGCTTGTCGTGATTCTATCGGTTCTGTGTCTAGTTCTATTTTAGAGAGAGACGATCGACGCGAAAAATATTTACTGAAAAATATATCTTGTATTATATGTCCAACATTTTGAAAGTGTTCAACCCCCCTGCCGAGCCTTCGGCGCTCGAAGATCACCACGATTGTCTTCCTTGCCAGGTGCTCGGATCCATGGCGGCAATGGGAGCAGGAGTTTACCTAGGATCCGGATACCTCTTCAAGGGCGACATTGATTTCAAGAAGAACCCTATGTGGTGGAGATCTGCAACTAAAGGTCTCGGTGGCGCACTTTTTGCGCTAGGAGTTTACCGTGCAGGCCAGCACTGGCTCTGGGATAAAGACTCTCAGCGAGCATCAATAAAATAAAAAGGTTTTTCCGCTAGAGTTACCGCCTGCGATCCAGTTCTGCGTAGGGTGGAAACAGGCGACAGCTGGAACGGCGGTCATGCTCTCGTCATCGAGATGGGCGATCTGGTTTCCGTTGCGATCGAAGATGTCGATAGCTTTTTTCATGTTGGCAATGACACATTTTTCAATTCCGTCCTGAGGATTGCTTTGCCATTTAGCCTTCAACACTGTCACCCAGCGTCCAGACTGGCAATTGTGCGTCATTGTGGCCTGGGGTTTCAAGTTGACGGGGATGTCGCCTTCTTCTTCCTCGATTATCGGCTCAAAGATGTGGTCAGGCTTCAAGTTTGAAGTGTCTCCGAGTTGGAATATGTTGATCGTATTATCGTACCCGTTGCAGACGATGTCGCCTGAAGTATTCCAATCCGCCGAGCTAATACTCAGTCTGCTTTTGTACGACCCTAGACAGTGAGGAGAAGTTGCGTTTTCGTTCTGTGACCAGCTCGATTTTCCAATCTTACGTAGGTCCCAGATTTTTAGTGTTCGGTCCAGCGAGGCAGATACCAGCTGTTGTGTCATTTTGGGGTTTACGCCAAAGTTGGTGATCTTTTTGTCGTGCAACCGCAGAACATTGATCTCCGAGCGTGGCTTGTTGGGTTCGCGGGTATCAAAAGTTCCGAGCTCTCCTTCCATGGTACTGAACGCCAAGACATTGGGGTCTAGAAAATGCATGTCAGAAAAGGTGGCCGCTCCTCCGTATTCGTTGTCAAATTCGAGAACAGAGTTTGAGACGTTCTTGTCCAAGTCCAGCAACCTAATAGATCCATCATAGGAACATGTTATTATTTCCTTGGGCTTTTGCTCCCTTATCAAAATTCGAGGTATATTGCTTCCGTGATATTTCACGTGGGTGATTTCCGCCTGAGTGTCTGTGTCGTCGTCGACAGACCAGATGCCCATCTCGCCGCTTGTATCGCCTCCAAAAATGACTTTTTTACTTGTAGATGGATGAAATGTAATAGCGGTCATTCTGGAAGAAGTGAGCTTGATGTCCTGCGCAGGGATCTTGTCGTAGAGGCTAACAGAGCTCAAGCTATCCCTTGCCTCTTTCACGTCCTTCGGGGCATCTCGGTGCTTGACATCATCGTAGAAGTCACCGAACGAAACTGATTGTCCCAATTTGAGCAATTTGTCAAGAACGTCCTTGTTGTCCTCTGTGTCTGGAGACAAAATGTCTATCAGCTTCAAGTTGCCAGACAGCCTGATGCGCTTCAATCTCTCCAGTTCCTCGTTTTTCTGTCTCGTCAGCTCTGCCTCCTCGTTAGCCTTTCTCTCCTCGTCTGTGTCCGCATGAACGCCAGCAAGCCTGTTTGAACGCCTTGTAGGAATTGCTGGTTCCGTTTTGATCTTTTTAGATCGCGGACCCTTGCTTTTCGGTCTTTTCTGCTCCTGCGGAAGCTCGCGCTGGAAATCGCTTGCGATGTTATCCAGATTGAGCTTCCTGAACAATTCCTTGTTCCTCGCAATGTTCTGCTGCCTTTGCTTCTCAAATTCTGAGAGATTGCCCATGGCTAAAGATCAAGAAGTATACGGAGTTAGGTGTAAGCAAGAAAACGCGTTTTTTTATTTATTTATCTAGCATATGCCTCGAATCAAAAAGACCCCTAAGCGTCCGTCCGCCATCACGCGGATCAAAAAGATCAAGCATTTGGACAAGCCAATCTTCAAGAAAAAAGGGACTACTTCTGGAAATGTGTCTTCTAGCGTCCTTCGCGATGAGAGATCACTGGTGAAGGACTCGCAAACGATATTTAGTGACGGCGAGAGCTCGCCTCCTGCCGGAACACAAAAGCGAAAACAGCGCATAGCAAGACAGAAGCACACATCAGAGTTTCAGGGAGCTGACTCCGGGTCCGAATCAGAGCGCAGGATCGACGAGATCCACACATTCACGCAAAAGGTGTCGAAGAAGAGTATGAGGACCAAATGGGCACCGCTATCGCCAAACGTGTCTTCTTATCTGGACACCATCCTTAATCTCTATGTTGAGCAAAGTATTTCGCAAATTCCATTTAGAAGCAACAAAGAGAGATTAGCTTTCCGAACATTGGTGAAGGACACGATTGTGAGGCCTCTTGCAAAGAAAATGCGGGTGGCCCGATTTCCTGGAGAAATCAAAGAGCGCCTCCTTGATCAGGAGCAATTGGATGAAGAAAATATGCGACTTGAAGCCAACTTCAGTGCAAACCTGCGTCAACTCGAAGTGCTTCGTGTTCAGGAGCAGAAAGAAGAAGCCTTGCTAGATAGCGAGCAAAAGTATCTTGAGCAGTTCAAGAAATCCGTGGAGCGCCAAGAGGAGCTCATGGCCAAAGACACTCTTCCCTACGCTGACCTGGCAGACAACTTACAGATCTCTGAGCCCAAGTCCGCTGAACATTTGAACCTGGCCAGCACCAACGACAACGGCTACGAGCCCTCGAAAGACCCAGACTTCAACGAGTCTATGAACACATTGGATAAACATCTAGATTCTATCTCTAAAAATGTCGAACTGCTCGACCCATTGGTGGAGATCTTGGACAGAGTTAACAGCATTCTCCAAGTTATTGTCTCTCAATAGTGGACGAACAAGGGTAGCTGATTCAACTCAATATTCAAGTCTTGTGTATTAATATTCTCATCCCCAAAGTCGTGCAAGTCTGCAAGCAGTTTGTTTGATTCAACAGCTTGCACCTTCTCTGAGATAGTACCCACAGTGATGTGTGGATATCTATTTCCTATGCCCAAACTATCCAAGCGCTCGCCCTCCTTTCCATAGATACGCTTCACTTCCGCCTCGATGCACATTACTCTGGAATTCCAACATATCCGGACAAGTTTCGCGTCGGCTTTATATGGCAATTCGATCTGGTCGTTGATATGCTCCGTATCTTTAATCAGCTCGCAATACTTCTGGTAAATTGCCTTCATCGGAGGATTTTTTTTGGTAGATCCAACGTGAATCAGCGTGATGTGGAACTCTTTTTTGACTCGGTTTGCTTCCTGTAATTGTTTGAAAAAGCCAATCTCGTGGATCTGGCCTAATTTATCAATATCGTTTACTTGAATGCCGAAATACTGTGGTTTCTGCTTTTTCGTCTTGAAATTCTTCGTCACCACTGGCTTGAATTCAAGGGCTTTCTGGTAAGCCTCCAGGAATTGCTCCTCGTTCGGATACTGAACATTCAAGTCGGACGCAATTTCAGCGAGTGTGCGAGTTATGAGTTTGGCATTCTCCAACGAAGAATTCTTCTCCACTACAAGGTCGATAATATGATCAAATCTTGAGTCAGGGAACTTGTCTTTTTCGACAGGTTGGAATCTTCCCAGGAAACCCTTCATGATCATTTCGGCTTTATAAGACCCGTCCCGTTCAACTTTGATGCTCTGATGATTATCTCCTCTCTCCAAAACGCGCGCTCTGGTAATTTCCCAAAGTTTTGGATCATCCTTGGACATATTTCCTAAGAAGTTCAAGCAGATGAATTTAAGCTTCGACGCCGGGATCAGTTTGTTGAGATCCGCAAAGTACTCGAAAGTTTGTTGTCTTTCGATGAATTTGTGGTTATTTCTGTCAAGGATCACAATTGGCTTTTCCACCAAAACTTCCAAACATTTGGCTACCTGTTTATTCTTAATTGGAGATGGAATGTCGTCACTTTGAACGACGCCTATTAGATCGGGAAACAGGTTTGCCAACGTCATCGATGTTGTTGTTTTGCCGCAGCCGATTGTGGCTACAGTGACTAGAACATATTTACATGTGTCTTGGCCATAGCCCGCACACTTCAGCTCTTCTTCTAGTTTTGCCACGGACTGTTCCTCCTTGATTATTTCAGAGACCGACTGCTGCTTATGCTCCATGTAAAGCTTCCGCATTTTGACAATACCTTTGCCTTTCAGATAGTCTTCCTTAAGTGCTGGCTCAGTATCAAACAACGGGATCACAAATTTTAGATAATCCATGCAAATCAGCTTGTGATTCTTGAAGCTGACCTTGTCGACTCCTTTTGCCAGGTACTGTTTGGTGACCTCACGTAGCTCTCTATAGAGTAGGTATGGCTCTTCAAATTTGTACTTGAAAAAGAAGTCAGAGTTGTCTTTTTGGCACCTCACAACAAAGCCTTCTATTTCTTCCCCCTTGTGGAGTCCAGTCTCGCTCGCCTTTTCCAGAAACTCCATAGCCGCTTTAAAAGTTGGAAGCTCAAAATAGTCAATGGTTTTGAACCCAAAAGCTTGTGCAAAACTGGTTACCACAGTCATGGAACAGGTTTTAAAATCACAGGTGTTGTAGTTAAGCCCGTGTAGGTATAGTCCTGCCTTTTCTTGCGTATACTCTATAATATGCTCTTCAAATGAGTCGTCACAGTACTCTGCCACTGCGGTCATGCCCAGCTGGTGGAGGGTTGTTGCGAGTTCCTTTGGGTTAATGCCTTTCTTCTCGAGCTGTCTTTTCAGAGCAGCCTGCGCAGCCAGTGCGTGGTTGTGAGTGAGCTCATCACGATATCCGGTCGAGTTTTTCGAACACACAACCAGTGTCCCGTTCTCGAGGCCAGAAATGAAAACAATACATCCGTTTGCTTTGACGGTCAGTGTATAGGGTCCTGTGGTGGTTTCCTGTAACGCTTTTTTCGAGACTGAGCCGAGCTCGTCGACATTGAAGAATTTATCGTATCCACGACAGACAATGCGGTCGCCAACCGTGAACAGGCCTCTCGCATAGATAGGCAGCTTCACTTTTTTGGAAGAATAGTCCCATTCGTTGAATCTCCAGCTGGATATTTCAACATCGGTACCATCAACTATGTTGGTATATTTCTTGACTGCACCCCTCTTCGCTGTACTCTTGGACAGCTCCTCCAACTCGGAGACCAGCTGTTTCGACTTCTCATTTTCCTCTTGAGAGACCCTGTCAATCTGTAAATCGAGAATATTCATTAAAAAATATTTATGAAGCCGCAAACGGTTTAATATCTGTCAAACTGTTCACTCCCCTCTGAAGCATTTCGTAAGTCACCAATGTGATTGACGAACTGCAGGACACCTTCATCAACCGCGGAAGCCATCCACTCCACATCTTGGCCACTCCTTCCTGCATGAACGTCTTCACTACGAGTGTCATGATGTCCCGGTAAACAGGCTTGTAGTTTTTAGTCTGCATTCTCGTCTTCAACACGTCAATGGGCTGCGTAATCGCAACAACGGCGCACGACGAAGCCACTCCCATTCCCATCAGTTCCAGATCGGTGATTGAGTCTCTTGTGGGATCAATGAACTGCTGCAGGAAGTTGTACGTCGAAAACCAAACCATGCTATTCATGGTCTGCCTAAAGATGGTGATTAAAGAACCCCTCTTAAATCCCGAAAGACCCGTTGTCTCATAGATCTCTTTCACAGCCCTGAAGAAAGTGGTGGATGGGTTAGCCCGGTAGTAGTCAATGTATTTCTGACGAGGGTTGAACGGTTTGCTTTCCAAGGGCCGTTTGGTGAGCCTTGGTTTTTCCACCCCGTCTGCTCCCGTGGCCCCCGCATAAGACGGAAGCGGCAATCGGTAGCCCTGCTTTTCCATTGCGTTCTCAATCATTCGCGTCTTTACGTTCTCGACGGGTATCACCCACAGCGTCTCCAAAAAGCCGGTCATCAAACCGGCAACCACCACTCTTGGGGCGTTCGCCTTGCTGTTATCGGTGCCCATGAATTGAGTCATTCTGTTGAAAATTAGAAACCGAGAGGAGGCTTTGAGGGCATTTCCCAGAGCCAGGCCGTTGCAGCCAATGAACAAGGAGCGCACGCTGTCGGTTGGGATATGGTACGGAGTCTTGAGTAGCGAGCTATTGGCTATCTGCGATGTCGTTTTCACGTATTCAAACGGATATGTCACGACGGTTTGAACCACTGCGGCACCTGAGCCGGCTATCATGGCCGTTAGAAGGTCCGTGTTATCCTGTGTTGCTGGAATGCCGTCCATGGAGCGAAGCGTGAAAAATAAAAAATAATTCGATAATTGTCCATGTCGTACAGCATCACTGCCATCGCCAGCAAGTCGCTACCGGGAAATATACAGCAGCTTGTGGAGGAGGCTGTAAAGGGCTTGTCGGTGGATATTGTAAAGAGCACTGTTCTGTCTGCCGGCAAAGCTGTCGATTTTTCATTTGAATGCGATAATTTTGACCAAGTAAAAAACAAGCTCAAGTTGGTGAAACTCCCAGACGTGGATCTGGAAGTCCTCGAGAACGGCCCTGCTCGGAAGAACAAGAAGCTTGTTGTGTTTGATATGGATTCGACTCTGATCTACCAAGAGGTGATTGAGCTTATTGCAGCTCAGGCAGGAGTGGAAGACGAGGTTGCCAGAATCACAAACTTGGCAATGAATGGAGAAATCGACTTCAAAGAGTCGCTCAGAAGACGGGTGGCCTTGCTTAAGGGAATACATTCTGCAGATCTCTGGGAAAAGCTCAAGCCGCAGCTGGAGATCACCAAGGGAGCCCGCGAGCTTTGTGCTACCTTGAAGAAAATCGGCTGCACAATGGCAGTTTGTTCGGGCGGCTTTCTGCCTTTGGCTGAGTACATAAAAGAGCAACTTCATTTAGACTACGCTTTTGCAAACCAGCTCAAGACGGAGATTGTGGACGGCAAAGAGGTCCTCAGTGGACAGCCAGAAGGCGAGATCGTTGACGGTTATAAAAAGAGAGCAGTCTTAGAAATGCTAGCTGAAAAACATCAAATTGATCTGGACTACACTGTTGCCGTCGGTGATGGCGCCAACGACTTGCTGATGATGGCCAGGGCAGGTCTCGGTATAGCTTGGAACGCGAAGCCAAAAGTGCAGCTAGAGGCAGACTGCCGGCTTAACACAGATTCCCTGAGAGATGTGCTATACATTCTCGGATATAGAGACGAGGATATATAATAGAGTTGATTATAGCAGTATCACGGCTTTGGCTACACCCATGATGCCGTTGAATAGCAAAGCCTGCTCGCCGTTTTTTATGCTGCTTTTCATGATCACCCCTTCGCATATGAGGCCCTTTTCCAGCAGGTATCTCCTAGTAACGCCACAGAGACAGCCTGATGAAAGCGAGGGCGTAGTCCACCTGGTAATGATCTCACCCGTCAGAGGATTTTTATCGTTGCGGAGCACAGCTATATTGCAGATAGACGTCTCGGTGATCTGATCAGCGTGGTTGAATAGCAGCACATCGGTGTGTTCTACGCCAGGAGGGACTTTGCGTTTGCGGGCTTCCGTGTAATGATCGCGATAAGTGGATTTGAAGGAGGTAAACGGAGAAATTATTGTTGGTTCAGAATCCAAGTATACCGTCCAAGTTGGAGGGCAATTGATATCCAGATTCAGCGGAGAGTTTATCGGAATAGCCTGTATCTCAACGTGTCCCTGTTTGTTCAAAAGATAGCGCATTTTGTGAGCACGGTACACATCTTTATCGTCGAGTGCTTGAGACAGCTGAGCTACCAGCAGCGATGAGTTGAGCTTTTGGACGGGAAGCTCAAAAAATTCGGCAGTTTCGTTTAACCTGTCGACATGGTAGTCCAAGAACAAGAAAAACGACTGGTCGAGAGGAGAACAGACGAGAGCTTCAGGTAAGCTCAATCTTCCAGAATACAGCAGAGGGTCGTACCTAATCGTGGAGAGAACCTCAAACTGCACTTTTTCGTAATCAAACGGGTCCTTCAGATGCTTTTGGATCACTTCGTTCGCAACAGCCTCTAGATGCCCCATCGTTTCTTCGTTGTTCGTCCACCAAGATTATTATACTTCGAAACACGGCTGTGCAACCAATCTTGTATTTTCTTCACAGCCAGAAGCTAGACTACCGAAATATCTGTGCTGTTCCGGCCTTGTGCTGATTTGTCCATGTCTTCTGAAAAACCGGCTCTCAAGCCGAAACCAAAGATACCGCCTCCGGTGAAGGCTAAGAAACCGCAGCTGGCAGCAACGGCCTTGCTGGACTCGAAGTCCCCAGTGAACGCGTCATCGGCGGTGAAAAGTAATCTCACCAAGACGGTGTCTCAAACGTCTGAAAAATCAACGTCTCCGCAGTCTCCAAAACCTGAGTCTTCGACAACCGAGCTGTACACTGCTACTGTGTCCAAGTTTCCGCCGCCGCCTGTCCATGTCCTCCGCAATAAGGCACAGGCCTCGGTTGCAATTGACAAATCATCTCCGGCCGCTTCCAGTCCTGAGCAAAAACCCACATCTCCTGTTTCTTCCCAGAGCCCTGTCTCTTCAGACGACGAGGATGCACCTCCACTTCCATTGCGTCCTTCGCGTACGGAATCGGTGTCATCGGTGGAAGAGGAAGATGCTCCTCCGCTTCCTAGACGGCCTACAGCCTCTGCCAAATCTGCCCTGGTCGACGAAATCGAGTCCAAACTTCAGCCCCCAAGGCCCGAGAGATTCCAGAAACACTCGTCTCCAGACTCGGAGAAACCGAGACCCCCAAGGCCTGGTAAACCGTCTCTCAATCTCAAGCCGAACACAGACTCGTTCTCCAGGAATATTTCGTCCGACCTGGAGAAATTGAGCATTTCTAGCTCCAAGCCTCTGCTCTCTCCTCCAAATCCACCTAAATCTCGTTCCCCGGCCCATTCGTCGGGGACGTCGACTCCACCGTCTCCTCCAAAACCTCGCACAAAGCCATCTGCTCCTCCACCACGCTCTGGACTAAGAACAAATTGGAAGGCCCCTGATCTGAATTTGGAATTGTCAACAGGGTGGTTCGCCAAAGACGATTTCGAAAACCATCTACCTACTGACCTGAAAGGCCTAGACTACGCTACATCGTTTGGCTACAACTCGAAAGAGTTCTTCAGAGTCGTCGTGTTCCGCAACAAAGACCTTTCCACCATCAAGCTCAGGTTCACGTGGCCGAAATCAGGAGATCCGGGTGTTTCCGTCGAGCACGAAATCAAGTTTGTGCCTCCGCCGCAGGCTACTAAAGCACAGCTCGAAGAAGGAGCTTCGCTGTATGGCGAACATGTGGCAGGATGGACAGAGGCGCACAAGGGCAAGAAAGTGGGTGACGGAGAGTGTTGGACTCTTGCGCATGACGCCTTGCAACGGGGCTGTGGCAAGCACGCGTTCGTCTCTTCTGGCCTCGTTCATGGTGCTCTTCTGTCCACCATCACGGGGAAAAAGGGCGGACCTGAAGTTCGCAAAGAACCAGTCTCCGACACAGTCAAAAGAGGCGATATATTGCAGTTCGCTAACTGCTGTTTCCGGTACCCAAACAAGGCACTGTTTTATGGTTCGCCAGACCACACTTCGATTGTTGGTCACGTGACGGGCTCCACGGAGCTACCTAGATTGCAGGTGTTGCACCAGAACGTGAATGGCGAGAAGATAGTGATTGAGGAGTCCATCGATCTGGACATGCTCGTCGAAGGCAGTGTCAAAGTCTATAGACCGATTGGCGCAGGCTGGATCTCTGAGCTATCTCCTATGTGGTGATGCGGCTCGAAGCCAAATATTCACTCTTTAGTATAAACCAAAATATAAACAATTACACAAATTTATGTCCTACAGGCTTTCTCAACTCGCGCCCCTTCCTGAGCTGAGACATGTGCAAATAGGAAAGACCATTGGCCACGGAGGCTTTGGCGTTGTTAAGTCCGCTGTATTCGAGAAAAATGGGATATCGAAAGTCATAGCCGTGAAGTTTGTTCACCTCGACATGGCTCGCCAACAGAATGTGACCGCAGACATGCTTGCGCGGGAGGCGTTCATTCAGAGGGAATGCAGGCATCCGAACGTGATCCAGCTGATAGATTTTGGCGCAGATATCAATTGGGTCTGGTTTGCCATGGAACTAGGAAGCAACGGTGAGTTGTTTGACAAGATCGAGCCTGATCTGGGGGTTGACGAGGACGTCGCCCAGTTTTACTTCAGACAGCTCATAAACGCAGTATCCTTTATTCATTCCAAAGGCGTTGCACACCGTGACATCAAGCCGGAAAACCTCGTTATCGATAAGAACGGAAATCTAAAACTAACGGACTTTGGGCTAGCCAGCGTATTTAAAAAAAGAAATGGCTCCAAGAGAATGTGCACCACAGCATGCGGCTCGCCTCCTTACCTTGCTCCAGAGGTGGTCTCTCAAAATTATGACCCCGAGCCGTCGGATGTGTGGTCCTGCTGTATAGTTCTCTTTGTGCTTCTCACAGGGCAAATTGCCTGGGAGATGCCACACGAGGAAGACACAGACTTTCGCTACTATATGGAGAGGAAGGGAGAAGTTCTGATCTCTCCGTGGAACAAGATTCCTCTAGGCGCTCTTTCGCTGCTGCGCAAAGTATTGGTTCTTGAGCCTTCGAATAGATTAAGCATCGAAGAAATTAGGAAACATCCCTGGGTGGCCAAGAAAAACAAGTTTGCGGACCAAAACGACATGTGCAAAGATCCGATGCGTCTCACCACCAGCTTGCTGGTCAACCTTTACATTAACCTTTCGGACGCGGAATTTAACAAGATTAGCCAGATGTCCACCCAGATCAGCAGACCGTCAGCAGGAACGCAACCGCCAACGTACGTGATGGACGATACGCAGCCCGCCGAGATCTACAAGGAAAACTTCTGGCCGATTGGCGGCTTCTCTGCTTCGCAGGAGGTCTACACTGAGCACTCGAAACGCCGCAAGCTCAAGGAAGACCTGGGTGATGACGATCTTATATTTGCCACGATCTCCAAAGACCCTGCATCCTTGCAATTCCTAAGGCCCGATTCTGTCGTCAATAGAGAGAAACTAATCAACGCCAAGATGAGCAACCTGCGAATAGAGCAGCAAAGGTGTCCAGCTCTCTTCGCCGAAAGTCTCACTAGGTTTTTCAGTACAGTTGCTTTGGATCAGCTGCTGGTCACAATTCTGGAGGCATTGAGCAAGCTTGGACTTCGCAGTCACTCGGGTGAGGACGCCAGCGAGCTCTACGTGGAAAATCTACGCAAGAATGACCTTCTCAGCGGATTGATCACTATCCCTATCAATGGCCGAGACTCCAGCAAAGCACCTATAGTCGGTAACATCAAGGTGAGTCGAATGGCCGACAATCTGGACGTACGGAAGGTTGAGTTTCTGAAAATTAAAGCAGACCCGCTGGAATGGAGAAGAGTTTTCAAACGAGTCACAATCCTCTGCCGTGACGTTGTGTATGTTGAAAAATAGGGAATATTTATTTTAATAATTTAATGCATGTGCCGGATATAGAATCAGGGCCAGACACATTTGAGATTCTTCTAACCACAGACAACCACGTTGGGTATCTTGAGACGGACCCTATTAGAGGCAATGACTCGTGGAAAACGTTTTCGGAAATCATGAGCATTGCAAAATCCAGGGACGTCGATATGGTTATCCAGGCAGGCGATTTATTCCACGTTAACAAGCCTAGCAAGAAATCCTACTACCATGTGATTCGGACGCTTCGTGAATTCTGCTGGATCGATAGGCCTCGTGAATACAAGCTCGTATCTGATCCTTCGGTCGTGATGTCCACGCGACACTTTAATTACCCATGTGAATATGATCCCAACGTGAATGTTGGAATGCCTGTCTATGCTATTTCGGGCAATCACGACGACGCAACAGGAGACGATCTTCTCTCGCCGCTGGATCTCCTGTCCGTTGGCGGTTTACTAAATCACTTTGGACGGATCACAAATAACGATGAGATCAAAATTAGTCCGTTGCTATTCCAAAAAGGCAGTACTAATTTTGCATTATATGGCCTGCAAAGCATTCGAGAAGAGCGTCTGAAACGGACTTTGGGATCGGGCAATGTGGAGTTTTTGCAGCCGGAAGATAGCGAAAACTGGTTCAGTTTGATGTGTGTGCACCAGAACCATGTGCCCCGGCCGGGAACGCGCGTTCTTGAAGAGGCACATCTTCCGCATTTTTTAGACTTTGTGTTTTGGGGCCATGAACACGAGTGCATTCCCAGGCCTCTGCATAACAGTGCCATGGGTTTCGACGTTCTTCAGGGCGGTTCGTCGGTAGCAACGTCCTTGAGCGAGGGTGAAGTTCCTGACAAACACGTCTATCTGCTCAAAATCAAAGGCAAAGACTATAGTCTCGAGCCGATCCGACTCAAATCTGTGCGGCCTTTTGCGATGAAAGACATCATCTTAAGCGAGACAGGGATCTCTGCAACGTCGGGAAATAAAGACGAGGTGATTAATTTGCTTATAGACGAGGTGGAGGAGCTTATCGAAGCCGCGACCAGCAAATGGAAAGAAGCTAATCAGGACTTGCTAGAAGCTCTCGTGGACATCGAAATACCCCTTCCCCTGGTCAGGCTCCGGGTCGAGTACAGTGGAGGCTACGAGGTGGAAAATCCTCGCAGATTTTCCAACAGGTTTGTCGGCAAGGTTGCAAACATCAACGACATTGTCATTTTCTACCGGAAGAAGATAGTCGGTAACAGACAGGCAAGCAGGCTAGCGCAGAAACATCAGAGCGAGGGCCACGAGCTAGAGATACGCGAAGGCACTCTCAACATTGGTGATTTTGTTGAGCGACAACTGAGCGAAGACGACCTTTTGCTACTCAAAAAAACGGACATGTCGAAAGTCATTGAAGAAGCCATGGTGAAAGACGACAAACACTTGATCAAGAAGTTCGTCGATGACGAGTTGGGTAATGATCTGGAGCTTCTGTTGAAGCTCCGAGTTGACGAAGCAGATACTGTTGAAGGCAAGTCCTTGAACGAACTGAAAAAAGGTTTCCGGAACATAGTGAAGGAGCTACGCGCCAAGGCTAAGTACAGTGAGAGATCGAAAGACCACGAAGAGCAACCTCGTGTTAGCTCTGGGCTCTTTGTGGAGTCTGATGAGGAGCCATCCACGCGTGGCAGACATAAGAAGAAGCAAGATCCTGTGCCGGATCTCTCACAATTCATGCACCCTACTGAGCCGATGGTGGTCGATTCGGACGTATCTGATGACGGTCTAATTGAAATTGAGGAGCCCAAGAAGACCGCCCGCAAAAAAGCAACAAAGCCGCGTAAAACTGCTTCCAAACCAGCCAGTTTGTTTGGCGCAGTTGGCCGCTAGGAAACTCAGTATCGGTGCACAGATGTTGAACTGTATTTATTTTAGCGCATCCAAAAAGTAATAGAAAAATAACGACACGGTCGATAGATTTGATTGGAAATGGGGTTTTTAAAAGAAATCCAGGGGTTCTTTCACTCTATCACCACAGATGATCATTACGCTTCCTATGACGCGTCGGAATCGACTAATCTCGGGGCAGCTCCGGGACATGAGTCGTCGCAATACATCTCGATGCTGGACAACACCTCGTCGACATCTCTAGCCCAAAATAGCAGATCAGCCAGAAACTCGACTGCCAGCAGGCCAGTTCAGTACCGTCCCGGAATGCGTTCGCAGCTGAATGGTAATGATATCCAAATGCAAGACTACATTGAAGGGCAACCGCCTTTACCATCGGTCGCTTCTGTGTGGGAAAGATTAGACAAGTGGATGGAGAGGGAATTCCCGGAACTGGGAGACGACATGGAGAACGGGGCGACCGTCAACGATCTGAACGCTTTTGAAAAAGACCTGAATATTTCTCTACCCTTTGACGTGAGGGAGTCGTATCAAATTCACGATGGCCAGCTCGCTCTCGGAAAGAAGCGTGGCCTTATTTATGGATACCCTTTGCTTGACCTCGAAAGCATTGCCGCAGAGGTCAACATTTGGAGGAAAGTCGGCGACAAATTACAAAGAACCACAGAGCATTTTACCAGTGAGCAGATTCTGCTCGAATCTCAAAACAAGTCGGAGGGCAGTAGCCACTTCCAACAGCAAAAGGCCAAGCATTTTCATTTTCTAGACTCTCAGAAGTCTGTTCCAAAGGGGGCCGTGCAGGAGGTGTACTACCACAACCAATGGATTCCGTTAGTGAAAGACAATGAGGGGAACAATATTGCCCTGGATCTTGCTCCAGGGCCAAGAGGCAGATGGGGCCAGATCATTCTTTTTGGCCGCGACTTCGACACCAAGTTCGTTGTCGCCTCGTGTTTTACGGAGTTTTTGCTGAATCTCGCCGATGATCTGGAGGATGGAAAGTTCTACATCGACGAGATCGATGAGGATCTGGTGTACACGGAAAACGGAAAGACATACTCGTACTTTGACGTGTTGAAATTTCGCTCGTTGGCTTTGGCAAAGAATATGGGTGGATCGCGACTTCCTGTTGGAAAAAGCGGATCCAATGTCTCTTTAGTGGCCTCTCCACGGATTTCCCAGACCAATTTGTCTAAACAGTATGCTCCTCCTCTGAATGACAGTTTTGTTGTTGAGGATGAGGACCCGGTGATTCCAGCAGAAGACGTTATCAAGCCCCAGACACAGCCCGATCTCCTGGCTGATGACCTGAAAGAGGTCGATTTGGTACAGGAGGGCGACAAGAGAGAAGCAGTGAAAGAGACGGAAGTCAAGCCTGAACTAACGGAGGGACCAAATCTCACGGAGACTACCGTGTCGCAGCCTGAAGACTCTCAACCAGAACCTGCGACCGAACCGGTTGCTGAGCCGGAGGCAAGGAATGCTGAGACCGAGCGTGATGTTCAGGACCACCAGATTGAGGAAGACAAGGCCTCTGGAGAAGGTCTCACCGAAGCAGATGCTGCGGACTCCAAGTCCGAGACAGACGACACCGAGAAAGACGCTGCGGAGGACGCTGCTGACCCTGTAGCAGCTGCCAGCAACTCAGCTACCAAGCCAAAGTCCCGTAAGAAGAAAGGTAAGAAAGGTAAGAAATAATAACATATCCATTATATATAATATAGTATTTGAGATTCGCGTGGAGTTTAATAAAATTTCAAGCTGATAAGCTGTGTACATGTCGCACTCCAACATCTATAAAGATCTTCCTCCCCTTCCCCACCATCTTGAGGAGGAGCGTGTACCCAGCAGGTCTTCGTCGGCAGACAGTGCTACTCACCGACCGGCGCTGACGCTGCCCGTACGCCCTGTTACAAGTGCGCAAATATCAGCTTCGAGCGTTGACACCGTCGAGTCCTGCGGCGTTCCGAGCTCGAGCCGGCGTCCGCCTCCACTATTCAGCCATGTATCAGTACCAGAATCATCGCGTGTGATCCAACAGCAAGAATTGACGCCCTTTGTTTCTTCTCTCAATAAGCAAAACAAATCGCCTACACCGTTTTTGGAAAGCAAGTCTTTGAAGCGAAAGAACGTCATGAAGCTGACCCTGGCCACTCCAAAGACATCGCTGAGCTCTCGCCCTAGCAGCTCGGGCCTGGAGAACCTCAATTCGTCGGCCTCTTCCTTTGAGCAGTCCGGGTTCAAGGACCCAGACAGAAAAGCATCCACCGACGAATTGATTGCCAACATCCAAACGCTCGAACTTGGCCTGGAGTACCAGCTGTCGATCAAGGCAGAGGAACTGGTGATGCTCAAGAAACTGGGCTCTGGCAACTCTGGAACGGTCTCCAAAGTGCTACACTTACCAACACAGAAAACAATGGCGCGGAAAACCGTACACATCGATGCCAAAGAGGTGATACAGTCGCAGATCATCCGCGAGCTCCGTATTATGCACGAGTGCGACTCGCCCTTTATCATTGGCTTCTACGGCGCCTTCCTGCACGAAGGGGACGTGGTGATTTGTATGGAGTATGTTGACTGCGGCTCGCTAGACAAAATTTTCAAGCTGACGGGGCCATTCCCGGACTTCATGCTCAAACACATTGCCTACTCTGTCCTGAGCGGCCTGGTCTACCTTTACGACAACCACAGGATTATACATCGTGATGTAAAACCATCGAACGTGCTACTGGACTCAAAGGGAAACATAAAGCTGTGTGATTTTGGCGTGAGCAGGGAGCTGATAAATTCCATGGCCGACACTTTTGTTGGCACGTCTACGTACATGTCGCCAGAGCGTATTCAAGGGGGTGTCTACAACATCAAGGGAGACGTGTGGTCTCTGGGTCTGATGCTATACGAGCTGGCCTCTGGAAAATTTGCGTTTGGAGGTGCTCCTGGCGGAGCGGCCCCGGGGGTTTCTGGCCTCAAAGGGGATCCCCAGATAAAGACCCCGGACTCGATTCTGGATCTGTTGCAGCGCATTGTCAACGAGAGACCGCCTTCTCTCAAAGAAAGTGATGGCTACACTCCCGAACTTTGTGAGTTTGTTGAACTGTGTTTGAAAAAGGAAAAGGACAGACCCGATCCACACGAGCTGCTCAAACACAAGTTTTTAGCCGACTTCCCCGAGTCAAATAGCTTGAGGGTGTCTGCCAAGTATCGCTCGGACATCAAGAAGTGGGCCAAGAATGTCAGACGCGTCCAAAAAGGCAAACCTACCAAGTAGTCACGGACTAATGTAAAGTTTAGATTGAATGCAGTGTACTCACCATGTCTGGACTCCTCCATTGCGTAGATGCAGACGCAGCGCCTCCGCTACCAGATAGAGACTGCCGCAGATCACGATGGGCTTGTGGGTACGTTGGGCCCTTGATAATGCTGCTTCCAAATTAGGCTCGATGGTGGCTTGGAAGCTGAGCCGCGCTCTAGAAGATAATTCCTCTGGGGAATAGCTTTCGATCCAGGGCATCCCATCCACGGGTTCCGTAAACTGTGTGAAGATTACTGTGTCTTGCGGCTTGATGAGACACTGAAGCAGTCCTGAGACATCCTTGCCTGACGTCATTGCAACAACAAAGGTGACTCCAGTTGATCGAGATGAGCCCAAGTACTTTGAAAGCTGTTCTGCTGCTTGACTATTGTGCGCTCCGTCAAGCAGAACTGGGACTGTACCTGTCCTGAGTTTGAGATCCAGTTTCTGCAGTCGACCTGGCCAACTCGTGTTCCTGATGCCTCGCTCTATGGCCTCTTTTTGAATTCGGAATGTACGTGAAAGAACATCCAAAATGCCAAGGGCAACCGAAAGGTTCATCTGCTGGTACTCGCCGCGGAGGCTGGTACGGAAATCACCTAGACGTGCTCCCAAACAGTCAAACTTCTGGGCCGGAGAATCACTCACAAACATATATTCTGAGCCCTTCTGTCTTGCGACATCCTCAATTATGCGCAATACAGAGCTTTCGTTGGATCCGTCCACAACGCACGGGACACCCTCTTTGATAATTCCTGCCTTCTCGTTCGCTATCTTCTCCAGTGTGCCCCCCAACAACTGCTCGTGATCTAATCCTATTTTCGTTATAGCCGTGCACAATGTTGCGGATGCTGAGAGCACGTTGGTCGCATCCAACCGTCCCCCAAGGCCCGTTTCCAGGACTGCCACCCGCACTCCTTGTTCGTTGAAGATCTTCAAGGCTGTGCAGGTGAGTAGCTCGAACTCCGTGCATTTGATGTTATCTCGACGATCGGTGTCACGAACATGGCCCTCTGCCGCAGCAAAGTCTCCTTCTGACACTGCTCTATCGTTTATTTGCACAGAATCCCATCTGTATAGCAGGTGGGGCGAGTTCAGACGTCCGTTGCGGATTCCTTGAGCAGTGAGCGCATGAGACACGTACGAGCTTACTGATCCCTTTCCGTTTGTGCCTGCAATGTGAACTGCTCTGAATCCTGGGCGAAAATCAAGCTTCGAGAGTAGTTTCTCTACCCTGGCGAGCTGTAGATCAATGCCCATAAAAATTAGAGTATTTCAAATAATTTATATTTGTTTTCGCGGCCATTTTGTTATAATGTCTGTGTCACGGCTGGAATCAAGACTTCGGAAACTGTTCAATGTTCCGCGCAAAGGTGAAACGTTTGAGTTCAGAGAGGGACTTGTTTCGCAGTATGCAGATGAGCGCAAGGATACAATTCAAAGAGTGATTGCAGCGATGACTGTGGGCAAAGACGTGTCATCGTTGTTCCCGGACATTCTTAAGAACATCGCCACACATGACCTGGAGCAGAAGAAACTGGTGTACCTCTACTTGATGAATTACGCAAAAACTAACCCAGAACTCTGTATCTTGGCCGTCAACACCTTTGTTCAAGATACCGAGGATCCAAATCCGCTGGTCAGAGCACTTGCGATTCGGACCATGGGCTGCATCCGTGTGGACAAAATGGTCGATTATATGGAAATCCCTTTGAAAAGGACGCTCAAGGATGACAATCCGTACGTTCGTAAAACAGCGGCCATCTGTGTGGCGAAGCTTTTTGATCTCAATTCTAGAATGTGCGTGGAACAAGGGTTTCTGGACGAGCTGATGAGTCTGCTGGATGACTCTAACCAGATGGTGGTTGCTAATTCCATCTCAGCGCTAATAGAGATTTCCAAAGCAACAAACTCCAACATTCTCAAGATTGACTCGAAGATCCTCAAAAAGTTGCTAATGACGCTGAACGAGTGCACGGAATGGGGTCGTATCGCAATTCTCACGGCACTGGCGGACTATACTGCAGAAGAAGTGGGTGAGGTGCAGCACATTGTCGACCGCGTCTCACCTCAGCTCCAGCACGAGAACCCAGCCGTTGTCCTCAGTGCTGTGAAAGTTATTATCAAGCAATTGGATAAGGTAGATGAAGAGCAAAAGAACTCTCTACTGAAACGTCTTTCTTCTCCCCTCGTTTCCTTACTGTCGACTCCTCCAGAACTCCAATATGTTGCTCTCAGAAACATACGTATCATTTTGGAGAAGTATCCCGTGGTTTTGGCGAGGGAGCTCCGTGTGTTTTTCATCAAATACAGCGATCCGTTATACCTCAAGTTGGAAAAAATAGACATCATGGTGAGGTTAGCAGACGAGTCAAATGCGCTGTTGCTTCTGGCAGAACTTCGTGAGTACGCTATGGAAATCGAAACTGAAGTGGTAGACAAGTCTGTTATGGCTCTTGGTCAACTGGCTATCAAAATTCCAAAAATATCAAAGAAGGCTATTGATGTTCTATATGAGCTCTTTATTTCACGTTCTGAGTATGTCATTGATCAACTAGTCGTGGTTCTACAAAACATATTGAGGAAGTACTCCAACGAGTACCTCACAACCGTTATCACGATCATTGGAGATCTCGATTTGGAGTCTTTGAAATCAAGTGATGCACTGGCATCCTATGTGTGGATTGTCGGACAATATGCCTCGGAAATTCCTCATCTAGAAGACCGTCTCAGGTCTCTGATGGCGCAATTCCAAGATGTAGACCCAGCCGTGCAATCAGCACTTTTGACCACCATCGTGAAAATTAATCTGACAAAGCCTACGCCAGTGACACAGGGTCTGTTGCAACAGGCACTCAATGCGGCTACAAAAGAGATAGAAAACCCAGACGTTAGAGATAAGGCTTACATTTACTGGAGAATCTTATCCACAGAGAACTCGGAGCTGCAAAAGAATATTATCATGAATAAGCTTCCTGTGCTCGAATCTACAATTGACCATTTCCCACCACTTCTTCTCAATGAACTTATCAATGAGATTTCAAACTTAGGTTCAGTTTATCACAAGCCTGCTTCAAGCTTCATCAAATCATTGGACGGTGAACTGATCAACACTCAACTCCAGACTAAGAAATTCGAAGAATTGCAGCAAATGGCCAAATCTGAGATTGTCAAAAACACTGTCAAGGCCGAAAATCTGTTGGACTTTGATGACGATTCTGACGCTGCTCAAAACTCAAATGGACAATCTGGTACGAATAGTCCCGTCACTGGAAATATCTTGGATGAATTGAATGACTTATTCACTGATTTGTCTACGCAGACACCATTACCACAACCGTCTGGCTCCTCGGTGTTTCAGGATCTGCTCCAAGAGCCGGAATCTCATCAACAATCCCAGCAACCTAATCAACATCAAAAAACTTCCAATGCTGATCTTCTAGATTTGTTTTAGGCGCATATAGAGCTTTTGAAAATTATCGATTTTAATTTGATACAAAATACTTCATTCTTCTTGCTCCTCTGCTTCATCTATCTTTTCAAATGTCTCATGCTCAAGCTCTACCATTTCAAATTGTTCCGCGACCATTTCCTCTTCTTCCTCCTCATCTTCTTCTTGTTCCATGTCCATGGCATCATCTTCCACCGCTTCCTGTGCAACAGGGAAACATCTCTGCACGAGTTCCAGCATGTTATTGCATTGCTCGTCGCTGAATCTCTGGTCACACTCTTCGATCACAGAAAACAAGGAGACGATCGTTCTTGGCAGTCTGTTCAAGATCTCAAGTTTTTCTATTTTCATCAAACTGTACTGGTTCAGACCGGTCATGAATTCCACCACATTCTCTCTCGTGTATTCGTTTGACTGACCTGTTCGGACTAAAAATCCTGAAAGCTCTCTTGTAATTATCTCTAGGTCTACTAAATGGTTTCCTCTCTTTCTCCTTTGTTTCTTATTAGTATCCTCGCCGAGCGTAAAGTTCCAGTTGTTCTCCCTCTGTATATCTACAAGATGATTGTACACTTCGAAGTTTGATAAAAGTTTCTCTCGCGCAACTTCCACCTAGTTGTTAGTATTTCACTGACTCAATACCTACCTTCATATCATATCTATTTTTTTTTTTTTTTTTTTTTGGGAGACTTATGTATACATACATTCAGTAGCACTAATCAGCCTGGTCCCAATTTCCTGGTTTTGGTTGCTGAGGCATGGCAGGACCTCCGGCCCGCTTAGCAACAATGATCTGGTCCACACTCAAAACGGTACACACAGCCTCAGTAGCAAAGTTTATAGCGTTTCTCTTGCAGATGAGAGAATCGTATATTTTGTGCTCTTTAACGTCCAAAAGAGACTCTCCAGAAGACTCTGCTTCAATATCAATTCCATACTTCAATGAGTCAGCATCATTTTCATCGTGGGAAGCGTATAGTCTAGGCAGAACTTCAGAAGCATCGAGGCCAGACGTTTCGCACAAAATGCGTGGCAGAAACTCAAAGGCCTCGGCGAATTTCTTGATACCAAGCTGCATCAATCCTGGAGTCTTCTCTCCGTAAGTAGTAACTCGTTTCACCAGCTCTGCCTCGACAGACCCTGCGCCTGGAAGTAGTCTAGGATCCTTCAAGACTGCCTTGACAACAGCAACACCATCGTCAATGGCCCTTTCGATATCTTCCAAGTTGTTTTTCGTAGCACCTCTAACGACGATCGACGCAGTCAGAGACGATTCTTTATCCTGGCGGAAGATGGTGACTCTGTCACCACCAATCTCTTTGGTTTCCACCACATCCACGGTTCCCATCTCCTCTGGCATTGGAGCACCTAATCTTGCCAAAGGACTTCCTCCGCAGACTCTGGCAATTCTTCTCAGATCAAACTTGGACGGCACTTTAAGCACTAGAATTCCGTACCTGTCCAAATAGTGTAGTGCAAGCTCTCCCACTCCAGCACCCGCGACAACCACGCGTACTCCCGAGTTGTAGATCTCTTTAACTAGCTGATCCAGCTGGTCTTCTTCACCTTTGCTGAAACCAAGCATCTCGTCGGCATTGTGCAGCAGCACAGTTCCCTTGGTCTCTGTTGTCGATATGTCTATTGGGCACGTAAAAATAGCAACCTTGGACGGCGTGCTAATCTTCTTGACCTGAGACTCCGGTTCCCTAGGGAAAACCATACCTTTCAGGACAAAAGAACTGTTCAAGGAAGAACCCATAATTTTCACCACTCTAATCGAGTCCACATTGAAAAGTCTTGGGTTGTTTTTTGGGATCACACTAATGATTGCATCTGCAACGAGATTGCTGATCTTCTTTTCGTTGCCGTACTGCTTTGACGCGATCACGGGTTGGATAATCTTCAGTAGCTCCTCCTTTGAGTTCAAGTCCGAGATTTGATCAATCACCAAGTTTTCCAGCTCTTTCAGGGCAAACTTGTTAGCAAGATTGTATCCTTGGATGATTTCCGTTGGCGTCAAGCCCAACACCACGAGTTTCTCTGCCAGATGTAATAGCTCGCCCGCCAACACCAACACGTAGTTCGTGTTGTCACCCATCTCCTCCTCCTGTTGTTCGGAAGACATGATCATCACTTTCACTGCAGGGTGCACCACTTCAAGCTCTCTGATCATGGTGGCAGCGTCGTTCGTGATCGAAACCTTTTCGAGCTTGTTCACGATGATTTTGTTCTTGCCACAAGGTCCAATCGACGTGGAGATCATATTGCTGAGCTCTCTGCAGGCCTGAATGTTTCTGTTAATAGCCCCGTCCGTGCTAGCATGTGTCTGGTATCCCTGTTTGAAGAGGCCAGCGTTAGGCTGGCTAGGCATTCTTAACGACATGATGAAAAAATGGAAGAAAAACAAGAAAAACTCTGGAGGAAAAAGTTCATTATTATGTCCGGCAAGTCATTTAAAGATCGACTAATTGAGGCCGGATCGACGCGAGCGAGCGAGGATAACTCGATCATGGCCGATAATTACGATCCATTGGTGGATATTTATGAGCTGTTTCCAACACCGGCAAGCCTGGCTCAGCTGGACACCTTGCTAGCATACGTCAATGCGTATAAACTGCAAATTGATTCAGACATCCAGACGCGTCAGTCGCAGTATAATGAGGCTCTCCTGAATGCCACTGACGGGAAGGATGCTCTGGGCGCGGTGGACGATGAATTGGAAAAATTGATTGCAGACGTCAAGGATACAAAAATATCCGCAGAAGCCACCGGAAGCACTATCAATAGAATGACCGCAAGTATCAAGTCATTGGATAACGCAAAGAAGAACCTGACACTCACCATGACCATAATGAAACGACTACAGATGCTAGTGACCGCATACGAAAACCTGGAATCTTTCTTGAGCGATACCACAAACCCCGTGAAAGACTATCTACAAATCAAACAGCTTTTCAGTGTGGTAGTGGAGCTGATGAACCACTTCCAGTCATATAAGAGCATTGACGAAATCAACACGCTTAACAAGAAGATCAGCTCTTTGAAAAACAGAATTATAGACGAGATCTTTGCTGATTTTGAGCGCGAAATAATGGAGGAGCTACACAATCCCGAGTTGGTGAGTGCCTGTGAGCTACTAGAGCTTTTGGGCCGTCCATATCGCGATAAACTGACCACTTGGTATACTGTCACAACACTCAAGGAGCTTACTAGTATCTTCAAAGCTACGGAGGAAGCAGGCTCATTGGACAATCTCAAAAGAAGATACATGTTTTTCAGACAGATTCTCGCCAATTTCGAGAAAAACCATGCGAACGCTTTCCCAGAAAACTGGAAGATGTCTCAGGAACTAACGAGTCACTTCTGTAAAATCACGCGCAAAGATTTGAGTGAGTCGACGGCAAAAGAAACTCGTCTCACTGGCAGCAAGGTCGATGTGAATTTGCTGCTGAACGCGCTAGGAGAAACGCTTGAATTCGAATCTTTCATTAGCAAGAAATTCAAACAAAGCTTTGAGGGGTCCATCTCCGACGTATTTGAGCCTTATCTCAATATATGGATAGAACACCAGAGAACTGTGATCAACAACAAATTTATCGAATTCATGAACCCAGAATCAATGCTCAAGAAATCGGGAGTGGAGACTGGGGGTGCGAATGTTAACGTGTTGGAATCCGCTGCTGATCTGTTTAGGCTCTACAGGCAGATTCTTGCACAGCTTTCTAAGCTCTCTCAGGGCGAGTCGTTGGTGAAGCTGTCTGCGGTGTTCTCCGAGTACTTGCTAAAATACCGACAAACTGTTCTGGAGCCGCTGGTTCCTGACCCTAAGCGGTTATCATCAGGATCAGAGACTGAACAGGCGGAAGGCACGGCTATTTTATGTCTGGTATTGAACACTGCAGACTATTGTTCGATCACCGTTTCACAGTTGGAAGAGAAGCTTGCAATGCTAGTAAATCCGCCAACGCTTGCTCAGAGAATGGATTTCGAGAAAGCAAGAAACAGTTACCTCAATTTGATCAATAACTGTATCAATCTACTGTTCGTGAAAATGGAAAACGATCTTCACCATTCGTGGCGTGAAATGCTGAACTATAATTGGAAGACCATCTCAGAGGTCTCTGGGGAATCGCGTTTCATGGGTTCCGTAAAGCGAGTGATCAAAGAGAACTGTTCCTTAATATTCCCCAACTTCAACAGAGTCTTGTACATCCGCAACTACCTGGATAAATTAGTGGAACTTGTTCTGAGCGAGCTATGGCTGAATATTGTGAAACTACGGCCAATCACAGAGATCATGGCTGAGCAGTTTGTGTTTGATCTCCACTCACTGAAATCTTTTCTGCTCGACCTGCCTAGCTTATCTCCTGAACCGGTCAAGATCACGTCCTCAAGCAGCTTTTCAAAGAACATCAACACCAAAGTGTCCGACATCAATACCATTCTAAAGATTCTAATGGTTTCAACATCTCCTATGAGCGACTTCATGTCCAGCTATTTCACAATTGTGGCTGACTCGAATTTCAAGAACTTTGTTAAGATACTCAAGTTGAAAGGCCTGTTGACCAACGACGCAACGTATGAGAAGGACAAGCACAGATACCACGACCAGTTTAGGAGCCAGCTTCGACAGTATGAAACAACGGAAGAAACGCTGCCCGATAGCAACATCTTCCTCGAGGGACTGAAGCTCGAGGATATTCCTGAGGGAATGGCCTCATCCCCAAACATGGCCCTAACTGGGTTTCTCAACAACCCAAACTCGAATTTCAGAATCGACAAACAGTCGCTTCTCAACACTCGCGATCACTTTGAGAAAAACATTGCCAAGACATTCAGCATAAACGACAACAAGATAGACATTGGCGAGAACCTCAAGAGTTTTGGCAAACTCTTCAAGAAGAACTGAGATCAGCTACGGTATAGTGCTTGTAACATGCTCTTATAAATACTCAATGTTTTCCACCGGTTCTCTGCTTTCTGAGCTCATCTCTCTGTGCCTCGACTTCTGGGTCAAACACAATGAACTCGTCCAAAGCGCAACCTCCAGGCACCATTGGAAGAACAGGCACCTTCTTCTCGACGACGACCTCCATGAGGATCGGACCGTCGTTATATTCAATCATCTTCTTCACGCCGTCAACCATCTCGGATTGGTCCTCAACTCTGAAGGACTTCACGCCCATAGCCTCGCCCAGTTTCACAAAGTCTGGATTGGTCTGGTGGGTGTGTGCGTACCTGTAGTCGTAGAACAACGATTGCCATTGCGTCACCATTCCTTGCTCCTCGTTATTGAGCACAACAATCTTGACCGGGGCGTTGGCCTGCACGGCCGACGAAAGCTCTGTAAGCGTCATGTTGAACGAGGCGTCACCGTCGATGTCGATAACCAAGGCGTCTGGCTTAGCGATCTGGGCACCAATAGCAGCCGGCAATCCGAATCCCATAGTTCCCAGACCACCCGAGGTGATAAAGGAACGAGGCTTTCTCCACGTGAAATGCTGGGCGGCCCACATCTGGTGCTGTCCGACGCCGGTGGTGACGACGATGTCACGGCCGGTGGCATGGGCCTGTTTCGAGATCTCTCTCATGAGAGTCTGCGGCTTGATTCGGGAGCCTGGGGTCTCCGTCTGGTAGGCGTACGGGTACTTCTCCTTCCAGGCCCTTATCTGGTCGAACCACTCCGGACGGGAAGCCACTGGGTGCACTAGTTGATTAAATAGCTTGAGGTTCTCCGTGACATCGCCCTCGACGGCCTCCGTGGCCTCGACGACCTTGTTGATGTTCTTTGGGGAGATTTCGAAGTGGATGATACCTCCGCGGTTTTCCTGGGCAGCCAGTCTGGCTTCTGGTGCGAATTTGGCCACGTTTCCAGTGACTCTGTCGTCGAATCTTGCTCCGAGAGCGATGATCAGGTCGGCGTTCTGGATGGCGCTGTTTGCGACGGCGGACCCGTGCATTCCGAGCATGTCGAGAGACTTTTCGTCTTCCTGGTCAAACGCTCCCAGGGCCTGGATCGTCGTGGTCACCGGGATCTGAGCCTTGTCGGCAAGCTCCCTGAGTCTCTTTGGGCCGTCCTCCGAGTTGAGGATGCCTGCACCGACATAGAGAATGGGCTTTTTGGCCTTGTTGACCAGAGCGGCAGCGCGCTGAATACATTGGTTGGTGAACTCGGTCGCCGCAGCATGTGTGATCTTGTTCAGTGTGTTGGAAGGAAGTGTCGAGCTGACGGGGATGGCTTCCTTCAAAATGGCTGCCGTCACGTCTTTCGGCAGGTCCACGAGCACAGGTCCAGGACGTCCGCTGGTGGCGATCTCGAACGCCTCATTAATACGTCTTGGCAGCTCCGCAACGTTCTTCACCATAACGTTCCATTTGGTGCAGGATCTCGAGATGCCGACAACATCGGCCTCCTGGAAAGCGTCCGTGCCGATAGCGGACGTAGGCACCTGGCCGGTGAACACCACCATCGGCACGCCGTCTGCCAGAGCATCTGCCATAGGGGTGATGACATTAGTGGCGCCAGGGCCAGAGGTGACCAAGACAACACCCGGCTTCCCCACGGCTCTGGCGTAGCCCTCGGCCATGTGTCCTGCGCCTTGTTCGTGGCGCGGAAGAACGAAGTTGAACTTATCAGAGTTGTAGATGGCATCGTACACTGGCAAAATGGCACCTCCTGGATATCCGAAAACAGTGTCAACATTGTGCCGTTGCATCATCTCGTGGAAGATCTGACCGCCTGTGAGGCCAATGAAAGAGTCGTCCATCTGAGGAGCGGCCGAGAGCGGCGAAGGCGCCTTTCGATCAGAGGTATTGAAAGCAGGAGCAGGGGTAGGCCGTGATTCCACAAACACGGACGCAGACGACGACTTGGATCGCACTGCACGGGCTGCATAGGCGCCTCTGTGCGCAATCATGCGGATCGCGGGTGTGGTTTTACAGGACGTTCTTAACATGTCTGAGAGAAGCTTTGCAAAAGATGCTCAAATGTATAATTCCTTGCCCCGGGTTAGTCATTTTGAAAAAATTTTTGTATGCATCGGGCCGGTAGCGGTGTGTGGCGGTGCGCTCTAATCGCTTTGACGTTTCTGCGCATTTCGTGTGGCCGTGCAATTTTCTTACCATTATGCTGGATTCTCTTCTGTTCCGCAGTCACCGATCTGTGCGAATCGGGGAGGTCAATCGCTTCATTGTCAAGTACTGTCCGGAAGGCAAGGAGCGGCCGCCCGCGCTCTTCGCCAAAATCAAGAATGTCGAGATGCTTCCCTTGCGTGCCGCCTACCTGACAGGTCCCTATATTTTGTATTGCGACATTAGACCGCAAGAATATTCCCACCATCGCCAGTGTTTCATCACGGCAGACCAGCCAGTTTATGACCCTAACTTGTCTGCCGGACAGAGCATGACCGCCGAATTGTCGCTGCATACCATAAAGGACGAATACGTGTGGATTATAGATGTGATCAGCCAGATGATTTTCAGCGCGAGCTCAGAGGTCCATTTTGAGCTCATGATCGGCCTGGACCGTGACCGGCTACACAGACACAACTTCGGAGACACGTTTGGCAAGTTTTCGCCGCAGCTCGAGGTAGAGCAGATCACTACCGAGCAGCTGTGGAATAAAAACACATCGCAACAAAATGTGCACCTGGTGGTTCTCACACATGGGCTTCACTCGAACGTCTCAGCAGACATGTTCTACCTAAAGGAGCAGATTGAGAAAGAGGCCGAGAAAACCGGAGAAAACGTCATAATCAGAGGCTACACCCGCAACGTGTGCAAGACAGAACGAGGTGTCAAGTATCTCGGAAGACGGCTGGCCGAGTACTTAGTGCATGAGGTTGCGCCAACGGCCGACATCACCAAGATTTCATTTATTGGACACTCGTTGGGAGGCCTTGTCCAGACATTTGCGATAGCTTATATCGACCACAATTATCCGGAGTTTTTCCAGAAGATACAGCCCGAGAATTTCATTGCGCTCGCGTCGCCGCTGCTTGGCATCTCCAACGAGAATCCAGCATATGTGAAAATGGCGTTGAGTTTTGGGATCGTGGGGAAAACAGGCCAGGACCTAGGCTTGCAAGGCCTAAACCCTCTTTTAATGCTACTTCCTTCCGAATCTACACGGAGAATTCTGCGTCGCTTCAGGCGTCGTACACTTTACGCAAACGCAATACATGATGGAATTGTACCGCTGCGAACCTCCGCTTTGCTGTATCTGGACTGGAAGGCGCTATCTAAGGTGTACGAGACGCAGTCAGGGTCAACGAAACACTATACCGCAGGCAACTCAGAAGTTGGAGAAATCCCGGAAAATGTTGAGCAGCAGGATTCGGATATGGTGAGTTCTGTGAAATCCAAGCTGCTGTCGCCGATTCAGACGCTGATTTCGCTTTGTGCACCCAGTTCGCAACATCAACACAGAGCCAAACGGTACCAGCGGTACCAAACTAGCGATTCTTCGGTGCCAAACGATTCGGTCCACGATGATTTGGAGCAGTTTTATCCGTTCCCCAAATCCTCAGTGATTGAGAGCATCAAGAAAGTGTTACTTCCGCCTCTGCCCCCGCTCAAGTACCTCACAGACCCGAACTCGCGTCCAAACGTTATATTACATGACAAGGTGTACACACCAGACGTGATTCCCCGTACACCACTGCGGACTACAAGGTTGTTGCAGACTCTCGATCCTTTGAAGCGTCAGCGAGTGATGGAAGAGAAGATCGCCAGAAGATGGCACAACGGCATGACTTGGCGTAAAGTGCTGGTCAATTTGGAACCAGATGCTCATAACAATATTGTGGTCCGAAGACGTTTTGCGAACGCATACGGTTGGCAGGTTATAGACCATCTGGTGGAAAACCATTTTTCCTCGCCTTGCGTCGCTGGCGAGGATCATTACAAGTACAAATGGGACCCTAATCTTCAAGTGGACGACGATAGAGAGGGTGAGGACGAAAAGCTAGATAACATACTGAGTAAACAGCACGATCGGGCAGCCAAGGAATACTCGAAGCCTACTTTGAACACGAAAAATGTTTCCGGGATTATTTCGAGTGAGCGAACCAAAATGTTGCAGGACGACAGTACCACCGATCTGCTAGAGTCACGGGACTGGATCAACGACGCAGATTCTGTCATATACGATGGACCCACGGGAATGATCAATACAGTGAGCGAAAGTGTAAACGGCAAGATGGAGTCTTTCAAAACCTATTTCCATGGTGAGAACACTGTGGAGGCAGACCAGATTGTCAATGTTTCTGGTCCTTATTTATGATGCACGGATGAGTAGATTAGATAATAGATGAGCTAGTCGAGGAGTTGTCTTTGGTACAGTAGCATGCAAGACAAATTTTATGTCTTTCGTCAACAATATCTGTGCAGTCTAGTATTAAGAAGGCAGCGAAGCGAATAGCTAGCCAGGTTATTGAAAAAGAAAAAAAAATAAAAACCGGGCATTTTTAAAGTTACGTCAAACTTTAAAAGTCAATATTTTAGGGCTCGTGGATCTGAAATAGCAATCATGTTTTCGCAGCGGATGAAGTCGGCAGCTATGAGCTAATTAAAAGTCCTATTGACGTGCAAAAATAGCCCTCTCAGGGTTACTACGCAACTTGATTCTTTTGGGCACTGGGTGTCGAATCTGAAGAGTATTGCGTCAATTGCGACGCAAGTGTAGAATATGATTATTCTTTTTCTTCATCAAATCTAACTCATTTCGTGTTCTGCTCGCCAGCAACAGCGTTGCTACACGCAGAAGGAACGGCAGAAGGCTTTTAGTCTTCGTGTCGTGCGGAACACCAGCAAGTAGCTAAACACGAGTGAGGGATTAAACAGGGCTCTAGGCCTGTATAAAAATATAATATGCTCCTTATTTAGTTGGACTGAGATTGGGTCAGAAAAACCGCTCAGCATAATACCGTACTAAGCCACTACAATAAGGTTGCTCAACTTGCAGGTCTCGTATTGAGAATATTGCGAGGCTTTGAATCTCTGCAAGAAGCCTGTAATTCATACAGTTATGCAACACTTCCGGCAGGTAGTTCCCAATCTTCTCTTTTGGTGCACTTTCAAAAATTTCGTTGCGAGCACACTTTGTCATGATGACGTCAGAATAGCAGGAGACTTGCAACCAACGTAACGAATGCGCCGGCATCTAGCAGCATGGTTCAACTTACACAATTTGATCGGGCAACCGAGCTGGTTGCGGCAAGGTTGTGGTTGAAGAATTGCAAAGCACGGTGCTTTTTCCTTTCGGGTCTGCTTTTCCGAGAGGAAAGAGCTGCTCCATCGTGGTAGAAAAATAATTTTCGGAAGCGAGCTCTGAAAACCGAAGTGACGCACCGGCACCGCCACTCGAGAGACCACAACCTAACACCAATCCAAAAGAAGACATCACAGAGGATCAACGCCGACGACTTCCTGTCCAAGCTATTTCCACCTGAATCAGGGCTAATCAGTGCCAAACACACTGGCTCGCTATCACTTCGGTATATTTTTGATAAGAACGACAATCAGAACCTTCAAATTATTATTTGCAGCATAACAATCGGATTAATTTTCTTAAGCGAGTCGCGAGCTTAGTACAAGATGCACAAACGATCTGTGCTTGATAGTTCCATCAGCAGAGTGCAACAGCGATGAAGCAGATTTACTGTGATTACCTATTTACATCCAGAATGTTCCGGACCTTGCTATCATCAACTTCCTATTTTGCACGTTCCAGCACCTGCTTACGCCACTCACCCCTATTTTGCCCTTAGAATGTGCCGGAAATTATGGCAGAGAAGAAAACACCCACCAGAAAGTCGTGCCCAACACAAAACCAAATACTGGGTTACGTCATTGACCCTCTGTCATGTTACTGCCAATATATAAGGTCTCCAAGTATATAAAGTCTCCGTTTACCAGTTGTATGACATTGATATAATGGAATCGCAAAATTTGAATATACAGAACGCCCCTACGAATGCAGAAACAGCCAAGACTGCCAACGAGGCCAGTCCTTCTTTCCAGTCGTATCTGAATAACGACGGAATTGATAGCATGACTCCTGCGGCCCGTAAAAAAAGGGTCTCCTCGCTGTCTTTGTCAGATCAATGGGCGGGATCGATGAGGTCGCCGTCTCTTGCCGCTCTGTCAAAACTGAGCAATGGTAACAGCAATGTGAGTCTCAAGAAAACCGGTTCGAAGGCCAGTTTGGGCAAATCGCATTCTCGTCTATCGATGTCGTCTTTGGGCTCTGACGGGCACCCTGTCCGGTACAAGACTCACATTGTGGACCATTACCGTGTTGCATCGTATGCGTTTGCATTTGATATTGACGGTGTCATTGTGAAGGGCCCTGAGACCATCCCATATGCAAGAGAGGCCATAAAGATGTTGAACGGTGAGAACAAGTACAATATCAAAGTTCCTTACATTTTTGTCACCAATGGCGGAGGTAGACCAGAGAGTGAGCGTGCTAAGGAATTGAGCGAGAGATTGGGAGTTGAGATCACCGAGGACCAGATCATTCAAGGTCACACACCAATGAAGGACCTTGTTGCCCTCTACAACAACGTGCTTGTGGTTGGCGGTGTTGGCGACAAGTGCCGCAAAGTTGCAGAGGGTTATGGTTTCAAGAACGTGTACATCCCATTGGATGTGATGTACTGGAATCCAAGCGTGACACCCTACTACACATTGACCGAAGAAGACAAGAAAGTGTGCAAGAAAGATGTCGATTTTTCGAAAACCAAAATTGATGCGATCTTGGTCTTTGCAGATTCTAGAAATTGGGCTGCCGACCAGCAGATCATCCTGGAGCTTCTGATGTCCAAGAACGGAGTGATGGGAACAGTCAGCGAGACATTCGAAGAAGGACCTCCAATTTACTTTGCCCACTCAGATTTCATTTGGGCAACCAATTATAAGCTTTCCCGGTATGGTATGGGTGCATTGCAAGTTTCCATTGCCGCTCTTTATAGAGAACATACAGGAAAGGAACTCAAGGTCACCAGATTCGGCAAACCTCAACGTGGCACTTTCAAATATGCTGAAAAGGTTTTGAAGAACTGGCGACAAGACGTGTTAGAAGAGCATGTTGAAGAGATCACCTCTGCCGTTGCTTCGGAGTATTCTGGAGAGGACGGCGAGGAGGAGGAGGAAGAAGAAGCTCTCAGTTTCAAGACGCCCGCTCAAAAAGCAGACGAAAAGAAGAAGGACGAGAAGGAGAAGGAAGAAAAGCAGAAAGCTGAAGCCAAGAGGGGAGTTTTCAACGAGACGGAGTCTGAGGATTCTGACGAAGAAGATGAAGGATTGACTATTCAGAAGCTATCGCAACTGACTTTGGATTTGCCCCCAGCTTCTACTGTGTACTTCGTTGGCGACACTCCCGAGTCTGATATTCGTTTTGCAAACTCTCACGACGAGTCGTGGCACTCGATCTTGGTCAAGACAGGTGTCTACAAGGAGGGAACGGTCCCTAAGTACAAGCCAAAGTACATCTGTGATAACGTTTTGGAGGCTGTGAAATATGCTATCGAGAGAGAGCATAAACTTGAATTAGAAGAATGGAACGCTGGCGCTCAGGATCCTCCAGAAAACCCAGACACAGTTCAACCAACTCAGGATGCCCTACTTGTCGAAAGAGAGGTCATAAAAGAGAAAAAATAAGTAGGTGTTTAATGCGTAATATCTACTTTTAACTTTATCTTTACCAGTAGTAAACTGCACGGCCACGGAAGATAGCATTTTTAATTTACGTATGCCACTACGTCAGAGGCTTATATCAACGAACCCCAAGACTTATTGCGAATTAGCTCTCGTGGCCCAGTCGGTTAAGGCGTCAGTCTCATAATCTGAAGATCGCGTGTTCGATTCTCGCCGAGAGCACTTTTTTTACGTTTTAGGTGCTAGCTGGAAAGGTTGAACGCTCTTATCGAAAATGCAGAAAAAAATAGAACACTCATTTCTATTGTACAAGCTAAAATTCTATTATTTTCTAGGCCAGCGAACAAGGCATAACATGCGCTGTACTGAATTGTTGGTGACTTGGCTTTGAATCCGGTTAAACTTTAAAATGATACGAGGTAAGCAGCTTCACAAAAACCGGAATTCCTTTTTCTCGTGATGTCTCAACGATTTCTAACACTAAAGGAGTATTGAGCTTCTAACGGGAAGCTTTAATTTTGTTTTCACTGAAACAGGTCAGTATGTGCGCCCATCGTACTTTACCGACGCGGATGCACTTAACGCCCAGAATAGTATTTTCGGCTACGGCGGACATCTCTACATTTGACATCAAACTGTGTAACTTCGAGAGGAATCGCATTGATAGAAATAGCTTCCAAAATGCAGTGTGAGAGTAAACCCCAACAATTTTACACTTGGGACTTGTAGATGACAGAAGCCGCGGAAAATTCTCGGTAACAGATTTGCGAATAGGGACCTGAATGTTAGCCAACAATCGCAAGTGTCCATGCGTGTCCTAAAAATAATATGCATGATGAGGCCGGACAATAAAAAAGCCATCAAATGTGAATAGGCGCAGATCGTTCTTCAAACGGTATAATCTCAGATGCAGCCATGTCACAACTTTGTAGCCAGAGGGCGATGATCCTCCGTTTTACGTAAGACACTAAGGTATGCAATTTAATAAAGGACGGAGTGTTTTCGGGCCATGCGAACAATTCCAACAAGAGACGATGCCTGCTACTGCACGCCGTATCTGCATGGGAAGTCGGAGAATTCACATACACAGCCTTCGCATACGGCATCAACAGCTCGTTAAGGCGTGTGGATGGTGCAAATACAAACTTAAAACGATTAGGTGGCTATGTCGCATAAAATTCCCACAGAGACCGACACAGTGAACGTTGCGCGTCTCCGTTCAAAGGCGATTGCCATTGCACCTGTGCAAAATTGCCAGGTGGGAAATTCCGCCGGATATGTGCCAAGTTGCGGTGCTAAGAAGTACGTTTCTTTGCGATATTTGTCGCGAATTCGAAATACTCGACCGGTAAAACAATTGACGATTGATACACCTGCATCTTTGCGCAATAGGATCTGCAATAGGTGCAGATATATTTCAAATACAGTAGGCCCGATATGCGGAATCTGCAAACTGCATATTGACTTCTGCACGTCCAGGCGGCTGGGTTTCCCGATGTACTTGTATTATTTTGGGCTTTGCAGTAGTTCTTTTTTTCTCTTTGCGTCTATGTCAGAATCCGGAAGTGAAATGAGATTTGGGTAGACTTTAATACTCTTCTGCTCTTTATAACACCAAGCAATAGATTATACCAGCTAATGCCCTTATTACGGTCTTATTGAGCCCACGATAGATTCACCTCTCAATTCAGTTATTGTTTCTGGCCCCTTTCCGTCAATCATGGCTTCCGTGCTCAATCGCGAGAATTCGAGTATAGGGCAGACCCCTGATTCCTCAGGTACATCATCCGTTAAACTACCCTCAATTTCAAACCTCACCGCGTCCATCACCAGTCCCTCCAGAAACAGTCAAGATTCGTTGCCGTTCCCACTACCACCAGGGTCGCAAACATCCTCAACCCGCTATCCAGTCGAACAGACTGTTTACCAGGATCCTTTCAGCCGCCGTAGTTCACGCCAGCCTTCCCTTCCCGACTTGCAAGCCAAACTGGAAGTCCACTTGCCGCCCCTATCGTCCATATTGAGCGCACCAGTGGCCCCTCAACCACACCCCCATGCGGCTTCTTTACCACGCCAAGAAGCATACCCTCCGCAATACGACGCACTGAACACCTATTACGCCGCACCCCAGCAACGGCACCAGTCGTTCGCCAGCTATTCGCCTGATACGAGCCATCTGGGGTACGATTCAAGCTTAGATAAACGGGAACAGTCACCTGACCGTTCGACCGAGAGCAGAGACAAACGCAAACGCGTAGTACGCAAGCGGACAAGGACCGGCTGTCTCACGTGCCGCAGGCGACGGATTAAGTGTGACGAACGCAAGCCGTTCTGTTTCAATTGCGAGAAATCGAAAAGAGTGTGCGCCGGATACGAACAAGTCCCGTACGGGGCCCGACGGTACAGATACATGTCACAGCCAAAGCCCCAGGAAGCCCACATCGAGCATGGAGACATCATGCAATCCCCGACGTCAGGTACGCTACCACCTGTTATGCACTCTCCGATGGCCCCTCCTCCCTTGAGTGCTGCCATGATGCCTCGGTCTCCACCTCAAACCGCATTCCCCATGGTCAGACACCACTCCCACCCGTCGCCGCAAGTTCAGCGGTCGCCTGTACTATTATACCAGCCATACGTGGGGAATCCTCCTCCGTATGCGCCTCACTATGTGTCCCGGTCCATGGCATACTCGCACTACACAGGCCATCCCGGGTTTACGCACCCCCCACGGTAACCGACCGACTGTTTATTATAGAGTGATGTTTTTAATTTGCGGACTAAATCTCGCTGTCCTATGAGGGGCTGATCTCTATTCTTTTTCAATAAAATAGTCAATTTATATAGTTCATAATTATTTATCTGTTCACTCCTTTCATGATGCATGCCCTTTTTCTCCTCTGCTGCTGCGCTGCCGCAGGATGGATACGCGGTGTCGAACCAGATAGACAGTCGATCTACAAGCCCGACGAAGACGGGCTTTGGGCGTGCCTGGGCAATCCAGAGATCAAGATTTCTTTTGACAAAATTAACGACGATTACTGTGACTGTCCAGATGGCTCTGACGAGCCAGGGACCTCTGCCTGCAGCTTAGGACGATTCTACTGCACCAACGAAGGGTTCAAGCCCAATTACCTGCCTTCTTACAGGGTCAATGATGGGATCTGTGATTACGATCTCTGCTGCGATGGTTCTGACGAGCCTGGCGGAAAATGCCCATCGAGATGCGCACAAATGAAGCAAGCGTGGGACGGAGAGACTGCGGCACGGAATGCGGTCATTGCTAAGGGACTAGCCAAGAAGGCTAAAATTCAACACAAAGCACACAAGGAGCGGACGAGGCTGAAGTACGAAATCTCGCAATTGTCTGCTGAGATTGAGAAACTCGAGCAGGAACTGCACGGCCTCAACCAGCTTCAGGCTCCTACAGAAAAGGAGAGTGCCATTATCTCAGTGTTTGAGCAGCTAGACTCGAAATTGGGGGACCTTTCTCTGCAGATTTCTGAGAAGCTCCAGCAACTCAACAGCAAGAGACAAAATCTGCGAAACTTGGAGGAGATTATGGAGACTATGAGTAACGAGTACAATCATAACTTCAATGACCCGGCCGTGAAAGCTGCCGCTCAAGCATTCCAGGAGTATTCTGTGAATCAAGGCTTGAGCAAGGACGAGAAGCAAAGCGATCATGCCAGCGAGGTGAAAGCTCTATTTACAGATTTGCAGAGCCAGTTGAGAGACTCTGAGGCAGAAATTCGGAGGCTGGCTGGCCGTGGAGACGAGGACGAGGACGAACTATTTGACTTCAAGTCCACCTTCAAAGCCATGGTAAACTCGTTTTTGGGCGTGTCAAAGAGACACCAGAAATCTCCGTCGACGAGAGAGTCGGAAAAGCGGAAGAAGGAAATTGAACAGGAACTGAAGCGGCTAAGAAGAGACCAGCAGACAAAGGAGGAGCAGCTGAACAAGGATTATGGGCCACACCAGATTCTCATGGCTATGGACGATTGTATCGTGGACAAAATCGGTGATTATGACTATCGACTGTGCTTTGTCGACAAAGTAGAGCAGATTGACCGCAATGGCCATGCGGTTAGAATAGGTCGCTTCGAACGAACCGAGTTTGACGAGGAAAAACTGCAACTCAGGCTGATCTACGAACACGGAGACAAGTGCTGGAACGGTCCAGTGAGAAAGGCCACTGTTCAGCTGGAATGCGGCGAAAAAAACACCATCGTGGCCGTTACCGAGCCGGAGAGGTGCGAGTACACGTTGAGAGTCAAGTCGCCTATTGGATGCTTTGAGTCCGTCGAAACTTGATAAATAGGACCGCGCGGTGTTGTATTATTATGTAGTGCGTAAATGGGCCAGGGGGCCTCACTGAACATAGACTATCACGCTGGTGATGTCGTCTGGCTTCCCTCCGATGTAATCTTGGCCAGTAATATCGCTTAGTCGTTGCGAGAACACGCTTTTGAAGCTGCTATTGAGACTCAGCTCTTTGACGTTCCGAACGAGGTTCATGTTCATTTCCCCTATCTGATCTGCTGCAAAATAGTCATCAAGATACAGCGCGACATCGTTGATGACAACATTATCGATCAGTCCGTCGGTAGTGAACATGATCACGTCTCCGGACTCGAGCTGGAACTCGTACTCGTCTGCGTCTTGGGGCTGGTTCATCAAGTATTTTGAGCCCTTCCTTTTCGCAATGTCCAAAAATTCTTGCGGGATCACAGATAACTGGTAGGGAGCGTTAAAAGAATACGTCTGCTCTTTGGACTCCAAAACGCACTTGAATCGCGAATCTTGCTTCCTAAAGACCCCGAACCAGGAGTCGCCCAGATTGACAGCATGCAGCTTGTTCGTTTCAGCATCGATGATGCCAAAACAGATGGTCGTAGAGCCCACCTCAACAGAGCCATCCTGCTTCATTTTGGTGTATGCCTTGTCCAAGATCTCGAGCGGAGTCAGGTGATCCTCGTGTAGAAATTCCATTGTAACATGGGTGGACAGCTCGCGGCTGATCGCACTGGAGTCAAATCCTTGTTCAGACCAACCACCAACACCGTCCAAAACGCCGGCCAGCACCTTGGAATCATTATATGCCAACACATAATTGTCCTCCCCCGTAGGCGAGTCGTACACGGTATTGGTCTGAACCTTCTTTCGGTACTTGGAAAGGAGCCCGTCGTCAGGCTGACTTGTGTCTTTCAGGCGATCTTTCGGCTCATAAGCCAAAGACATCAAGTATCCATGGCCGGCGGTCTCAAAATGTTTAGCTATGGTGTGCCCATTTTGGAAGTTTCTGAACGTATAAGAGTCGTTGGTGAAACACCGTCTACCCAAGCGCGCGGAAACCGTCAGCCTGGAGGCGAATCTCGGGCCGTAAGACGCCACTTTGGTGTTATATATCAACATGCTAAGATTTCCAAAAAAAGTCGTACACTTTATACTATATTTTTCAACTACCTAGTTTCTCAACAGCACCCAAAATAAATTTCCCGAAATCAAATTCTGGATCGTCAAGGTTCACGGCCTCGGTAGAAGCGGCTTGCTTAGGTGGGTTCAGCTTTCTATATTCGGCCTTGGCAGCCTCCACCAGTTTCAGCTTTTGCTGGTAGTCGTACAATTCCTGTTTCTTCTCACCTTCGACCTTCAAAGTGTAGGTGTGGTAAGCTCCGTACACAATACCGGCAGCCAATGAGGAGTATCTAAGGACCTGAAGGTTAGTTGCACGAACGGGGCTCCAATACTCACGTTTAATGTGGACATGGTCTATTTGTTTTCCCCTCTATTATTTCACCAATAAAACTTTGGAAAAACTTGTCCAAGGTTATGAGCTGCCTGCCTGCCAGCGGGAGAAAAGCTGAATCTTGAATATTTTTTTGATTTAGTACACACCCGTACACCGAACAGATCTATTCGTGCTGATTGAGCACATAGTCCTTGATCCTGACGCGCTCCCGCTCCCACAGCTCTGCATTGGTCAATTGCTCAGCAACAAAGTCTACATGGTCCGGAACCTCAATCTTCCGTGCCGCAATCTTGTTTCCCGATTTCGTTAGAAGCGTAAACTTGTTGGCTCCGTTTTCTGTTTGGTCTTTGCGAACAGCGGTGCCGAGTGGCTGACGTACACGAGCACGAGGATTCGTTGAACCGGAAGTTTTCAAACTTGCGGCAAGCATGCTGTCAAACTCTGACTGGATGCTCATATCGAGCTGTTTGTTGATCATGCTCTCGTCCAGCTCAGATTCAGTGTCATCGTCCTCCTCAGAGTCATCATCGGTCTCAGAATCGCCAGTATCTTCTGTAGCCTCTTCTGATTCTGAGAGATCATCGGTCTCCTGCTCCAGCTCTTCATCATCCTCCTGCTCAGATTCAGGCATCTGACGGCTAGCTTTGCTCATTTCGCTGATCCGTTTAGCTGCCTCCGCAACATTGTGTGCGCGTGTTGCGCCGCGCGACTCAAAGCACTTGACTACTCGCAAGTGAAGATCCAGAGGCAGTTCACCTTGAAGAAGCAGATGATAGTCAAATAGCATCAACTCCAGCGGCGTATCTTTCTTTGAGAGTTCGAAAAATAAGCACACCATCTTCGCCCAGAACCAGTTGGACGGATCGCCGTGGGCAGATTCGAAAATCGCGTACTTGACCAGATTTCGAAAGAGTGGCGGCGTTATTAGCCTTTTAACGGCGAGCTGCGCCAGGTAGCTTGCAACCGCCATTCTCTTCCTATTCTGTCGGAAATCGTTTAGTTCGAATCCAGATTGAAATTCCTCAATCAGACCATCAACCACAACGGTAATCAGTACAGGATCATGTTCGCCCAAGTATTTGAGCAAGGAGACAAGGGCCGGGATCTCATCGTAGGCTATCGTTTCTGGATGGCTAAAGAAGTCCACGATCGTGGTATACGATTCGTGGTCCCATTCGAATTCGAGAAGGGCCGGAAAGAAGACTTGGTTTTGCAGAGCCCGTTTGAGCATATACTCGAGAAATTGCAACTTGGGTTTCGCTGTTCCGACTTGCACCTTCTCTTGAGCAACAGCAAGCGACGACAGAAAAGCCTGCGCGGCCTTTTGTCGGTCTCCTTGCAGCCTGCTTGTCACACTTTGAAGAAGATGGATTAAGTTGTTCACGTCCTCGGAATACTCCGGTCGATAGAGAATGGTAAATCTGGAATAGTCGAAGAACAGGGTCAACAGGTCCAAACCTACTCCCTCCCCAACGTTTACCACTAGAAACCGCAGCATATGCAAAAATTTGGTACCCGGAACCAAGCTGAAGTTGGCCATTTCACAATATAGCCTGACCGTGTTGTAGTCTATATGCGACATGGTCAATTGGTCTTTTAAAATTGCGTCAGCTTTGCTTTCTATTTTCTGAATTAAAGACTTGAACACATTGCGGTTGATGCACAGAAACCGCGCAAAGGCTTTGGCATTAATACCTTGCGAGAACGCGTGGCGATACAGACGGCTTTCCGCAGATTTATTGTACATCTCCTGCTGCCAAAATTCGCGAGCTTTACCATCCACCTCCTCTGCAGTAGTAGCAGCGTCCAGCTGTTTGACAAATGTGGGGAAAACGTCTTTATGAGCCCCTTTCTCTTCTATATCGGGCCCTCTTTTTAAAAGCAGGCTCGGATCCACCATTTCAGAAATATCTGCTACCTCTTCGTAGAATTTACGCTGCTCCTCACTCTCCCAACGGTTGGATTCGGATAGTCCCGAGATAGCCGTGATCTTGGCGGTCGGTTCCGCCTCCTGAGCCAGCGAGGGTTTTCGAGTGGAGAACACCTCATGTGCAAATTCCGAATAAGCTTCCAGTTTGGCAAACTCATCTTTCTTCTCCTTGAGCTCGGATTCAAGGGATTCGGGCACTTTGCCGGTTTTTCGTGATATCTCATTGACCTGATTCACTAGACCGGATATCTGCTCATGCATGTTTTCAGTCATTTTGCATACATGTTCACTATACTTAGTGAGGAGCTTGACCAGTGACAGCCTTTCTGACGGACCTAAAAACTCATTCTCACGAAGAAGTTCATCTTCAAACTTCTTGACGAATCCTGAGACAATAGGAAGTAGCCTTGTGTTATTCGCGTGTTGAGAGAGTAGCTGCGAGACGTAGGCCAGAAGAAGAGGTCTGTCAGACTTCACCAAGTACCGTGGCAGCATGCTCTTGTCGACACTATCATCCAATCGGATAAGGTCAACCAAGTACATTTCACAGTACAATCTCAGCAGAGTGCCCAAGACGGGCAGATGCTCGGGTTCTCTGAAGTCCTCAACCGAACGGAAAAAATATAATGCCAGTTTCGAAGTGAAGCGAGACGAAAATCGTTGATGCAGCACGGAGAGCACCTCAACGGCAGCCGTTGCGTCCTTCTTCTTCAAAGAAAGAAGCCCGTCTGCCGTTGCCGGGATCAACTCGTCCAGATATTTCTCGAGTGAAACTCTCTTGATCAAATCTATCAAAGTATTCTGCGTTTCTGTCGTGATAGCCGAGCTTAGTCTCTTGAGCACAGCCATGTTGCTTTTCAAAGAGGTATCAGGGGAGTCCACGACAAGCAGCTCACCACCCCATGCTTTGCTGTTCAGGTTGCGCAGTTGCTTTCTACGTTCACATGGCTCAGACATCGACGCGACGAAGAAGAATAAATTATGGAAAAATTACTCTGAGAGCATCATATGTAAATTAGGCTAGTATATACAGATTCTTCACTTCTTCAAGTACGGCACACGCTCCTTCGTGAAAACACGTCCTTCGGGAAGACCGTACATCTTTCTCACGTTCTCTGTGTTCCTGTCCCACAAGGTACGAATGACATGCGCTCCAACCGGTGTGAGCTTATTGTCCTCGACAAACTGTCTGATCTTGAAGAATTCTCTTCTGAGTCCTTTTGGAGCGTTGGCGAGCGGACCATCCTGCCTGAACACCCAAAACGCGATCCTGTGCTTTCCTGTGTTTTTCTCACAAACGGGAGGCAGGTACTCGACGAACTCGCAGTCTTCATTTTGCATCAATTTCTTGGCGTCAATCATGCAGTCGCTGTTGGAAAGTTTAACGTCCTTCACTCCCCAGAGAAGCGTAGTAGAGTAGCTGTCTTGAGCGAGATCTGGAGTGTCCGGATCGACCATCAAGACAGTGTACAGGTCACCGGTAGTCTCTTTGAACTCAATCACTTCGAGCGACGGAGGCATTTTGGTAACGTTTGACGAGAGTAAAGTCCCCGGTTCTATCCATCTATCTTGGTTATTGTGTGGGAACTTTAGTTTGACCTCCACCTCTGGCTCCAGGGTAGGCAGTGTGTCTGGGATAACAGCCAAAGTCTCTAGTCTTTGCATGAGCAGCATCTTGGAGTAGCCCTCCCATGCTTTTTTCAGGTAGTGTCTGAAAACGGGCTGGGTTCTATCAAGGCTATTTTTCATGTACTCTGCCATATACACAACCTCAGGATTGTACTTTTCAGCCGAGATTTCGAGTTTCTCTTTCTGCTCAGCGTACGTTGGACTGTTCTTGTCGAGGCTGTCAATCTTGGCGTATATGTCCTCACTGCGCTTCTCCAAAACCTCGTATGCCAGCGGGTAGATTTGGTCAAGACCTTCGATCGATTGGTATTTCCTTCTGCTCGCTTTCGACTTCAAGGAAACTGGGCCATGCGGAAGACCAGGACTCAGCAAGGCCGTCCGAAGAGCCTTGTTGCGTAGCGCCAAAGTTGGCGACCGCTTCGCAAAGTTCGACCACACTCCTTTAGACACAGACATGGACAAACCGATGAACACAAAGATTTTTTTGAAAGATACGTTCCGGGTAACGAGTACAAATATAAATTATCCTTAAGGGTTGCAATAGTAAAATTTCCAATCCAGCTCGCTGGCTCTGGCATCACCAACATTCAGGTTGATAGATCCCATGCCGGGCAGGGACGGCTGCGCGGCGGTGGTGCCCTTCCTTTTCGAGCTCTCGTGCCCATCGTTGGAATGGGCAGAGATGGTCGACGAAGTAGGTGAGCTCTGATTTCCAGAGCCAAATTCTGTCCCCTGTGGCGGAGGTATAGTTGTGACTTCGAACTGAAACTCTTTCAGTCGTGGAGTGACGCCTGTAGAGCCGCTGACCGAGCTTTTCGCAGTCTGAATCGAGCCCGAGAAAGAGGCATGCATGTGATCGACAGAAGAGTGGGACGAAATCGAGTCATCCGAGCTGTTGTGAGATTGTGGGTACTGGAACTCCTGAGGTATGAACTGGACCTCCGACCCAACGCCATAGAAACTGTTATATAGCTGTTGCTGCTGTTGCAATGCAATCTGCTGAGATTGATGCGCCCTAATCTGTGCAGCTTGCAAATGCATATGATACCGTTGAATATTTTTTGGATCGTTTATGGCAAACCGCGTTTGCATCGCCGGAGCAGAGCTTACAGTGATGTCTTGCAATGGCTGAGGTTTTGGCACAATTTGCTGGAACATGGGCGGTGCATGCATCTGTGGACGAAGAGTAGACAGATCCGTGAGTGATCTTGATCTGGTTCTTTTGTGGCCTCTGTTTGCGACCGGGCCAGGCTCGCAGAACGAGTTCGACCTCACGCTGTTGATCGTGAGCTGCTTTCGCGGATCGATCTTCTTCTGCACACTAACGGAGTGCGGCAGATAGTTGATCTTGTTGTTCAGTAAGAACTCCCAAATCAACGAGTGAATAGGAACGTCTCTGCCCGTCTTCACAATATCTGGCTCCTCGTCGAAATATATTGTGTGGGTGATATGGATGTTCTCAAATTTAGAGCCGTCGATAGAGCCGTTCGAATACTCGTTGATCAGGCTGGACCAGTATTTGGCGTTCAGAGGCAGGTTGATTTTCATGTGTCCTGTGTCGGGAAGCAGATGTCCGGTAACTGGTTCGGTGCGCTTCAGCATCAATTTGTCGCGATCGTAGACTTTTACAATGACCCGCATCTGTAGAAGTCTGGGGAAATTCTCGCTTGAAACTGCGTTTGGAGCCAGATGAGAACCCACCCAAAGCGTGTTTTCTGCATAAGCCACGGCCCTGTCGGATTCTAAATCAATGCTCAGATCAGGGTTCAAGTTCAATGGCACCTTAGTGTACAGCAAAGAATGGTCAAACACTAGATCAGGCGAGAAGATGTCATCAATACAAGCTCTCAAAAAGTCGTTCTTGTTGCGAAGGTCCATGATATACTTTTCGTCTTCTTCAACCTTCAAGATCTGGTCCAAGTCGGCAACTGCGCTCAGTTGATTATTGCCATAGTATCCTATTTTGATTTTCTCCACGCTCAGATCTTTAGACTTTCCAGACCGGCTCTTCTTTTTTCTATCTCCACTTTCCGCTGGACTGCCATTAATTTCAGGAGTAGAACTCAAGACTGCACGCTTGTTCTCCACCATCATGTTCTTTCTCTTATTGTAGAGCTTTCTTTGGCGGTCGCTTTCACGGACCAAGTGCCGAATTTCCTCTAAAATAGTCATGTCCGCCAGCTGATGGGACAGTCCGTAATTGAGGAGCTCTTCATCGTTCTTGGCCATCGTCAAGTAATCGTTGATCATCTTTGTGCGCAGATTGCACCCGACGTTGCGGCCATAGTTGATAAGAAAATCGGAGCGCACTACAACAACGTTTTCTGGCCCGGCGTTAGCAAGTTGGTAGTTGTAATCGCGAAGGCCGTCACGAAGGACACTAAAAATGCGTAACATGTCATCATGGGGATTAGCCGTTCCAGGAAGGTTGTCGTCTTTCATGTCAACGGTGGCTACCAGAGACTCGTCTGGAAGAGCGGGACTGCTCCCGCTCACGAGCGAGTCCGCCAACAGGTCGCACGAAGGTATCTCCTGAGTTTGTTGTTGGAGAATCCTGTCAACCCAGCCTTTTTGGTCTTCCTCGTCGCTGTCGCTCATGGAAATCATGAGTTCCGAAAATAACGACTCGTCCTCATGGATGATGTTGAGGCCCTCTGGATGTCTTTTCTCTGAAGACTTTGGAGGTGTGAACTGAGACATTGCTCCATAGTCGTTTTTTGAACTCTGCTCTCGGATCTGCTCCCGCTTCGGTTGCGGAGTCAACGGTGCCATTGCAATCAGAGTGTTAGCAAAGTGTCTGCTCTTGCTGCGGTACCAATTTGTTTCAAGTTTATACAACAGGTTCCGCACCTGTCTCAAACTTTTTTGTGTTCCTTTGAAACATCCAGTAAACAGAAAAAAAGGAGTGGTCTGAGGCGTGTTCCTGCACCCACGCGTCGAAAAATAATAAACATCACGTTGGTGCCAAAGACGTGATACGCGAGTTTTCGTCGCGCCCGACAAGACGGCCTAAAACAGTAACCAATCGGCGGAGAATAATGTTGCAGAACAATAGAGCTGTTGCAACATACTTTCCAAGGTCGTACTTGGAGCCCCATTCGCAGAGATGAGCATAGACGTACGAGACGCTCGGACTGACGATACCAGTGAAAAGCAGCTCCCACATTGTGAGAATAAGGTCGACAAATTCCACAAACCGCAGGGTCCACTTGGCACCCTCGTCCTCTGAAGAAGGGTGTTCTGAAGGACTCACGGAGCTGCCTGCCGTGCTCGCCATCTCCAGCCCCCGTTTGGCACGCTCGATCGCCAGCAAAGCGTCGCGCTCTCTGTTTTGCTGGCGGTGTGCTTTGAAGCGCTCGACCAGGTTCCTGTCGGACAGAAACGTCTCCATAATCAGGAATTTCAGCTCGTCGTCAATTTTATACAGTGTGGACGTTACCAGCTCTGAATCGACCATAGAGTCCAAAATCTTCGCAAACGCATCGCTCAGACGGTCCGACTCTCCTTGCAACGCCTCTGTCAGCAGCTCCAGGCCTTCAGCAAGGGTCCCCGTATAGATGTGACTAGATGCTTCGCTTTGTGTCGGGGATGGTGTCGGAGTCGCAGGTTTGTGCACACTTTGCAGTTCTAGTTCAGGAGTCGCTGGACGCCCATCCGGCGTATGGAACAGCCATGTGGTCACCGCTTTCATCACCCGTCTTCTTCCTGGCCTAATTTTTAACGACGCTGAAATTCAGTGGTGCACTGCCTCATTCTTGCACCGCCTAATCCTTAACATCTTCCATGTGAAACTCTGTAGCTGTTCTCGCCTCGTGGTCGTCCTCTGCCAGCCACCGGGTCGCCTGTTTTACATCGCGAGTATACAGCTTTGCACGCGGCTTCTCCATGTCTGACAGGTTGGCAAAATAGAAACCCGGACATTCTTTACCTGAACGGTAGCCTCCATTGCAAAGCCAGAAATAGTATCCTCTGGACGCCGGTTTCTTGTACATGCGACGCAAAGTCATGGCAGACTTGCATATCGGGCAGGATGGCGTGTTGTTCTGCAGGTGAGCTCGACTCATGCGGAGAGTGAGGTTGATTCTGGTCTCGTTGGCCCTAGGGTGCCTGGCCACAAGAGAGTTCCCCAGGGAGGGCACACAGTGTTTGAATTCTTCCTGTGTGCCTGGAAGCATTAACAATAAGGAGTTGTGTGGCAGCGGAATGTTGTAGATCGGACTCTCGCCGTACTGCTTTCTGATTCTAAATATTCGGGTCGCTCCTAAGGTCAGCGAGCAGATCAACGGCAAGGGTCCAATGGTGGTGAGACGGTCTGAGTGCCAATCGAGATTGTTTTTGTTTGTATGGAAGTAGTTTCCCACGCACAAAGACGCGCGCCACTCGGACTGTACCTGAAGCGGGTGTTTCTTGGTGGTTGCAAGCACTTCGTTTGCCTGGTCTTCAATTAGGAACTTGGCGGTGCGTATATTTCCTGTGAACGACTGAGCCATGGATTTTGAGTTTTTGTAGAACCCGTTGTCGTACTTTTGTTCCGGTATGTCGCCGTCGTAGAACACCGCCGATTGGTGGTTGGAATGGCACTCGTTACCAGCAATGTGGAACATCTTATCTTTAAACTGGGCTCTTTTGGACAGAAGCTCATCCAAAAGACTGTCTGCAAGACTGTCTGGCAGAAAACTGGGATAAAATCGCAGATACGGAACCGTCGACTCAATCTGCTCCTTATTGTACAGAGTAGTGGAAATGTTAGCACTAGCTTTCGACACCTTGAAGGAAGTCTGTTTTTGAGGGAACGCCCTCTTCTTTGCCACGACGCAGGATTCGCTGGCAGCGGTTTCGACGTTTGCCTTGCGCTTTGTTGCTGGAAACTTGCCCTTGATCTCTCTTTTGACCGCTGTCTTGATGTCCCGGGGCCCGAATTGCTCCTCCAGCATCAGCTTTGTCTGCTCTACAGAACCACCAAAAGTGATTAGCAGCTCTAGCAGCACATCCTTGCCAACTTCGGGAAACCGAGATTGGAGTGCGTCTAGCTTTTGCTCCGTCTCCATCAACGTTCGCCCCGATCGCGCACGAAAAATATTTGCCCCATTTTGAGATCTATTTGTCTATTTATTTACCGTTATATTTAAACGAGCTCAACGAGTTTCTATCCAGAATGTGGCCTCCAACATTCTTGGCCCCCAGCTTTTGCGACACCTGGTTCGTCACCTCCCGCAACGGCACGCGGGTACTTTGCTTCTGTGTGGCATACGCCGCGAGAACCGGCTTCTCGTCTTCGTCTGGGTCCGTGATGTTGTAGTCGCTGGAATCCTGTTCGCTAAACGCGCTCCGCGTGTCCTCTGTGAGTGCAGATGCTGTGGATCGAGAGAAGTATGTGCTGGTTTCGGATGCGGAATCTTGCGAGCCAAAAAGCAGTTTGCGCCGCTTCACAGTGGACGACTGGACTGACATAAAATGGTCGATGGTTCTGATGGCAGACTTGCGGGCCATTGGCTCCGACGCAGACCGCACCACAGGCTTGCTCTTGACTTGGAGCAAGGCGTCAATTGTTCTGGCCTGCGTCTTTGTGGTGACTTGTTCTTTAGAAGCGATGCTGGGCGGTACGCTAAAGGCTTCGCGGCCAGACAGCGGAAGCTTCGTTATCGGGTCCAGCTCGCCTATGGCAATCCTTCTGTGAAGTTCGTCGTGGTGCATTTTTCCTGCGTACCGTTCAACCTCCAGGACATCGTCTTCCGGAGACAACGGGTTCAAATGCACTGGTTTCTGTGTTCGAGGGTCGAAAACAACTTGATGATTGAATGCAGTGATCGCACGGTAATACTCCGTTTCAAACTCGACAGGGACCTTCAACTTCCCCTCGTAGCGAACTGCCTGCAGCAACCTTCCGATTGTCGAGTACCGGCTCACAAGGTTGATTGCACGCTGCATCCCGACGTTGGGGATCCCTTTGGTGTAGTCGCATCCGCTGACGATGGCCATCAGCTTCAGCTGCTCATCGGAGAACAGACCAATCGCAGACTCCCAACACTCCTTGAACTTGTCCCTCCGCACCTCTATGCAGGATCCAGAGTCGTCCAATTTCGTGATAAGTCTCTGGCACCCAAAAATTAGGAGATCTGAGTCCTCAGAGATTATTCCTTGCACTATACCGTGTTTCTCCAGATACACCATCTGCGCATCCGCTTCGTAGGGGGCGACCACGTACTGGATATTTCTGCTTTTCAGTTCCTCTATCACCGATTTCGCGATCTGCGGCGTGATATCGCACGCTTTATTAAAATGGTTGTATGCCTCGGAACGTTTGTTTGCGCGTAGGGCCTCGAGACCCAGTCGTTTGTACTCCCTTCTGCGCTCCTCGCGCTCCTTTTCCGTGTTTGCCTTTGTTGGCAGGTAGTCTCCGTCCAAAACCATGTATGGAGTGATGCCGTAATGTGCCAACATGTCGAGTCGTCTACTCATGTAATTCAGGTACGCTCTTGTAGGCTTTTCGAGCACAATCTCCATGGCACAGCCGTAGATCGCCTTGTGCAGCCACGCGTACGTGTCAATCGCGAGGGTTTTGCCTCTATACTTCTCCAAATGGCTGGCTTCTTGGATGGATTTGAGCGCCGGCAGTAAACCAGTGACCCCCATTTTCTCTGTTTACTCTCGAGCGCGATCCGGAATAAAAAAATAACAACGAAGAAAATTCGTGCCATATTTGTGATGAACCAATATCAGGAAATCGTCACCCAAGTCGGCAATCTTTCTCTGAAAGGCGCCAGGAAAAAAAAGACCAACCATGTGCATCATCAGCTGGTCCCAGACTACATCAGAGACGACCAAGTGGACCCTGCGTTTGACCCCAACGCGGCTGCAATGAGCCCTGGCATGCAGGCTCCTCACTACTACGGCCAATCGGCAGAGCCAGGAGCGCCGGCGCCCACGATGCCCCAGCAGGTGGCCGTGCCAACTCAGCAGTTCCCTCAGACGGGGCAATACCAGCCACCAAGGCCCGACGTCGGACTGGACGCACCGGCCACAGACGATCTCTCAATTCCCAGCATCAGACACCAGCTAGATTACATTTACAAGGACTCTGATTTCTTAACATTTGAAAACGTGTCGCCTCCGCTCGCAGGGACGCAGTACACTGCCGTCGACCAGGGCAACGCGTCTCCCAAGTTTGCGAGAATGACGCTCTACAGCGTCCCTAGCTCCGACAAATTGAGACAGCAAACGAAGATCCCGCTTGGCCTGGTTCTCACGCCCTTCGCACAACTTGCGCCCGGCGAAAAGCCTGTTCCGCAGGTCGACTTCCGCGAAATGTCCTCGGTTCCCCGGTGCAGACGGTGCAGAGCCTACATCAACCCGGCCATGCAGCACGGCGGATACAACATGATCTGCAACATTTGCACGTTTTCGAGCCCGGTTCCACAGGACTACGTCAGCCAGGTCGACGCAAATGGCGTCAGGTCGGACTACTACGTGCGTCCCGAACTGCACTCCGGTGTGTACGACCTGATTGTGCCTAAAGACTACAATTTCGACGAAAAAGATTCTCATCCGCTCCACCACGTATTCCTTGTCGACCTCAGCTACGAGGCTGTTCGGACGAAGTTCCATGTGGCGGCCTGCTCTGCCATTAGAATGGCGCTGTACCAAAATGGCGAGTCCAACCTACCCAAAGGGTCCAAGGTCTCGATCGTCGGGTTCGCCAATAAATTATTCTTTTACAACCTGGCTCCCAACCTTGAGCAGACCACTGTCTCGGTGGTTGGCGACCTGGATGACCCGTTCGTGCCGTTCTACGACGGCATTCTGGCCGATCCACTGGACTCCTACGCCATCATCGACGCTACTTTGAGCACCATCGAACAGATGACCGACTACCCTGGCCCAGAGCCAGCATACGGGGCTGCCCTGCTGGCTGCCAAGACCATCCTTCAGGACGTCGATGGCGGCCAGGTAATCTCGTTCCTTGCGGGCCTGCCCTCGTGGGGACCGGGCTCGCTTGCAGTCAAGCTGCCTGCGCAAAAAACTACTGCCGACTATGATAAGGAGGTGATCACGGCAGGAAGCAAATTCTACCAGGACCTGCTGAAAGAATACGTGAAGCTGAACATCGGCCTGCACCTTCTGAACGGCGCGCACACGCCTATAGACCTTGCGAACGCCGGACTCATTGCTATGAAGACCGGCGGCTCTGTCAAGACCTGGCACGGCTTTAATCTCGACCGCAACGAGGCAGACCTGATGTGCACTGTCAGGCATCTGGTGACGGACGCCTGCGGCTACCAGGGTCAGCTGAAGGTGCGCTGTTCGAACGGATTACAGGTCAACAAATACTACGGTGGCTTCCACAGCTCTGGACATCCAGAAGTGCCGTATCTGCCTATATGCAATAGCCAGACTAGCATTGCCTGCGATTTCGTCTATGATGGCAAGCTGGACACCAAAAAAGACTCACATTTCCAGGCTGCTCTGCTGTATACGTCTGTGGACGGTTTGAGGAAGGTGCGTGTCATTAACTGTATCATGTCCGTGACGGAACGCGTAGCAGACGTTTTTTCGTTCTCGGACCAGGACGCTGTGTTGAACCTTGTGCTCAGAGAGAGCCTCAGCAGACTGCCAAATATCAGCTTTGCCGCACTGCGCAGCTACCTAAACATCCAACTGGCCGACATCAACGCAATGTACAAGCTGTACGTTGCCAAGAACAATTCGTCTCCAGGACAGCTTGTTCTGCCGCACGGGTTGCGCACGTTCCCGATGTTCATGCTGTCTGCGCTGAAAACCAGAGCTTTGCGAGAACGCACGGGCAACCCGGATCTGCGCGTCGAGAGTCTGTTCGACCTCGCGAATAGCACACCTGAGAAACTGTCGGTCTATTTGTATCCGGTGATGGTCAGTCTGCACGACTTAGACGACGCGGAATGTCTGTTTGACGAACAAACCGGCTTTTTCTCCACTCCGAAAATGATTGGACTGAGCCAGGCAAACCTCGAGATCGGCGGAGCGTACCTCGTGTTCAACGGCAAGGTGCTTTTCCTATGGTTCCACACCGAGGTGAATCCGCTTCTGCTACAGGATCTCTTTGGGGAGCATGTTACGTCGCTGAGCCAGCTGGACCCTCTGGTCTCGCAGTTGCCCGTTCTCGATACCCACATCTCGTTGCAAGTGCGCAACCTGGTCAAGTTCCTGGGCAAGCACTACCTCAACGTGGACTTCTTCCCTATCCAGATCTGTCGTTTCAAAACCGACGCGAACGAAGCAGAGTTTTTGGAGCTCCTCTACGAAGACCGATCCGGCGATCTCGTGTGGTCGTATTCTGATTTCCTGAAGCATCTCCACAAGCAGATTACGGGCAAAGTCGAAAGCTCTTCGGCGCTGGCCAGTGATAAAAAAGATACCGTGTCACTGGGCAGTAGATTCGGAATTTTCTAACCTAATTTACAGTCATATAAATGCATTTATAGATCAGTCTAGTACTTTTCCAACAGTGCCTCCTTCGACAATGTGTTTCTGAGAGTCGTCCACCTTGCGAAGCTGTTTGCCGAGGGTGATTTCTCCGAGCAGCGCTGAAATGGGGGCTGCTCCGCTGACCGCTCCGTTTGCTGCGCCGTTGGCCTGGGCAGGGGCTGGGGGAGCTGGTGGCATAGGCGCTGGGGGAGCAGGAGCCGGCGGTGGCGGTGGAGGAATAGCAGCCGGGATCGGTGGAGCATCCACCGGAGCTGGCGGAGCAGGAGCAGAAGGCACGGGTGGGGCCTCTGTAGCTTGAGAATCGTCAGGAGAATCTGGAGCAGCCGGAGCCTCCTCAAAGTTTTCGTCTTCGGAGCTGTCTGATTCAGGAGAGGAATCCGGGGTCTGAGGAATTGGCGGAGCAGCGGGAATAGGTGGAGCAGCCGGGATAGGAGGAGTTTCTGCAAGAATTGGCTCACCCACCGGCGGGGCTGCAGGGGCAGAAGCATCTGTTTCCGCGACGGGTTCGGCCGTTGCTGGAGAAGAGTTCTCTTCAACTTCTGTTTGTTCAACAGGCTTCTGCTGCTCTGGCTTCTGCTGCTCTGGCTGCGGCGTGGAGTATTCGTTCACGGTCGACGTCGAGGACTTGATACCTCCGCCAAAAAGCATCGAGGCGAGCTCGGCCTGTTTCGAGGCAGCAGGCATTTCGCTTTCGTCCTCGTCCTCCTTTTCCGAGTCAGACCATCCGTCATCGCTCAAGCTTTTACCTCTTTGCGCCTCTCTCTGGGCCTTGAGTCTATCGGCATCATAGCTGGATTCTGTGGTCAGCTGTGGGCGGAAAAATGGATTATGGCTCTTTGGCTTTGGCTCTTCCACAGGAGCAGTCATTTTCGAGAATGGGTTGTTGCTGTGGGCCGAGGGCACAGAAGCTGCAGACACAGGCTCCGAAGCCTTTGCTGGCTCTGCAGCAGCCGGCGGAGGAACATCTTTCTGATCGGCCTGTGGACCGGCCAACACGTCATCGTCGCTGCTCTCACTGTGTGCTTCTCTTTTCTTGAGCTCCTCCATTTCTGCTCTCAGCTTTGCCAGACGAGCTTCTCTATCCTGCTTCTTTTTCAACTTTCTCTCGCGCTCTTTGGCCTCCATTGCCTTCTTCTCAGCAATAAGCCTCTTCAATTCCTGCTCTTCAGCGTCGTCGTCATCTGACGAGTCGTCCTCCTTTGCTGGGTGAGAATTAGACACCTGGCGTGGAGCCGGCGGAGCTGGTGCTTGCTTAGGAGCACTTGGTTTTGCTGGTTCAGCTGAGGTTTCCTGTTTCGCTTCAACAGGAGCTTCCGACGGCGCAGGTGCAGCTGCAGCCCCAGAAGCAGAGTTCTGCGCAGACGTGTCACTTCTCTTCAGCGAGCCCTTAATGCCGAGCTTTGCCAGCTTTTCCTCCATCTTGCGACGGGCCTGCTCTTTGAACTGCTGAGCCCGATACTCAAGGCTGTCCGTAGACTGAGATGGGGTGGACGAGCGAGAACTAGGCTCCTGTCTGGCTGGCGCGACAGAAGGGGCGCGCACGGCTGGCTGCTGAGGCTCTCTTGGTTTCGGCACTGGCTTTGAAGCATTCAGCTCTTGGATAAACGCCTTCACATCGTTGCTCTGAATGTCGTTGCCGAGCTCCCATTTTGAATAGCCGACCTGAGCAGAGTTTGTCAGGCGCAGCGAGCTAGATATGTCGTTTACCAGCTCGTTGATCGAGCCAGCAATGTCCTTGATCATGGTTTGCTGTTGCTGAGTTTCGTTCGAAATACGGTTTATGTCCTGAGAAAGCCTGGCCTCGTTAGCCTCAAATTGGTCGAGGTTTGGAGCAGGCTTTCCTGTCAGGGCCGCCATTTTGGCTTGTAGCATTGCTTTCTGCTTGGCAATGCGCTTGTCTGCCTCGGTGACTTCGCCGTTGCGGCCCGTTCCCTTGATCTGGATACCAGAAGGATTCTCCTTGTGGATTTTCAGTCTGGCGATTTCAATTTTGGCATTCTTGATCTGCTCATCAATCGAGTCGAGCTCAGAAACGAGCTTAGGAACCTTGTCGGTCAATCTGTTCAACTCTTTAGACAGCTTCTGTTTTTCCTGAATGGCAGAACCGGCGTCCAGCCCTGCCGCATTCAGCTTGTCCTGCGCTGCTCTAATTTTCACCTTGAGCATTTCGATTTCATTAGAGGTTTTCTGTTTGCCGTAGTCGTTGGCAACATCCTCGTCAGCAGCGTCAATTGCATCAAGCAAAATCTTTTTCTCGTGCACTTGCTTTCTCAGGTCCTCGATAGTCAATTGGTTGTCTGTCTTTTCGTCTGGTTTCTTCTTTGAACTTCTATGCCTTGCGTTGCTAACATAACCGACGGCATCATCGTTGTTCTTGTACCTAGTACCGTCGAAAGTGCTTGACGAAGTAATAGGCTTAGGCCTGCTCGATATCGAGTCTTCCAGAAGCTTGCCCTTGATCTGATTCATGCTCTCAAGCAGTAGTTTTGACGAAGGAGGAACAAGTTCAGGAGGCAGGACATCTGGAATCTCAAAGCCGTTCAAACGCCTGTAGATCAGATGCATAGCTACCGCGAACTCGTCTTTGTTCAGCTTGCCTCTGTTGCCCGAGTCAGCAAGCGTCCAGATTTTCTCCAACTCCTGTCTATTCAAGCCGGACTTTCCAAAAACAGTGATTGCCGTGTTTCCCTCGACATAGCCCTTTCGCTCAGTGTCCCACTTCTTGAAGATATTGTCGTAGATGAGCTTCTCCTGCTTAGTGATTGCCCACGTGACGTTGGAGGCAGCATTTCCGCCCATCGCGTTCGTCAAATGATGAGTCTGTGAGGAAGCATTAGGCATAAAGTGTGATTGCATCATGTCCAAGCCGGGTAGTCCCCCGGTTGGCGCAGAGACAAAGCCCCACTGGCCAGGTTTTCCTGTAGGCATGGCAGTCAGGCCAGTAGGCTGCGGCATGAGTCCTGTCTGTTGAGGATTGAATCCGGTATTTTGCGATAGCAGGCCCGTTTGCAAAGGAGCAAAGCCGCCTGTTCTCTGCGGCCCCAGGCCCGTTGCTTGAGGCACGAGTCCTGCTGTACTCTGCGAACCAACTGGCACGAGTCCGCTGGTCTGCTGCGCAGTCAATGGGATAAAAGTGCCCGTTTTCTGGGCCTGGAGGGGTGCTCCAGTCTGCTGTGGTTGCACGCCAAAGCCCGTCTGCTGGCGCTGTAAGTTAAACCCAGTTTGCTGCGGCTGCAAGTTGAACCCGGTGCGTTGGGGCTGCAGGCCGGTCTGCTGCTGTGCAAAGCCGGTTCTCTGCGGCTGTAGGCCAAACGCTCCCTGAGCCTGTTGCGGCTGGGCACCAGCCTGGACACCGAAGCCTGTCTGCTGCGGCCTGAGACCTGTGGCCTGAGCCTGCAACGGTTGCGACTGAAAGCTGGTCTGCGGGAACGACTGGACGCCTGTTGGCTGGCTGAAAAGCATCTGGTTGAACGACTGCTGAGGGGCCGAATCGTTGACGGAAAAGTTTATTGCATCCACAAAGCTGCTGACCTCGTTTTTAATTTTCAGCGGCAGCTCGTATGGCACCTCCTCTCCCTTGGCAGCAATATTGCACAGGTGGAGCGCCAAAGCAAACTCGGGGAAGAGCAGTCTTCCAGAGCGGGTCGTGTCGGCCAATGTCCATATATTTGACAGCTTCGTGGCACTGAGACCAGACTGCATCATGATTTTCTTTGCAGTCTGGCCGTCGATAGAGTTTTCTCCCTTGGGGACGTTCGCCCGGAACACATGCTCAAACCGCTCCTGCTCCTTTGCGGTGATGAACGAGAGCCTGATGTTTGGAATCTTGATATCCTTGTTCTCATTTTCCGAGCTCGTCACCAACGAAGAAGTGAAACCGGTTTGCTGAGGCTGCAAAGCAGACACGCCAGTTTGCGACTGCCAGTTGTTTTGTATCGGCTGGCTGCCTCCAAAGGATGTCTGTGGCTGGAACCCGGTCTGGGTGGCAGTCAATGGCTGAAACCCTGTCTGCTGTGTCGCCAACGACGGTTGGTACCCCGTGGACTGGGCGGCCATCGGCTGGAGTCCGCCTTGATAGCCCTGCTGGAAATCCTGTCTCTGGTAGGACTGCTGCTGGGGCTGTTGCTGCGACTGCTGCTGAGGCTGCTGGAACTGCCAGCTCTGCTGGGTCTGCTGCTGCTGCTGGGGCTGGAATCGGCTGTTCCACTGTTGTGGTTGTTGATTCCACCCAGTGGCCTGGGACTGGAAGCCAAAGCCTGTGGGCTGTGTTTGCAGCGACGGCTGCATGTATTGCTGCTGCTGCTGCTGCGGAGCCCCGGTCGGCTGTTGCTGGGAGGACCAGTTGTTGTAACCGGTGGCCTGCGGATATCCAGTGCCATACTGTTGGTTGCCGAAGGGATACATCGTTTATGCTTTTGGAAAACGTATCACTGGAGTAGCACGATCTGAAAACGGAACTATAGTACAACTTTGGATGCTTGGGTGTTCCGCCGCCTTCGGTTGGTGCAAACTTGTGCGGTGATCGATTTATTAGCTGTTCAGAAATTCGCGAACGATCTAAGTGCCGGAAAAACGTGGTGTACGGTTTTCTGACAGGAGGTGTCTTAAATGTATAAGCTATAAATTAAAAAGCGCTAGCATCCGTTTAGCTCTTTGATAAGTCCCACGAGGAAATCAATCAGTTGATCCTTGGCTTCGATTGAGGCGCAGAACTTGTCGCTCCCGGCAAATATGCGCATGTTTGCCACGACGTTGAGTAGTCTGAAGTTCAGTTTCGAGATGATCGGACGAGGAGTCTGGTCTGCATCTGCATCCATGTGGCTTTCCTTATCCACCTCGTCGTTGTAGAATTCGTTCAGACTGTGGAGAAGGTCTGGCGTGGTCAGCTCTAAAACATTGAGAATGGCAACGAACTCGAACAAGGACATACAGACTCCGTTGCTGAACTTTGGGAGCTGCAATTTGCCTAACCACTCAACCAGCAACTCGTACCGGTCTGCGCAATTCAGCAGCTGGTACTTCAACACGCAGCAAACAAGGCCAACAACAACGTCGCGGTCTGCCTGAGGGTTCTCAAAAGCCACTCTGAGGTTGTCCTCCGTAGGCTTGAGCAGGAACTTGATGATGGAGCACCGAGACGTTGGTTGATCGAGTGTCTTGGAGATGTCGGTGCAGCGTTGCAATAAGCGCGCAATCTGGATCTTGGTAGCTGCAATCTCGAGCTCCAAAGTGTCCTCTTTTTCTTCCTTGTATTTGCTGTTCAGTGCATGGAACCAAACCATTTTCATTAGCGACTCCTCAAAAAGAGAGTCTGCAAGCGAGCGAAGTATTTGCGTGATAAAGTCAAACTGTTCATATTGTTTCAAGGGCATAACAGGTAGTTCTTCGTACGTTGTGTTCTGCAACAGCAGACAAAGCTTGGAGTCCTTTGCCAAACTCTTCAATTGGCTGAAATAATATTGTCCCCAACGGTCGAATATCTCACGTCCAACAAAAGCCGAGCCCGCAAGCTTGCCGCACTTTTTCATGTAGAGACACTTCATAAACAGGGTTGTCTCGTTAGACTCCATGTGGAGCAAACCAAGTAGGCCAACAAACAGCTTCGAAGGATCCGCAGTTTTCAGCAGGTGCTCGACATCCGCAGTAGTCATATTCGTCAGGCGATTGTACGTCTTGAGCGGACGGAACTGCTTTTTCTCCGTCCCCAAGAGCGGCACAATGATGTAAAAGTAGAACATGGCAATGCAAAACAGCAGCTTGGAGACTCCCCAGAAAGGCCTCAATAAAGACAGGTTGAACGACGTCGACGATGAGGAGGTCGAAAATGCAAAGATAGGAACAGAAAACAAACCTTTTCTATCTCCAACGCCTCCCGACATGTCGTCAAAGGCGGATGCACCCAGCATGCAGGTCATTCCGCCCAGCAAAACCTTGTTCGACAGGGACATCGAGCCGTCAGAGTTCGTATTTGGAGAGGTATTCGAATACAGTGAAGGCGACGAATGGCGACTCGAGCCGCTGTAGGAGGGGTTGGATGCCTCCTCCAGAGAGTCTGACAAGTCGATTTCCGGGTTGAGATTCTTGAGCATGCGGGCCAGCTGCTCGTTTTTGCGTTTCAACACCTCGTGTTTCCATTCAAGATGTTTGATGTACTCAGCAGCCTTGGATAATATCGTTGCCTTGTTCAGCTTCCTGGCCGGCTGCAGACCGTCCAGCTTCTCTTCGTCATCTGTGTACCCGTCTCCTTCGTAATCATCAACATACTCTTCATCCTTGACCGTGGAATTTGTGTGGTGATTATTCTCCTTCGCCACAAGAATGCGCAGGGTCGGAACACAATTCCGCAGCTCAACAATCTTGGTGTTGATGTTGGTTCTATACTTTTTCTCAATCAGGTTGTGAGGCGACTTGAACTTCTTGCCTTTTGAGATTGGATGGTCGATTATCTTGGAGCTAGGCTGCTTCCTGCGCTTCAGCACGATATCATCTTCTTCAAGCTTCACTACCGGGTCGCTTTGCGACGATCCTGTTCTTGTTGTGGACAGCGACGGCAGCTCGCCAGTGTTGGCGGTCACAGTGCTGTTGGACCCGGATTTCGCCATTATGTCATTACTCTCATCATAGCTGTGAGGGTCAAATGTTATTGGAAACATGTTGTCTGGAGACGAGCCACTGGAGTAGGGAGACATGCCGCTGGAGTTGTAGCTGCTCATCACGTCGTTCAGGTCGGCAAAATTGAGATCTGAGTAGGGGTAGTCCTCATCGTCCATAGACCGCGAAACGGACGTTCTATTGTTCAACGACGATATGGCGCCATTGAAGGAGTCGAAGTCAAAAAGTGACATTTTGAACAGCACAGAGATAGAAAGAGCTGGTTATAAGTTTTTTTTCCCTGTAAACAGGTAATCTGGGTCATAGAATGTGGCATATTGTTAGCCTGTCATGATGGGGCCAAAAATCGTATGATACTTAAAAATCGTCTGATTTTGTGCCTTACACCCGTGCCAGGAAAGGAAACAGCTAAAGACTTTTGCCGACCGAACCCGACACCCATGCACGACGTTGCACGGGACACATATCCACCACACCCATACACGGGCTAGTGCTTGCCGAGATAAAATACCTGCCTCCTGCCTTGTTTTCTTATCCGCACCTCCAAGGCACCTTACAATAGTGAGAATTTAATTTTGGCTAATCGTGCCAGGGTACATATCCCGAACCGGTAGTGCATACGTAACTGCCCCAGCATAAAGAAAGGACGTCAGGCTTGGTCGGCAGCTGCTTGAGGCTCTGTAGCTGTGATTAGGTGCTCGCCTGAATCTAAATCTTAGCAAGACGCGACCCAAAGTCGTGTGCGTCTCACACGTGTGCGTCTCACAACAATAAATATACGAACAGCTAGGTCAAAACTTTCGTCGATCCTTCTTCTCCCCATGGTCCATATCCCCAGGTCGTACGCGGAACTCAAGCAGAAGGTTCCAAACATTGGAATTATCTTTGCTGCAATAGCTTCGTGGTTCTCTTTTAGTTTACTTATCTCGCTATACAACAAATGGATGTTTTCAGACCCTACATTGAACTTTAAATTCCCGGTGATAATTACAGCCTGTCACCAATTCGTGTTATTTTGGCTCAGTTGTTTGACCCTCACTTTTTGGCCCAGGTTCAGACTGAACTATGTCGATTCTTCCAAGGGCATGGCCTCCTCGGAGAACCTCAGCTACTTCATCAACCCTAAAGTGTATATCACCAAGATCCTGCCGTGTGCGTTGGCTTCCGCGGGCGATATTGGCTTGGGAAACTCATCTTTGAAGTATATCACCATTTCGCTATACACCATGCTTAAGTCCTCGGCAGTGCTCATCTTCACACTCTTCTGGGGTTTCCTTCTCAGACTGGAGAAAGTCACCTTGAAGCTCTGTCTGATTACCTTCATTATGACGGGTTCGGTCATGATGATGGTGTATGGACAGGGAGAGCCTTCGGCAGAAACGAGCTCCTCCGCTGTGGAGGAGGAGGCCGGGGAAATGAAGCTCAGACTCGTCAAACACCTCGTGAAAAGAACAGCTTCTCTGTATCTCGGTGTCAGAGACGACGAGAAGCAGACCGGCGTCTCAGATAGTGCCATTGTTCCCTCGTCCTCCCTCTCTGGGGCTACAGCCAAGGCCTCTGCTGCCCTGGACACCCTCACGGCGTCCTCGATCATCATTGGCTGCTTTTTGGTTCTGCTTGCTTCTTGCATGTCTGGTCTCAGATGGGCTTTGACTCAGATCGTCCTGCGTGGCAACAGATACACTAAAAACCCAATTCTGACCATCTTCTACCTGAGTCCAGCCATGTGCGTCTCGCTCATTATTATGGGTTCGCAGGTCGAAGGCATAGGCAACTTCCTTGGATCTCAGGTCTGGGAGACGTATGGCGTTCTGGGAACTTGTTTGCTGCTCTTGTTCCCCGGTTTCCTGGCTTTCTGCATGACTCTGTCTCAATTCATCATTCTCCAGTACGCTCCGTTGCTCACGCTCTCAATTGCCGGTATTGTTAGGGAGCTCATCACCATATTCCTGGGATGGCTGATTTTTGGCGACCATCTGAACGCGATCAATATGCTGGGCATAGTGATCACCTTGGGAGACATTGCGTGGTACAATCTCTACAGACTGGAGCAATCTTCAGCCAAGCCTGCTCCCACTGCGTCTTCCGAGGACACGGAAATGCTTGTCACCGAGGAGCACGAGCTTGAGTCTATTGACAGACGCAAGTGATAGCGGCCGGTAATAGCACAAAATCTAGATGCTGTGCTCTCCATAGATAGACTAATTCGTGTATGTTCTATTCAAAGTCAAGCACTATGTATTGTCTCGGAGTTCGTTGAGCTCGATGTCTCTGCTTTGTGTCCCGCACTCTAACGCGTCAAACGAGGGGGGCGGCGTGACTTTATTTTTAGCGTTGGATTCGTTTTGGACTTCGTCGAACCGGTAGAAATTGTACCACACGATATCTGCGAGCGTGACGGCCAGCCCGACAAGGTTGATGAAGGTGAGCTTGTCGCCAAACAGGAGCCAAGAGGTGAATATGGTCAACAGCTCCTTAAATATTCCAGCAATGGAAAGCGTCAACAACGAGGCGTACTGAAGAAGCACAAATTCCGACAGAGTCATGAAAAATGCCAGTAGTCCAGGAATCAAAATCAGTAAGCAGGTCAGACCGAATCCTTTCTCCTCCCAGATCGGACTTTTGGTAAAAGAGCCCAGCCCTTCGACCAAAGAGCCCATGAGCAACAGCACCACGCTCATTGCCGGAGACAGGTACAGGATCGTGAGGATCGGGTTAGTCGTACGTGGGTTTCGTTTCAGCATAATCTGCGTGAGTGCCCATCTCAGACCCGACATGCACGCCGATCCCAAGACGAGAATGGAGCCCAGGAAAATCAGGTGTGCAGCTTTGGTCTCTCTGCTTAGCAATCTGCGCATGATTCTGGATGTCACGTCTTCGTCTGGATCCGCCAAAATCTGGCCCGTAGCAGGCGTGTCTGGGCTGGGAGCTCGCTCGGAATCGTCCTCGTGTTGGCCCCAGACCATCATGATGACCCCGAGCGTCATGATGAGCACGATCGACACGATTCTCCAGGTCATTCTCTCGAGTTTGAACAGAACACCCCACAGGAGCACAAACACGAGCGACGACGTCTTGATCATGGTATAGAGCGAAAGCGAGATGAACCGAAAAGCCGTGTTGCCGAGACCTATATCTCCGGCCGAGGCCACGGAACAGGGCAGTATCTTGGTCAGATACTCCCTGATTGGCATTCTGTAATTGAGCTGTTCGGGCTTCTTCGTCTCCAGAAGCTCGTTGAGCTCGTCGCTGGAGTTTCCATTGTCGCAAATCAGATGCTCCGCCTCGCCGGTGTACTGTGTATGGGAGCGGTAATTGAGTCTAAAGCGCGGGATCATGGCCAGTGTGAGTATACTCAGCAGAAACAGGATGCATTGGTGGAACGCTGTGATGATGATTGGGAACGAAAAGTCCAAGTTCTTGTTGGAGAACATCCATCGGTTGTAGAGTGAAATCGTAAGGGAAAATCCGTACCAGCTGATGATAGACAATATTGTGATGCCCAGGTGGGGATAAGCCTTCCTTATGTTGAAGGAGAAGCTGCGCGGAGGCAAAACAGTCGCGTCGCCAAGGCTTTGCGGGTCTTGACGGGCAAAATGGTTGAATATGCCTGCGGAACTTGAGTTGCCTGAACTCATGAGTGGGGGCGAGACCAAAGAATCCACGTTCTGCGATTCCTGGCCAGGCAGAGGAGACCCCAGTCCCTGCGCACTGTGCGCGTGCAGTGGCGAGTTTACGGAATGCGAGCGTCGATGGGCCTGTGTTGTGCCCAGCGCGGATTCAGTCGCCTCCTTCTGAGGGCCCAAATTCGAGGTGATCACGCTGAGCGAGCTCTTGCGTCTTCTGGAATCCACCGCAGAAGGCACCGTCTCCGACAGGGACGTTGCTCTAGACCTGTCTTGGCTGTTCTGTGCTTCGGTAGACATGTAAGACAGATCTCAAAATGCCAACTGTGAGAAAGTTTTGATGAGGTAAGCGGATATGGGAGCTCAAAAATGAGCGACCCCACGAAGCAGGACAGAACACAGTTTTGCAGCTCTGCGTGTCTATGCCATTATAAGCGTAGTCCCGCTGCTCGCAGTAGTCCGGTCACTCGCATGCATCTGTGTGCTTTCTCCGCGTGGCTATGCCGGAACGCGGTTGCTTTTGCACCTGACTTGTGCCGCGGGTGCACGGATGTGCAATTTTTGCTGTGGCAGCACAAAATGGCGAAGAAAAAAAATTACTCCATTTAAGCCATCGTTTGTCCAAAGATCCTCACATCCGCAAAATATTACGACAAGTCAGTTACGCACTACACGGATTCTCAAATAATTGATACCTAGGCACAACAATGTATGTACGCTCCAAATGTCCTGGAATGGTGGGCTATATTGAAGGGTTCATAGCTGCTGTTTTCAGTTTGATACTGGGCATTGTTCAGACGGTCATTCCACAGAGGAAGAAGCCAACGCAACCGTTTCTGGAATCGTCCATCAACGTCAAGGAGGCCCTCTTTCCTCCGTCTTTCCAGCTTTTCAAAAATCTTACCACCAAGGATTTGAAACCATGCAGCACCACCGACTCGCAATATGTCTCCTTCAAAAATGGCAGTGGTGAAGTTAAGTTCCAGCTGGTGGACAAACACCAACACCAGCTGTCTCCTTTGTCGGAAAACGACTCGCCTGTCATGAGAAGCATGGAGACTATCGCCAAAACAGACGAGTTTATTGCGCTGTCGCCGGTTTCCTCGGTTAAGTCGTCCAACTCGAATTCGAGCTCTCTGCGCGAATCCTCCGCCTCAGACTCGTCCTCCGACGTCGACCAGGCAAATAACGACTCGCCTAAATTTTACAAATGCCAAGAGTGCGACGCAAAGTTCAAGATCAAGGGCTATCTCACAAGACATCTCAAGAAACACTCCACCAAGAAGGCGTACACATGTCCGTTCTACGACGGCAACTCGTCGCAGAGGTGTCACGTCAACGGCGGATTTTCCCGAAGAGATACATTCAAAACACATTTAAAGGCGAGACATTTCAAATACCCCAAGGGCGTGCGTTCGGGTGATAGAACTGGGGTCAGCGGCTGGTGTATGGCGTGCGGGGAAGAGTTCTTGAATAACGAGATCTGGGTTGAGCGTCATTTGGAGCTCGGGCTGTGTCCTGGTCTGTCCAGCGAGTACCTCGACCGGCTCAAGCTGGGAAGAAAGAAGACCGGAAAGCATTCGAAGCTCCTGGACGTGGCCGCGCAGACGCATACCAAGACGCCTATACCAATGATGAACTCTCCGACTTCACTGACCTCTACTCCATCGCCGCAGATTAGTGGTCCATTTACGCAGGGACCGAGATACAGTGCTGCAACGGCTGTTGCGCCGCCGATCACCGCCTACGGGTCGTTCCAGATTGCCCCTCCTGTGCAGAACAGGTATGTTGCGTCGCAGTCGTCGCCATCCGTGGCCGACGACGATGACGATTACATCTCTCTGGACTCGGAAAACTCCCCATATGTCTTCCGGTCGCAGCCGCAGCCAATGTGGACTTCATCATACACGCCAAACCACCCCTTCGCTTTTACGGGATATGCTATGTAGAGTACTGAACGAGCTATAAGGTCTATGATACATTCGTTATACACGTCTAGGATTTCCAAAAGGAGGCATTTCCCGATGGGAACATTTGCCAGATTTTAGCAATTTTTCTATACAATAGACACCGTTTGAGCTGCCATTGAGCATTATTTTTTTCGGCAGGAAAAACGTGTTAGTGCATAAAGTCCGCAGCGGCTACTTTTTCGTGGTTTCCAACCACCTGTGCAGAAGCCCAGTTTTGAGAGTCGTGCGTCATAGCTATAAATACCTGAAAATTTATTTTTAAGACCAGACTAGCTCCGACCATGTTCCAGCTGAAGGTGCTGTTCCTGGCGTTGCTCGCAGCCGTGGCGGCAAAGAACGCTACCTCGGCCTCTGCCACCGTCGACTGGCTGCCGGTTTTCGAGCTCAGGGTCAGAAATAACAGAGCCTTTGATTACACAATAGAAATGGGAAGCCCTCAACAAACATTGGAGGTACGGTTGGACGTGGGAAACGCGATTTTGTGGGTGCCCGGCGCAGAAAACTTCACCGCGTGCCCAACCACGAGTCCGTCTTCTACCCCAGCCAGTTCCTCCACCTCGGGGATCGCCTCCACTTACACTACCCCTTGCGCTCCGTTCGGTGTCTACGACCTCAACAGTTCTTCGAGCGGGTCTTACTTTTCCAGCGCAAAAGATATGGCCGTCGCGAGCGTGGACGACGCCACGAGAGTGGACCTGTCGTACCTCGACGGTGTCGGGGTTTCGGGATATCTGGCAGTGGACGATTTCAACTTCCCCATCTACGACGCATACAAAGATGGCTCTTCTGTCAACCACTCGCTGAGTTTCCAAGAAATCACGTTTCTGTACGCCAACGACTCGAACGTGAACACGGGCGCGCTTGGCTTGGGAATCCAGGGAAACGACCACTCTGTCAGTGTCCTCGACTTCTTCAAGGACGGAAACTTCATTCAAAACAGCTCCTACTCGCTGGTCACAAGCGCGCTGAACAACAGCGACCCAGTTCTGATCTTGGGCGGAGTTTCGTCGACGCGAATTTCCGGCGACTTCTACCAGTACGACTTCATCCCTGTTGTCGATGTCACGCAGCGTTTTGTCACGGTCAACGGCGGATACTCCGACATCCTACCGGTTGTTCCTATAACCGGCATCGGAGTAACAGCTAGCGACGGCGACACAGTGATGTTCCCGCGCACGTTCACCGAGGACAACGACACCGGAACGTACCCAAAACCTGCTCTGCTGGACTCGCGGACGCTGTACAACTTCATTCCGTACTCGACGCTCATTGAGCTGGCGTTGGAGCTCAACGCATACTACGCCGGCGACATAGACATGTGGCTTGTCGACTGCGACGTTGGCTCTGTCGGCACAATCGACATTCATCTCGGAGACCTGGTGGTGAACATGCCCATAAGCAGCGTCTTGTACGAGCAGAAGAACGACGACGGCACGGATCTGGTGTTCCAAAACGGGGCAAAAGCCTGTGCCCTGGCTTTTCTCCCGGATAACACTCTCGGATACTCGCTGCTCGGCATTCCTTTCATCAATAACATTTACTTGGCCGTTAACAACGATTACAGAACGCTGGCAATCTCCAACCTAGTGCGCGACGAGAAAGAGAATTCAAAAGCAGACGTTTTCTACCCGATGGACTCGGAGACCATTCCTCTTGCTCGGTACAATAATATTTCCAGCTATTCGGAAATCACTATGACTGTCACCACGTACGCTTTAAAATCCTCCCAGCTGCCCCAATTCACGGAGGCTTTCGTCTCCGACGGCGAAGTGTACGTGACGGGCACACACGACTTGCCGTCCACCTCAGCAGGGCCATCTCCTTCTGGCTCCTATTCCAGCTCGACCAGAAACGCCGCCTCGGACCACCGCTCGAGCACGGCACTGCCGTCTCTGCTGGGTCTGCTTGTGCTGTTTGTGTACCTTCTCTGACCCGTTGTAGTATTAGTGCATGTTTTGATAGATAGGTTTAATGTTACTTGCGCAATGAAGACACTTTCCAGCGGAAAACAGGATCGAACCGCGTGCCACCAATGATGCACTGCACAAGCCACTCCCAGTCAACAACTGAGACCTCAAACTCCCCAGCCGAACTCTCCCTTCGCTGTCGTTTAGGCCGCCGTTTGTGCACGTGGGCATCCAGAGACTTCCTGTCCATATCCGTGAGCAGGAGACTCTCGCGGTCAAGTGTTGTTGCTTCTTGAAGAGAGATCTCGGGTATGACCCGTGTACTGCGGCAGCCGAGCGCCTTGAGCAGGAAATCAATGTCCCTCGCTCTGACTGGCAGACTGCTGCGGTCAACAACAACGGTCAATCCATCCAACAAACGGACAAGCCCCATTTGCTCGTGAAGACGCTTCCCGTTGTGGAAATTCTGTAGGAAAGGGAACACGTTGGCATTCAGTATGCAGTTGCGAATTTTGCTATGTCCCGCAGGGAGCATGTAATTATGGAACGTAGACTTCCATCTGCTAAGTTGGTCCGGGTTCCGCATCAGGTCTTCAAGAAAGGCCGTTGATAAAATAGGCCATCCCAGAGACAGGGACTGCAGATATTTCATGGTTCTCACATGTTTGGGAGATAACAGGGCCGCGAATTGGAGCTGCTCAAGTAATTTGGCAGGTTTGAGCTCTGCTTCATTTATTTGGAAGAGTTTGGGAAAACCCTCTTCGATTATCAGTCCTCCCTGTTTCTCCACGAACCTGATCATTTCTCTCACTTTCGTTGCCTCGTTAGTTTCCGACTGATGTGGGGCAGAGGTAAACACGAATACGCAACCATGAAAAGGCAGATATTCTTTTTGAAGAGCGTTCTGCATTATCGGACCGCCCTGTAATTGCAAATCCGACAAGAAGTCGTGGAAATACTGCTCGTTGTCAAATATCTTGAACTTTATCTTGCCTGAAAGATTCGCAGTAAGGTAAGCCTCCTCCAATGGGACGCTGAACTCTTCATTTGGCACAGAACCTTTCTCGCAAAGGTATAAGCGGTTGAAGCCACGCATGCAACATACGGCATTGGGTATCTTGGGATCGTGTTGCAAGCCAGTGACTTTGTACACTTTAGTTCTATTGGAAAACAATTTGATATAGTCGCCGACTCTGATAGAGAGAGGAGCAAATAGCTTGACGTGGTCCACCACTTCAAGCATCTGGGAGTTTGCGACTGAGACAGAAAACTGCACGTTGTGAGACTCGTTGTAATATTTCGTCACATCGGTGATGCTGAAGGGCAGCTTCAAGTTGTCGAACGATACCCAAACTGAGCGCGGGAAAATAATGTCCTCTTTTCGAAACAGTTTTTCTGTCTCATCTATTCTCAGGATCTCGTCCTGAGTGAGCGACTGGGGGAGGATGTCCCGCCTTTTGAAAGAGAGCGACTTCTGCGTGTTTTGGCTTTGAATGTCGTCAGTGTTTTCAAATTCGGGCGAAGGAAGTTCTGGGGAGTTTCTTTTGGTGTCAAGCAGCAGGTTAATTTGGTCTCTGTCTAGCATTGAATTGATCCGCGTCTCATCCATACTGTCTTTGACTTCTTGCTCGTCGGAGTTGGAGTCAGTGTTCTCCTGGTCTGAGTTATTCCTGGAAGCATCACTCGAACTATCATCTAATTCAATCACCGGGGGAGCATGTCTTACAGGTTGCCGCTGAGACAATTTCCTCGGACTGCCTTTCAGTATGCGTTTTGGACGCAAAAGCAAGCTGGAGGTATAGGCGACCTGAGAAAGGGGGGTCGAATTAGCGTCGGCATCCGAGTTTGGATCCTCCATTTCCTCGCTCAGTTCTCGTATACCTTCGTCCTGAGAGGGTATGTGGACAGTAGGGTGGGACGACTCGTAGCCGTCGTCCTTCTGTGAGCTTTGCGAGTTTTGGGAGAGCCGCGTGATGGAGTGTTTCAGCTCCTTTTGAGAGATCGAGGATGCGGTGTTCGGATGGTCGTTAGGCGAGTTGGAGATCTTGAGTGTCTCGCTGATATTGTCCTTATCGTCTATTTCAAAATCGCTCACCTCTTGTGACGACGGCTCGTTCATGTTTGGCGAGGACCTCCCGATGGGGTCCTTTTGGGTGCGATACGAGTCTGTGGGCCTGTGATGCGAAATTTGCGAGAAGACACTTTGGGAGCTGATGATTTCGTCGTTCAGCTCATCGTGGCCATCTTTAATGGGCGGCTGCGGCTCACTGCGAGCTTTGCTTGTTAGTGGGCTGCTATTGGAGGTGATTCCTACTCGGCTTTTTTCAATAGTACCTGGCACTTGCACGTCACGCTGGTCGGCGTTTTCCGTAGAGCTCGGCAGCCCAAACGGTTTGCTGCTGGGCTGCGACTGTCGTCTGTGATAATTGCTGAGATACGAGTAGTCTGCATCGTCGTGCAAGAAATCCCTCTGCCGCAGCTTGTCGTCGATTTCCTGGTGGATATTGGCATCGATTTGGGTGTCTGGAGACGTGTTCGCGGTTACCTCGGCATCAAACTTGCCCAGCAAGCTGGTGTATCCCGCATTCACATGCAACACAGCTCCAGAACGGTCTGCAGACTCGTCCGGCTCGCTGTAGCCATCCAAAACCAGACCCACCTCCGTATCGTACTCAAAAGCCTCTGGAAGCTTATCTCGCATTTGCTTGAATATGGACGCCGAGTCTATTGGCTGTTTATCGTTTGCCGGTGTTTGGAAAGCGGGCTTCGACGAGCTCAACGGCCCGTTCTTGCTCCGAGCCGGCGTACTGGTCGAGTTTGGCGAGTCGTCAAACGGGTTTTTCAGGTTCTTGAGCACAGACGCAGGAGTGTCGTTTATTTTCAGGTCTTCCAGTGGCTGCGTCGAGCTGAACTTGCCTCCCAGCGTTGACACGTGTCTGTGGGTCTGTGGCGTGGGATACGAGTCTGTCCGGTCCGGAGGACGCTGGAAATCGTCACTGCGCAAGGCACCAGACACGAGCCCCTTGGTGGAACCGCCAGAACTGTGCGAGACGGCCCCACCGCGCTGCGCGTGGGCTGCGATCGTCCCTCGGCCTGGCGATCGCACCCGGCTGCGGTCCTCGCTGTCAGCCATATTATGCTTGCATTTGAAAACAAACACGCCTCCATCCTGGTGTATGGTGTCGGTCTCAGGTGTGACGATACTAAGGTAGCACGCCAGCGCTAGAGAAGTAGCACCAAGCTTCTTTGCACAACTACAACTACTGGCTAGCATCGCGCTACCTTTGCTATGAGTGAACCTAGTACTGGCTCTTACCAACACGTGCACCCGGCCACAAGCCTGCTCTCTGCCTCCAACCAGGCTCTCCCCAACCATAGATCCATGGTAGAAAACGACTTTGCACACACAAGGCTTGCAGAGTTCGACGCCGGCTTGCTTCTGGATCCCGAGTTTGACAGCGAGAAGAGGCTGGAGATTGCGTTCTCCTTTATGGTTCTCGGGCGGAAAAAGGCAGCAGCCAGAGAACTGGCCAATGTGGTCAAGCTGGGGACGGTTTTGGAGAAGTCCGAGTTTCTGCGCCAGGTTGGCGATGTTTTCATGAATTTCGGCGAAGCTGAAACGGCGTTCCAGTGCTACAGAGAAGGACTGCTCCACAGCAAGATTTCCAAGGACGTCGATATCACCTTGGTGACGTACCTGAAATCGCAGATCGCAGACTCTGAGTGCGACCACAGCGACTCGTCCAGCTCCGTGGGGTCTATAATTCGGTCTAAAGAGAAGACTTTTCGGTCCATGCTGTCTGAGTTGTCTGTGCACGAAAAGTGCAGACAGGAACTGGACGAGCTGGCGCAGATGGTGGCACATCCGCGTATGGAGCAGAGGTGTCCCTTCGCTAAGAACCTGGTGGAAAATTCTGCCGCTGCGAGCGTTCTGGAGTCCTATCTAGACGCGTTTGAGTTCAATGAGTGCCAGGACACGTCGATGAGCGAGTTTCTGAATCTGTTGATGGTGGAGCTGTTCAAATTTCCCGATCTGTCGCTCTACAAAAACATTTTTAGCTCTGCGCGGCTGGAGCAGGTTTTGACCTATCTCGGGCTGGCGGCCCCAGAATTTGAGCTGCCGGCAGATTTCCAGCACCTGCTCTCCATCTTACGCAACAGCTACGAGATGAAGGAGCCAATGTCGAAGGTGATGGAAAGCCTGGAGTTTGAGCTTAAAAAAACGCTGCTACTTGGTTGCAAACAGTATGTGGAGAAAGATTACGAGGCCTCGCAAAAGACGTTTACCAGAGTGCTGATTGTGTGTGACCTGCTCTCGAAACTGTCTTGCATGACAGGCTTCAAGGGCTCCGACAAGCACGTTCTGGCAGAGCTCAACCAAGAATGCCGCGAAAGACTGCGGAAAGTGAGCACCATATCCGGGATTTATTCGTCATTCTACGCTGCGCTGAGTTTTATAAGACACCAAGACTCGGCCTTCGAAGACCTTGCGGCCAAAACTGTCGAGCTCATGGCCCTGCTGCAAAACCTCAACAAGTACTATCTCACAGCAAGATACTCAAGACTACCTATCAAGTACGACTGGATTCATCTGGCGCTCGGAAAGCTCAACGAGTGGCTGGCGATCTGTAAAAGCCGCCAGCTCAAAAGAGACTCAAACTCTCACCATGACCTCAAGAAATTGGACGACACGCATTTGGAGTGTATGCTGAGCCATTACATCCGTGCCCTCAACCTCAAGCTCCCAGACGACCCGTGCATCGTCATGCTGTACGACAAAATTATTTGGGGCATGTTGATGCACGGTGGCTACCACATCCAGACCCTCTGGATCCTCAAGTTTTTCAGGGACTGCTGTGTGTTCTACAGCGACACCTGCTTGCTCAGCTTCGAGGACGCTTCCTCGTTCAACAGCGACGTTTTCAGGCTGCGGGACTACCAGGACGCGAACGTCCAGATCGTGGTGAACAAACTGTACGAGCAGCGCAAGCAGCTGAACAAGAAACAGGGGTCGATTTTCGTGTTCTCGAGCGCGAAATTCATCTTGCCGCAGTTCTTCTACACCCGTTTCGGCGAGCTCGTGGCGTCCCAGGAGTACACGGTTTCGCCCGCGGTGTCGCTGAAGCAGAACTTCAAGTTCCCCGGCGGCGTCATGAAAGGCATCCTCAAAGCGGACCCGGGAGTCGTGGAATCGTGCAACCGCATCAGCGAACAGCTCCTGGAGGACTGGTCCAAGGGCAGCTGGACGAGCCGCAACCTGGTGTCTGAGCAGACGCTGCGGAACTTTCTCGACTCCTACTACGACGGCAGCAAATTGAGTGCGTTTTAAATAATTTATACAGTTTCCTCTGCGATCTCCAGGAGCAGCTTGAGGTCGTGTGCCAGCGCCACGTTCCGGTACAGTCTGAGCTGGGCAGCGACGTCCTTCCTGCTGATGGTCTGTGTCCACGTTCCGGAGCACGAGCAGTGTGCCATGATTTCTCGGTCTTTTATTTTCCCGCACTTGGCACATTTCAGGTCCTGGGTCAGAAACCTGAATAGCAATCTGTTGAACTCCGAAATGAGGCGTTCCTCGAGCAGCAGCTTGTTGTAGGGCTTGTTGCACTCCTCGCAGTGCCACAGGACGTGCGGCTCGTCTCTGCACACGTCGACGTCCTTGATGTAGTTGCAGTAGCTGCAGATCACGTGCGGGAGCACGAGGCTGGCTGCTGGGTTTTTGAAGACCCCCTCGTCGCTGAACTCCTTGATCTCAAAAAGCGACAGGATCTCCTTGCGCAGCAGACGAACCTCGATGTTGCGTTTTTTCGACAGGCCCAGAATGTGGCACAGGTACTTGCTGAGTTCTAGCGTTGGATTCGACATCTCGAGATGCGACCCGGGCAGCACAGGGAACTGGTACTGCTCCATGATTCCGGGGTCCAGTCCGACCTCGTTCTGTTTCTTGATGAGCGTGTGCAGCCGTTTCAGCAAGGGGGCCCTGAAGAGCTCACACACGCCGTTGGCCACGGTCTCTAGCGCGTCTTCGTCTTTTTGGTCTGTGATTTTTTTAAGAGCGGCTTTTCTGTCTGGCGTCAGCTGGGTGCTCTGCGACAGGTTTTTGAGCCGGCCGTCTCTGTGCTTGATGAGCGAGTCGAGAATGAGCCACGTCCACTCCTCAAACTCGCTGTGGAGGATTGGGGGCAGGTACTTTTTGAGCTGCCAGTCGGAAACCGCCTCCAGTTTTTGCACCTCTGCCTCCTGCACCTGGTAGCAGAACCGGCCCATGTAGTTGTACTTGTCCATCCAGACAAGCAGGTCCCAGTACTTGACGACCTGGAGGTCCAGATAGTTGAAAAGCGGACTGGCTCTGACCGACGTGAGGATGTACTGGCTGTATGCGTACGAGTTTTCGACCGCGGTTTTCGACGTCTCCACAACGACCCTGTTTCTGTCTGCAAAGACGACTGCCGAGCCCATTTTCTTGAACTCGCCGAGCAGCTGGATAAACGACTTCTTCGTCAGGTTGTGCACGTGGTAGTGCAGCGACGAGTCGTACAAGAAGGAAGCCGGGTTCTGGCACCACGACACAAAGCCGTGCACCATGGAGTCTGCCTCGGAATTATTTTTAATGGCGTCATCCCACCAGGTGCGCACCAGACTGCGTAGCACGACGAGCGCCGGCCCAGAAAAAGAGTCCTCCGCAAACGCGCCCTCCGCCGCCGCGTCTGTCGAGCTGAAAACGCCTTCGGCTTCGTTAATCAGCGACGACGTCAAAACCGTGTTGATGGTGAGGTTTTTCAGCTCCAGCTCCAGACAGACGCTCTCGTACACCTCAGGCTGATTGATCACTGGGAACTCGAACGACTCGTCCACGGCAAAGGCGTCTTTCTCGACACCGCCCAGATCCGGGTTCGGGCTCGGCGACCACCACAGCACAATGTTGGCCTGCGACAGCTTCCGTGCGTACTCGATGTCAATCATATAGCCGAGGTTGTCGATTTCGAGGTTGCACAGCGGGATATTGCTGTACCTGGCGAGCGAGATGATTTTCTGCAACCATCCAGCCAGTGAGAGGTAGTGGTTGATGATGCGCTTCATGATGAGCGAGTGCCACGATAGCGAGTTGACATGGATCTGGCCGGTGCCCATCCGCACACAGGGGAACTGTGCGGCCGCAGCAAGGTGTCGGGCGATCTTGGAGCTGTACGGAGACTGCACGACGAGCAGCGACTTGGACGCGCTGTGCTCGTCGAGCGTGAGCAGCTTGGAGTTCAGCTTCTTGTACAGCTTGAGTGCGTCGGTGAAGTAGTGCGTCTCGAATTTCATTTGGTCCTCGTAGCTGATCAGGTTTGGCGGCAGCGTGTCTTTCTTGCTAGCAAAAATGTCTGCGTACAGAGAATCGACATTTGCAGGCAGCTGCTGGGCCGTCGCAGTCGGCTTGAGCACATACACGTGGGCGCTCGAGTCCGCAGGATTGAACAGCGTGAATATCTCGTACGAATTTGACGACACGTGCAGCAGATACAGCACGCCGGTGGTGAACTCGGAGAGGTACGTTTCTGCAGCCACGGGACGGAGCAGCTTGAGATCGAAGCCTTTTTCCAGCGACCTGCCCAGGTCTCCCGGTCTGCTGTTGTCGAACTTCACACAGCTGCCGAGCTCGATGATCGCACGCTCGGCGCTCTGGATCTGGGTTTCGTAAATCCCGGCAACGTGCGGACTGTTGAGCAGTCCGTTGGTCTTGGCGATCTCGCGGCTGTACACATCGTGCGACATCACCAGTTTGAACAGATTGGCGCTTTTCTGGCCGCTCGGGAGCAGCTCTGCCGCGCGCGTCACCTCGCAGCTCTCCAGAACGGTGTCCGGGAAAGGTTCAGACTTGAAGTCCAAATACAGCTTTTTCGCAACGTGCAGCGTGAGCGTGTGTATTTTCCCGTTGATAAGCACGTACGCTTTGAGATCGCCCGGCTGTTCGGTGCTCTCGCAGTACTGCAACACTTGCCACGTGGACTCGACGTAGTTCTCGGCCTGCTTCCGCACCATGTTGGCCACAGACATCCGGCTACCAAGCTGCGCGGTCTTGCCGAACAGCCGCTTTCTGCGCTCGCGCTCCTTGACCTGCACCTCCCATTTGAGCTTCTGGTACTGCAGGAAGCCCGCATAGTCCGCGAGCGGGTCCGGACATGGCCGGTTGGCGAGCTGCTGCTGCGACTCCTCCAGCGTTTCTCGGGCCAGCTTCCGTTTGCGGCACGTGACCTTGCCGACTTTTGGTCTGGCCACCTCTGCACCGAGATCCTCGATGTCCTGGACCCTGTTGGTGACGTCGGACATGACGCCCTTTTTCAAGAAAGCGCTCAGCGACGACTGCTTCATCTTGTCCTCCTTCGTGTCGATGCGTTTCTGCAGCCAGTCCGGGTGCGACACGCGCGGCACAGGGTTGCTGACGCCCTGCAACGCAGCCGGGATGGTGATGATTTTCTGGATCACCGACGCCAGCCGCTCTTTGTAGTAGTCCCAGTCGATGATGGAGCGCGGGTCAAGGTCCTCGAGCGACGGGTCGACCAGCCAGCGACGCAGGTACTTGCGCTTGACAGCGATGTCGGACGAGAAAATCGCTGTCGGGATGGCTCGCTCAGTAATCGGCGCGTCGATCGGCCTGTCTGCGATCACATACTTGCACGCCAGGCCCTTGTCCTTCACCATCTCCTCGCCGAGAAACTCGCCGAGGCGTCTTGCCGTCGTGATCGACGTCGACTTCTGGCCCGCGTACTCCTCCAGCGTCTTCGACATGCTGCGGTTCTCGCAAATCAGCTCGATCAGGTCCTCGTCCTCCAGCATCCGGCCGCGGCTATCCAGCACGTCGAGCCACCGGTTGGCGATGTTAGCCACCGCCTGGTAGCACCCCTCCAGCGAGTCGCCCTCCAGGAACAGCTTGAAGATGTCCGACTGGAAGTTTTTGATCAGCTGCAGCTCGCCGCGTCGCTTCAGCTCGAAGCCCTTCAGCTCTGCCAGCGACCCGTCAAAATTGAACACCGCGTACCGCTTCTTCAGGCCCTTGCCCTCCTCCTTCGATGTCGGCAGCACCATCGCCTTGTACGGGCCGTCGACCTCGAAGAAAATCGAGTTGTCCGAGACCGTCTCGTATTTGAGCCGCACGGGGTCCACCAGCATCTGGTACTGGTGGTTGGTGAACCGCTGGTGCACGAGGTAGTTGAGCATCGAGCACGGGTACGACACGGTGAACGACTTGCCGCTTTTCAGCGTGAACTTGAAGTCTTCCGGGAAACTCGACGGCAGGATGCACCAGATGCCGTCCGTGTCGAGCTCGAGCGGCCGTCCCAGCCGCTCCACCAGCGACCGCGCCATTTGGATGATCGTGGCCCCCGTGAGACACGTGACCCCGGCCATCTCCATCGAGTACCAGCGCGAGCCCTTGCGCATGACGTAGCCGTAGAACGAGTTGAGAATGACCTTGTGTGCGAGCTGCAGCGAGTCGTACAGAACGACCATTTTCTTCGCCTCGTCCGCGGCGTGCTTGTCCTCCTTGCCGATCTGGGCCACCTTGCCCTTCCACGCCTTTGCCAGGCCTTTGAACTCGTACCGTCGGTCTCTGAAGTCGCGCACGGTGTTGACGTAGAACGGGTTTTCGCGCTGGCAGATAATGGCTTCGCGCTCGACCGTCTCGGTGGCCTTGATGCGGTGGTACACTTTCCTGGAGTAGTCCGAAACGCGCTTCTTGATGTGTGCGACCTGCTCCGTGTAGCTGAGCTCCTCGAACGTGCGCCGCGGGAGCCCCGGCTGTTTGGGGGCAAACTGCTCGTTTTTCAGCGCGTTCTTGATCATGTTGTACTCGTTGGCCTCCGCAGGGTAAAACTCGCCCCGCCAGGCCCACGGCAGCCGGCGGTCGCACGTTTTTCCGGGCCTGTTGAAGTCGCACGAGGCACAGTCTTTTTCCGTCTTCATCGAGTCCGGTTGCAGCCGGTTTGTCGTCATGATGTTGGGGTACATCGACGCGACGTCGACGTGGTAGATCAGCGGCGTCTCTGTGCGCTTGTTGTTCGTCTTGAGCTCCGTCAGCTTCGCGCGGATTTCTGCGCACACCTCGTCGTAGTTCGTCACATCCTCAAGCTTCTTTTTCTCCTCCACGGTGATGGAGAATTTTAGGGCGCTGTCGAGATCGTTCAGTATCTCGTCCACGGCGGCCGGGTCGATACTGAAGTCTGTCGCCAGGTCTGCGCGGAAGACTCCCGCCTCCAGCGACTCCACATGGCCGCCCACATACGTCTCGGACTCGAGCAGATGGCCCTCGTAGAACCGCTCGAGCGGGTCGGTGTGCTTGTTCGGCAGCAA